CTAGCCTAGCTTTCTCCAGTACAGCAGTACCCTGCAATGTGTAGTGGTGGGAAATGCCGTAATTTACGGCGGTTCGATGCTTGATGAGTTAAACAAGGCATTGACACTCATCTCTGAAGCGACTACTTTTGGAGAAGTGTTGTTATCAAGATTTCGGCTGTTGTCGACTGTCTTCAACACAGATTCATCCTAATTCTTAAAGTCTATTCATTACACATCTATATACTCCTCAAAATCCACACCCAAAACCACACACTCCAATACACCAAAGCCCTGAAGGTAGTTCAACATTGTTTGGGTACTGTGTGCAAAGCTTGAAATTGTCCGCGGCGGAAATATTTATAGGCAGAGTCCCGCAAGCAATTCCGCGGCGGAGCTGTAAATAGCACAATGAAAGATTGTCGGCAGAATGCCGGAGAATAGAGCGGTGAATAAAGACGTGAGTCAACCTTCTATTGGGAAAGGATTTTCGGCAGCGGAGCTGTGGATAGCATGAAGATTGAAAGATTGAATACCGCTAAATCGAGTTGTGAATGAAGTTGTGAGTCTTCGGGTAATTTGCTTCAAGTGGGTAGAGAGATTTCACACATATATAAACTAGCGTTATCGACTTTTTCATTCTATGCTTGCAAAACGACTCTGCTAGCGAAGATGCATAGAGTGTTTGAAGATGAAAAGGCCTAACCAGATCTGGAGATGTTTTTTTTGGCCTGACGAAAAGACTTATGCTTTTCTTTAAAGCCAAGATCTCTAGACCTTTTATTGTTGTCAATATCTTCATTATTGTCAACTCACTCTGATACACCTACGTTTTTGTCCGACCTACCACCTTATCAGAAACAGACATCTTCGTGAGTCAGAGCATCATACCCAAGTCCGGCATTACACACTCCGCCAATCTTCAACCAAAGATACATTGATTTGCCGCACATTCCTCATCTAGGTGAATCTAGTTGAAGGCTCAAGGAGGTATATATAGGCGGAGAAATCGGCCGCAGGGTTTTGTTTCTGGGAGACGAGAAGTGAATGAGTATCGGCGGAAAAATCGGCCGATGGCCGATGGCCGATTGAAGTGAATGGACGAAGTGCAAGGCTGTGAATCATTGCAAAGAAGGGCGGGAAATCTTTGGGGATATATAAAGTAGCGTTCTTTCTTCTTTGCTAAATTTTCTTTATCCACATCCAATACTTGCTCTCCTTCTGGCTTTACCTAGTAGTCTATGACATGGTCTAGTGAGGGGCATCAGAATTGACTAGCAACCAGGTCGTTTCTATGGCAAGGGAGTTACTTTTACTAATCATTAGAGAAAAGTCATGAAAGTTAATTGTTGTCAATTTTTTTAGCTATTATCAACCATTTCTTATTTTAACTTAGATTATTCCAACTCTCAATGTCTGCTATCACAAAATCTATATATGCCCAAGATTTGCGTACAATACGACACACTTTCAAGCGAGGCTCAAGTCACACCCCGAATGACCCGACTTGTTCTCCATGATGTTGCACGTTCTAAGTTGGAAAGGAAGAGGAAATGGAAAGGGTATATATAGGCAGGAAAGTGGCCCGCAGGTCGGCCGCTCCACGGTGAATGTGGCCTTGTTTCCCAAAGAAGTGCAGAGCGGAGTGACTTCCAAGCTCTTGGAGTCGATGTAGTCAATGTGATGTCAAAGAAGATAGAGAAGGGCAACCTGGTTATCTCTTTGAGCTCCATTGGCCTGAAGGATGCGTCCATTCGTCATGGATGTGTCCACGTCTTATAAAACTCGATTTGGGATTTTCCCAAGACCTACACACTACGACACAACGTAAATAGCGCAGGGCGTTGAATATGAAATGTGATTCATTGCTAGTGGAAAGAAATTTTCTCTAGGGGTATACAAATTAGCGTTCTTCTCGCGGAAGACTTTTTCCCCTAACATTCTAAGAAGGAAATCAAGAGGCGACTATAGGAGAAGATTTGCTGTGGGGTATTGGGATGCTGGAGAATGTTCTGAGTTGTTAGGAGTTAAGTGTTCTTTGATGTAAGTATAGCCAGAGCCAAGGACTGAGCCTTAGGCATTTGATTGCCGTCAAGTATTTGGTTGTTGTCGATTCTCTTCCAATCGGACTTCATTTCCAGTCAAAATATGAAAGAACACAAGAAATCTGAATATTAGCTGGTTCTCCTTTTTCGCTCACTAATCGCTTATATGCAAGCGAGCAGGAGAGGGGAGCTGGTTATTAGATTACAGCAGCAGACTGGCCTTGTCTTCTCTGAAGTAATGCGGATTCCAACATGTCTTTGGCAGAAGTATTTATAGGTGGAAAGGTCGGCTGCAGGGAGTCTTATTTCTGACGGCAATGAAGTGAAAGATTACCTAGGTAGGGATGGAAAGATCGGCCGCCGAGAATAGTGAATGCGGTCTTGTTTCTGCGAAAAATAAAACATTATGGGCGGAAAAGCTTGGTTGTGGACGCAGTGAATATGGTCATGTTCCTTGTCTCTGAGAAGGTGAAGGATTATGGGCGGAGAACTCGGCCGCAGGGGTAGAAAAGAAAATAGTTTTGTTTCTGGGTGAATGAGAGAAGTGAAAGCTTGTGAACCATAATTAGTGAGCGGAGAAAGTTCCCCGGAGGTATATAAACTAGTGTTTTTGCTCCTAGGATTTTCTTTCTCGGTATTTAGTAAAGTAAGCACAGAGAGGAGGCAAAGTATGTGCTTTTTGGAATTAAGTGTTAAAAGTATTTTGAGATCTAGAGCTTATGTTTAGCTGCAGAACCAGGAACTCTGCAGAAGTGATTATTGTTCAGTCTTAAACTATTGTCAACTCTTTCTTGCACAAACTCTTTCCGATTCTCAATATCCGTCCTTCATTAAAAACCATATTCGTCCCCAAAGTCCGCACATAACAACACACACTCACAGCCTACAAAGTGCGGCACTCTTTCCAACACGACAGTCCCATAGAACAGCCCCAACAAAGGACACCAAACCTGAGAATTTTACGAGGTGGGAATTCGAAGTATATATAGGCGGAAAATCCGGCCGCTGGGAGCAGTGCTGCCTTGTTTTCCAGAGCAGTAAAGAATTATTGTCGAGTGAGTGAATAAAGTTGTGAATCACTGCTAGTAAGGAATAGGTCTTCTTAAGTATATAAACTAGCGTTTTCTCTCCATGGTTTCCTTATTTTATTCGCTCTTTCTTTATGACTGAGCTGCAGAACGCTGAGATGTGAAATGTTAAAGAATCTTATAGGTAGTTCATTGAAATAAATTTTCCGTAGATTTTTCATCCTTCTCTCTAAACTAAGTTAACTTAGAATTATGATTGTTAAACACTAAATCATTAACAAATTTTTCTTATATAAACTCACTTTAACGCTCAATGTCTGCCCATCACACATTTTATATGCGCGTCCAAAGTCCGCACACAATAAAGTAAACTCTATAATGCCGAACAATTCTTTTCTGATATACGTTTAATCCAAGAACAATGTGGGACAAAGTTGGTTCTCATGACGCCGGTAAAATTGTTGAATAAAGCAATAATAAGAAGGCACGATGGAAGTATATATACACGGAAAAATCGGCCGCCGCGAAGTGCAGCCTTGTTTCCCAGAGCGGTAGGCAAGTGAATAAAACTGTGAATCACTGCTCGGGGGAAAATCTTTTTTTCTCCGGGGTATATAAACTAGCGTCTATTCTTTTTCCTTTTTCTTTTGATTCTGCAGTTCCTTTGCTGCTGATGAAGAAGACTCCGATGGGGAAGAGAAGTGGATGGCACCACAGGGAGCTACTGCAGACGTGAGGATGCTTGGAGTTTTTTGAGGCATGGTAGGGGAAGGATGTCGAGGAAAGATTTTATATTGCCGCTGTTTGCTTGCTTTGTGTTGTTGTCAAGCTTACTGCTGCTGCCGAAGTTACAGCTGCGGTTAAGTTTACTGCTGCTATCATCCATTTCTTAACGCATTACTCCACTCCAACCTCCTGCCTCTCACCTCGCCTCGAGCTGAAAGTCCGCCGGGACCTTATCACAAGGTGAGGTGCTCTTCCCTCTTACTTCCACTTGAGAATTTTCCGTGCGTTGAATTTCCTAAACCTGCTACAATTTGATATATTTATACCCTCTTTAAATCTATACTTTCAACCTTTGAGTCACGACCTTTCCCACTCCTTGAAGAGTTGAAGTGAATCGAAAAGAGTGAATTGAAAACTCCAAATTTTGAACTTTCCAAAATGTCAAGTTTCTCGAGTATAAAAGCCCACACTTTTACTACACTTCAAGACCTTCCACAACAGTTGTTGAAGGTCGAGATGAAGGAGAACGAAGAGAGGAAGACCGAAAAGAAAAAGAATTAACGGGGAGCCGAGCGGGAACCACTGTTCCTGGACTTCCCTTCACCGCGTCCTTGCCGTTGAGCTCTTGTTGCACATCGCGCGCTAGTACTTTTTTCTTATCAGTAATTTGGATCTAGTACCTTTTTCTTATCTTCTATATAAAAAAATATTCTGTTGCACATCGCGCGCTAGTACTTTTTTCTTATCAACAATTTGGAGCTAGTACCTTTTTCTTATCTCTTATATATCACGCTGCTTGATTGGATTGTTGTTGTTAAAGCTATTTTTGCTGTTGTCCACTTTCCTACCAAGACTTTGAAATTTAACTTCTTTCACTCTTGTTATTATTCGACCTCGAGAGCATAACTCTCGATCAATAATCATCCCTCAGCGGTGTACAAAGACCTCGTATCCGAACGAGTTGATGAGGAAGGGTTGTGTTTACGTGAGAGAGGGTATTTTTATACTCGGAAGGCTGTCTGGTTTCGAGGAAAGAGTGTTGTGTTGTTGTTGAAGAGGTGAATATGCAGCAGATCTGGAAATCGTCATCTAAACAGTGAAAGAGACTGGTAGACCTGAACCTTGAATCGAGATTAGATCAGTAGTCTTGACCTCCAACAACTAAAGGGACAAAAGCCCAGAAGCCTTCCCAAGTCACGGACGGCACCTGGGGAGGGCATAAGATTAAACTTCTACATTTTGTGTTACAGTACTGCTACCTCTAGACTCAACCATCAATCATCTATGTTAGCTATTGATTGTCAGGATACCAGATAAAAAAACTCCAGACCAGAATTTGCTCTTGTTACAAACAAACGCAACGCAACGCAACGCCAGCCAGACCTCATCTCTCATTTTGTAAAGTTCGTAGACACATGCCAACGCAAGTCTGCCATATCATGCATGCAATAAAGTACCAGGAAAAAGAAAAGCAACGCATACGAAAACAACGTTTGTAGAAAAACTCCAGCCACAAGATTACCACGCATACCCATCTTCATCACCATCTTGACCGTCCCAGTCCTCATCTCCACTTCTCTCTTCGTCTAGGAAATCGGCCTCGGTGACTTGATTTTCAGTCGGTCTCAGGTTATCGATTCTGACTTCAACGATATCGCACATTCCCTGAATGACCTCCTTTTGCATGCCTTTGCCTTTATTCTTGACGAGTGGAGCATCAGAGTCTGAGTCGGAAGTCGCAGCTGATGTGGAGACAAGAGGACTATCGGAACCGGCGGTCTGTTTGAGGATCTCGAGCTCACGAGCTAGGCGATTGTGGCGGGAGGTTTCGCGTGCTGAGACGGTAGGCTTGAAAGGTTCGGGTTCTGGCTCGGAATCGGAGGTTTCGGCGTAAGTGCCTGTCGCTAGGCGGGTACGGGTTGAGCGACGGGTATGCGAGATCTGGTGAGCCTCAAGGGAGCGTCGTGGCGGAGCCAACATCGGTCGAGTGTCGACTGCTGAGAGGAGATCATCGCTCTTGCTGGAGGAAGGTCGCAGTGAGTGCTTGGATACCTGCTTTCCTGACTCCTCGCCGTCATCTGATGGACCCGCCAAGGCTTCTTCTGTAGAGGTTGGTGCCTGGAGTGTGAAGACTGGCAATGGTGGCTTAGAGACGCGCTTAAAGACGCGATCCAATGAACCAAGCCAAGTATCTCTGAAGGATGCTCGAGTTCTCCAAGGAATGTTTATGATAGCTTGGATCGTGAGCTTTCTAAGGTCAGGTAGAGTCGCGGCGCTATCAAGCAGACTTTGGAAGAACATCTCTGCTGCTTCCATCTCCCATTTGCGAAGCTGAATCAATTCAATGCTTCGGAGCGTCGATGGCCAGACTGGGACTTGATCAGGCAACAGAAGCTTCTCATACTGAGGCTCAGAGTCTCGATAAGTGGCATGAAGATTGAAATAAGTGAGATTCATGTGAAGAACCTCTAAATTCGGACATGCTTCACCGAGGATGGGCAGAAATCCGAGGTTCAGGGATTGATTGTGGTTGAGTGTGAGGCTGCGAAGGCATCGGCCATGAGTAACCAGAAATTCGGCAAAATCCTCGGCGACCACCTCCCAGCAGTTGATCAACTCTAAATCCTCGAGCTTGGTGGGCAACAGTGGTAACAGTATCGCGTTAACCAGTGTCGATGACTCGAAGATCAGATGCTTCACCTGAGGAAGTGCTTTGATAGCGTTGGCAAGCGCAGCCTCGTGCTTCGGATCTTCTTCGTCCTTCTTGAGTCCTGGGACTTGATAGTTGACGAAGGCAATCTTTGTAAGAAATTGAAAATATGGCTTCAAATGTTCTGCCGCAAGCGTCTCGATCGGAAATTTCTTTCCCGCCAGTCTCGAGGACCACCGCCAGCTCTTCAAATAGCATACGCTGCCCTTTTCACCTTGTACGGCATTAGCAGCAGTATCGAAATACTCCAGTGCCTTAAAGATCCGGTCAGAGTAATTCCACTTGATGGTAGAGTCTAAGTCTCGGTAAGGAGACATATCCAGCTGGTGATAGAACTCTAGGCTCTTCAGCTGAGGTAGATTCTTGATGAGGTCGAATAGATCGAGATGACCGCTGCCAGGCAGAGAATACGCAACCACTTGTCCAACGTCGATCTGCAATGACTTGATCTTCTTTCTGTAGTCGTATATATGAGTGGAAGGGTCCTCCTGCAGCAGATACATCAATCCATGCGCCTGTCCCATAGGAACAAGTGGCGGGGACTTGTATAAGACTTCAGCAACTGCTTCGCCAAAGGAACGACACAATGGGGCGATCTTGACAAGCCACTGCAGACTTGGCTGCGGTTGAAATGTGTGCTCATCGTAAAGAGGATATGCAGCATATTGGAATATGCGAACGAACACATGGTACGGCAGATTTTGCCACTCTGGCACGACTCCAGATCCCTTTAGAAACTCGATCGTACTGCTTGTCGCTGGCTTTGGGGAGGATGGCTTCGATTGTCGAGCAGTTCGAATCCGCTTTGGTGTTGAAGTGCGATCGGTATACTCGGAGTAGGATGTACGGTTCCGTTTGTGCTTGCGGGGTGCAGGAGTTCTTCGGGCTTGAGAGGCTCTTGTGTTTCGTGGGCGAGGCGTAACAGGAGATTCATCGTGATCGGAGGCTACAGCATCGAAGTATGCTTCAAGTTCACTGTCGGAAGAGCCCTCGGCGTAGGAGATAGCAGCTTTTGCTCGTGTGGCTCGAGGAGGGGTTCGTAACCGGCGGGAGCGACTCGTGTTGGCCATCGTGAGAGGGTGTCTGCAGATCTTTGCTTTGCGCAATTACACCAGATCAGGAGTCAATCCAGCAACCCCAAGGGAAGAATGCAGCAACCCGAGACGGTGATCGTGTGGTTGTCGTGAGTGTTTGCACGGTGTCTGCAGGAGGTATTTCAATGAAGTCATGAACGGCCATATGGCATCGGTTTTTCGGCGCTAGTGCGACTCATTCCAGGCATCGACGGGGCTAACCGCATACGAATATGGCAGAGAATAATAATATATTGATCAAGGTCGTTGAAGATACAGATTGTCGTTGTATGGTTTCGGAGTCAGAGTGGACAGAAGGCTACAATTTTCACAAAGTTCACAGCCCTACCTATGACCTGCAGTTCCAAGGGCCTAAGATGCGGCCGCTGGCGTCTGAAGCCACAGTTCATGAGAAAGCACTACTGAGTACGGTCTGGTCTAACGCCATATGGAATAGTGGCGAAATGCCTGTAATGGTGTGGCTCCTAAGCGCGCTCCAGTAGGAAAACAATCATCAAATAATAATACTCTCCAACAAGACAGACTGATAATGGCTGCGCATCCTTGATCGCTCCCTCACGACCACCCACGACGACGTGTTTGCAGTGGAGGCGCTTTGGAGCGTGGTATCTATCTGAATTCGAAATACACTCCTTTTGTCTCTGACCGGCTTTCTTTCATTTCACGACATCAGTCACGACTCAGATCGACTTCAGTGTTGGCTTCCAGACGCGTCGGGATCCCCTCCCCGCCTTTGAGATCGATCCTCACCACTTTGGTCCCCCCCGCTGCTGCATACCTCTTCAACGTTACGGCTGTTATTGTCTCTGCTTGCCATTGTCGTCCTCTTTATTTGCACTCTTTGACTTTCACTCAAATCGCTTCTTTGCCTATGGGCTCTTTCGGTCTAAGCCAGGCTAGGTTAGCCTAAGCAATGCGAAATGTCAAGCGTTACGAGTAAAGGTGAAGGAGAAGCGGCGCTATCAGTATATTCACTCCTTTACATCCCCAGCCGTAGAAAACCTTTTCTTCGAAGGAATGTTCGCAAAACCCTACAACATCTAACAATGGGCGCCAAACTTTCGGCGATGACCTCCTCACGGGGCACAAAGCCTCGAGATGATCCAATGGATGTCGACGATGAAGAAGACGAGGAGCCTCGACCCCCCAAACGAAGAAGAATCCACCCCCCCGAATCCAGAGATGTCAGCGCTGCAGCTACGGACGATGCTGGGCCCTCACGCCAACCTCTCAGTCAGGTGATGAGCAATCAACGATCTCGTCCCTCAAAGCCCGAATTGGTCCAGCCATACGATTTCTACGGCAAGGCGAAGGCTCCCAGTCTGACATCCTCTCTGTTGAAGACTCCTACTACGGCGACGGCAACCAACATTGAAGCCAACGCCGAAACCAACAACTTTCGAATCGACGATATCACTCCTGCCACACTTGCCGACTTCAAAGAGGCCTTACGCGTAGACGTGAACGAAATCATCCCATCTGACGAAGGAATCGATGATGAACCGTTCAACTTCACCAGCAACTTCGACATGCGATGCACAGTCCGCGTTGCGATCTTCTACCGTCAACATGATGACATCCAAGAAGGCAACACTAAACCTGTCGAAATCAGTAGAAAAGACACTGAATGCACGCTGCGTGTCACTATTGCTAGGAACGGAAAGGTGTCCAGGGACCTGGTCGACTTAGAACCATTCTACTTCTTGCCATCTAGTTTCAAGGTTCGACGAAGAAAACCCAGGCAGCCAAACGGGCAGTGGGGTGGGTATGAGTATTATCGCGGGTTCGCCGACAGGTATCTGTTGAGCATCAGCATACACCCCGTTTCCAGCGAAGAAGACTGGCCTACTCTAAACCTTTCAGCTGGGGCAAGCGAATACAAAATGGACGAATTCTGTCTGCATACCAAAATCAACCTATTTTGTCACCCTGAACGGCAACGCAAGGCTCCTCTTCAACTGGAGCATATAGAAATTATCGGGGCGAAAATTGCATTGTCGTACGCATTAAGTTTTCAGGTCCGATGGGCTACGCCAAACGTCCTGACCAATGCCGTCTTGCCGACAATCAAGTCCGATGAAACCCCTAGAGCGAAAGTACCATTAGCTCCCACTCCAGCTCCTGCGCAGGATGAGCCAGCTAGCCCGTCTCCCCGCAAAGAAGATGAGACGACGATCGAGGAAAGTACAGCAAGCAACCGAGCTAAGAGGCATCGAAACAGCGTCGAGACGTATAACCTAAAGACCTTGAGTACTCTTGCTCAAGGCAAATCTCCGAGGAAGTCGAAACCTAAAGAGTCAAGATCTGAGCCAGAGCCAGATGCAGGCTTAACGGTGACCTATTGTTTCGGAAAAGCTGAGGCTGCAGATACAGGCATCAAACAACAAACTACGGTTCCAGGCTTGGCCTGTCCATTCTGTGAAACCCCCAATAGTATGGTTGAAGAGCTTCGGTTGCACCTTCACGCTGATCATGGCGCTTTCAAGTTCTCTCTGCGACGAAATTCTCCACGGGTCCAGTTCTTTGTCGAGTTGGCCAGGTCTCGATCTGGTCCCATGCTTGACACCGACCGTGCCAAGATATACCAACTTGGAAAACCTAGGACTCTCTTCGACCTTGACAAATACTTGCTAGGAGACGATCTGTGGACCAAGACTCGCTTAGGACCACAACATGGCCACTGGCCCGATCACTTGTTGGAACGAGCCAACGAGCCATCTATGTCATCCTCTCCCCACGGGTCTCGTTACAGCTCTCCCAATACCTCAAACGGGACCGACGATGCAATGGATTTCGAGACGTATGAAGCAAAGCCACCAGTCCGCCGTCGAAAAGTCGTCCTCGTCCCAGAGACAGAGTTGCCGTTGTACGATCCAGTCACTAAACGCATCCTCAGGGTCGGTGAAGAAATTCCTGGAAGTGATGACGAGAAAGAAGAAGAATGGTTGCACCAGAAGCAACGTCAGCTTGTTAACGACTTCGTGGACGTGAGTATGCTGGAAAAAGAGTACATTAATGTGTGGAATCCTTTCATCAATGAGGAGCACCTCACGAGCCATGCATATATGTCTGACTCCATCCTACGCTTCGTCGAGTTAAAGAAGAATTGGTTTGCGGAAAACAAGAACATGAAGGTTGAATTCCTGAGGCATATGGAGATTTTCATCACGATGGGGTCCGCTGACCAGGAATGCCTTCACAAGTGCATTAATATCCTCCGGAAAGCAGAGCAGGACAAAGCACGACGAGATCAGCAGGAGGATACCATCATGAAGGATGTCGAGGTTGAGAAGCCTGTCTCCAAATCACGCGGCTTGCTCACGTGTATTTGCGGCACCAGTACGCAACCTCCGAATCAAGTTATCTGCACGGGTGATGTAAGTTTGCAGAGTCCCCTTCCGAACCAGCACTAATGCGACAACAGAAATGCCCAGCTCGGTTCTTCTGCCGTCAATGCGCGCTCTCTTCGGGACGGCCCATTAAGGACAAGCTGAAGAAATGGCAGTGCGATGAATGCTTTTCTGGTTGATGCGCATATCGGACGGGCATTAGCATGGAGTTGGAGGATGGATTGTGTTAGCATTGAACATATAATCTTGTACTGTGCAAAAGGGCGGAGAGAGATGATTTTTTTTTTTTACAGCGGCATCTGGCGGATTTTCAAGTTTCTATCATGGTCATGGGCGACGGGCGTACCTGCGAGGATACACCTGATGCTGATCAAGTACATAGGGCGGGGAAATCTTGAGGGATCGGAGAGCAGATGTTTCGTGGCAGGGGAGATAGTCCACTCAAGGAAGATATGCGATGATGTCTTGATGCTATGTGCTTTCAAATTTTCAAGAAGGTAGGTCATTTTCTGTTCGTCTGATACTAACGATCCATGTCACGCAATATCGGTTCTCCACCGCTGCAAGTTCCCGGCTGGGACCCGCGAAGGTTTGTTACCGAAAGTCTGCTCAAGGAGAGCAGCTGCGCCACATCTCTGTTGCGAAAGCTTTTTACCAGCAAGACTTCTCTCCTCCTCTCCTCTCCTCTCCCTCACCCCCACGATCTCTCACCGAACGCAAGACATCCAACATCCAACATCCAACATCCACCATCCACCATCCACCATCCCCCACCACTGCACAGCCTCTTCCGCCAACAAACGCAGCGCCACGCGAATCTGATATCACGTGCGCTCGCTCATCCGAAGATCTGATTCGACGCCTTACGACCGCTGCGCCTCTTTCAGCCTCGTAAAACTTGGCTTTGTTCTTCAGATTCCCGTAGACTGGGACGCCGGGCCTTTCTTTGGCATCGGATGAAATGGGCGGTGATTGTGCGAGGGCGAGCAAACGCGCATCATGATGTGAAAATCGGGGAATGGGTCTATGATTGTGAATTGAATTATATTATATTATCATTATTTTATTGTATTTTATTGTATTTTTTTTTCTCTACTTCCGGATTTATTTATTCACGGCGGAGGGAAGGCTGCCGGAGTTTATCTGCTGGGGGCCGCTGGGCAGCGTCTCTAGTGGTGGCTGGGCTGGGCGCTGGGATTACTTGGCTTGCGAAATGTGCATCCATGACTTACGACCTGACCCTTATCCAGATCGACAACCTCATACTACACATCCCCAGACCTACCCCGACATTCATCATCACCGCGCGACATCACGACGACTCGCACCCTCGACTTCTTCTTCTTCTCTTCGCACACACAATCAAGATCGCCATTGATGCGGAGGAGGCATTTGGCAATTGGGTTGTCGGCGCGGTTGTTTATGCGGTCGCGCTTCCGTTCGGGTGGGGAGAGTGAATCCATTGCGACAATGGTTACCGGCCCTTGACTTGGAGACAATAGCTACCGACAACCACAATACCAGCAGCTGCACCGTCCGAGCCCGCGACCAGACCAGACAAGATCGAGTGGATTGCGATTCGGATCTCCTCTCTCTTAGATGTACGAGCTGCCTTTTCTTCCCTTCCATTTTCCATTTCCCCAAGAAATCCTCAAGCAAATTCCGCGGCCAAGATGAGCAAGCTCTTGAAGTCCATTTGGGCGAGCGAGAGACCGTGGCTAACGCCAGAGGCTAATCAGAGACAGATCACAGAGAGCATGGCCAAGCAAGCCGATTCTGGCTCTGCTGTGGCCGTCAAAGGCTTGGAGGCCGCTGACAAGCAGATTGCTATGCTGAAGGATCGTCTGCTGCCATATGTACGTTTCTCCCCTCACCTCTCTTTGTTGCATAGCTCACAAAGTCTCAGGATCCGCATATCGTCACGGTCCCCACAATCTACCCCTACTCGGGCGGTTACGACTACGAGAACAAAGGCACGCCCTTCGAAGAGTATGAAGTGAAGCAGCTTCAATATGTCACTCTGGTCGGGGAGACTGATCGCGGAACAGCGAAGCCATGGCCGGCTGCTGAGTGGGTGGATACGATCGAAGCTCGCTCTCCGGCCAGTATGGCTGCGCGCAGTAATACGACGACGCCGAATGCTGCTGCGAATGCGGTTAAGGAGTCCAAGATCCCGAAGACGAAGATCTCGATTGCCGATTACAAGAATATGAAGAAGACGGGGGTGAAGTCTTCTCCTAATCCTACGGGTGCTGGCAAGCCGGCGCATTCCAGGAATATCAGTGCTGTGTCTGGTGGTGAGCCTTTGAGTTGGGACAACTCTTTCGAGGGAGTTGCGGATGTGAGGCAGAATGGTCTAGCAACTTCTTCTAGTGCTGAAAAGGGAGCTGTGAAGCCAGTTGAGAAGTAAGTTCTCTCCTACTTTGGAGAATACAAGTTACTAATACATCATTTCTAGATCTGCAGTGCACGCGTCCGGCATATCGAATGCAAAGGCGCATCCACCCGCGAGCACAAACGGACATAACCATATTTCAGATCACGCACGCTCCAAAGAATTTACCTCCCATCCACCAACCTCTCGACCTCCTCCAGAACATATCAAGCATGGCTTGCCTCCTCGACCTCCTTCCCCACCCCGCAGTACCCCCACATACAACCTTCCCGATTCGAAGCAGCAGAAGCGACCCCTGGAGTCAGCTGATACATCACAACCAGAGAAGAGATCGAAGATTGAACATTCAAGAACACCTTCCAACTCACAGAATAATCATTCGAGAACTCCGTCCGGCTCTCAAAATCATCTTCCACGAAAACCGAATACTCCTTTAGATTCAAAACCGTCACCCCTCAAGTCACAAACACAGGTCCATTCATCACCTCACGCGAAGAAGACCCCCGTGACCAAGCCTGCCTCCAAAGATACCCCAAAGCACTCCGAGAAGCCATTGGACCTTCCTCCCATCTTATCGCCCCTACCTGCCGATCTTGGTAGTAGTCCAGCTTCAGGATTCGCCACTAAGAAGACTGAAGGCAAGAAGTCTGCTCAAGGCACACCTTCAAAGCATGGTCTTGGATCAGATACGATTGTCGTCAGAAGGGCTCCTTCTCCTCTCAAAGAGATACCTCAACCCTCACGGGCAGCCTCTGAAACTTTCGAACTTCCACCACTCCTCTCACCTACTCTCCCCGATGTCGTCGAACAAGAGCTTCTTCGACTACAACAAAAGTCCGCTGCTCTGAACAATGAAGCTCGCCTCAGCAGCGTTGAAGCTCGTCATGAGAAGGCTCGTCGTCCTGATACGCCTGGTGTTGCTCGAAAGACGACGGTGCCGAAGGTTGGTCATCCGCCGAAGAAGTCGCATGCAGAGTCAAGCAAGGGACCTGCAGAGAAGAGCAGTCTGATTGTTAAGCTCAAGTACAAGAAGCGGAGAGCAGAAGGCATTCGGCGCATTCTTGGTATTCGCGCCAAGCCAAGTCAGGATTTCGTCCGGCTTGAGAAGCAACGCATTGCTGGTCAGCAGAAAGAGTCGAGACCACTACAAGATGAAGACTCTGATGATGCTGATGAGCCGATGGCCAAGACTGCTGCCAAAGCTCCTGCTTCTGCTTCGAAGAAACGCCCGGAACCTGTTGAGCCTCGATCTGAGCCTCCCGCAAAGCGTCTCAAAGGTCCAGAAAGCATCGATGTCGCCAAGTCAAAGACGGCTCTTGAACCTGCTTTCAAGTCTCCTGCCTTGTCTCAACCAAACCAGAAGGGTCTACTATCTACGCCGAAGAAGGGAGATGCAATGAAGAGTGCTACGATGCGGAAAGTCAATTCTAGCGACGGCCATGCTCATACTCCTCAAACGAGCACAAGCACTCCCACATCTGCCGAGAAACCTCGCGTCAACGGTGCCAGCCACCTCGACTCGAGGGATCTGTGCATTTATCTCAAACGCAAGATGGACTCGATTCTTCATCTGAAGGACGGCAAACGAGATACCGTCGATGAAGCCGCCAAGAAGCTAGGTCTGTCCGTCGCCCTAGAATGCGTCGCCGTGTACATGGTCACCTTCGCCGTTTCCGACCGCGGCAACAAGCGCCGCTCATCCAAGGACTGGGAAAGCGTCATCCAACTCTGGGAATTCATCAACGGCCTCGCCAAGAACACCGTCCTCCAACGCCTCAGTTTCGAGCTCGGCGCCCTCTGCAGAGAAGAATTAGGACGCGCATACAACGAACGACTAACCGAGAAATTCGACCCGGAAATCGCTAAAGTCCTCCTGGCAAACTCAACCAAGAAAGACAGGAATTGGTACCTGGCCCATCATCCACCTGCCGCCGCATCAGGAATCCCTGATCCGGGTCCGGCGCTGAAGTTGGACGCCCCGCTGGGTCCGTGGACGAGCATGTATGAGGCGAGGGACTATGTGTTTGAGATCTTGGAGCAGTTTGCGCGGAAGGAGAGGACGGGGTGGAAGCCTACGGAGGCGATTCCGGGTCCGGCGGGGCAAGCACAGGGACCGAGTCCGGAACAGGTGGAGATGATGGGGAAGGCGAGGGCGTTGTTTACTGCGTAGGGAAAGGAGGGGGAGGGGACTTTGTATGATTTGTGGATGTGCATGGCGTTGATTTGGCTGGGGTTGAACTGGGATGGTAGCTTGGTAGGTAGGTTATGATTGATGCGTGCACGATACCCATATGATATGCTCTCTTTGAGCTACGAATGAAGGAGAGAAAGAAAGAAGAAATAAAGGGGATGGAGAGTTGGGGGAGAATGGATGGATGGATGGATGTATATTAGAGGTGCGCTTTTTTCAAGGGTTGATAGGGAGGGATAGAGAGGAATTTAAATGTGCTTGCTTGCTATGTTCTGTTTCTGCTTCTCTCTTTTTGAGTGAGTGAGTGAGTGTCGGACGTCAAGCGTTGATTTTTGTTATTTAATGTGGAGAGGAGAGGGCGAGAGAGGTACTTGCTTTGGTGTAAGACATGGTGAGTGCCAGGATCGCGGTGGACTTCTGTTTCTCACTGATCCGAGTAGTTTGTCAGCTTCGACTGAACTGCCCCACATGTTCAGTAAAGTTCAGTATAGTTCAGTTTTCAGGGAGAGTAGCGAGTTTCTTTAAGACTTAAACTCACTGCAATGAGTTTAGCCCTTAGATTGAATGCACTAGCAGTGCACTGATGAACTGGCACGTGATAAAAGTATGCTTCAAACAGCACATGACCAGCCAAGGGTGACGGCAAAGTACGAGGAAATTCGGCCGTATATTGCTGCTGTATCCTATTGCTCACATGCCTATTGCATACGAAAGAACCCATTCTGTTAAACCCTAGGTCCTAGCCAAACACCACCAAAAACCCCTTCAATGAGGAACGCACTTTGCTTTGCATATCGAATATATCACTCGTAGTCCTTCTTTGCTAACTGTAAAGAAATGAAGTTCACGGCCTTGATTAGCGAAACGTAACTTCTTAGGCTGGAAGTGGGAAATGTGGTACGTGGGTCTGCGAACTTGATGATTCGGCACATTCCAGATGCCTCTCAGCGTGGATGACAATCCACCACACGCTCGACTCGCAACTTTTAGTAGAGTAGCTAGATCGAGGGCCATGCGAAGCAAGGTAACAGCCGTCACATCGCTTCAAAAACGTAGTCGCTCGCCTTGCAAGTCCAGATAGAAGAATCGAAGTTTCCAAACAACAGTGCTACCAGCAACTTCTATGGCGTGGCCGTGTGGGCGGAGAGGGTCAGTGCTAGAGTATAGGCCCTGCCGAGGTCCCAACTTTCTGATTTGTGGGCGACCTTTGGGTTGTAAAGGCTAAGTTCTGCAGAAAAATAGTTCTGTATTGCCGATTTAGCGAGCTCCATGGACCTAAGGTGACCAGATGACTGCAAAGGCCATTCGAGTGATGGATGAGTGGGCGTGATAATGATGCCGGTAAGAGAGTTGTGCCCCAATGGGCTTTCGCTGTCTAGTATATTGCTGCCGCTTGAGATGTCATTCGCCTGCTATTTATGAACAGAGATCTCCCGTGTCGATAGATTCAGGCACTCACTAGCTTTGATTTCTCCATATTCCATTTTTGATACCTTTTTTGTATTGTCGTTCCCTGCATAGCTCAGGTTAAGACCTCGGGACTTTCTTCACTTGGAGAAAGTCTTACTTCGCGGTGAAACTGTAATCCCTGTCAAGGATACCTCGAACCTCCGGGAGTGTCTTTTCTTCTATCCACCATAGCTTTTTGAAGACGGGCCTCATGAGTGCCCATTCCTCCTCAGAATGAAAATAAATTCTACTCATAGCGACTTCCCAACCAGACGCTCTCAAATGACCGAGATGTATAGACAGTGATACCACGTCTTGATCAGAGACAGCAAGCTGATTAGCGAGGGGAGCAATGGACCGAGAAAACAGAAACAAAGCACTCAACACCACCGGCAGTCTCTAGGTGCCAGAATAACGATTACCGAGCCTCTCCTCTCTCTATGTTCTGTGTGTGGTGGATGATAACAAGTTTTCCTGGCAGGCGGCAAATGCCTTGGAGCTGCTTGTGGTTTGATGAGATGATTAGATACCCAACATTTTGACGGATTGGAACATAATTCTGCCTCGTGGTGCAGTTTCGGCTAACACGTGGTCACGGTGTTGCACAATGCACGATGTGCTGTTCTCGCAGCTGAAAGGCTTCATTTCCTATAGGGTCTTATTGGCAGTACTCGCAGCCTGGTGACCTTAAATTATATTAATCATACAATCACGTGCACTAATCACGTGGCGTGCCACGCGACCCACATAGTATATATAAACAATCGGCATTTCGAATTCTTTCGAAATGCGTACAATATAAGAGGCATTCAGAACTATTTATTTGCGTACCACATTCGGACCTGTACTACATTCGGACCTGTACCATATTCGGACCTGTACCACAGCGGTCTCTCTAGCAGTGAATGTGGCAGGGAGGTTCGAACCTTCACAAAAAATTGTTTTTTTGCAACTCCCCTGTACTACATTCGGACTTGTACCACATTCGGACCTGTACTACATTCGGACCTGTACCATATTCGGACTTGTAAACCGACATTGATTAATGCTACTTTAGGTTCTTTAGAAGAGATATCGTACGGAGCGCCCAAGGGTATGTTGTCGTCGTTGTCCTCCCTACGATACCATTGTTCGTCCAAGAACGATCATCCAGTACTGCCGAATCTTCGACTCCTGCGCCTGCAAATATGGTAAAAATTGACACCATCAGGGCGAGCAACGCACCCTTCGCCAATCAGCATCATGAAGGGCTCGTGTGCGTCTTTGCTGGCGCAACGAGTGGTATCGGCCTTGCGACCTGCCAGAAAATGACAACAATGTTGCAGTCTTCAACATTTTACATTCTAGGCAGATCGCCTGAGCGGTATACGGACCTGCTCGATCAAATGAGAGAGCTTGCTCCTAGCAACAAAATCGTCTATGTTGAGACCCAAGTCTCTCTGATCGCCAGCATCGATGCTGCTTGTGCTCAGATCAGTTCGGCGGAGCAGAAGGTGGATTACTTGTGCATGAGCCCGGGCGGCATGCCTTTTCAGGGTGCTGTATGTACGTATATGATCTCTGCTCTTCAACACGAATGAATGTGCGACGTTAACATGGTATATAGACACAGATGAGGGTCTCGAAACATGATTCGCCCTTTCCTACTACTCGAGGCTGCGACTTTTATCCAATCTTTTGCCCCTCCTCAATCGAGCATCACAACCCCGCGTTCTTTCCATTCTCAACGGCACCAGAGAGAAGAAGATCAACGAAGATGATATAGGTCTCGAGAAGGCTTGGGGTATCACGGCGGTCGTAGGCCACAGTACTCTCTTAACAAGCCTGGCCTTCGACCACTTGGCCGCGCATGATAGCCAGAAGCACATCGTCTTTATACATAGTACGCCAGGGTTTGTGAGTTCTGAAGTAGGCCGCACCACGTATCCTTCCAAAAAGGATGGGTACTTTTGGTGGGCATTCATATCTGTGATGCAGATAGTATCAGGGTGGATGATACGTGAGTCCCAGCTTCCCGAAGAACGACTTCTGATCCCTTGCTGTCGATGGAGTTGCATTTCAGACTTGGGCGTACTGTAGACTCCTGAACTATAGAGAAGGGACATACTAACAGAATCCAACCACTAGGCAATTTTGGCATGGCAGCGAAAGAGTCTGGCGAGAGATTTGCCTTCCTTCTCATAAGCGACACTCTCAGTCCTGGATCCTGGCGCACTACCAGACTCAGCGACACCGTTCCCGAGAACAACATTCTCAAGGAATATCACGAACGCGGCTGGGGAGAAAAGATCTGGGATTTTACCATCGGTGTTTGGGAGGAGGCTCTAATAAAGGGCACTGCATGACTTGTACGGTCAGTGTGGGATCAAAAGGGCGAGAGAGGCTGCCTATTCATCTGCGGTCTTCATCTTCGAATTGTTTATCAGAACACGACTTGTACGACTTTCGAAAAACCTGTTCGATCTTCCTGTCTCCACTCAAACATGGTGAGGCTGGACGATGTTGGTGTCGGGAACGGCTAGCGCGACAAGATTGGTCAGGACGCATGCAATGCATGGTCCTCGCAGGAGATGTGTAATGCTCGGTTCTGTTCCGATTTACTCGTAAAATAATTTATTCGCGAACACATCGCTTTATTGGTGAATTATTGATCTTTGGTGAATGCGACAGTAGTTTCATGAAGTCATATCGAGTGGTCAAAATGCCCAAAATTTGAGGATATATTATATGCTGTGAGATTAAATCCTATGGTTTTTTTTGGTGTTTTAGTGAGCGCCAGCGCATTATTTAATGAATGAAAAGAACCCCAATAACCAAGACACAGATCAGTCTACTTCGTTCTCACAGGAGGTCTTCCAGATGTTGCGCAAAGTTTTTTTTAACGTATTTAACGTATTTGATTTTTATCGTATATATATTAAAAAAGCTTTTTAATATTTAAACTTCGGTAATTATTATACTGAATATATTATACTGACTGCATTATATTGTATTCACTGACTGCACTACATTGTATTCACTGACTGCACTACACTGTACTCATTGACTGCTGTACTGTACTCACTGACTGCTGTACTGTACTGGCTGATTGCTGTGTTGGACTGATTGCACTACACTGACTGTACTACACTGTACTCACTGACTGCTGTACTTTGCTGACTGCACTGTACTGCACTGCATGGAACTTATGAGTTTCAGGCACTCCCTCAGACACAATTTCTCTCAGCACTTGAGTGACTCTGGTACTTCTGCCAAGCCTTGAGCTGACTATTCTGTCTGTCAAGACGCAGCAACAAGAAGCCCGACCCAAGGTAAACATGGATGGCGGCAGGCATGCCATACATACTGGGTTTGTCGCCCCTGTTCGGCAAAAACGGCGGCTAGCTCTCTCTTGTGATCAATGCCGCCGCAGAAAGATCAAGTACGTATTTTGCATACAGATGAACTCGTCAGTGGACTTATCCTAACACATGAAAAGGTGTGATCGTAATGTTCCGTGTCGACAGTGCACCAAAGCCAACCTCAAGGCTTGTTTGTATGTTAGAGAAACCAGAGCCGCCTTGACCATGGCACCGTTTGATGGAGAAGAGACCCAATTTCTCGTTTTCGATCAATCGCTGGACCAACAGCTCAACAGGACGCCGGGTTCCATGGCCACGACTACCAGCATGGTCTTTGAGTCCCCTCCCAGTTCCAGGGCCTCTGATTGTCAGACTGGCAGCCACGAGAGTTTTTACGAACAAGATCTATCACATCACATGGACTTGGGACTCTCAGATTGTTCAACTGGGTATCTCACAGACCCAAAGACTCCTCCGAGCTCAGTTATAGATCTATACCCAACCACAACTTCCTCCATACAAGGTGCCTTCTTTAAGACGAGATTCTATGGTCGAAGCCATTACATGAATTATGTACCTCAGGTAGGAAAAATATCCGTTTTATGTCACCTCGCAAGCCTTGCTAATTCAACCCAGTCCTCTGAGGTCTTAGCCGTCATTCAGGCCCATGAGGCCAATGCAATGAAGCATGGTTGCGCGACCCTTGCGCGTTGCAAAGAGATAGGCAATACAATGAAGGCCCAAGATTTAGCAGCCGCTCAAGCCTTGAGGTCTCTCACAGATATCATGCCAGCACGCGAGGTATTTGATAAGCTCGTCCAAGCATACCTTCGCACATTCCGAACCGTTCTAGGAATATTGCACGTTCCCTCATTTTGCCAAGAATATAATACATTCTGGTGCGATCCTGAATCCGCGAGTAAAGAGTTTGTCAATACTCTACTCTTAGTTATGTGCATTGGCTCGACTTTCAGCTCGAAAGAAAGTGGGGTCTCAAGAGAGCTGATTCTTCAATGCATGCATATCGTCTCGACATGGCTAAGCTCTCCAGGATCAAGGCTAGTGGGAAGTCTAGATCGTCTCCGCATACAATGCTTATTCTTCCTAGCCTGTCAGGCGAGGTCTGTTAAGTTCAACATCTTAGAGGGTAATCTTCTCAAGACAGCCATGCAGTTAGGCCTCCATATCGATGCCGAGAAACATTCTTTCCGCCCTATGTCTGCTTCCGATGTGGAATCTAGACGCAGATTGTGGGCCACGGTCTTGGAGTTGGAACTTCAATCCAGCATGGACTGCGGCACTCTGCTTTCTATTGATGGTGATGATTATGACTGCGCTTCCTCGTTAAACATCGACGATGCAAGTCTGCAGACAAAGCATTCAGTTTCCCCAAAACCCATGGACCAGCTGACGCAATCATCGATCCAGATTCTGCTAATGAGGACGATGCCTACACGTTTGAGGATAGCCCGCTTTATCAATAGCTTTCGATCTGGAGACTCTTTTGAACAGGCCCTGTCTTTAAGCGCTAATCTTTTGGCCGAGCTCAAAACTTGCACCTCTCTGATCGAGGCATACCGTATGAGCAGTAGCCCACCTACGACTTTCCAAACAAAGCTCTTCGACCTTCTCGTCTATCGACTCCTTCTCGGACTTCACCACCCTTTCGCAGTCAAGGCCATGTCCAACCCTATGTATTATTACTCACGCAAGCTATGCCGTGAGACGGCTATGTCTCTCCTTTCGCCGTCACTACATTCCGGTGACGACGACTTCCACCAACTTCGCCTCCAGAGGGCAGGCCCTTTCCGTAACGTGTACAGGCAGTGTGCCCTCTACATGTGTCGTGAGCTAATGAATCCCATGGAAGTTGACACTCCATTTTCCGCCGATCCAGGAGGTAGATTCATCCAAGAAGAGGCGCGCAAGGCGGCATGCAAGTACATAGAGCTAGCGAGGCTCCGCATAGAAGCTGGTGACAAAAGTATCAAATGTTACGTACTAGTCTCTGGTTTACTAGCGTGGGCAGACGCAACACAAGCCGGGCAACCGGTCGAGCCAGAGATCTCAGCGGCGCTGAAAAGGAGCTTGGAAACGTGTCGTACGCTTCTCAGCTCGCATATACGGACTGTGTCGGAGCTGCATGACATGCAACTCACGTTGACTACTTCTATTGATGAGCAGTTCGACTGGTCGCAATGGGACAGCTCGGTAGGTCAGAATGCGACGGACTTGAGTCCACAATCATGGATAAATTTCTCGGAGCTGGGTTTATAGGGAAAGTAGGTTTCGCGGAACAATGATTGAAGTAACATCAAACTGGCGGAATAAAGCAATATACTGTATTAAGACCTCTATCACACAGTCTCTCAGATGCAGGCTTCGGCTCCGATATTTCCGATATAATATCGTTGAATATGAATAATATATCGGGCGAAAAAATATCGACTCGAATATTATTCAAGTGATTTTGCATCATTCGAATGATTATTCGATATATCGTACACGTGACCGTTAAATAGTTGTTCCAGCGCCGTAGCCAATAGAACCCTTGCTATGGATAGTCGGATTCAATCGGGCAAATGGTCGGATCTGGCCGGCTGACATGCTAGCCTCAGGCTTTAAGAGTTGAGCCGCACTAGCCTCAGGCTTTAAGACTTGAGCCGCAATGTGGCTCATATTACTTGAGCTGAATGGAACGCCACTTATTTGACCGAGTAATGCCTTAAAATTTAGGAATCTAAGAAATATATCCTCAAAAACAAGGCTTTTAGTACTAATTTTAATATATCGAGCTTTTAATTTCCCATTCCCGATATATGCGATATATTCGATTATTCATTCAACATCGTACTTCCTAATTTGGACGATACGATATTTTTTATTCATTCAACGGATTCGATATCGGCACGATATTATCGAATAATTTAATATCGGCGCCGAAGCCTGCTCAGATGTGCCTGAATACCAAGACTCAAATGACAAAGATATTGAGGCGAATACACTAAAAAATAAATAATTTAAAATGGAACAAGAGACAGACTGCAGCGAGGAAATGAAATATATATAACAGCCTCATAATGATTCTCCCATATAAGGAAATACCAGCTTCCCTCCACCCGCAATGTTAGCCTCCAGATACCTCACAATCAAGTCCTCGATGCCGAGCTCAATCGCAGTTAGAATCCACTCCGCCATACTCACGAGTGCAAACTTCCCACCATATAGGTTCTCCATTCGCCGCGCAAGCTGGCTGAAGGGGACCTGAACTCCGCTGCTATGATGCTTGAACGAAATGCCTGCAGCAGGGACGGGACAGCGGACAATGTCAGCGGCGACGGTGGCCACGTCTTTGAAGTCAAAGAAACCTTCGATGTTGGGAAGATCGGGGACCGTTCGACTGAGAATCGAGTAGCGGATTACTGCATTCATGGCGTCGTCGTGCGGCGCTCTTGCGCCAATGACCGAACAGGGACGGTGGATGACAACGGGAAGACTTGTTTTGTTCGCCATTTTCTCTAAGAAGCACTCGCTGGCCCATTTAGAGGATGTGAAACCTTGGGAGCCATCTGTGGGTGGTGGGCAGGCAGCCATCGAGATGGATGGCGAGGTGTATGTGCCAGACTGGAGGATGACGCGCGGGGATGAGATGAAATGAATAGGTACTCGGTAGGGAAGCGCCATTGTCGTGAGGAATCTGGTAGAGAGATAATTTGCGTCTCTGAGTGAGGCGTAGTTGTTCAAACAGTGTCCTTGCGAGTCCGCATGGATGATTTGGTCGATATTGCCCTCTAAAATCGCCATCTCGCTTCTGGAGAGGCCCAAATTGGGACTTGAGAGACTTCCAGTGTGAACGACGACCTTGGGGTCCACCGGTATTCTATGTCGTGCATCTGCAGGTACAGCAATACAGTATATAGTTGCAACTTCGTTATCATCCATCAAAACCGTGAGGATCTCTGAGCCTAAGAAGCCCGTCGCGCCTGTAAGCACAATTCTCCGCTGATTTCGAAGAGTCAGAACTGGGTTTGTAGATCCATTAGCTGCTAAAACATGCTCTGGGACAGGATCAATGGATGTCTCCAATTCCCAGTCGATTGTCTGTGTAACGAGCCGGCCTCGCTCCTCGTTTGTTACTGCTGCCATAGCTCTCAATGTGCTGCAGCGGTACAGCTCGTGAAGGGGTATGCCAATTCCCATTCTCTCTTTGAGAGCACTCTGTAAGCGCACAAGGAGTAACGAACTCCCTCCTATGACGAAGAAGTCTGTGTCGGCTCTGATATGAGCAGCACCTGCGGCGTCGCCAAGAATATCTTTCCAGATCAATCGCAACTCTCCTTCGGCTATTGTAAGATTGCTGTCATCACCATACTCCCTGTTTCGAGTCGGCAAGGCAAACTCGGACATAGCTCTTCTGTCTATCTTTCCGTTAATTGTAGTGGGTAAATGATCAATCGCTATAATCATCGCTGGGATCATATATTGGGGCAAGAGAAGACAAGCGCAAAGCCTGTCCAGCTCAGCCTGAGTTTGGTTCTTTCCTGATGCCAATACAATGTGAGCGACGAGAAACTCTGGCTGGCCACGAACTGTGACGATTGCATCGGATAGAACGCCTTTTGATGCTTGTAGAATGGCATTGGCAACTTCATTGAGCTCAATCCGAAAGCCACGGAGTTTGATGAGAGTGTCTCCCTCGATTCGGCCTGATAGGACAAGAGATCCATCCTCGAGTAAACACCCCCTGTCACCTGTCTTGTACATGAAGCCCCATCCCTGTGAGACGTCTTCTGGGGTGGCAAATGGATCAGGTAGAAATTTGGTGGACTTGAGCTCGATATCAAGGTAGCCTCTCGCAACGCCGCGGCCGCCAATATATATCTCTCCTGGAAATCCTATTGGTAATGCCTCACAGCTATCGCCGAGGATGTAGACCGATGTATTGGGAATGGCTTTACCAACCGAATAAGGCATGCTGGACTCGTCTTGAACAGGCAAGGAGCGTAGTGTTACGGCACAAGAAACTTCAGTCGGCCCATAACAGTTCGTCAAGGTGAGGCCAGGTATTTCCAATCGTTGAAAAGCAGAGACCAAGCCGTCTGCAACAGGCTCTCCACCGGAGCAGGCATACCGCCACGAACTGCATGCCCGAAGCAAGTCCGGAGCATAAGTAGCGAGCATGAGATACTCCGAAGGAGTACATATTGTGAAGTGGACAGAGTTCTCCATCATCAGGCGCGCAATCATCATTGGGTCTCCGCGGCACTCGGATGAAGCCACCACTAGGGTTCCTGCATTTGCAAAAGCGTTGAAAGCCTGAGCGATTGACATGTCAAATCCGATCGAACTCTGCTGCAGCACTGTCACTTGCCCAAGACCGAGAAATGCACTTTTCGATGCAGCATAATTCATCACGCCGCTCTGTGTGAGTCTAACTCCTTTTGGAGTACCTGTTGAGCCGCTAGTGAAGAGTAAAAAGGCATCCGAATGGTCCAATGCTACCGTGGCCGGAGTCTCGTCGACAGAAATTGGTAACTCGGACAAGTTCAGCCTTGGAACAAAGTCTCCCACATCGCACTGTGCTACGGCAATAGTGGTAGCACAGTGAAAAAGCAGCAGATCCGGCTTACACACTCTCATTATGGCTCGTTGTCGTGCGACTGGCAGAACAGGATCAAGAGGGACATAAATAGCTCCAACGTGCAAGATTCCGAGCATGGCCGCATATGTGTCTATGCTGGGCTCACAAATAACTGCGATATGGGCGCCGACATTGACTTTGGCACTTCTCAGCGCCGAGGCAATGGCACTCACTCGACGTGAAAGTTGGGCATATGTCATAACAAGCTGGTTGTGTTTGATGGCAAGGGATTCTGGGTAGTCGGTGCATACTTGTTGGAATCTTTCTGTCAGTGTCTCGGGCCACATGTGCTGGATTCTTGGACCTCGTCCCAGACTGGGTGCTCGCTCGAGCTGAAGCTTGCTGCATGTTGTGCAGCTCTGCAATGTTTGTAATGGATCAAGTGATAAGCTCTCAAGCAAGTTTACGTAGGTATTCATAATGAATTCGGTGGTAGAAGCGGAATATAGATAGGTGCTAGATGAAATCTCAATAAGATGGGCTCCAGGTGTTGTTTGTGTAATGTTGAACGTCAAGTCATAGGGCGTCTTCGCGTCCACGTACCGCACCAAATTTAGAGAGCAATTTCCCAGCTTTCGCTGTAACAAGTCGCCAATGCGATAATTGAAGGCGATTTGGAAAAGCGGTGTATGTGCTGAAGATCGTGGCATCCCAAGACGTTCGAGGATGACATCAATAGGAATTTGAGCATGATCAAGACTGCTTAGGACTTTCCGGGACGTATCCTGGACGAGGTCTTCGAACGGTCGCTCTTTGCTCATCCGAAAGCGCATAGGTAGAAGATTAGTGAAATGGCCGATAGTGCTTGAGAAGTTTCCGCCAGGACCACGACCAGCATCGGTAACGCCGATGCAGAGTTCTTCTATATCAAGGAGACGAGCAAAAAGAGCCTGCATAACGGCTAGATAGAATTGCATTGTCGTTGCCCGGCACATCTGGCTCCCATCTTTGATCTTAGACACGGCTTCTTCATTGATTTCCCTTCGGACAGTGTGATTGCGGTACACAGGCTGTGATTGTCGGCTTCTCCTCAGCGAAAATGGAAATAATGGCAGCACGCTTGGAATTGGGTCCAGCTCATGCATCCAGTATCCAATGGAGTCTTCCAGGGCTCCGCTCTTTAGAGCATCGATCTGCAGCCGAGAGAACTCTCGATACGAGTTCGGTACGGTTGCAAACGGAATCAGTTGATATCCACGCTCCAAATCTTGGAGAAAAATGTGCCAGCTCATACCATCCATGATAATATGATGGCAGCCAAAGATTATTGTGTGGAACTCCGTTGCATGCGTAAATAGTACAGCTTTGAATATTGGCCCTTTTGGCAAGTCCCACTCAGTATCAACTAGGGTCTGGAATTGCAGCTGGACGTCTTCAGAAGTTGCTGTGTCAACATGAACAAAGCGGTCTTTCAGATTCCCGCTTAGTGTAATGCCTTGATGGAGATCTGAGTTTCCAGGGTGGGTAAAGAAGCAAGTTTGATATGCCTCGTGGAAGGCTAAAGTCTTTTCTATCGCTCGTGAGAATCTGGCAACATTTAGTTGGCCCTTAATGCTATACTGTGCAGTAACATTGAACGCCGTACGGTCCTCCAAGAAATTTTGCAAGAAGTGAAGGCTCGCCTGTGGATATGACACGAACTCGGTGTGCGTATAATCTAGCTCCAAAGTAGAAGAGAGTCCTGAAGGTGCTATTCTCGGGCTCGACAATGAAGTAGAATCGGAGGTGTCATACTCTTGGGAACATCCTACTTGCGATTCTAGAATTTCAGAGCGCTCCGTAGCTGTGCTTGAGTCCCCTTCAGTGACATCGACTGTCGACTCAGAATTGGTTGATGTAGCCATCATCTCGGCGGATCTTGTTCGTTGCTCAATGTATCTACTCGCGGCTCGAGATGAAATTGACCATATTGACTCGCGGCCTAGAATTTCAAGCAGGGGCACATCAAGTCCCAAGTCCTTGAGCAACCATATCCGTATTTCGACTGCAAGGAGGGAGTCGAGGCCCAGGTCGGATAGCGGCGCTTTGATGCTAATCGAAGCGAGAGGAATTTTTATCATTGATTCGATTTTCTTACAGAACAGCTCCTCGAAGGCGGCAGAGACTTCGGCGGTGGAACTTGCCAATTCCAATCTTTTGCGATGCTGCTCTGCTGATGTGCTACGGCGAGCTGATCCGTCGCTGGAAACCGGTGAGACAACCATGTGAGAGAAGCGTGGATTGTTGAACCATTGCGGTCTTGCAGACGCATTTGGATGGTCGACAAAAGTTTCCATTCCCATCGTGAGTTCCGCGTTTGTTGAGTTCGGGTGGCCAGACAAAATTGCTTGAATGAATAGATGGTGAAATTCGGTTTCGGCTAGAGACGTATAGAATTGCGAACGAAGATGTTGCTCGATTTCGGTGTTTGCCCTCTGACTCTTGGCAACATATCCTACATCTGTGATCATGCCAATATTGATGACTGACGCTGACTGGCCTCTTCGTCTCCGCTTCGCGACTAAGCTGGACATAAACATATTGGCAGCATGATATATGGACTGTCCAGCATTGCCATACTCACTTCCTAGCGAAGAGAAAGCGATGAAGAAGTCCAGATTGTCTTGGGCAAATTCCTCGTCCAGGTAGACTATGCCGTCAATTTTGGGTTTGAGTTGCTTCTCAATCGAAGCAACCGTAGTGTTGAGGAACAGAGAGTCTTCAAGCACCATTGCACCATTAGCTACGCCAGCAATCTCCGGCATGGTATTTCGAATCATTGAAGCCGTTTCATGTACCTGTGCTCGATCTGTGACATCCATTTTCACGATACGAACATCCACGGAAGACGAACGTATACTCGCTGGCCACTTTGCGTCGCTGTTGGCGTTTCGACTCGCCAGAACAATGTGACAAGCGCCACAACTGATCATAAAACGACATAGAGATTGGCCCAACTCACTAGCCATGCCGACCATGAAATAAGTTTTATCGGCAGCAAAGATTTTGCTCAGGTCGATGGGCGGTATGATGACTTTCAAGAGGTTAGTCCGCTGCCACTCTACTACCGTTGAAAGTCTCTCCGTATTCAATTTATCTAGAAACACATTCGTGTCACAGATTTTGATTATCGATGGCACTACCTCAACTTGAGTTGGCAGTGCTATCGCGTCAGCAATTACACCATCTTGATGAGCCAGACGCAGAGAATGAGGGTCAAAAGTTTTCACCACACAAGTATTTGGAAGGTTTGACAAGATGTTGTCAACATGAACGTCCGAGAAACGCCACATGGTAGACGAATCGTCTGGTATCAACGCACGGATGACCCTGGTCGGCGCGAGTGGGTGAAGTACATTCCAATTTGAATGGCCTGTTGTTGCCATGGCTTTAATGAATAGCAACTTGCGTCTCGTCGATATCGCGGCTGTGGCAAGCGCTTCTGCGATACAGCGTAGTGGTTCATGCACTAATATTGTGCCAGTTGCAGGACTGTTGGACAGTATATAAGAGGCAATCAATGCAGAGCCCACCACAACTAAGCTGCCAGCATTGTAATCACATTGCAGGGACAGCTCAAGAGAATTATGAGTTGATACGATTGCGGTGGAAGAATTGGTGTTGGATAGCGCAAATGCTGGTCTCCCATGTATGTGCCCGAAGCACAGGAACAAAGCCTTCTCCGAATGTGAATGCAAAGCCACGGATAGCTCAACGTCAACCAGGACGAAATCTTTGGGGGAGCACAGGAATCACTCTGGATGAGGTGAGATGGTGAAGACTGGTAGGAAACTTCAATCCTGCCAGTCGGCTCCAAGAATTTCGTGATCCGACGACGCTTTGCATTCAGCCTTTCGTTCAGATCATGATCCGGGACCAGGCGTGGTATGAGTATGCTACCCCCTTTCACTACAATCTCTGGCTCTTGAGCCCAGAGCATGCCGTGGTTGACATGTTGTGGAGACGAGAGAAGTACCATCCGGAGCAGATACCGTGTGGCCATCTCCATATCCCACGAGGAGTGTTGATCAAAATCAAGAAACTGCATTTCAACATGCGGTAGTTCCAGAGCCAGAGAACGACCGATGCCAATCATGATATTCGAATATGGGTTGTCCACAAGGCGACCATTTGCCACCCATAGTACATTCGCAGCGTTGCCTAACAGCTCTTGCAGGTTCTCGAGTCTTCTGTCATTGAGCTTTCAAGAGAAAATTGGTTCGTCAAGTTCTGTCAGACAGAGTACACTCATTCCTGATATCATTGAAGAAGGATCTAAAGCATCAATGTTCGGACATATCGTAATTTGCGGTGTCCAGCGTTTCGCAAGCTTTCCGGCTTGGCGAACAACTTTAGACACAGACATCGTCTGACCTCCAAGGATCAATACTCGAGACTCTGGAATGGGGCCTACCAATGCCAGCGGGTCATTCAACAGCTCAAGCCGCTCATCGAAGGCACGCGTGATGAAGACAGAGCAATTGTGCCGTGAGATATCAGGGAAATCATAGATTATAGATTCGACGCCGGAGAATCCATTCGCGAGAAGGATATCATCCCATTCTTTCGCGGAGACACCAGGGCATGGGAACCGTCCGTCCTCGACTCCCAACCACCAGCCTTCAAGGCCCCCCATCAAGCCAGTCTCGCGTAGCATGGTGCCTGTGACTTCTGCGGCAAGCAAGAAACCTCCTGGACGCAACAGAGATCTGACATGCTGGACCGTTTGGGCAAGCCTCCGAGTTGCGTGTAACACATTTGCCGCGATGATGACATCGTACGGTCCTTTCCCGAATCCTTGGTCTACAGGATCTTCTTCAACATTGAAAGTCTTGAAGTCCATCCTTGGAGAATGATCGGCAAACCTACGAGCTGCTTTCTCAAAGAAGCCAGCCGAAATGTCGGTATATGTGTAAGACAGATATGAACTGCCAATAGCGTCTAAGACACTGCGTGTTGTCCCACCCGTACCAGCACCAATTTCCAGAATCTTGATCCTGGGGTGCTTGTGGCTGATTTTGCGCATAAACTCCGCGATATTCTCGTTACAAGCTGCAAATCCTCGACCTTCAGTGTATAAACGGCCAAGTAGGTCATCTTTCAGCATGTGCTCCAGCATTTCTGACTCGCCCCGAACTACTGAAGGAAGATTCTCGCCCACAACAGTCAAGAGCGCCAGATCAACACTGTCTTGAAAATGGTTGGCAAATTCACGAATCGTCTCTTCGGTGTCGTTCAACCATTCCTTCTGCACGATGGCATGGCGGCCTTCACGAATTGGATCCAGAAGCGTATTGATGCCTCGAAATAAAGCCTGGTGGTGCCATTTGAAACCCGCAATTTCTTCGGCGTGTATCTTTCGGCACAAGTCTTGCATGAAGAAGAGCGCGGTACGCTCTACGGCATCGATGTACTGAAAGTCTTCTTTTGTAGCCTCAGATGATGATGGATCTGGAAGGCCACACGCTACGTCCACGTCCCAAAATGTCTTTGCAAACAGTTGTCTGTCATCTGAAGGCTGCGGCTCGGCAATGGCTTTGAGGATTAGACCATCAATTCGGACACCAGATGCGTTACTTGTTTCATCATAAAGATTGATGTCAAGTTCTAAAATACTGCTAGTCGACTTGACGAGGTGGGCATCGATCCCTATGCTCGTTTCTCCTGAAGGTGCTCGATATCTCTGCGCGGGATCGACGAAAGCACGTCTAATTCCGGCTGGAAGATACGTACTTCCCATGGCTTTCTCGGCTGTCGAGGCAAAGGTAGCAAATCCGACCTGAAAGCTGACGTCTAAAATAGCTGGATGTAGCGCATAATTATCTCCAAGTATGCCATCCGCCCAGGTAGCGGACGCTTTCGAGACGCCCCAGATCCTGTTGATGGATTTTAAGGCGCGGAATACGCCATCATAGACGATTCCCAGCGCAGCAGTCGTAGAGAAAAATCGATCGACATCAAGTGGTGGAAGTTCATCCTCACAAATAGGGCTGGGTGGAAAATACCCACTTGTAGACGAGCCGAGATGTATAACCAGAACGCCATCGCAGCACATATCCAACGTACGCTCATCAGAGCAGCTGTAACAAGTAAAATCAGCTTGTAGGATAAAATCATCGGCCATTTTACTCGGGTTGTGACGGCTTCTAATCGTGAAGATGATCTCAACGCCTTCGTCGTCTTCGTGGATCACCAACGCCTTGGCTATATTCATATCTTGGATCTCCAACATTTTGACAGGACGGGCACGCACGAATGCCTCACTCGCTTGCATCACCATACTGACATAGCCAGCCCCGGGAAAGACAACTTGGCCCTGGAACCTATGCCCTCGGAGCCAAGGGATGTCCTTCTGACGGAACACATTTCGCCAAGTCATTTCGTACTGTGTGTCTTGTCGCAGACGACCCAGGAGCTCATGCGTGCGTTGAGCGCTGGAACGATACTCGCGCGATAGGCGTGATTCGTGCCAGAAAATCTGTTCATGGTCCCAACAGTATGAGGGGAGAGCTTTTGGCATTTGCGGGTTTTTCGGTTTGTTGAAGGCGGTACGACAGCCGTCAAGGTCGACAGATGAAGGACCCAGATGGGTCCACAGCAGTCCAAGTATTGCTGACATAGACTCTACATCGTTCTTTCCACGTTCTAAGCAGCCAGCGTATTGTATCGAAGCGTCAGCAACTCGTTTGAATGTCTCGTTCACGGAGCCCTTTAAAGTGGGATGGGGCCCGACTTCCAATGCGATGGCGAAAGAATTGCCTTGCGACAAAACCGCCTCCAGAGCTTGGGAAAATCGAACGGGTCTGATCATATTCTCAACCCAATATGGGCCGCTCAAAGACTCTAGTGATCCCTGAAGCGAGTTTAGATGTTCATCCACACTCGAGTACCAGACACAATCTTTTTGGGGTGCTTGAAGGGAGACATCCAATGATTTCAGGAGGTCCGAGTATGCTTCTGCACAGCAAATCATGTGATGGGAATGATAGGCCTTATCAACCTTCGGCAGCCGTGAAAATATCTTGTCTTGGTCAAAGATAACTTCCGCTTCGTGGATAGCATTCGAATCACCAGAGAGAGTAACGCTAGAAGGCGAGTTACTGGCAGCAACCCCGATACGGCCAACAAATCTGGCCTGTGAGCAAAAGGCTGTTGCGTCCTCGAGCCCCATACCGACAGCAATCATTGCACCTGTTTGACCTGAGTCACCTTGAGCTAGATGAGCTACTAATCCTCGGTAGTAGGAGATGCCCATAGCATCTCTTACGCTCAGAAGCCCGGCTGCATATGCAGCACTGACTTCGCCCGAAGAGTGGCCTACAACCGCGTCGAGATGAACGCCAGCGGCTCGTAGAAGGTGTACAAGAGATATTTGAATCGCTACACAGAGTGGTTGCGAGATTTCACCTTGGGAAATTCGTGAGAGAGGGGCTTCTAAGCTTAACTCCTGTTTCAGAGACCATGAAGGCCCATCAGGAAGTGCTCTGAGTGCTTCTTCGCATTCTCCGAGAGATTTCCGGAAGGTAGGTGACTGGACCATGAGCTCGCGGCCCATGCATGCCCATTGTGCGCCCTATAACAGGAGTCAGCCTCTGGTAGTGTTCTGGATCTTTGGCTTCAATACCTGGCCAGTGAAGACACCAAGAATTTTCGAACGATGGTAATCATATCCCGGGCCTTGGGAATCAGAACGTGCCTCATCCAAGATAAGTTGCCTTTCCAGAGAATCAAGGAGCATTTGGCGATCCGAAGCAACGATTGCGGTCCTTAGGACAAATCCAGTCCGCCTCGAATGGAGTACCCAGCTCAGAGCGTCTAAATCAAGTGAGGGATTTCGACGAATGTGGTCTGCCATTTGCGCGAGAGAACCAAGTAAGGAGGAATGACTTTTTGCCGAGAAAACGAACGGCCCAACGAGGTTAGTTTGGGACTCGCAGTTTCCTCTCTCTTGATCCACAGGCATTGCGACAGAAGACCGTTGATAGCTCTCGAGGATAACATGAGCGTTAGTACCACCAAAGCCAAAACTGTTCACACTCGCGCGTAACGGCTTGCCATTGGTATCCGGCCAAGATACAAGGGAAGTCGGGACGCAAATATTTGCGTAGTGAGGTTCGATCGCCGGATTTAAATGCTTGAAGTGCATGTTTGGAGGTATTTCTTGGTTCTGGATAGCCAAGGATCCCTTCAGAATACCGGCAATGCCAGCACAGCCTTCGAGATGTCCGATCACGGTCTTGATAGAACCGCAATACAGTTTATTGGCTGGGGGTACAACATCAGCTCCACTTGGGAAGAAAGCTTCTTGGATCGCACGAGCTTCGGCCACGTCCCCGGCCAAGGTTCCGGTGCCGTGACACTCAAAATACTGGCAGCGATCCTTGAGAGAATCTAAACCAGCTTTCTCGTACGTCTGTCGAATGAGATTTGCTTGAGCAGATGAGTTGGGCATAGTTAATCCTTGCGTGCGGCCATCTGAGTTGACAGCTGATTCACGTATGATGCACTCGATATCATCATTGTCTTCAATGGCTCTGCTAAGTGGTTTGAGAAGAATCGCCGCGCAGCCTTCACCCCGAGCATATCCATTTGCACCTTTATCCCACATTCTTGAGCGGGAGTCGGGAGAGAGCATATGCAGCTTGGATTCGGCGATGTAAGTTGCATGATCAAGTAATAGCGTACTGCCTGCCACGATGGCTTGCGCTGCATCACCATTTCTGAGTCCTTGGACTGCTTGATGTAGGGCAACCATGGAACTGGAGCATGCTGTGTCGATAGTCATCGACGGTCCCTTCAGATCGAAGAAGTAAGATAATCTGTTCGCAAGGATGCTGCGTGCCAAACCAGTTGCCGAATAAGTTGGAAGACTCTCCAGGTCGCGCATCTGAATGTCGTTATAGTCCGAAGTCATCACCCCAACGTAAACCGAAGTCGAAGACCCTTCCATCTTTTCCAATGGCCACCCAGCAGCTTCAAGGGTTTCGAAGAATGTTTCCAGAAGAATCCGCTGCTGGGGGTCCATACTGTGGGCCTCTTTGTTATTGATACGAAAAAAAGCATTGTCGAAAAGTCGGCAGTCTTCCTGAAGCAAGTAGGACTGGCCTTGAACATTGGTACAGCCCGGACGGTCACCGTCCTGGTCATAGAAGCCGGAAAAGTTGAATCTGTCGACAGGAAAGTCGCGTATCACATCTCTTGGTGCTTTCAACAAACCCCAGAGCTGAGATGGTGAGCTCGCAGAACCTGGAAACCTGCAAGCAGAGCCAACGATTGCGATTGGTTCCGCCATGATCGACTCCAGATTAGCAACTTAGGTGAGATGTGGAAGAGAATTGTTAAGACTAAGTAGCTCTGGAACTGAACATAAAAGATGTCTTGCCGAGACATCGACAACACGTGAGCGATGTCGAGCATTATCATTAGACCTTTGGGGATCTCAAACTATTACCAATAGCACGGAGATTGGTCAGAATTACGACCGAATGGAACTCCGAGATTCGGGATCCAACCCCAGTTACCAACAGTGACGGACCGGCTTTGACGTGAAGGCTGCCGGTCATTTTTTGCCGCATTTGGCAGCGTGAAGCGAACCAGGTACCCAAAGGCTCCAGACAAGCGACCGTACGCGTAATACGCTAATTAATAAAATATTAGCAGATTCTCAGAGCTAAATTTGCTTTTTTTTAAATAAATAATTTAATTATTGCCTAGCGCCGCGTCTGTTTATCCTAGGTCATGTTACTTTGATCACGTGGAAATGTTAGGGACGTGAAAAAAGCCACGATTCTGCCCGAATAATAATTCGCATTTTGAGAGTTGCCGAGGATTACCCAAAGGCGGTGAAAGCTTGCAGCACATCCTTAAGAACACTAAAATTCCTGAATCTCAGTCTCCCGGCATGCTCGTCCGCATTATAATAAGTACTGCTTCGAATTTAATGCGATCAAACTATTATAACATGTCTCAATTAATAGCATTAATTTATCGAAGTTTAAATCATTTAATGTAGTAGTTGTTTATTAATTAATTTGAATCGCTGAATCGCACTGAACCTGAGGTGCGGCCGATGCGACTGCCTCAGGCACCACATTAAATGCAGTGCATCACTACCGCCAAAATTTAGAAAATAATAATAAAAGCCTGAACGGGGGGTCCAGGAGGGCGTCCCCCTAGGATAATTGGCCTCTAAAAGTCTGAATAATTTAATATTATCGCACAGTTTTAATTGCCCGGCTTTTGAGGGCGGAGCCGGTCGCAAGTCAGTCAGTCAGTCGGTCGGTCGGTCGATTGGTCAGAAAGTTGAGGCTCTGCGGCAGTGGCTGCGCTGCTAAGCGAAGAGCCTCAACAACCTCGAAGATCCTCACTTTGACCTAGAATCAGAGCCCTGAATCAACGCCAGAGCTTCCAGCACTTATATAGAAGATGACTTTTGGCGCAGCCAACTAGCTCCACGCAGTCGCGAATTTTAAGGTTGACCGCTAAGTATTTGATTGGCTTGACATACACTCTAATTGGCTCGACGTTAAACGCCAAACGTCTGATTGGCTCGGTGCTGAATAGATGGACTCGCCCAGACTGTACCGTACGCGCCATTGACATGCGATCCGCACCGTTGACATGCCCTCGACACGAATATTTTTTTACTGATGTTGTTACACTTAAATTTTTATTATTCAACTATTATCTATTCTTCAGCCGAATGTATGTTTGTTGCGCTCTGTGAGTGTTTACGTCAACCCCTTTCAATGACGATAAAGCGGGTGGCGTCTTTTGCAATACAAAAGTCCAAACGATCATCGTGATGATTACCCTCAATTCCAAAATGCCGAGTTTAATCCCTACAGTGGACAAGTTAGTCCTGCACAAACCGATAATAATTGGCGCTGGGTCTGAGCGGATGTGAGTTGGAATGCTTACCAAAGCAACTACGAAGTCCTACTCCGTACGGAAGCACTGGCCCTGCAAAAGGATTGAATTTGGTTATCCCCTTCTCGTCTTCGGCGAGAAAGCGTTCTGGCAGGAACTTTCCAACATTTTCATCATTCCAGACACCATACCGGTCCTTGGAGTCCCTGCTGGTAGCGCTGCGCTTGTCTTCCGCTATTCCAAGAGCTGGACTTTGGAAGCTTGGCCCATTCATTATCATGAAAACATCAGTTCCTTTGGGTATCACATGGCCAAGCACCACAGCGTCTCTTGTAGCTCGTCTGATGACAGTTGGTATAGCGGTACCCAATCGATGATTTTCCTCAATGAAAGCATCCAGATACGGGACTTCAGCGTCGACAATCTCATGCGCTGTAGGAAGACGGTCCTCTTCCACCGCTCGCTTGTGCACCGACTTCAAAGCTGAGAATAGCTTTTCCTGCACCTCCTGGTACACAATAAGGTGCTTCACAGCCCAGCAAAGAGTTGTTGAAGTTGTCTCGTGACCGGCGAGGTAGAATCCAAAGAGCTCGTCTCGGATCACTCGAGTATCGTACTCGGCCTTACGATTCTATTTCTCCGCCAACTGTACTTCACGTCGTATTAGCAGGTCCACGGCGGAAGTAACTTGATCATCTTGGCCACTCCGAGAAGCTTTTTGCCATGCAGTGTGCAGCACCCCTGTCATCATCTGATCTGTATATTTTCTGGCGGCAGCCAAGGATGGGTAGAATTTCAGTGCGAAATTCATGTGCATCCTTGGTGCTGGCGAAGTCATTCCAATTTGGATACTGTCGACTAGAGTTCTGATGGCCGTATAAGCACGAGACTCGGTAGCAGCTGGAAATACTGGAGGTACGTTGATATCTGTAGATAGATCGAGCTTCTCTGTTTCCGAAAGTAGTTCTGACTGTGACTTGCTGAGGCCGGTCTGGACACCCAAAGTGGCTAACATAATAACATCAACAACACCCCTGATGAGGTCATGGTCCGCTTGAAATGGCCTCCCCTGGGCTAAGCGTAATTTCTGCTGCCAAAGCTCGAGCAGGTCTTCAATCGCTGAATGGATAGCAGGAGCAACTACATTTCGAAGGAATGGTGGAGACATTGTGTCTTTAATTAGGTTGCGATGTGATCGAAATTCATCATTGCTAGGCATCTGAAGAGAGTTAAAATATTAACAGATGCAATCAAATAGAGCGCAGTTTCAATGAAGACATAGAAAGTAAATCGGAACATACCCAAACGTGATTTCCTGGTAACAGAGGACCAAAGATATCACTCAAAAAGGCCGAGCGATCGAATTCGCTTTGCCGATACATTTGGATGTCTTGAGCTTCACGGAAATCTGCCAGAATTACTCACGGCTTTCCGATCGGGCTTCTCATGAACATCTGAAATATAGGCGAATTCAGCTCCAGAGCTTGATTTCGGATATAGCTCCACATCTCGCCTGTCTCTTGTCGCCATTTGAAAGCCTTCATTTCTCGTCAGCTTATGGAAAAGACCACGAGACGAAAACTTGGAGCTCACATCGGGAAGATCTCCGAGCATCCGTTTTACACTTCTCTCATTATATGGTATTCCGGGAATAGGCTTAGGGAGAAGATGACGATAAAGCCAGAGTACCACGACTAGCAACGTACAAACAATGACGCCAAGATTAGAGAGCAACATCCGAAGTTTTGGCTATCAGTGAAAGCAAGCTTACTTAGAAAACTAGCATTCAAGAGGCAGAAACTTGGGAATGTCTATACAAAAGTCGATCGACTCTAAGTTTACAGCTTCTGTGAAATGTCTTGCATAAGCGAGAAGTACTTCAATGCAAGGTCGGTTAAGCGACGGCTTTTTCATTCCATAAAAGGAAATAAAAGAGCGAAGAAGGTCTCGGAGAAGCAGGTATGGTTATATGATTTGTTCTTCTCGGTGATATTGATATTGCGGAGAGCTGTCTGGTGAGTGTCGTTTGCTGAGGAATTCGATAAATCGCACAACAATAATTGTCATACTTTCCTGGCGCAATGATCTTTACTACCTCCCTTCTCTTTTCTGGTCTTCCCATTTTTGCGCTGACTCTTATTGTCTGGATTGGCCATGCCTGCTTCAAATATCACCAATACGAGCGAATGCGTGTGCAGTTTGGGTGTTCACCGTTCAAACATTATCCAAGCTGGGACAGAATCCTCGGCCTTGATTATGTTTATGACATGGTCAAAGCAATCAAAGAGAATCGCTTCCTCGAGTTCCAGAAAGAAACATACTCTGCTAGTGGGGCCAAGGTTTGGAGAGCCAACTTTCTCGGGAACCGGATGATCTACAGCTCGGAATCTGAGAACATGAAGGCCGTGTCCACTTCTCATGGAGATTGTTTTGCAGTTGAGCCAATCCGAGTAGGAAATGGAGCCATAACTCCATTTCCGGGTCGTGGTGTCAGTTCGTCTGACGGCGCGAAGTGGCAAGCTTCGCGAGATCTAGTCAAACCATATTTTGACCGTGCTGGTTACTCCAATCTGCAGCGGCTGAGTCAACATGTCGATCGATTGCTAGATAAGATCCCAAAGGATGGATCAGTCATTGATATGCAGCCATTGTTCCAGAGATGGGTATTTGGAAATAATTACTACTTTTTGGAAACCGTGCGCTGACTGGGCCGTTAAGTTTCTTGACACATCCACAGACTTTCTATTTGGAGAGACAGTCAACTCTCTTGACAAACCGGAAAACCAATGGCCATTCAGAGATATGATTGCTGTTATGGCGGGATTGCGCCTCCGATTACAACTCAGCTCTTTCTTATTTCTCCACCGTGATCCTGAATGGCTTGCTGCTTGCAAGCGGATCCATGTATTCCTCGATACCTACATCGAAAAAGCTTACAAGCAACTGGAAGATGAGAAGAACGGGATGCAAGCGACTTACGCAAGCGGAGAGGCTCGGAACGACTTCCTCTGGACGATTGCCCGTCAAGTGCCTGATAAGCTCGAGCTGCGGACGCAGTTGACTGCTGTTTGGATCCCGTCTAATGAGACGACATCTATTCTCATGAGTAACACCTTATTTGCTCTCGCACGACATCCCGAAGTTGTCCAGAAGCTACGGAAAGAAATTCTCAAATACGGAGATAAGCTCTTGACATTTGAAGGCTTGCGATCAATCGATTACCTGCGATGGATCATCAACGAAAGTAAGCATTACCTTTGTCCTTCAGATTGAACATCGCTATGTACTGGAGCCTGACAGCCTTCTCTCAGGTCATCGTCTGTATCCTGTCAGCCTGCAGACGGTTCGAGCTTGCGTCAAAAATACCAGCCTCCCTACAGGCGGTGGCACACATGGCAAAGCACCCATTTTCTGCGCAAAAGGAGATATCGTGCATTGTAACCGATATCTCATGCATCGTGACCCGGATTTCTGGGGTTCTGATGCTGAGATATTCCGTCCAGAACGATGGGCAGAAGTCAGGCCCTTATGGAACTTCGTTCCTTTCGGCGGGGGACCCAGAATTTGTCCCGCTCATGTTATGGTGGACACTGAGTGCAGCTACACCATTTTCCGGATCTTGCAGAACTTCAAGGCAATTGAACCTAGAGACGATGAGCCATATACAGCTGTCATGAGGGTTGGCCCGTCAAATAAAAATGGTTGCAAGCTTTCCTTTGTACCCGCCTGATCAAGACACTTTGCGCACTTAGGAGAAGATTGTGCGCAGAATCGCTTCTTCTACTTCTCTGGTCTTGCGCAAAGAGCTACAAATGTTTTGCAAGTGTACTTTTAAACTAAATCCCTTCACCAACGATGTTTTGAAGAATATCTTCTTGCCCTTTCAAAGGTTCGGCTCTTTCAACTTGGAGACAAAGCCACAGGCTCCTTATTTCATGCTACCTAGCCTCATAACGGTTAAAATAATCAGATTATTCGAGAATCGTATTCATAGATCACATGTAGCAAGTCTAGAGAGAAATATCTTGGAGTAAATCGCTCCCTTCGGTTTGACACTCAAGTTACGGGACTAGGAAGCCGCAAACTTTGCAATGAAGTGAAACTAAGTGCCACCGAATGCCACAAAACTGCTTTGAGGTATTTGTTCTCCCCACAGCTGCGAACAAGCTATGCGACAGGTTGCTTGTTGAAATCTACAGGCGAAGAAGTCATACTGCACCGCTAGAGCGTATGCTGCTCGGCTGACTTGGAATTTGACGAAGTTCAGTCTCAGAGATGCCATTTTCTTGAAGTTTGCCTGACGATGAAGCCCCAACTCTATATCTCAGACTGTCTTTGCCGGATACACTTTAGCCACCACTGCTGGACCCTCTTCCTGTCGTGATGGCTACATATCTTGGAAAATTGAAGCGAAGCCGATGCATATAATTGCAACAGAGCCGGTAAAGATGTACCAATCATAGCAACTGTCGGTTCGACTTGAGACGGAATCCAAAACGTTTTCCCGTAGTCGTTGTATTGAGGGAGATTGTATGCAGCAGCTTCGAAGTTCCACCCTGGTGGTGAGTTAGTACCGGACACGAGAATATTAGGATACTTCTGTTACTCACAGCTAGGGTCAGTTGGCTCCCAATGAGTCGTCTCGTAGACGAATATTCTGAGTTTGTAGGCCGCTACAATGCCCGCACTGTTTGGATCTTTCAGCTTGGCTGGCGCCTTGATGTTTCCAATCCAGGATCGGTACCTCCGTAGGAGAGGCGAGAAAAGACTTACGCGGCACCAAGGATGAAAATGACAAAGACCCCAAGGCGTTTCTTGAGAGGCATTTGAAGTCTAGAGATTGCATAGATGGGGAATATGAGTAGGATCACATCAAAAGCTAAGCTTGTGCTGTACAGCGCTTCTGTTGCGTTGATGTAGAGGTCGGAACAGTTTGTGATACGATTGACCGGATCCCAAGCGTCGGCAATTGGATGGCACGAGAATCCAGGGATGATCTCAAAAGCAATAACATAGGCGCCTTGTAGAGCAAGCAATATCCAGATGGTTGAGGAGTAGAATAGGTACCCTTTCGCGAAGATACGTCGATAAAATAGGAGAATCGATACTCTTATCGATGCTGACATGAGTGGATACATCCAAGCAGCAACAAAGATACCTTTGAAGAATATGATGAACTCTCCGTATGTGATCTCTTCTATCGGCTTTCCGATTCCAGAGTGTAGATTGAAATATGCAGCCATGGCTGTCCATGCTATGTAGAACATCTAAGTAAAGATCAGCTTTTAATACTATGACTTCGAGTATTCCACTAACCACTGCCGGAATCATCGCATAATCATCGATGCCAAGGCGTTTTGTTGAGTACCTGTAGGCCAGTCGAACGAACACCACCAGGGATGCCACAATACCAAGGACGATGATTGCAATAGCAATAGAGTAGTCCTTGTGATTATTGTCTATTTCTAGCGGAATGGGAATAAGATTGGTGGTGTTGATGTACGACATGGCAATTCAGTATTGCGATGCTTCGTGCAGAGGGAGAGACAGAGAGGTTGAGGAATACAGTGACTTCAGAAGAAAAGAGATAAAGTGAGGATGGTGGGCGTGAGTTGGGGTCTCGCGTGGCATTCGGCTTATTTTTCCCCAAAAGAGATTCTCTCTCATTATACCCGCTTCGATGGATCATTCCTGCATTGAATTTGATGCTGCCGCGAAGAATTGGGAAAATAATTGTCTCGACATCCCAGTGAGGGTAGATAGTAGTCGCACAACAGATTCCTTCCAGAGGATAGGAGGTTCCCTGTTTCTATTGGAAAGGATGTCTGCCGACCAATATTAAATGGTTTTGGCTCATGCACCGTATTCTGCAAATAGGCCATGATCAACCCGAGGGCCGCGTTGGTGCGTCCGTCCGCTTATACTTAAATTATGGTTCGAGACGCATGCCACCTTACATGGTGTTCTAGACAAGGAGACAGCGTGCCATTTTCCATGCAGGTCGAATAACACCGAACCAAGCATGGAGTAGGTTTGACATGCAGCTTGATGTCCATTCAACATCAAAACAATAAAGCGTGCAGAACGGAACAGGCGCAAAAGCTCACCCAAGAGACTGAATGTGGTCTCAAAACTGCATCAAGCTTGAAGCAGGGTCGGAGATGACTTATCGGAGAGTAATTTATGTAGGTTGGAGTTTGACTTTGCGACTTTTGACAATTCGACTAGAGGTCACCATCCGGTGAGCTGTTTATCGAGCCATTGGGGTATTAGACTTAGTTTACTACAAGGGCACAGTCTGAGAATCAATAAGCTTGATTTGAAACTACCTATAGAACGTGAAAGAAAAGATCAAACTTTCCCAGCAAAGATTTCTCCCATGTCGCATGATACCAGCTGATTCATCCACTGACGATTTCAGCATACAGTAACAACTCCGGATCCTGAATGAAACATTCGAAACATGACACATCCACAGGAATCTGAACTTCCAACATCGTTTCCTGGTCAGACTGAGGAGCGAGCTTTTGTATGACACATGGATATCCAGGTTGATGAACATTGCGTACCGCAACCGGCGGCCCAAATCCAAAATCAGCTTCATAGAACTTGCTACTTCTCATATCACTCATCGCCACTCCAAACCTAGGCACCCTCTCACCACTCCAAGCTGCCATAGTTTTGTCTTGGAGCATTGCAACCATGTTCGATCGTTCTAGAGCTACCTCTTCAGTCGCGCCGATGTGCGCTTGCCGGACAAGAGAGGCCAGAAAGCCCAACTTTCCGTCGGCGACAACATCGTGGATGGAAACGCCTGGTGTCACCACACCCAATGTCGCATTGGCTTGGAGTTGGGAGTCCAGAGGAGGATCGAATCGAGAACGCAAGTCCACAACTTGTCCGAGCATGGTGGACTCGTCAGGGATAAGATCATAGATTGTAAGTCTAGCACGAGTATATGCTCGCCACAGTAGAGCTGTAATAGCATCGTACGACGATATCTGAACGAAAGTTCCTCCAGAAGAAGATGCTATCCTCTTAAGCAAGTCGGTGCTTGATTTATGGAAGTGTAGTATTACAGGACGTTGTGGTGGAGCCTGTGCAAAGGGCACAGTGACTAGGGTAGGGGAGAGATTCGGTGGTTGTGGAATTATGCGTTTCTCTGGTGGAACGAACTTTCCGTTGAGACGTCCACGATCGAGATTCACATAGTCCCATGCTGGCGGTTCAGGCTTGGTGTTTTTGCTAAGAGCTAGGGAATTTCTTGCCCATTGCTGCACGAACTTTGAAAATCCCGCGCCGTCCGTGCAGTAGTGGTGATAACCAATCGTCAGGATTATTCCGTCTTGAAGCCAAGTGGCTTGAAGCTCGGTTTGTATTCGGTTGTTCTTTATCATGGAGTCAATACTGGCGTCGCCCATGTTTTCGAGTGCAACTTGTCTGTCGACTTGCAACGGTGGAAATCCGGCTGCTTCGAGGTCAGCGAGAGATACCGATTTCTCATTCTGGTATAATCGTTTGACCACGAAGGAGACTGTATCGCCTCGATTTCTGAAGATCTTCACTTCTCCGTCATCTTTCTTGAACACTCCGGTCAAGGGACGATATTGGCTTAATGTTAGTGCCAAACTCTCCTTGAGCCCATCGATCACCGCGATTTCGTCAACTCCCTCTCCTATTTTGTACAGAAAAGAAAATTTTAAGAAGACCTGTGGCATCATATACTCAAGATCTGAGAGTATCCAAATCTCTTGATCCGGATCATTCTGCCACCCTATCGGCCGCACGTGATGAACAACAGTTTCTTCAAAATGAGACATTGTCGAGAATGGGGTCTGACGGTGTCTGATGCTGGAGAAATGGACTGCATTTTCTCATCTAAGGCGAGCCTTGCCAGTCGCAATTGCCTGTACTCTCCGAACGGTCTCGGCATTGATGCATGTCGTTTAGGATATGCCGTACTCAAGTCTATGTCCAGCCCAAAGCGGAATAAATAGTCCGTGTGCGCAAGCTGAGACTACCAACTAGCCAACAAAAGCAACAAAATCGGGGCATCAACACTAAATCATTCCAAAACACCATTGAATACGCCTCTCAAAAGCCACCACTTTGTTTTTCATCCCGCCTCAGAAGCCCTTCAAGCCAATTGATCAACTCTTTTTATGGTGGCACCCACATCCCCTTCACTTGAACTTTCGCCTGCGAAGCATGACTATGGCTGTTAGCGGTACGCCACACCTGCCGAATTATGAACGAGAGATAGACTTCTTATCTGAAATAGACACAACCACCGATACTGAAAAACAAGCTCCCTACAGCACAGCCCCAGTTGAGGATGTCAAGGCAGAAAGTCCTACGCCGGATACAGAGTGGCAAAACAGAGGAGTTGTACCTCCCCCAGACGGTGGCGCAGAAGCATGGCTACAGGTTGTTGGGAGTTGGTGTATGGTATTCAACACTTGGGGAACTGCACCTATCTTTCTTCTACCCTCTAGCACTCCCTTTTAATATGTCGAACCCAAAACTAATGGCTAAGAACAGGCATTATTGTTACATTTGGCGTCTACCAAGCATACTACGAGCGTGGCACACTCTTCACTCAAACCCCTTTTAACATTTCGTGGATTGGCTCAATTCAGTCATTGATAGTTTTCCTTTTGGGTGCTGTTGTGGGTGCTATATACGACAAAGGCTACCTCAAGCTTTTACTTGCTGTTGGCACTTTTGGGGTTGTGTTTGGACACATGATGCTCTCTCTATGCACGGAGTATTGGCAGGTCTTGCTGGCACAAGGTTTCGTTATTGGTATAGGAGGCGCCTGCTTGTTTGTCCCAGCACTGGCGGTAACTCAACCATACTTCAGCTCTCGTCTTGGCTTGGCGCTTGGAGTCGTAGGCACAGGGAGCTCTCTAGGTTGCATCGTTTACGGTGTAGTCTTTGCCAGGCTTATCGACCGTATTGGCTTCGCATGGACTACGCGCACTATCGGTTTCATTGCGCTTGCAACATTGGTGGTGCCCCTTGCCATCTCAAAAAAGCGCAAACAACCTCTGCCTCCACAGACTTCGCCGACGAGCAAGAAGTCAGACTTTTCTGGTGTACTTGACGGACGTTACATGCTCTGTGTTCTTGGGGTATTCTTGGGCTATGCTGGCTGCCAAGTTACCTTTTTCTATATTGCTTACTTCGGTCAAGCCCAGGGTTGGTTTGTCGGAAATGTGGCACTTTACCTTGTGGTAATTATCAATGCGGGCGCAATAATCGGACGGCTTATGCCAAACTGGCTGTCTGATAAGGTTGGCCCAATTAACGTGGTTCTTCCTGGTACGTGGAAACCTTTCCGATTTTGGCTAGTAAAGTTCTGTACTGATTTGCATCAAAGGGTCCTTGTTGATGGGAGTCTTGCTGTTGTGTAATCTGGCTGTCGTCAATGCAGGTGGGATCATTTGCATTGCTCTTTTCTTTGGCGTCTTGTCAGGGATATTCGTTTCCCTTCCGCCTCTTCTGTTCATGGCCCTCACCGAAGATAAGTCAAAAATGGGGGCGCGTATGGGCATAGCCTATCTGTTTGTCGGTCTCAGTGTGCTTCCAGGTGGACCAGGTGCCGGCGGTGTTCTTCAACACAAGGGATCTTCGCTCCATTGGCATGCAGCGTGGACCTATGCTGGTGTCCTTCAGCTCGCAGCATTCGTGGTCTTCTGTGTCCTCAGAGTGTGGCAGGGGGGTCTTGCATTCACGGTGAAGATCTAACACGGATGATCTGGACTTCGAGTGACGGTGGTAATAGTTACATAAAAGGTGGCTTCTAGAGGTATTATGCGTGGTGAGAAGGGGCTTGGGGTCATAAGTAGCACATGAAATGGGAATACAAGCTGGGTGTTGGCTCATTGTTTGAAGACTTATGGGACAAAGCTTCTCACAAAGCAAGATCTGAGACTGTTTCTCCTGGATAGCTTCCTAATATTCTTCGTTTCGTATGCCGTTTCAATGAATCTTCTTAGGAAATAATGCGATGTCTTGAAAGAGGGCTAAAATTGCGATGTTCCGCGAAATGCTGTAGACTCGTCCAAGTTGCAGCCTGCAACTTGCAGGCTAATCGATCCAAATGCCCTGCACAACATACAGAATATCTGGATGATCTCTAAGCAACTCCTCGAGCTCTCGATACTTGTCCCTTGTAGTAATATCAGGAAACAGTTTCCGAAAATTCTGGTAAAGTTCCGGGCAACCCTTTACATGAACCATTCTCTGTTCCGTATCAGTAACACCCTGCACAATTCCCCGGGAAACATACCTCGATCTCTTCAAAAGCCTTCATCGTCTTACCTCGATCTGGAAGCGTCCCTTCAGATAGGAAGTCGAACTTCTTCCACCGGTTCTCAGACTCGATATAAAACCACCATCCCCGACCCCAGAATTTCTTGCTGGTCTCAAGTCCCTGTTCTTCTTCTGCAGCCCACTGATCGATCAACGCGGCCACGGCGTCGCAGCGGTGAACCCAATCATATATTCCAAAGTTTGCCAAGCTGTAGTTACCCCACATACTCTCGTAGAGGTCCAGGAAATTATAATTCCACTCTGCTCCCGACTTATGAGATATGATGACGGGCTCTGCGTCCGGGAAGCCGTACCGCAAGCGAAACCGAACTTGGTTCAGCACTAAATCATCCTTTGAGTCTTCGCTGAAAATGTATTTGAAGAGCCCGTAGGTCAAGTGACATTCTAGCAGCATTTGCCAGACTGATCCTTTGGCTAGCCATCCAGTGACGGCGATGATTGGAGCGAAGCGCGTGATGTCTGGTATAAGGCTGGGGTAGGCGACTATGAGGTCTCTTATAAAGTGGATGAGGATGGCAGATACGACGCGGCTGAACGTCAGCCATCTGATCCAGTTCCTGACGCGCCACAAGAGTAGAAGGCAGAAGATAGCTATAAGAGCTACCGGGGTAAAGATCCGCGCTTGTCGAGACAGCCGACTTTCGGTCGGTAAACAGACCCAGATGAGCGAGTGGGGGCTGAGATCTGATAGGAACGAGGGTTGGTATGTCATATCCTCATTTCCCGTATGATGAAAAGGTAGAAGCTGTGTTGGCGGGGCCGTTATGGACGCTGGTCCTATCGACTCTAGAAAGTTATTGAAGCTCGAAGCAAAGTCTCCTATTCCGTCCCATTCTCCTCCCGGCTTCAGCGCTTTTTGAGCAGCTGCTAATTGTTCAAAAGCGAGACGAGTTGGCTCTGAGATGGACCTCCCTTTTGCGAGTTCAGGGACGTAGGGCGAGGTTAGGCAGTTGAGCGCTGCGTCGATGTCGTCTGGGACTGGGGCGTTGAGAAACCAACTCAGTACGAGACGAGATTCGGGACTTTTGAAAGACATGACTTTGCCATTTTGACTCGCTTGTTGTATCTCTTGGAATATCTCCTGCACGGTGGCGTCGTCTATGCCTTCGGGTAGTGGTGTTTGAGGCTCAACGGGATCTTGGGCATAACGCACGATAGCAAGGCCAAGGTCCATCATTTCATCCCAATTGACAAATTTGAGCCAACCTGCGAGATATTCTTTAAATTTGGCAGTGAACTTCTGACCGAGGACTTCGGAGTCGACTGGTAGGTGCTGTGTTGACGTAGCTAGGAGATGCACGCTTGCTAGCATGTTGATGGCCAACTCTTTCTGATCTTTGAGAGTCTCTGCCATAATCGAGATCATGGTAGATGGATCCAACACGCCCTTTCCAGCCATGAGACCTTGGACAAGGGAGGAGAGAGAAAGCTTGGCTAGCATGCCAGTGCCAAAGTGCTCGAGGCAGTACAAGTACCTTGCAACAGCAATCATCATATTTCGTTCCCCCACGGTATAGATGTAGTCATCTGGCTCTTCGCCTCCATATTCAATCAACAGAGACTGCGTCTCATCAAAGCTCTTTGGATTCCACATCTCGTGATCGAAGTGCTTTACCGGAAGCCCTACGTAGAAGTTGGCGTTCAAGACGTACGACCCTAATTTATTAATGGAAGACAAAGCGGCCAGCGGCGTGCGTCCTGCGATGTCTCGAACGTTCACATCGGCACCTCTTTCTAGAAGTATTTGAACGCTTCTGGGTCGGTTTGCTGCGACAGCTGCGTGGAGGAGCGTTCGTTTGCGGGTTTCGAGTCGAGATAGGCTAGGGTCGTGGTTCAGAAGTGTCAGGAGGATATCTGGATGTCGACAAGCAGTCTCAAGACTGGCAAGACCTATGACCCGTTAGATTTAAGGCATGCTTGAGGACTGATACTGACTTTGAGTAGTATGGCCGTATTTCGCACCACGGCTCAGCAGCAGTGACACAGTTTTTGAACTACGGTTAGGACACTCAAGTGCCAACTCAAACGGAGAGAATGGAGCCGTGTTCGAGAATGTGTCACTGTACATCTCTACGTCGGCGCCAGCGTCAAGTAGAGCGACGGTTGTCTCAGAACTACCAGCTCTGATCGCTTCATGGAGAGGTGTGAAGCCGACATTGCCACCTTTTTGATTGATGCCAACACCACAAGCCACCAGTATCGGAACAAAAATCGGTCTGTTTCGCATTGCCGCGAGGTGAAGAAGATTGAAGTTATGGCCGAGATCCTCGTCTGCTGACACTTTGTAGTATTGGAGCAAGACTCTGGCAAGAGATACCTGGTTCATCTCGATGCAATTCTTCAGCGAGACAATTGATGAGGTGAATTTCCATTTCTTGTAGAAGTAGGCGAATCCCTCCAAGACCTCCTCCATTTCTTCAGTCCCCTGGTCAGCCAAGACACTTCTCCCTCTATCGTTGTCTAACTCTTTGAATTCATCCACATGTTGTTGCGCTTGCTTGTTGGTATATGATTGAAGGACATCATGGACCATCTATGTGATCATATTTAGATTCAATCAAATATGGGGAGTGTTAATACCTACAACTGTATTAGGATAGACTGGCGGAACTCCTTTTGATGCATTCTCCGCATTTATAAAAGCATGGCCTGCGTAGAGTAGACCATGTCGCTCCTCCTTCGTCAATGTGCTGAGATAGTCAAAATCAATTACTCGTCGAAGTAGCGACTTTCTAGACTGCGGTATCTGCCCTGATGCTCCTCTCCAGAAAGAAGAAAGATCAGTATGTCCATATTCCATCGCGTCCTAAACTCTGGTAGTGTTTATCAAGAAGCTTCCAAATTACACTTACGGGCACGCCCTGTATATGTATCGAAAAGAATGTTGCTTTGGTAAAAGCTTCGGTGGTACTCTTCGGCAGCGGTCTAATTTTGTCAGAATCAACGATTAAAAGGGTATAAGTCTACTAACATTCCAGTAAGCAACTCACGAACTCCACCAACATTAGAAAGCCGATCACACGGGATGTGAAAGAGAGCTTCGGCCAGGAAATCTGTAATTGTATTGACAAGTTCACCAGAGAGACCAGCAGCCCGGTAGTGACGAATCAAATCAGAACAATGATCCGCAACTCGGCCGTCCAACTTTCCTGCATCAATGGACGTCGAAGTCGAATCTAAGGCCAGACCTTCGAAGGGACTGGTACCATTCGTCACGAGATGGACCAGGATCAGAGCGTATGAATAGATATCTCTCGTCGGCTTCGTTGCATAGGCTCTCATTTCCGCATCAGGACAGGATGGCAAACACTCAGGTGCGTTCCAAAATTGGGTTTCCCCATGAACATCTTCTTCAGCAGATATCGTCCCACTGAATCCAAAGTCGCCAATCTTGGCTACCAATGCGGGGTACTTCGTCTTGCATTTTGCGTCTGTTTTGTCTGGGTCCAGGAACAAGAGAATGTTGTGCGGTTTTAGGTCTCCATGCACGACTCCAAAGGAATGAAGAGCAGCCAGTCCGTCCGCAATATCGCATGCGAGAGACAAGGCATCTTCAATGTCTAGCCGATCTGGTCCCTGAGAAGAAGACTCCAAGAGAGAGGCGAGATCTGGGTGAACTTGCCATGCAAGTTCAACCACAAGAACAGGTCGAATAGTATCCTCAAGGGTAGGTTCTTCAATTATCTCGTCCTCGTCCCAAGAGATAGCCAGGAGACGAACAATGTTTCCGTGTTGTGACAATGGTTTCTGTTTAGGTAAGCATGAGCTAGAAAATGGTACAGTAGGGATTGTCTCTTCCCCACCTTCGCCATGATCTTAATCTCAAACATCACACTCCTCATCGCATTCAGGTATTCACGATTCTGCCGAACATGGTCTCTGTGAGCTCCATGTCCATCTCGCAGTCTGGTTACTGGAACGACACTGTCCTTCAAAAATTTGAACGCTGCTTGACCATGGTTCCACGACCCCTTGCAAACGGACCGATTTGCCCTCCGTCCCTATCTACGAGGTGACGGACACTGCTTAGCACTGGGACATCGTGTTTATGTTCAGCCAGAAAGTACATGTAAGTCAGGAAGTTTGTCGGGGGAGGCGGCTTCGAGATGATGCCTGTCGCACCAAAACCTCCATGCTGGCGCACCGAGGTTCTGGTGGCTGGGAAATCTCCCAGTGTGCTAGACCTTCTGGGACGAGCTGCAATTCCTCGTGGGAGATCTGATGAGGTAGTTCCATCATCCATATTGAAGCATATGGACTCCTGGCCTTGCGTGAATCGGGTGCCCTCAAATACATATTGAGGATGGTGTCCACGAGCTGAGTTCGTGAAGCCTGCACAAAACATTGTGGCGCATCACAGCCCCAAGCCTCGTCTCAGATGGGAATGGCGAGTAGCCATATCCATTACTTGCAGAATAGCAGCCAATTGTACAAGAGGTAAATGATGAGGCTTGAAAGAGTGCCTCGCGAAACGCAGCCACAAGTTGGGGTGTGTCTCAGAAATGCCCATACTCCGAGTAAGGAAAGATGCACCTCATCAAGTCATAGCTGGCAAAAAGTTTGATCTCCCCTCTTGAACATGAACACCTGCTTCGATTGATCTTTCAAATGGATATAGGAACCGCTTTAGGAATCGCAGGCATCGCTGTAACACTGCCTGCATTGGCAGAGGTGAGTTCGACACCCTTTCGTCGTACAGTATAAGCTAAACATAGAACCAGGCAACTGTGCAGTACGGAAGATTCATCATCGAAAAATATCGCACGTACAAACATGGTGAAGCCGATCACAATATCCAGACGCTCCTGGTACGACTTCACTGGGATGAGATCCAGGCCACGATTCTTTTCTTCGCATCAAGCTGCGATCGCTTCGAAGTCACCGTCAAGGACTTAGTCGAGGCGCATCTTCAAGTCCTGCTGAAGAAGTTCGAAGTTGTGATTCTTAAATTGAACAAGAATGTCAGCGGGGCAGGCCAAGTACGAAGATTTCGGTATGCTTTGTTTGGAAAGCAGATTCTTGAGGATCTCATCCAGGACCTGGATAAGTGGCAAGCCAGGTTCTTGCAGTATCTCCAGTTGATAACTTTCACGGGACATCGGATGGTTGAACCAAAGTCCGTTGCTGCAGAGTATGCCAAACAAGTACCGTCTCTTCAGTCGTTCTCTGTTTTGCAGGATCAGACTGTCATCGAGGACAAGGAAAGTGAACCAAGAAAAGTGGTGCCATCCAAGAAGGCAATCGAGCTTCGCGCAGAAGAGTATCCAACTCCACAACAGAGGCCTTTGCGTGGATCCACGGTATACATCTCGGGATGGCAAGAAGGAGGCGCACCCGCACAAAGTGTCATAGTAGACCGAAGATACTACGAGCCAAGCCGTGACAATCTCAAATATATCCGTCAGATCGTCAGCCAGACAGCACGCATCCTTTCCGAGTCCGATGTCGAGACCACGAGCATCTTGCCCTGCCTAGGTTTCGTTCATCGACCCGAACTCAATCGCTTTGATCTCATCCTCTCAATCCCAAAGTCCTTGCCCTCCTCCACAACTAAGGAGTTCGAGCCCCGCAGTCTCCGTCACATGTTGACAGACCCTGGGTATGGCGGCTATACATACCACTCCCTCAGCAAGCGTCTGCAACTTGCGAAGAAGCTCGCCTCAGCCGTGTTCTATATCCATACCTCGAAATTGGTGCACAAGAACATTCGCCCAGAGAACATACTCATGTTCTGTGGCCCGAGCGAGGACGCCGAGCTGATGAACAAGAAGGATGCATTTCCGTACAAGCTAGGCCAACCTGTCTTGGTGGGATTTGAAAACGTGCGTCAGGTGGAAGCTGAATGGGCCTCGAACCGCAGTGGCAGCTTGACGTGGGAAGAGGATATATATCAGCACCCGAGTAGACACGGAGCCACGGCTGCGAAGTACTACAGTGTGCAGCATGATGTGTATAGCCTCGGGATCGTGCTGATCGAACTGGCTTTGTGGCGTTCATTTGTTGTGTTTGATGCATAGACTAATGAGTTTGAACCTAACAAGGCCGTGTTTCGAAAGGGAAGAGAGCTTGTGGATGGTTTGAAGAAGCGCGATCTTACGGCGAGCAAGAAGCTGAAAGATGAAATGGAAAAGTTGGCTAAGAGTGAGGTGCCGATCGCGATAGGTACCAAGTTTAGTCGAGTGATCTTGACTTGTCTAAATAGTGTCGATAAGATAGAAGATAGAGATAGTGCGGATGATGACGTAGAAGTAGGCGTGAGATTCATACAAGATGTGTTAGAGAGCTTAGAAGACATTTCCGCTTGAGAACAAGGTATTCTTGATGATAATGTTAAACTTGGATTCTATTCAGACACGTCAATTTAAGAACCATTCTCTGTTTTCAATACTCGTTGGCAGTCATGTTCATATTCTTTCAATTCTTTCCTTCGTAGTTTCTGCCTGGGTATTCTCCGTTCCTTATCACACAGTGTGGCCCAAAGTCTCCGCTACTCCTGACTCTCTCTATCTCTTCTGCTTACTCTGGGCTATTATACCACTGTCATTCATATAAGATGCAGCGATACAGTCGAAACGGTGCCAGATGTAATCTCTACGCACGTATTACCATCAGAGCTCACGTGCACCCACTCAGCATGGCTGCATCACTCCCGCCCTTACAAGAGCCTGTAGGAGCTTCACTCTTTCTCCCTGAAGTATCGCTTCTATGTGCACTTTTTAATATCTCGCTATGGGTGGCAACTGCTCATGGCAAGTCTTCAAGGGGAAAGAGTCGTAACTGCTGGATTAAGACCTTGCCCGGTTTGCCCGAAGGCGAGTTCTCGATCACTTGGCTTTCTTCTTTCTTTCTCCTCCACAATATGATCACTGGCTTCATTTGTGTTTGCGACCTCCCTTTGCTCGAATCAGATTCGAAAGACACTCTTAGCCACGCTGGCATTGCACTCACTATGTTTGCGTTGCACAATATGACGGGTCTTGTGAGGTTACACGACATTGCAACTCTAGGCCTCGAATTGCTTGCTGTGTTGGCTTGTTTCCCTGTATTCTACTTTATCCTACTTCCAAAAACCACTGTTCATTCTTACCCAGCTTTACGATTGAAATACAAATCACAACATGGCGGAATCATTCAAGTACAACGCTCTCGGAGATGCTCACAGTTCTTGCTCCCGCCTCCTCATTCTCTATCCTTCTGAGCTTCAGACATCGGATATCCGCTGCAGCTTATTACATACAACTATTCAGGATTGGTAATACGACTTTATTGACAACTACACAGCAATTTCTTATACTTGGGGAGATGCCAGTCTTCTCAAGATGATTTGGATCAATGGGGTGCCACTTGAAATTACAACAAACTTATTCGAAGCTCTCTTGCATGTGAGAGATACAAAGAGGCAATTGCGTATATGGGCAGATGCAATATGCATCAATCAACACGATGATGAGGAGAAGAGCTTTCAAGTGGGGATGATGGGAAGGATTTATGCTACGGCACATCATACAGTCATATATGTTGGACTCGAGCCTACGTCCGCGCTATCGAGAACATTCCGCCAATATTATCCATCGGAGCGAGAAGCACAACAAATTGCACAAAAGCCATGGTTTGGCCGACTCTGGTGTTGCAAGAGTTGGTATTGTCCAAGAATCCTTGGGTTCAGTGCGGCCTTGTCCGTTGGAAATGGGACAATTACGTTCATGTTATCGAAAATATGACGGAATCCGCAGCGGACGCGACCATATGCAACAACAGCGTTACCAGTAGTGATGTAGCTCTTGAGAGCTACCTCGATCCCGTCCTCAAACGTGTTTTGGAGATGCACAATACACGAAAAAAACGTCACAGCTTTCGGGGCATAGATATGTTGGAGTTGGTTTCCAGCAGGAGAGGGCTTCAGGTGACTGACCCAAGAGACATGACCTTTGCACATATGGGGATCGCATGGGATAGCTATGCATTCCATTTCCAAACTGACTATACAAAATCACTAGGAGATGTTTACACAGAGTTTGCGCTATATCAATTCAAGAAGGACAAAAACCTTAGACTCTTGTTCTACACGGACGAGCCTAACGATGGAGACCTTTCGCTAGATGTTCCATCTTGGGTGCCCAATTGGAATTCACCCAAAACATCAAACCCGAAACCATTTGATTTTGGACGAGAATTTAGGGGATGGCCATTCATTTGCATAGGCAAGAACTTTGTCGAAGTGACTCCTTTCTTGACCTGTGCAAGAAGTCCACCAATGCTATTGGTGCTTGGTTGCCGGGCTGAGACAGTGGTACGATACAGCACTCCTCTTTCCTACCACCAGCTTCCCGAAAAAGACATGGCAGGTTTCGTGTGCAAAGTCACTCGGCTCAAAGCTCTCGTATCTGCACACGCCCAGTCTGGTAGCCAAGCCTTCGACATAGATGCATATCACGAGATATATGATCCTATGTACAACGCGTGGCGAGATACCGTCCATAACAACGAGATCTTGCCAAATCTGGAGATGAGGAGAAGAAGGAATAGGAAGCGCCCAGACATGTTGCCATGGAATATGTCGCGTCGAGATGCAGTTGTAGACTTACTGGTCGCTAGCTTTTATCCCGACTTTGATAAACGTTTCATCCAAAGAAGACGTCTTGCTAGGTTGTCCGGTGGAGCTCTAATTCTTGTCCCCCCAGCAATTCAGCTCGGAGACTTTGTTTTTCGATCTGCAAACGGTCTGGTCTGTGAGTCATTTCTCTTCCGCCACTGCACAAAGCCACTGAATACCGTGACGGATGGCAACGCAAGGTCAATTGTTCACAGTGACCTTGCCACTTCTCTGCAATCAACTATTGATGCTTTAAACATCGCCGTCGACCACTGTACCTATCTAGGACCGACTGTTATGCATGGAATGGAGTTCCAAGAGGCAAATGATACTCATCGACTATGGGACAACGAGTTCTGGGACCTCCTCCCTGGTAGAGATCGGAGTAAAGAAGATACAACACTACCGTCAACGATTTATGCAAATCATTGAGTTGAGACTTGTCAAAAGGAAAAAAGGATGATTTGTAGCTCCGTTGAAAGACCAATTTTGCAAACTGCGCAACTTGTAGATGCTACCCAAATCATATCATCGTACTCAACGACAATTGACGTTTCTTCGAATAGAACAAAGGTATTATCAACAACAGTACTTCGATGAGCAGTCGTGGTTTAGGGCAAATACTGGCCCGAATACGGAAGGCAGTTAAGCTGAGGTACCGAAGGTTGATTTGCTGTCACAGTATCCCAGCTCCTCATCACGTCACTCTGAGACTCCTTCGAGGGATGCGTAAAATAACATATTTTCTCATCCATGTGATCCCTGCAAGGTGGCTTACATTTCTCGGCGCACTGCCTTCATACAGCCCACCACCGGAGCAAGGAGTCTGAGACTTTACCGTTGCTGCATTTTCAACTGCGCAAATTTTGTCTCGCGTCGATCCTTTTTCATGCGGGACTCTAAGCTCGGAGGAAGTATTGCTACAGGTGAGGTTGGAGGTTTTTGTGCTATTCATTTCTCAAGGGAGGGGTAAAAGGATGGCTTCCCACGGGGCCTGAAATCGAATGCTATTCTCAGCCCAGTTCCTTAGCTTTGCAACACTTTCACTGGAATCACCACTTTTGTGGGTGGCTCAATGAACTGTGGGGGTCTCACATATCCTCGCTGCCCCAGCTCCACATATCTTCTCAGCTCGCCAAGGCTATACCACATTCTTTCAAATCGCGTATCAATCTTACGTACATGAGTATTGTCCAGGCTTCGGCTCCGATATTTTCGATATAATATCGGGTTATATCGACAATATATCGTACGAGGCAATATTCGAGTCGATATATATCGGATATTTTGAAGGATTCGAATGAATATTCGGAATATCAGTCACGTGACCGGATAATACTTGTTCCAGCTCCGTAGCCAATAGAAATCCTATATATTCTCAGCCTAAGGCCATAAATGCCGGCAGGTCGAAGACTAAACCAATTATGGCCTGAGGCTAGGAAGCTTCAGCCGCATTGTGGCTGAAATTATTGAGAATGAGTGGAGCGCCACTAATTTCAACCGAGGCTAGGCGTTTGAAACCTTAAAATTCAGGAATCCAGATGATATATCCTCAACAATTATTATTTTTAGTACTAATAATAATATATCGAGTTTTATTTTGCGATTTGCGATGTATGCGATATATTCGATTATTCATTCAATATCGGGCTTTTAAATATGGACGATATAATATCGACTATTTATTCAGAGGATTTAATATCGGACCGATATTATCGATAAAATCAATTCCGCGCCGAAGCCTGGTATTGTCTCCTTTGCAAAATATTTGCGTTGCTCTTTAAAAGCTACATGCCTCCATCGTATATGTAGACAGAAGTCCCAAGTCTTGATCATATCGCATGGCTTATGTGGTATCCTCTCACCTATTAGACTCAAACTCCATATTAGCTGCGTCATCTCATCCCGACTATCGTCTACTACTATCCTCTTTCTAAGCTCTTGAAGTGGAGACTCGAGCTACTACACCATGGCTCCCAATCAATCGGATCTCTCCAACCCTAAGTATCTCTATGATTTTGTGGTCTCCACCACTCAAGAGAGCATCAATGCAATATCTTCAGAACACTAAAGGGAAACAGCCATTCACGTACCTTTGTTTCTTAGCAGATTCTACAGGCGCTCCAACGATCAAGAAATCTCTCGAGGAGATTATGCAACTGAGTGGAGGTGTCAATCCTTTTGACATCCCTAATGGCGGCACTAATTACACCGATCCACGAATCAAGACCCTGACTGATGTTCGCCTTGTATGCGCCATCAGAATGCAAAGCGGTATTCCTCCTGGTTGCATTGTCATAATTCCCAACAAGGGTCCACAGCTGCATTTACCAGCGCCAATTGTCACTCTAGGAAACAGTTCTGACAATGTTATCGTCAATATGTACTGCTCCGACATTACCATCATCAAAAATACTCCTCCCAGTGGGTGGGGGAACGTAGGAACATGGAGTTGGTTTAGTCAAACGTCGGGAAACCCGTGGTACATTCAAACGCGGACCAACCTCTTAGTTTCTGCTGTCGATCAAAATCTCAATACTCCATACTTTAACTCTCATCCAGATCAGCGGGACGCACTCAAGAGAGCACTGAACAACATCTCTGGATCGGCGTTCAGCTTGCAACAGCTTCTTTTCAACCTAGACAGCGCTGTCGCACAAACAGTCTCTTCGTTCGTCGGCGTCACCGATAGCACTGCGGCGTTCCTATTGGCAGAGTCCTTCATAAATATTTGGTCAACCATTGCCAAGGCTCAGGGCTTACCACTTGTTGGAATCACTGCTGTGGCTCAAGCACCAGATGGATCACCGCTTCGGTTGACGGCATTGGAGCGGTGGGTTAGTCATGTCGTCGATCCTCTGTCTGGCGTCCAGATCGCAAATCCTTCTCCACTTCAGTTATCTGCCACAACACTCAACTATCTCTGCGCTACAGACGGACATCCGTTGCCAGGAGCATCGTCATTCAGCTGGAATTGGATAGAACCACAAGATGTCGCCCAATCCAGCGGTGTTATTGCTATCAAACGAAACACCATTGGCCTGGCCATGTCAGTCCGAGCCAATAATTCCGACACATTATTTCTGTCACTTCTTAACTCCCCTTTATCTACTTCTGGATGGATTGCCAACCCCAACTGGAAATCAATTTCTTTCGATGCTCAAAATCCACCAAGCTCGATTCAGATTACCAATATATATTTCTCCGAAACAGAACAGCAACAGCAATACATCATGGTCGATATTCTCCGCGATCCTACCTCACCACTTAAAGATACAGCTCGGTATATTGTGGATCCTTTTGCCACTTCTGGTGTGTATTGGACGCCTCACACACTACCCTTTGATGTTGAGGAAGGGACATATCAGAGCTGCATGGGTCGTGTCTCTAACGCCTATGCCGATGGAATCTACACAGCCGGTACTGCGCAAGGCGCTGCTCAACTCGCATATGTTCCTCTGTTCAACCTGATAGGCGGCGCCGCTCCTATGCCCACTCGTCTCGTTCTCCCCAATAAAACTATCGCTTCAGCAATTGCCTGAGCCCGCAACGACGACAAAACTTCGCATTTGTATGGTAAAACCGATCTCTACGCTATTGGCCAGTCCACCCTGTACCGATGGGATCCTGATCAGCAACTAGATGATAGCTCTGTGGGAACAGCTCTGTTGAACAATTCAGTTTTCGCTGGTACTGGCACCATTATTGCCCTCATTCACAACCAGGTTACCACCATTTTCGGCAAGAACGCCAGCAATGTCTTCTGGTACACAACATGTTATGTTGAACAGCTTGCAGACCCACAATCCTGGAGCGTCCCAGTTCCTGTACTCCGTGATATCGAACATATAACTTCATACATCAATGTGAAAGATGGTGGCAACACAGTGTTTGCGGCAGGGGGCAACAAAATCCAGCAGCTCACCCAAGCTACCAACACGACATGCAAACTCTGGCAAGCGCAACCCATTACCCTCGCGGCAAGCCCCCAGACCAGTGCGATGTCATTCAACTCGTATACCAGTACCATCCAAGTCAAAGGAGCTGATGGTCTACCAGTAACAGCAAGCGAAATCGTTCTCACAATGGAGGCACGCACCCCAGTCTACATCGATGGACTTTACTACATCTTGTCGACGACTCCAGTGACTGTGCCTGTCAACACATCCGGGCAAGTGATCATTGTCCAAGCAACAGAGAGCATTGCCGGAGCTACCATCGTTGCCAAAGTCGGTAATACTACCCAGACCATCGATCCCATGGGCAAGACATTTGCCAAGCTAGCTCAACTCTCCGACAAGAACGCTCTCAAGAACGCTCAGATTCAAACCAACACTACAGCTGGCGGAATCATTGGGACCCCTAAGACTGCTGCATTGGTATCATCTTCAGTGTCTGACAGCGACCTCCAGTCAACTTCTCAAAGCATTCAACTATTGTCAGATGCTTACAATAAGCAACAAACTTATATTTCGGCATCGTCATCGTTGAAGATGGCCGTTGGTCCTGTCCTTGCAGCTTTGGTGGTGCCACAGAGGAGTGCGACTATTACTCTTGGTTCCTATCTTGCCATGGCAGCAGGTGATCTGTTCAACTGGCTGAAGACGGGAGTTAAAAAGATCATCAACGTCATTAAGAACGCTGCCACGGGATTATGGGAATTCATTTGCAAGATCGGTAATGATGTGTACCGCGCAATCCTGAACACGGTGGATGATATTGTCGGAGCTGTCGAATGGGTCTTCGATAAAATCGAAACAGGAATCGAGACTCTGGTCCGATATATCGAGTTCTTGTTTGACTGGGACGACATCCGCCGCACCAAACAGGTCATGCACAACCTGGTCAAGTTCTACATGACAGATATGGTTTCTGGTATCAAGACAGCTCAGACAGAATTCGACAACTGTATTGCCGGTGCGCAGAAAGCTGTGGCAGAATGGTCCGGTATCAAATATTGGACACCTTTAGGGGATTCCGCTTCCAAACCACCTTCAGGCAACGCAACCGATCCCTCCAAGGACCAAACCTCTGGCTCTCAAATGCTGGCAGGCCATTTCAGGAATCAAGCAGACAATATTTCTATGCCTCAAGGAATGCCCGAGATCAGCTTGGTGCAGAATTTGGTTGATGATATGATAACAGCCATGGCTGCGGAAGGCATGGTCTTCACCCAGACCTTTGACCATTTAAAAGCTCTTGCCGCTGAATTTCTAACGCTCAGTGTGGCAGACATTTTGAAGCGTCTAGCTGGTATTCTCGTTGAGTCCGTTTTGGAGACAACCCAAGTTGTCGTGGATGCGCTGTTGAAGGTCCTATACCAGCTGGCTAGCACTGCGATTGCTGTTCTCGACACCAAGATTCACATCCCCATCATCTCAGACATTCTCAACGCTATTGGTGTTCCCGACATCTCGTTCCTTGATGTATTCACTTGGATTGGCGCCGCAGGAATTACAATCGTCTTCAAAATTGCTCGTGGCAAAGCTCCATTTGCTGATGATGCCCCAACTCGTGCTTTAATCCAAGCAACTGATTGGAATTCATTCTCCGCAGTCTTTAAACAACCATCTGTCAAGAATGCGCCTGGTATGAAATTGAGGAGTGGGGGAGCGTGAAAGCGGTATCTGGTGCCGGTGATAGCAGCTCCTTGTTCGGAATAGAGATTTCTCAAGCGGCTGGCGCTGCAATCTACTCCGCCGGCCATGCTATCACTGGTTTCATCGCCTTCACGGGCAACTTCCTCTTCTTTGGCAAAGCCATGACTGTGAGCTCCGACGAGAATCCATTTGGCGTGCCCGCTGCTGTAATGGGCGTCATTGCTGCTGCTGCATCTGGTGGAGCAGACGCTCTTGTTGCCAAGATGCCACTGGATAACACGGCCGTAGCTGACCTCCGTAAAATCACCACTGTCGCGACCATCATGTCGAAATTGATATTCTCGGGCCCGAGCCAGAAATATCTGGCTACGAGTCGTCTCTCCTTCCTGAAGGCGAATGACCCTCGAAAGGTCGGCGCCGTGTTCAATTCGCTGCCAGTGTTTCCTAGCCTAATCTGTAGCTGCTACCATTTCTATGAGCTATCGCAGAAGCCGGTTGGTAAGGAACGCTCGTTAGCTATTATTGGAGAGACTTCGAGCATGGTGCAGTACATAGGGAGGATTTCTTACTGTGTTGCTTTATTTATTGATGATCCGGAGGTGAGGATCGTTCCTGCTGGTATTATGGCGGGGACTTTTGTTGTGATGAGTGGGTTGGAGACTGCTGGTGCTACTATTTTTTAATTGTTCAAAATAAATCTTTTCAATTTCTTCAGCCTTATGCAATAACCGGACAGTCCTTGGCTCTGGAGAGCCGGGAGGTAGTGCCTCCTACGAGATCGCAAAGTCGGCAGCTGAGCTAGATTGCGATTTCTTCAACTAAGAATCTATACAAGAAGATTCTTGCAATATGATTGGCCAAGAGTTCCATAGCACACGCTTGTCAAATTGTGAATCTTTCCATTCTTGCGACGTGCAACAAAACTTGATCTTGGCACTGATTGACTGAAGATAATGGTCTAAGTGAAGATGAAGAAGAGTGTTTCAAGCTTGTCATTGACCTACGAGGACGATGCTTAGACACAAAGCTCGGAAACCAAGGGCGTCTTTGATCAACGAGGACGATGGTCAATAACAACTGGCCTCGTTGACGATCAACAATGGTGGGGGCGAAGTGAAACAAAACTTCTTCTTAGCTCTCATTGGCTAAAGCTAATAGTCCAAGCCATGAGTGGAGAGCGAAGGGGTCTGGCATCCGGGAGGAGGTGGTTATACTCGACGAAGAGGACTAGGATTAGTGACAGCCAGCCAAAGATGTCTTCCACTGGAGGACGCTTATGATATCTTTGACAAAGTGCAATGTGCAACAAGAGGTAAGAAACAAGACTGGATGGAAGCTGAAGATGGGCATTGACTTCAGTAATGCGGACAGGAGTGCAACCAAGGGCCTTAACCTCGTTGTCGATCAACAATGGCCACGGCCAATCCAACGCTCCTCGTTGACCATCAATAATGAGCTCCTCGTTGACCATTGATGATGGGGGCGACGGGCAACAAGTTTTGAGGATGGAGATCGGTTGAAAACAAGAAGTGCATGGTTGATGGGATGAATACAATTGTACAAACGGCTATGAAACAGCCCAGTGAAGCTGAAGAGCACTAACTATACGCCATTGTTAATCAAGGATGACCAACAAGAATAGGATGCTCGAGATTCACGCACAGAGCTATAGTAAATGAAACAACGGGGAGTGATTAGTTAAGAAGAGCATGAGGAACAGCTTTGACAAGCAGATAAGACGGCCACGCCATCGACGACTTTCACTCACTTGAGAGGGAAATTAAGATCCGGGCTGGCAGCAATTGGCACAGGACTTTCCAATGAGTCAGAATCAGCCCAAGAACCGTGAGATATATATTGCACACTCTATTACTCATCTCAATTAAACACCCAACATGATATGAAGAAGGAAATTTTCCAGACGCTGCTCAAACCTCATCATTTGTCTCTTCAACAACAACCGCGCTGGGTGCTAAACCAATTTGACCACAGTACTTATCCCACTCTCCAGTCTCAACGGCATCACATGCTATATGAGCTTCCAACACCTCAAGCTTCTCTCTTGCGACAACATCCACAATGCCAAACACCAAGTTGTCATCGCCAAAATCAGATTCTGGTTCAGGAAGACTTGGTCGTAGGCTGGCAAATTGTAGACTTGGCACCAGCATCTTGAGAGCCGGCCCTTCTAAGCCCCAGCAATGTCTTGCACGTTCTACAGATACAGTCGACAGTGCATAATTCAGCGTAGCTGGCACATCTCCGAAACAAGCTTCCTTCGCGTATAGAAAATCTAGGCGCTCCGTCTTGGTTGTGGTGTTCTCGACAAGGTGGAGAAGATCTGCTGGAGACAGCTTCATTATATCACGGACGAGGCGCCTGTATTCATTCCCTTCTCCCCAAGCGATTTTGGCCAAGGCTCGAGGTGGCAAAGAGTGCGAATAATGGTCTTGAACGATGGAGTTCGAAGGGTATAGGTCGAGTTCGACAAGTTGTTCGACGTGTGCTAGGAATTCGGACAGCTGGACATGTTCGACGGTAGAGTATGTGCGGAGGAGTCGGTGGCGAGGATCATCGTGGGAGGCTGGGGAAGGTGGGTCTGGAGAGTATTGAGTGAAGACTCGGGAGTGGAAGAGCGTGGTATAGGTCCAGTGATGGTAAATCGCTCTGCGAAGACGCTCCTTCTCATGAGGATGAAGGAGTCGTCTGTTATCGGATCCAAATCGCCAGCGCAGGCGTGGATAGAGCTCTGTCCACCGGTCTGCAATCTTGCCGTATTCGACCATCTTCTTCATGTGCTCTAGGGTCAATTTTGGTTTATCTCCAGCCTGAATTATGCGACCGAGGATCATGTTAATTCGAATTTCCATCCCAATGGGTTTGCGGCTCTTGTCGGGTTCGTTGCTGAGGACTAGTTTGAGGAGTGAGGGTAATGGACTGTATGAATTGTGAAGTCCTTGTTCGTAATGATGCATGCGGCGACCCAGGAAGACTCGGTAGGTTCTCCTCGAAGTTCGAGCTACGCTGAGGAGATCTTGTAGGTCTGAGTAATCGTATATCTTCTGGAGAAGTTCTGTGGAAAGGTGGGTGATCGACATCTTGGAATTTGGTCTCGATTTCGAGTTTTGGTTGATTATTCTTGATGTATTTCAACTGCAGAGGTCAATAGAGGTCTGCCAAAAACACACGAAGAACATACTTTTCTGTGCTGTAGTCCAGCTTCTAGCTCCAATTCTTGAAGCTTGTTTGTCAACCGTGATTGACCTCTTCTCTCTCCACGAGAGCTCTACACTCTCCTGCACACCAAGTATTTGAATAGAAAGAACAAAGTATCGATTGAGATCGATGAGAACGCGATTACAGCGTTGGCCGAGGTGGAAGCTGTAATATACAACCACCAACGGCAAGGAGTGCAAGGGACTTAACTCCCGAACACCCCGTCATTGGGGCTATATTTCAAAGAGCAGAAGACATCTTGCGACGTGCTGCTGTTTGAGAATGCCAGTCGCAAAGGACTGAGAAGCTGTGGTTGTATCATGGTTGTTGGTTGAGGAAGAAAAGAGAAGTTCGTCAGTGAAGTTGCATCCAATTTATCTGGCTGACAAGGGGCAAGCACGTGATAGATGTCTCAATTAGGCGGTGAGTGTAACGTCAATATTTCTCGACCGAGGTGAACGACAGCGTGGCATCGAATTCCAATAAAATGTTCAGCAAAGTATTGCAACATGAATGAGCCATGAAATAATTATGGACGATTGTGTTCTTTGGAGATCAATAAGCGTTGTTCACTTTCTCGTCGTTGATCAGTCCCTGCCCCTGAAAACTGACTGATATTCGTCTTTCATTAGAGCGACTAGTTCTCTCTTTTTGACATACTCGGGACTAGTACCAAACTTTTTAACTGATTCTTACTCAAACACTGTCCGAAATAATTATTCAGGGCTCTGCTCTCCGTTTTAAATTGCAGCCAGTCTAAAAGAAATATATCACTGTTTCTGTCAACCCTGCTTTCAACGAGGGGGACGACAGATGATATCAGAGTGTGCGTTTTGCAAAGTATCCAAGCTGTAACAGTCACGATGGTCAGAGAATCCTAGTGGATATCACGAGTAGTCAAATGAGAGAACTGATTTCTGTTTTGGGTTATAAGCAACAAAAGAGCGACTTGGGATCCTCCGACCATTTGACAAAGCTCTCACTTCTTCAAATCCAGTGCGCCCTGCAACATCCATTACCAAGCCAGGTTGCAAATGACAGTATGTCTCGTCTGTCCCTTTTGCCTATGTTGAATAGACTTTCGCATCCGACCGACAGCGTCACAAGGCCACTGCAAATATGAGTTGGTGCCGCTCAGGAAAACTGGTCTGGAAAAATTCATTCATACCCCTGAACGAAGAACATTTAGGAGGAACATTTGCAGCCTCCAGTGATACACGAGGAAGCTCCGCCTGTGATGCAGACAAGGCCGCTGCAGCAGTCGGCATCTGTGTTGCAACCTCCACCATTGCCGCTACATGCTACTGCAATAGTGGCCAGAGCCATGATGAGAGCGGCGTTGAGAGCGAAGACTTGCATATCGAAGAAGTAGAAAAGGTATACTGGGTTGTGGGAAGAAACAACTTTGGTGGTAGAATTTTCAGGTAATGATGTTCGGGTTCAATGAATTACTGAAGTGATGGACAAGAAGATTGCTTTCGGGAGTACAATGGCTTCTTATATGCTTTTCTACGTTCGAAGGAAGGGCGGTCCACGCGTTCGTGAAGATCGTTCTATATTCGATCTTCAAGCTCATGTCAGACTTTCTAACTTCATGCCTAAGACTTCATTCCTACACTTGGCGTGCAGAGTTCTCTGGCCATGGACCCTTCCACTTCTCCAAGTTTCCTGAAGTTTGGTGATATAGCTGGGTAGTAACTAGCATCTCTTCCACGGCCCCGCTGTAGTTCTATAGTTGGATTTGTATTGGTCTCTAAGTGCTTTTTGTAAGAGATTCATAATTCCCGAAGCAAGCATGTTCACCGGTCACTACGGCCCTAACGGAAGAGCTTCAGGTCTCGGGGCAAGTATCCTCACCGACAACGGTAGCCCAATACGTAAATCGCATATCGAAGCCTGTAAATTTGCGGTTACACTACGTAGCTATCAAAATCAACTCGTGAGCGTGACCGTAGAAGCGAGAGTCAATGTTAGAACTAGAGGTCCAATGGAATATTCTCTTAGGTAACATTAATTTATGCAAACTCCTGTACACTGTAAGATTCTCTTTTTAGACGAATTACAATCAATACCTGTTTCATAAGTACCACGCGGTGAAACAAATCCTCTTGGGGGATTACGACTGACGTCAAATATCAGCACACAACTTCGACATGAATGCGAAGTGACCACTTACGGCAGTTTGGGAGCCCGGGGAAAAGATGTCCGACATAGTGGCGAAGCATCAGCAGAAGATAAGCCGCACTGCGGCGGCGAAGCACAAGGTACATAATACAAGAACTACACCATTAGAAATAAGCGAGAGCACGAGTGTCAGAGATTCCATGGCTTACAACTGATTCTAGTGCTCTATAACTCGCACCGACAAGACAAGGTTCTGAATGTTCGGAAAGTCTGGTACAACCACTTTCTAACTCCATCCAGATGATTGTCCTGCAAGCCACCACACATACTCAAGCCTTCAAGGCTCGTCTCGCCATATCCTCCACCTTCGCATTATTCTCCTTATCCACCTTCCAGAACTTGACCGCAATTTGTTGTTTGTTTAACTCCAACAACTTCTCATGGACCTCCTTGTACAGCTCACCAAACCCGACTGGTTTCTTCTTCGAGTTGAGGTATTCCTTAGCAGCCCAACTCCAGATGGTTCCGGTGATGTGATCATGAAAACCGTTATTGCGCGGCGTATCGCTCGTCTTGATGATTATCGTGTTGATCTTGGGAAGATTGTGTATGGTTGGGAGGGTCTTTAGAACGATCAAAGTTCCGACAAGCTCTGCGACCTGATTTCATCAAGTCAGTAACCAAGGATGTATCGTTGAATGTGGAATGATGGATGTACTTGGGGATTCTGGTCGAATGTGGGGAGAAGAGGAGCAGCTTCGTTGTATGTACATTCTGGACCGTAGAAGATGGCGTATGCTACCTAGGAAATGTATCAGCAGTTGCGCATGTAACCTTCTGAAGCTTTGTGATGGAATACCTTCACTTCCTCATACTTCCCAGACCCTCCAGCTGCTCTAGCGATATCAACGACGATGGAGTCTTCATGGAAAGCAAACTGTTGAATACCAGTTGCAGGATCGATGACGAGTGAGAGGCCGATCTGGTCGTAGGTGTAGTCCAGCTCGTTGAACATCCGGTCCGCCATTCTGACGTGAATATCTCTGGAATTGAGATCGCGCTGTCTGTATTGGCTTTGTGAAGTGCAAGACTTTGAGTTTCGTCGGGTATGAACCAGCGACGGGGTTGTTGACGGACAGAGAAGGAGAGCGCAAGCCTGCTTTGTCGACGCTAGGACAACGAAAGTCATTAACGTCAAGCTAGAAAGGATAGGATGAGGTGAATTGCATTGTCGAAGCTGATTCTATCCTTCAGCGATTATCAAAGATAATCCGGTCCTGGAAAATGTTCAGATGGATGCACTTAAGTTGCACAATGATTGACGAGAGGGGAATGCAAGAGCGCCCAACAGAAATCACTGCAGATGAGTTTCCGAACCAGCAGAAAGTCGAAGCTGCGCTGCTGCACTGGTATGGTCTCAGAGTATGATGAACCTCAAATCTCACTTTGCGCTGATATCCCCTTGCGACCCGGAGCGGAAGCCCTTGACAACGATCAACATCTACTCACAAATTCCAAGACCGTAAAGCCCCACGTTATTTTCGAGATCTCACTTGTCTCCAATTTCTGCCTACCATACATCACTTTCCGCTGATGCTTTTCTACAAGTCGGAACTCAAGCTCTTGACAACAGTTAACAGTCAACAGCTACCCACAAACCCCCTCACACTAAACACCCGGTGTCATCAAAGCCCTATGTGTAAGTAAAAAATGAAGCCGGCCGCACACTCCAGGCTCACGTTCCACATCATTGGGGAAGGTGTTCGTTGAGTTGGTGGGAATGTGGTTTTAGGATGGGGTTGCGCCTGTTTATATACCCCATTGCTCGCCGCTAATTGATAGCCCTCATATGATGTCTAGGATTCAGGCTTAGGAATGACGTGCTTCTACGTCCAGAGCGAGTGTGAATAAAGGGGATTCACTTGACGAATAAAGATTTTACTAAGGAAAAAAGTGATATTTTACATTGCATTCATGTGTCTCTAGAACTTCACTTGGTTTGCACACAATTAATACTAATGTGCCTGAGATATGTTTAAGTGGTGTGGTTAGTTTTGGTGCAAGCTTCCCCCTCGCTCTGGATGGGACGATGAATAAATAAGAAGATTGATGCTTACTTAGCAGTAGCCTCTTGAAGTAATTTATAGAAGTTTCGAATACCTAAGCTTATACCTTGCTTTACAGACTCCGTCTATATCTCGCATTCAATGTACAAAAGCATTCCTTGCTATAGCCTCAGTTTACAATTCCAAGACATGCATCCATCCTCAAATCTAATATACAAACCCTCTCACACCCTCCTAATTCAACGCCTCCCTGGCCAACTCCCCAGCTTGCACATTCTGATCCTTTCTCACCAAACAAAAGCTCACCCTGGTCCCATACTCCTTCTCCAACAACACAACCCTCTCATGCAAAAACCGAAACGCCCGCCCATTAACCACCGGCCTTCCCTCCGTATTCTTAAACCCATTCGAGGCCCACTTCCATATAAACGAACTGAGCCCCTTCTCCAAATACGACGAAATCGTCTTGATAACCACATGCGAAAGATCTTCTCCCGCGATAATCAGATCGTGAACTACGTCCAACGCTTTCATCGTAGCGTACAACTCGGCCGATTGACTTGTCTGCATGAACGGATCGGGGACTGTACCGTTGCGGTTTAGATTCAGAGCGTACTCGGAGACGAAGACTCCATAGCTTGCACGTGCGGAGGATAATGCGTTCGCACTGCAGCAGCCGTGCACGGCGACCACCAGGGAGGCGGGATCCGATTCCAGGCGTCGGAGATTTGATGTGGGATCGTTGTAAGCCTTGGCGCCGTGTTGCTCGATGTTGAATGTTCGTGTTGTTTTGGGGATGGTGACTGGTTGCCGCTTGGCGATTCTTGATGTTTGGAGGCCGCGGCGTGGTCGTACTTTGCGGGTTCCTGGGGCTCGTCCTCGGATACATACTTTGCGGAGTGCTTGGCCAATGTCTCTGCTGTCGAATTCGTCTTTCATGTTGGACAATGAGGTGAATGTGATTGTTTGAGATAGTTGCGCTAAGTGAGATGAGTGAGGTTGAGATAGCCTCGTCTGTTAGTGTCCGTTCGCAGCTAGACTGGGATTACCGCTGAGCTAAGCGGAAAAGAGTATATATATGTTTGAAACGAGGGAACGTAACTTTAAGCAGGAGTCTCAAAATGACCTTACATAAGTTTGGAAGCATCTCGCATATCAAAATAACGCAGAACTGACTAGACTTGAAGATAGAGACTGATCTCTCCATCAGGGAACTCGCAGTCACGTGATCTGTAATTCTTCTCCTGACCTGGGGACGCAAGTATCTCACTGGAGTTGCTCAATCATACATTAAGCTTGCGTAGAAGCAGAATGACCAATCAAATAGCAAACTCATATTGATCTGAGCTCAACAAGGCAAATATTAAAAAATCGCCGCTTATTGAGCTCCAATGTAGTCGCACATTACTGTTGGCATCCTGGACTTCTTCCTTATTCTCCCCAGAAGGTGTTTGCCAGCTCTCTGTTACATGTGAACACACCAGATCGAGATTTCCTAGATCTGCATACTCTTTATGAAGAGATACCCGCCCTGCTGCCAGCAGGAAGATGAAACACATGATCCTGGAGATTGCACATCACCTGGAAGGACCTCAACAAACGTAGGAGGTTTGTAAAGGCAGCAAATGTGAGAATAGATCCATCTTTACGTCGCCGTACCACATTATTGGATCGAGGTAGCATCCTGCTTTCGATATCATGAATCTCGGCTGCGTCGTTAGCTGCAAGAATGACAAAGACCAATAAAAATGATCAGTAGTTTGATGTTCATCCAGCCTCACGTATGATGAGGTAGATGCAAACCGTCCGAATATGTTATGCATTATGATGATTCAGCTCAAGCCTCTAGCGCTCCAACTGAGTATGAAAATCCCTCAAGGCAACACAGCCGAGTGTAGCAAGCGCACATGAGTGGTAGTCATGTCGGCACCGCTTCCTCTTACTTCTTCCACTTACTGCTCAGACGCCATCTATGTGTTTGAGGCATGCATAGCCTACGGTAGACTGATCTGTCCGAACAGCTCAGTGTAACACAGCATATGCTTTGCGGCCCGAAGATTATACCTAGTAAGTCGTCACATTCAAGCAATCCGAGATGAAGAGGAGTGGACATCTAGAGACTTTGCTTCAATCATCCCTTTTCCCTCCAGCACCATCCAAAGAGAACCCCAGAATTTTGCTTCAGTTTCCGCCATGGTGACATTCGAAGGATACTCGGCCGAACTCCACTACAACACACTCCAAGACCTTTCAGCAGCATACGATGAGTTCACTGTGCAACAAGTACAGAAAGCAATAGACTCAAAGATCGGAAACCTCTTTGTCAAACATGGTGTTCAGTCCGCTCTGGGACTGACGCTCCTTCACAGGCACTTTCCTATCAGCCAAAGCGAGAAAATGGTCAACTACGGCGCCGTCGCCTGCCCGTGGGACACAAGCACCATGTCCGCAGAGGTTGCTCGCAACATCCATTCGTCCTTTTGGCGATTTACCCAACCTACTGTAATGGCCCCGTACGAGTTCGAGTACATCATGGGAGCTTCATACGAGAATAAGCTTGAAGAGGAGAGATTCCAGGTCTTCCTAGGAGAATTTGGAGCATTCCTCGAGGATCACAACTTGATTCGCCTCCTCGGAGTCCAGATGCTCGACGCAATTGGGGAGGAGCCTGGTCTCGAATTCACTGCGGACAGAGCTAATATTACTCTGCCTCTTAAGGTTTCTGGTCTTGATGCAGACGATGCCATCGAAGCACTTTGGGTCTTTGATCAAAGCCTTAAGGGTGGTTCCATCGAAACCACCGCGTATAAGACCTGCCGCAAGAAGTGTGTCAAGAAGAAGACTGGTCACAGAAAGGTTCACACCTGAGTTGCATGGGTTATGGTAGTTATTTGGTAAGTCACCTTTCAAACCCATACGAGTAGATCTGGCACTGAATTCAGCAAAGCATGTTCTTGATGGACAGTGGTTGTCAAGAAGAGAGGAAGTTTCATGTGATCCTGGATTTTCATGCTCCTCTATGTCTGTTCATCGAATTCATGTAATTTACCTCTTACCTTAAACACCAGATTTTGGAATGATGAACATGACTTCTGTCACGAGAATGCAATAGAAAGCACCCAAGTTCAAGATACTTTCCATGTGTCGGAAAAACTACCATCATTTGGTTACTCTAAAGCAAAATTCCTGTTTCGCGTGGCGAAGTAGCACATCTTTCGCAGCTGGCAAGTTCCGGATCGTTGCCAGTGTCAAGTGCTAGTTGATTATTCGGCTATGCAGGCGCCTCTCAAGGCAAAGATTAGGACGTCCAATTGGAAGAATACCGATTTTTCACTTCCTTTCTTGGTGTGTCACAGATACTGCGACCTATCACTGCATATCCATTTTCAATATGTTATTGCAGGTCCGCTTTTCTTCTCCTTGTGGGCGTAGCTCACACCAAAATTGATACAATCTATGGGAGGGCGCCGGCATTGCATCGCTCACGTTGCAAAATACGGTGGCTTGCTGATACGAGATCACGTTGCAGAAGCATAAATGCCTCTGCCGGAACTTTCCGTCTTATACTGCGCAGTGAGAGGTGCTGATTATAGCACTTTCATATAGATCAGTTATACGGCATAATTAACCAAGAACATCGGGCGAAAGTAGCAGACTCGCCTCGAATAGGGAGAGGGAAACAGCAAAGCCAGAACTGTTGTCAGCGAGCCGCCGTAAGGAAGATTCCACCATCAACTCCAGGATGCACCTCATCAGGCTACAGCCATACGTTCTGTCAGCGATACACAATGACTCAAAATCAAGCGTCACAATCACATCTAGTGGGAATTGTGCCCGCAGCCTTACATTGCTTCCCGAGTGTGGATACTGGAGGTGAGTTGGAAAGAATTCTCCACGAGCATCGTGCAGCTGCTATCCACCTCACTTTCTGTCTTCTTCCAATATTTTGCTAGCATTTTGGTCACTGGTATGAATGCATTGTTATTTAGCTTTCCTCTCTCTCGGGACATGCCACTTAAATGTGACCACTCCCCATTGCAGGCTTTGAATCTCTTGCATTAGAATGTTGAGATAGGCTGTCATTCTAAAATGTATTTCAATGGACAAACATTGAGGATGCCACACTGAACATGCCACTCCTGTTCCTATCCATCTTTTAGGTTTGATTCTATTTCTGAAACTTGTCTAATATGATCACAGTAGCATGCTGACTCCGTGGGCTGCTGGTAGGCTTTCTGCACGGCTAATTGGTAACAGTAGCCACGTACTAGGCTATTGCGTTGCTATCTAATCATCCAAGTGGAAACTGACTTTTCATCCAGTAAGGATGAGATTGCACCTCACAGACTTGTTGAATCGGCGATGGTCAGGCATTATCACATGTGATGCATATGTGGTATCATGGTGTCTAACCACTTGTACGGGCGTCTGGCTGTGTGAGACTTACTCGTCTGTTCAATACACCAAGGAAAAGTTTTGCAACTCTTGCTGCAGCCGTCCTAACCAGACTCCCCATTCTGGGTCACGGTTCAACCAGTATTCTGGAGTTGCAAGATTAACCCCTTCGCCTCATCGCTGCTCGCACCTTAACTACCCTGCTTTCTCCCTGCTTTGGAGTCAGAGACAAAGCACCACCAGGTACCCAACGCAACACTTGAAAGTAACTCATTGAAAACCATTTTCAATCCAACTTGTTGTTTCGCAATGTCTGCCTCTGCTCAAACCCTCCCACCTCCAGAAGTGGCCTTCCGCCTCCCTGGCCTCAGTAGTAAGAAAGTCCTGTTCTCTCGCAAGAGCCAGGATCCCACGTACTGGCACTACCCGGAGGATGGTGGGGTATACGACGACCAGTGGTGGTACTTGATCCCTGGGGATGGAGATCACGCTGGGTACTACTTGCTCAAGAGTAAGTACACTGGGAAGGTGATGTTCTCGAGGAAGTCACCAGATCCCCGCGTGGGCCACATCGACGGCGATGGGAAATATGCTGATAACTGGTTCTGGCTCGAGTTCGGCACTGGTGATAAGGTCAACAACTTTCGCATCCGCAACCATGCTTCGGACATGGTCCATGTGTCTCGCTCGGGAACGGATCCGGAGGTCATTAACTATGCTGGGGACGGGACGAAGTACGACGATCAGTATTTCTCGTTCTTGTGCGAGCTAGTCAATTTCGACAACATCGAGTACCACATCAATGATGCGAAGATTTTGAGCTCCGTGGTCGTGGCCATGGGTACTGAAACGGATTGCAACGAGACCGACACGGATCAGACCATTGAGTTCACCTTCTCGAAGACAGAGTCTGTCTCGTACACTTGGGACTACACGGTGGGCTTCATCATCGATATCGGAGCTGGAGTGGAGGTCGAGGTTCCTTTTGTCGAAAGCGGCAACGTCAGGGTGGATGTGTCCAACACTCACACATTCTCAACCATGCATACTACCAGCGAGGACACCACATTCTCCGGTACTGTGACTACCACTGCTCCACCCCACACCGAAGTCACGGCCACGGCGACCATGACTAAATCCGCTGTCAGCGTCCCGTTCACAATGTACGTGATCGTTGCCTCCACCAACAAGACGGTTGCCATTGAGGGCACTTACAACGGTACCAGTTTCTGGAACATCCAAGCCGACTTTACACAGAAGAGTCTCCCAGACAGTAGCTAGATGCCTAGCTTACAAGTCTGGCTCTTCAATGGTGGATAAATAAGACCTGGAGAGAAAGGTGGGACCTTGAGACCGAACAAGGTGCATGTCAGGTTGAGCTTACGACAAACTTGGACTATTTATCTTTCATCCTGTAATTAGATACACGCCAAATTGACTTCAAGTTTTACCATATGTGATAGTTACATCTCATCGTTATAGATGACATTGGCGAGCGACGACCTGTTCCTCGTGCAGACCGAAGGAAAGAACTGACTTCCACGAAAGTCAAACTTCACCGGATCCTATTTAGTCCACGGGCATGAGCAGCGGCCTCTCTAACCTGAGCCGAAGATGATGTAGCGGGGCTGGCTATACTGTTTCTTGATCGAAGGTTTTGGTGGTGGCGATGGATTGCTGTTTAAGCGAGGTTATGTGGATTTACCTAGGTATGTACCTAGGTAGCGCCAATTATTTCGGCCACACGTGACAACTAGCATATAATCTGGTGTGCAGAACTTAGAATAAATCAATAACTTCTCTTCCCTCGTTATTTTAGAGCTCATATTATAATGATTACGTCCCACCGACGTCTGGTGTTGTTTTCGGTGGCTGTCAGAGAGCTGAGTTGTCTAGTATCACGTGTGTTGTTTTGGTTCCTTCTCCTTACCTAGGTACCTAGGTAGGTAGGTAGGGTGCCCTGCCCTTCTACAGTGAGCACGGCTGAGCAGAGCCCGACCAAGCCTGCATCCAGTGAAAGACCCAGACAATCTTTTAACCAAGGCTTCCTGGAGGGCTGACATGTCACGTCGCTTGTACACAGCCTCATAATTTTGGCGTCGTAATTGATTTCGAAATTGAGATCAACTGTCTTCATCGTTTCGCTCGCACATTCATCATATGTTCGTATTCTTCTCGTTGCGTCATGGACCCCTTGACTACTCTTTCGCTTGCAGGCAATATTATCCAGTTTGTCGATTTCGGAACGAAGCTGTTCTCGGAAGCCAGACAGCTCTACAACTCATCAGTCGGGTCTTTGAAGTCCCACGACGAGATAGAACTGATCACCAACGATGTCAAAGCACTCGTGAAGAATCTCCAGCAAGCCTTTGCCGCGGACACAAGAGGTGTTCAAAATTACTCCGCAAATTATTGGGAGAATTTCCGGAAAATATGTGATGAGGCTGTCAGCGTGGCAGAGGACCTGCTTGAGCTTTTGAAGGAGCTCAAACTCGTCCCGAGTGGTAAACGTCTGGCTTGGTCCAGCGTACAAGTGGCCCTCCGCAGTCTTTGGAGTGAAAAGAAGATTGCGGCATACATAAAGCGTCTCGCGGCCTTGAAAGACGTCTTGGAGTCACGAGTTCTATTCTCAATCCGGTGCGTGTGCTACACCCGCTTTCCTAGCTTCTTATTATACTGATGTTGAGCAAGAATGTATTGACATAGAGGCTGTTCGAACATCAGCTCGCTTCGATTGTCTTGATCGACAAACGCAACGGATTATCTCCGCAATGCTAGGACAACATACTGCGATGAGCAAAGCTGTTTCTGGAGTTATTCGAGACGAAATCACCGCGCTCACAATCACCCTCTCTCAAATTCTCAGCCGGCGTGAATTCAAGAGTGAGGATGACCATCTCCGAACTCGGCAGATTATTCTCCAGCAGCTTTGCCAGCGAGAGCATCAGAGCTACCCTTCTGGAGGTGACATTGTCGCAGGCATCGAGATGCTTCAAGTTTCTGATACACAAGAAAACCGCCTCCGTGATTTTTTACAGAGGGGATTCATTAGAAGTCTTTGGTATGAAGAAATGACTCATCGCTATGAGGACATAGTCGAGGCACATCCGGAGACGTACGAATGGGCTTTTCATGATCCTCCCCAGGATGCTCATTCATGGAGCAGCTTGTACGACTGGCTCAAGACTGGTCGCGGAGTGTACTGGGTGAGTGGAAAGGCTGGTTCTGGGAAATCGACACTAATGAAGCATCTATTCGACGACCCTCGAATGAAGAAGTGTTTAGAGGCCTGGGCTGCCGATACTCCGCTCTGCATTACAACCTACTTCTTCTGGAACTCCGGAACGAGAATGCAGAAGTCCCAGCTTGGCTTTCTACGAGCTTTGCTGTTCCAAGTTTTGCAAAAGCATCCAGATCTGATTCCCGTAGTGTTTCCTATAGACTGGGCAACCTTGTATTCTAAGAATGCGCGAGATACCTCGAAGGAGCTCGGGGACTTATGTTTCGACCTGCAATGGAATCCCAAGTCGCTCATAGGTGGTTTCCGAGCTCTTGCTTCGCAGAAAACAATACCTTTAAAGATCTGTTTTCTAATTGACGGGCTCGACGAATTCCTTCTTCTTTCTTTACCTTTAGATTCTAAGAGATAGCCAATCGATTCTTCGTCTACGTCCTGAGCTCTCTACCGTGCTGTCACAAATTCTGTTAGTGATTCAGTACAACAAAGCGACATAAGTTCTTTTTTCTTCAAGTTAAAGTAGAATACTTCATCGAGTGGCAAGAAATTAACATATGATATGTTTAGGGATGTAAATTGTAAGTGTCAGCTCAAATATAAACAAAAGCTTCTTTGAAAAAAAAACTTCACTTGTGGTTCCCCAGCGCTGGTTACTTAAAGCGAATACTCTCTCACCTTTCAAATTGTGTCTACAACAGGGTATCCTCATCCTACTATACAAAAAGCACTAACTTGCCAGTATATCCTACAACTCCTTCTGTACCATCAAAACTCCAACAATCAAACCAAACCTAATCATTGTCCGTACCGCGATGCAGAGGGAGAAGGATACTTCCCAGCATACTGCGCACCATCATACGGAGCATACTCAGGCGCACTTTCAGGACGAGGATCATAATTCATGTTCCCGCCGGCATACCCAGGCGCAACTTCGGGACGAGGATCATAGTTCATGTTGCCTCCAGGATATCCAGGCCCAGCTTCAGGTCGAGAATCGTAATGCGTGTTTTGCGGAGGGATCAATTCCACGCGATCATACTAATTCCCATCAGCAAAATGTCCCTACAAAGAAGGACAAAAACAGAACTCACCTCCACACTCCCCCCCGAAGCATAAACCTTCGTAGCTGGATAATTTCTCCCCCCACTTCTGCCTCCAGAAATAGCACCAATAATAGCCTTCACCACATCCGTGATATTCAACGCTTGGATAACGGCTCCGAGGCCTATTACTCCTCCATAATAACTTCCATGACCTAAAGTGCTGCCTTTCTTCAGGTTGTATTCGCTGGTACGGAAGACGTGTAGGAAAGCTAGTGAGAAGAGGATCATTTCGAAGGCGACGACGAGGTTGGGGATAGCGATTGTTAGATCTTTATACGTCAATTTAGACGAGGGATGGAGATCGCCTTCCGAGCTCAGGAACGAGAATACGATCTATGCATCAATCAATCAGCATCTTGAATTCTTTCACCTCTTTCAACAAAGGGGGAACGTACATTCTGCAACCAAGTCAAACCAACGATGCCCTTAAACGCCAATAACTTCGCCATGGGCTTCCGTTTATCAACTCGTGTTTTCATGCTCTTGTAGAAGCGCAGGACGGACATGATTGCCATACCGGTCGAGATGCCGGTTATGACCGAGACCCAGATGCTTGCGAAGTAGAGCTTGAAGGAAGATGCGCAGTAGGTTCCGGTCGCTTCGGTGATCTCGGTGAGGATAAAGGTGAGGAATTCGACGACGGGGAATTGGAACACGGCGAGTGCTGTTTTCTGGAGAGTGGGTTAGTAGGGGGAGAGAGGAAGGGGCGAGCTAGATGGTACCCTGTATGCGGCCATCTGACCAGAGGTTTCGAAGAAAGCTTGCCGTTCATCGTCATCTTCTTGGATGTAGGCTAGGAGAAGGAGGAAGAATGCAGAGAGAGCGAGGGATTCGTAGAGTGTGGTGAGCGGTTGGATGTAGATCGAGGCGTTGTTGAAAGCCACGGATAGGAAAGAAGCAACAGCGAAGACTGGGATAATAAATATTAATCGAATCACTCTGATCATGGTCAGCTTCTGGCTTTCGCATGGGGCATAAGAGTTGCGTACTGTTTTTGTTCTTTGGGTACTGCATAGCGAGTTGCGTGACGGAAAATGAGGAAGAAGCAGATCAAGCATGAAATGATAGTACAAGCCCCTGCTATTATGACTGCCACTTGGTGAAAACTCATTGATCCAATGAACGGGACTTGAGCTGTAGTGGGGTCAGTACCACCATATTTTGGCATTCCGGAGCATACTCACGTGGATCCGCCAAACTTTTATCGGGACATGTGTGATTTGAACTGGAACCGGAATCATCATGGTGAAAGACCATCTTGGAGATCAATGAGCTTGAAAACTGAACGATGATTGCAAATGTACAGTACAGAAATGAAAAGCCAAAACTTTGACGGAGACCCTACCACTTTATAGATATATAATTGGTATCTGACATGCCTGTCAACGCTCAGCTGTGCATCGTGAGAAGGAGCCTCGTGCATGTGAAACAACAGGGCAACGGCCTTTGTGGAGATAAGCGCCTCCTAGATCACTGGGGTCGTAAGGCTTATTTCTCTTCTCACGACTGGGATATCAGGGTCCATGTTACTGTAGGCCTGCGGCTTTGCCGCGCCTTTTGGCAGAGGAGTACGTTCGCTGCACAGCCGTTGATTAACGGCACACAAAAATGTTGTTCCCGTACCCTTCGTATTTCGTAAAGTTGGGAGATGTGATGCGGACATCTAAACTTTTGCATGAGATCTTCACGGCGCAGCATCGCGTCGACCTCAGCCTTAGGAGAACGTAACGCTAGCCTCTTTAGGAACGATAGCGAGCATCAAAACCGGTTTAGCTCCAGGAGCATTCCTTCCATCGCAATTTTCCTCATTTTGTCCATGCTTGTCCTTAATGATCTAGAGAGTCCTATTTGGGGTTTTGCTTTCAGCTGGAAAGCGCTGCATGTCCATCTTTCGACAGCTAGCCATGACTGAACAGACGCCGTACGCCGCACCAGTTCAGGAATCCGGATTACCCCGAGTATGCCTGTGCCGTCCAGAAACGATAGGCTGTGAAGAAGCAAAAGTCGGGTTGACCGCCGTGTCATCATGCACTTCGAAGTCATTACCAGATTTGGACAGAGCTGAGGCAACTCTCTTGAAGTGAGTTTCCGACTACGTATAATCACAACATAGCCACCCAATGCAGTATCATCGAACTGTAACTCCAATGGTCCGAGACTCCATCAAGCCCAACATCCATATTCCCACTATCCATACTGGAGGAGGGATGTATGTCGAATAAACTGCCGGGTTAGGAAGAGGTGGAGGTTCTGCTCTCTGTATTCTTCTTAGCAAGACTCGAATACTATCAGTAGCTCTCGTCCCCGAAGGAAATACAGCCATCGCTTTCGACTACTCTACCACTTTCGAGTCCCGTTCCTTTTCCGCCTCTTTCTGTTTCTCCAACAAGGCCAATAAAGTCGGCGGTGCGTCCTCCTTGCTCATGAAGACTTCCACCATATGCAAACCCTTCCCTCTCTTCAGTTCATCATTCTCAAGCACATTCTTCAGCTCTGCCCAAGTCGCGACGCTATATGTGTGAGCCCGATATTCCCCCTCCTCATCCACACCGAAGAAAGCTGGAGCAAGCAAGTATCGCCAGGGAGCCACATCATTATAGCTCCGATTCCGTCCATGGATACACCGCTCAATGGTATAGCCATCATTGTTGATCACAAAAACAATCATATCCACTTTCTGGCGGATGACATCGCTGAGAGCCTGTACAGACACTTGCAGACTTCCATCTCCAACAAACAGCAATGTTCTGCTTTGGTCAGGTTGATGCGAATTCTCCTCGTGAAGTTCACGTTGAGCCATAGATGCGCCGAGGGCAGCTGGAAGCATGTATCCTATCGATAGCCAGGTCACAGCTGTGAAATATCTCGCGGTTTGAGGGAGAACGAGTTCGCGGCTTCCATGTGCTGAGGTTCCGGTTTCTCCGAGGACAATGTCTCCAGGTCTCAAGAAGCTAGACATGGTCTTCCAAAAATGACAGTGGGTAACGGTCTCTGAGTCGCCAGGACTATCGACAGAGTCGACAACATTACCCTCAACGGAATGCGGTGGGCTCACCGATACAAGCTTTGAAATTTCCAAGTTTGTAAGTAATTGATTGAGAAATGGCTTCATTGGCAGATCTCGGATTATTGTCGCATCGGACTGGATCTCTGTGGCTCCAAATGAAATCGTGACTGCGGGATTCGGAATGTTGGAATACTGATAAGTGTTGCTATCACTGTGATGCGGTCCGAAGCTTAGGATTAGGTCGCACGATTGAACGTATTCCTTGACATGCTGTTGGCTAATCTTGCCTTTGTAGATCCCAAGATTGTTTTGCAAATTCTCGTCGATGAGGCCTTTGCCGAAAGTAGTCGTCCATGTTGGCCAGTCAGTGAGCCTGACGAGTTGATTGAGCTCGTCGATGGCACCAAACGCTCTGATTTCGCCGTCGACGAGGATCATCGGACTCTTGCAGCTGTACATGCGATCAAGGACCAAAGCAAGTGCTGCTGTTGCATTCAAAGGCTGAGCGAAGTGATCAATGCTGATATCTGTGTCGAGGCGAGCGGATGCAATCGGAATGGGTACCATGTCGGCCGGTACTTCGATGTACACAGGTCTGCTTTGCAGCAAGCATTGTTCCAAGGCAAAATCAATCTGAGCAGAGCAGGTTCGCGGATCTGTCAAGTTTACTTGCGCCGTGGTGACATGGGCGTGCATCTGTGCAAACCTGCGATAGTCACCATCGTTGAGAGTATGGTGTATAAGAGCATGTGAATCCTGAGATGCTCGGCTTGGAGTACCAACTATGTGGACGACAGAAGCTTTTTCTGCGTATGCACCGGCAATGGCATTGATTGCAGAGAGCTCACCGACTCCAAATGTAGTGATGAGAGCTCCGATGCCCTTGACCCTCGAGTATCCGTCAGCGGCGTACCCAGCATTGAGTTCGTTACAGTTGCCGGCCCAGTGCAAGCCAGCTGGCTCCAGGTAGTCGAGCAGGGTCAAATTGTAGTCTCCAGGAACTCCATATACCGAACGGACACCCAGTTGATGAAGACGAGCAAAGAGGTAGCCCGCAACTGTTGTGGTGGTTGAGGCCATGAGAATTATTGTTGATCTTTGGATCTTAGAGGTTATGAATTATGAGGACGTAAAAGGTCAAGTCGATATAACAAAATGGAGGAAGAGAAATTGAGCATCTCTCCAGGCGCTTCTATATATCAAAAAGAGAGTATGATGCTGCATGACGCTGTATGGTGCAGCATAATCGTGGGAGCTGACTGCATACGGAGTCGAAAGAATACTCCGTGAGGGGCGAAAGAGACTCGGTTCGGGATGACCTTTCCCTTTTCAGCATGGCTCTGTCCGATCGCTTGACGACTCCGAATTCTTTCTCCGAAATGTTTCTCCTCTCCGCTCCGCAAGTATAAGAGACGTGCAACTCCGCCATGCATTCTTCGTATTCTGGATGAATGCGGATTTCATTTGATGTCGTCAAGAAAAGCTGCGTGTGATCCCTGCCGGCAGGCAAAAGTTGCCTGCGACCACGGACAACCTGTTTGCCGGCGATGTCAACGGCGCAATAAAGCCTCGCATTGCGTGTATAGAGTTTCTCCGTTCAGAAGAGTGAGGATTGACGGCGGTCCTGCTGAGGAACCGTCTGAGCCTCGGTAAGACTCAGAGTATCTGCTTCAGATTCGTTACACTATTGCTCACCTCGACTCCGTCAGGTCGCTTCTGCAACGCGAAGAGCGGTCTGAGAATGCCACTCCGTTACGTCGCAGCCGTTATCCGAACCCAGGCCACCTTGGATCGTCAAGTCATGTTGCTCTCTTTGATCAGATCTCATATGATAGTCCTACTGCCGCCAACGCGAGCTCAAGAGCCGATCTTGCTGGTCCAGGACAAGATGATGTCGGCGAGTCGATTGGATCAGGAATTGCGTGTACAGATCTAGCCCAGAAGCTGGAGGGATTCCTTGATCAGTTCCGGATTGCCTCATTGGCAGATCTGGTGAAGTTCTGGCTCGCAAAAGGTGTTAACCTGGCTTTAGCAGAACCTATTGTACTGCAATGTACAGAGGGCGCCGAGCAATTTCTGGCAATACGAAGGTCGACTGGTTCGAATACTTACAGTTCACTTGTCCAAGATCTCCTGAAGAGCTCAGCAAAGCCACTGGTATTCGGAAAGACATCGACATTGTCCGATTACACACATCAGTTCTGCGGAGAAAATATGCGCTTGGAGACTCTTGGAATATTTTTGATTGCCGTAATTCGAGCGAGCATCGACATCCCATTCTTCCCTCCGTTGTATGCTACAGAAGCCGAGAGACATCACTTGCGACAGCTTGGAACTGCAATTATCAGCTGTACGCTAGAACTTTGCTTGTCACTCGATTGTCTGAATGATCTGCAACTTATCTTTCAATACGAACACTGGATTTTAATGTCGTATGTTTATGGTGACCAGAGTAAGTGGCTACGTTATCATGGCTGTGATAAAGACTAACTGTGTATAAGGCTATGGCGCCTGGAGGAAGCTTGGCGATGTTATAGCATCTATCTATGCTCTCGGCTATCATGAGAATATCGAGGCCAGGTCTAATACGCCCCCGTTTTTGACAGAGTTGAGGAAGACAGTGTTTGCACGAGCCTACTCTGGAGATAAGAATGTCGCCATCTTTCTTGGACGCCCGCCACGAATGAGTACAAAGTTTGCCTACTTCCAGATACCATCCGCAAGGGCGAATCCGGAGAGTGGGGAGTTTCTCCAAGATCGTGAAGTTAGAGTTCAAGCATGGGATCCTGCGTGCGAAATGAACTATAGAGCAGAAACTCGCTGGTCCGCACTCTGTGCCTTTATTAAGGAGGATATTCTGGAATTGCTATATAGTGGCCGTCGCAATGATCCTGCAAAGATTAGGTATGCTTCAAAACCCTCGTCCTCAATGGCAGCTCATGATCCGCAGTGAAATCTCTAGGCGAACGGATGAGCAATGGCAAGCCTTGCCTGCTCATTTCCGACTTGAGGGCAAGCTAAATGATTGTATTACGACGAGCCCATTTGAGCGCGACTTTCTGCTCAGTACACGCCTTAATCATCTGCAGGTCAAATTCCTCCTCCAATTCGTATTGCTCGACTCTCTGGCGCAGCCTGACGAAGTGATCGTTACCATCACTCAGCAGATGCTCTCACTTGTCGTAGAAGGCATTCTTCTGCGAGACCAGCTGGCCAATTCTGGCACTGGCTTTATTTGGAAGGTACTTTCGATTTGAAAACCACCAGTGTTTAATGCTAACCACGACTAGATAGTACATTATGGTCTACCGGCTGCTGGTATTATCCTCCTTGCAATGCTCAAACAGCCGGACCGCCTTCGGTGGCGGCGAGGACGAGTCTGGCAAGACTTTACCATTTTAGTAGCAGAGGTCCAAATGGGATCCTTTATTCGCGAATGGGAACCAGACTATGCGTTGCTCTCGAAAGCCACTCAAACAATTCAAAGATTCCTCGACATCAGTCAAAACGACGACATCGACACTTCAGATCCTGCCCCTGCCCTAGAAGAGACTTCATCATCTGATGACTGGTTTAGTCTTCTCAATCCCGATCCGTGGCACCTGGAGATGAATTTTTGGAGCAATCTCGGAGAACATTCCTTTCTCTCGAACATGGATCCTGCATTACAGGCAATGCAATAAGTGGGCAAGAAGCAGGAACGGCGTCAGTAAAGGTCGCTAGTGCGTTCATAGTGCAGTGGAGTTGCTTGCGGACCGGCTTTCGGAGAGGGTCACGGAGTGTCGATTTGGCTCTTCGGTCAGTCTTGGAGTAAGTTGTGCAACTACACCACGATGACGGAGATCTTACTCCGAGATACAGAAGCTTGAGTCTTGTCACGCATGCAAGTGCAGTACATATATATTCGGTCTCCAGAACCCTCTGCTTCGTTCCTCAACACTCACTCCCTTGAATATTCAGTGCACCAAGCCTTTTGCAGCCATGGCCCGCCTCACCATGGACGATGTCGAGTCTTTGAGAGCAGAGTCAGAGCCGATGCTCATGGACATAGCTACATACTCGCTCTCGGACTCATATAAATCTCAGCATTGCAACAAGAAGCCTCAGAGCAAGTCGATGGTAGACCATTTTAGCATTGAAGCCAGCAATTTCCGAGGATCTGCACTTAAGAGGACTGCCAAGCAGCATTTCAAGTCCAGACTAATCCCTCTTGGCATCGGCCGGCCGATAGATGATTTCTATCCCTGGGAGTCAATTGCACTCAAAGAAAGCTTCACTTTACCCCAATCAAGTCATACCATTGGACTCAATCCGAATGTTAACACCATCGCAAAGCGCCAAGGCCTTTTCAACTTGTCAACTGGTCTCAACTACTCTCATTCCGTTGGCCAGCAACCATTACTTCGTTTCATAACGGAACATGTGGAGATCATCCACAACCCGCCATACAGGGATTGGAGCGTATGTCTCACATGCGGATCTACATCTGCGTTGGAGATTGCATTGCGGATGTTTTGCAATCGTGGCAATGCCGTTTTGACAGAAGAGTACACATATCCTGGGTTCATCTCTTCCACACAATTGCTCGGCGTTCAGACGGTTGGTATCAGAATGGATGATAATGGCTTGATTCCCGAAGAGCTAGCTCGAACTTTGAGGACATGGGATGATTCCACGGGAAGCCGACCGAGGGTTCTATACACTATCCCTTCTGGCCAGAACCCTACAGGTATCACACAGTCACTGGAACGAAAGAAGGCCATCTACCAGGTAGCCGAAGAATACGACCTGATCATCATCGAGGATGACCCGTACTACTTTCTCCAGGCAACCCATCAGACAATGCCAAATACCAATGCCATCGAGTCCTACATCTCACATCTGCCGCCAACCTTCCTGCCCCTAGACCACTCAAGCAGAGTCATCCGCCTAGACTCAACCTCCAAGATCCTCGCTTCCGGCCTACGCGCCGGCTGGGTGACATCCAGCAACGAAATCATCGAGAAGTTCATCTCCTACCAAGAAGTCGGCCCTCTAGCCATGAGCGGGCCAACACAGCTGATGCTTTGGAACCTGCTGGACGCTAAATGGGGACATCGCGGCTTCATGGCCTGGCTTGAGCATTTGTCGCGGCAGTATCGCGCCCGGTTGGACATTGTGCTCGAAGCGTGTGAGAAATATCTTCCTAAGGATGTATGCTCGTGGAAGCCGCCGGATTGTGGCATGTTTCTTTGGATTCAGGTTGCTGTGGAGAAACACTCTGAATTTCGAGAGAGTGGTTTTAAGGTTGCCGACGTCGAGGAGAGGATATGGTCGAGAGCTTGCGAGAATGGCGTTCAGGTCACGAAAGGGTCTTTGTTCAACGCCGCGGCATCACGTCCCTCAAGAGTGAGCTTCCGCCTCACGTACGCGGCTGCCGATGAAGATGAGCTAGACAAAGGCGTAAAACTGTTTGCAAATGCTGTCCGTGAAGAAGTTGGGCTGGAAAGGGTTGAGTAGGGGTTTCTTTGACAGCGGGGTCGTGTAGCGTTTATGTTATATAAACTCTGGTTAGAATGTGATTGGATGATTTCAGCGATAAAGGCGCGTCGGGACAAGCTCGAGGCAGAAAGTCGAACCCGAAGTGCTCGTTTCCAAAAAGTTGGTTGAATAACTTTCCGGGTCCCTTGTAAAGGTGCTAGTTTGAGTAGGTAGTGAAAATAAAGAGTTAAGTAAAGTATCGAGTTAGAATAAAAGTATAGAGCTAAATAAGTGTATAAAGCTAGCTGGAATGAGAATACAGGGTTAGAGTGTGGACGGAGGTTTAAGTTTTTCCGTGCCGACTGTTTTATTTATACTTGTCGGCGGTCGGCCATTTCTTGCTCCGCTAAGGTTGTGAGTCCAGAAGTGCAATTAGTGAAAGACAAAAAAGATCGAATATAAAATTCACTAATTGCATTTTTCGACTCACAATCTTAGCGGAGCAAAAAAAGATCGACCACGCTGCTATAGAAAAGTATAAATAAACCAGTCGGAACGAGGAAGCTTGGACCTCTGTGCAAACACAACTGCCAGTTCAGCTTCAAATCAAGAGGAAGCTCGCTCCGTCCCAGGCCGCAGGGGGTGGGAGAGTGGGCGCCAAGCCGAGAGTGCCAGAGACGTTTTGGGTAGAATTAATTGAGAAAATCGGAGGATGCGTTATGAGAAAATGAAAGTCATTGGTGGTGATGTGTTGTTGTCAACAAATTTACATGCTGTTATTGAGTTGAGGTGAATTGAGTTTGCCAACTGGTAACCGCAAGCCAAGAACTTTCGTCCGAAGTATAATGTAGATATGTAACGAAATACTAAAATAGTAAGGTATTTTAGTCTGAAAAGGTTCGTAGACGTGCAACGAAATATTACAAGAGCATGGCACTTTCGTCTAAAGCATTTCGTAGACATGAAACGAAAATCCAAGAAAAGCAAGGCTCCTTCGTCCGAAATATTCTGTAGACACGCAACGAAATATTAAAACTAATTAACACTTTCACCGAAAGCATCTCAACAAACTCTTGTCCTTTCATTAACTTCAAGTGAATTAGACGTCCCGCTAATTAGTGGCTAGCCGGCTGCCTGACATTAAGGCGACACTTAATATCTGACCTTCACCTAAGCTATATACTGTATAATTGTTAGGTAAACTAACAAGGACATCTATTATCGCTTAAGTATGAACCTCATATGCTTACTTACACCAGCGATAAGAGCTTTTCCAAAGACAGACTTCATTGAAAGAGGACCCACAAAAACAGCGATCTGCAACACAACTTGAAAGAAGAGAATTAAAGAACGCTACTTATAACATGAAGTTCGATATCAGAATCTCGAAATGAGCAATTTCCATTTCCGTCTTTAGACCTGAGCCGTTGCTGCTTTAGCCTGAGCTGTGGGTGAGCCATGCTGAGCAGTGAGTCCATAGAGATGGCTCGAAAGGTTAATATGGTTGAGGAAGAGAAGGATTAGCTGTGTGACTTGCCATCAAATAGCCCCAAACTTGGACTCCAATCTCCCCAATATATACAAGCTAGAAAGGAGAAGAAAAAGAACATCTTCAAACATAAACGATGTATGCATTGGTCTAGTGAGTACTGTTTTATCACGTATCCATCAACGTCAACTAGATGCCAGAGGCACCACGGAGTAAGACTCCGGTGTGAATTTCAATTCTCTGTCTTCCATTCCAGCCGGGTCCACGTAAAGACGCATATCAATATTCTCTTTATCCAGATTGAAGACACGAAAGATTATATATACTTCATCTGATGCGCGAGCACCTAGTTTCATTCGTTGCATCTAAGTTTTGTCAGTGTCAAACCAACCTGAGTTACAACCTTAAACTTACTCTTCGATATTGACTCTTACTCAAAAAGAGCTTGGTGGCACATTCTTTTGTTGTCGTCTTCACTTCGAGGAAGTACTTTGGCTTTGCGGCAGCCCAATTACTTCCATCCAAGTAGCCGTTCGCGATCAGAAGCTGCGTGAATTCTCCTTTTTTGTCTTCGTACGTAATATCCGCCGTTTCGGACCCTATCCATTCCTCCATGCTCTGGTACTTTTCATGGACCTTCACAAACTTGCGGATTGTGCTCTTCCAATTACCGCGATCGAATTTAGGAAGAGTAGTCTCCAGACGGGAAAGAATTTCAAAAGCCTACACATGTCAGATATTTGCCTAATTCCATGGTTTTTATACATACGTAGAGTTCACCCGCAGCTCCAATCTTCATGTCATGAGCAAGTTGGTTTTCATTCCTGACTCCGAAAGGTAGATCGTATGTGTTCACTTCTTCCGCGGCCTCCACCGGTAAAGCATTCAGGAGTTCGTCAAGATTGAAGGCTCCCCGCGATGGAAATGCTCCTCTTTTATTTCTCGCTGCACGGATGATGTTGTCCAGCAATCTTCGATATTCCACATCGCTGCTTTCGGGTGTAAATTGGCGCCGTGCCCTATCCGAAAGATTGCGCTGAGAAATAGCTGTCGGGGAATTGTTGGGCTGAGTCGGCTGTGATGGGACATTTGGCTGATAGCTTGCCCGGTAGGTAGAAGTCGCAGCGTTCGAAGGCGGGGTACTCTGAGCGGAGGGGGTATCAAGGCCATCAGATGTAGTTCCTGACTGCGTTTCTGATGAAAGAGTTTCGATATCGTTTTCTGCATTCTGCTCTTGATCTGCGCCTACGTAGTCCAGCGATTGTTGAGACTCTTCCTCGTACTGATCGGGATATGAGACTGGGACGATACCAGCTTCCTCAAGAACCAAATCAACAACATCATCGCTAGACGCGAATATTGCCGAAATTATTGATACAGCTCCTGAATTGAGCGCCGCTGTGGAGTTGGTGTCAACTTCTACCATCATGGTCTCGTTGAATAACTTGGTGGGAAGCAGCCGCAGATAACAAATCTCTTGGTCCCTCGAATTTTTCGGAATGTATATCTGCAAACCTTCCGGGCTTTCTTCGATGTGAAGCTTCGTTTCGCGGACTTTAATGGTTACACCAAGAAGTGTGTGCTCAAGGCTCCCAGTAATGCCATCCGTTTCGTACACTTTTGATTTGAGAAGTAATTGATAGAGATCTTGATTGTCGTTCTTGGCTCTAGGGCTGTCAAAGTGTGTTGCACAACTGATAGTATGAGCCGAATATCTTTTCAAGGACGAAGGATTCACGCTTACCGAGAGAGTGCATAAGCACGTCGTTGCAAATCCCTTGTTCTCCTAGGGTTTGGCTCTGGGAGAGAGCCCTCGAAAGAGGACTTTTCAATCACAACCTCAGACAAGTATCCCCCGACCTGCATAGATGATAAGAAAGGTTCTAAACTCCGGACTTCCTTGAGATTGAAATCGAGAACATCCAGTTTTCCTTCAAATGCATCAGCCCAGGGCTGACGGTCAATGATCGAGAATTTTTCAAGTGTCGTCCGTAGTTCGACTGGCCGTATTGAGGGTTTTACAGGAAAGATCTTAGACTCGCGTAATGGAGCCAAATCCTCGATAGTCGGAGCAAATGCATTGATTTGCCAAATCAGACTCTTGATATCATCAATTGATGGCGAAGACCGTGCGACTCGTTTCAGCTCTTGGACGAGTAAACGCAAATCCGGGATTTTGACCTTAAGCACACCCACAAACAAGTCCTTCAAATTTGGATACTGGCCGCTGATTGTGCTCTTCCCCGGCACCTGAGCGTCTTTTGACCACAAGCATGCTGATGGAGAAGTCCAACGTTGGCCCTGCATGTCGTAGATGAGCGCACGTTTCTCGAAATCGGCCCTATAGGTAACAAAGTCAATTGAGCCTTTGCTGTTGGTCATGAGGCCTTCATTTCTTACCGGAGAGATTCCAACTCTTCCGAATCAATATCGGCTGACATTCTCTGAAGGCGAAGATAGATATCTTGGTCAATCTGCATGTCGTGCAGATCTTCCATCCGACGCTCATCGAGCTCATCAGTCAGACGTTCCCAAGAAGGATCCGGAATATTGAGAGTTTCTTGGAAGAAAGCGGTAAGAGCAGTGGTGTTGAAGCGTGACAAGTAAGGGAGTAGAGGAATGCTCGTAATCAGGTAGTCTGGTGCGTCCCAAACGCAAGATATTTGATGAGTCCAAGAGGGTAAGCGTTCTAAGCGAGAAGGTGCCAGTATGAGCTCCTCGTGGTAGACGAAATTACTGCAGTAGTGACTAGTAAGCTTATTGGCTGAAACATAGATGCGGGGGATGCCGGTTCGATGGACAAGGGAAAGACAATTCATACTAAACCTTCTGTTCATCCTCCTCCGGGGAATCGGACGACCAGATCTTTTTTTGAATGACTTCATATATCTCATATCGAAATTCCGCTTTCGAAGATTTGCAGTAATACAGAACCTGCAACCAGAAGTCAAGGTTATCCTCAATTCCAACGTGAAACGCATGGAGGAATTTCCATCCCTCAATATCTGTTCCATTATCCAGTCTCAAGAAAGGAAATTTCTGTACGTCGACAAACTTGCCACAGTTGATTCTCAGTGTCTCGGAGTGGAGGAATGTCTCTCTCAACGGTTCGGAGCCAATGTTCGTGTTGGGTACCACAGCCTCAGATATTTCTGATGCCAAATCATCATTCATCACGGCTGCGTAGGATGCCCAATGTGCCTTCAGTGTCCCCAACATCTTCTCCGGACACTCTTTGATAATATGATGGAAGATCGGTGATAGTTGCGTGGAATCTTCGGAGTCTGCAAGCCGCGGGTGGCCCAATACACCAATGGAGCGTTGTAACCAGGTCTTCAATGTTGGGTGGGATCCAGTTCTTTTCGCAGGAGGAAGCTCGATTCGCTTGAGATAATTCGGATGAATGAATGAGCCAGCAAGGCCATTGTTATATGGCTCTTTCTCCAAGACTGACCCCATCAACTTTCCGAAACTATATTCCTCGTCACTTTGGAAATACAAATCTTCCCCATCTTGAATTCGACGGCCCAGATGATTAAATACAAATAGAGAAGTCGATCTGCGGAGCTGAACAGTTGATCCTGGAGCATGAGCCGAATACAGAAATTGAAGATCATTCAAAGATGTCTCGAAGGTGATGGAAGACGCTGCCTTGTCATAGCGTTTCAGCACGAGTGCTCTGATATCTTGGATCTTGGCAAAGGCAACCCCTAGGGTGACAAAAAGCTTTTCTCTTATCGGGTCCTTGAAAGATTTTTCGTCAAGAATCCTTAATCCAAGATAAGTTGGGATCAATATACCCTCCGTGCGAGGAAAGTATACCGCGCCGTTGGTGATTGCGGTCCACTCTCCACTTTCCAGTGGAATACATGGTAGTTCGCGGATCTTGTCAGGTATCCAAGATTTCCATTTCTCCACAAAAGGCCGCAGTAAAAGTTTCGCGGTCCTGTTATGCCAATCATCAGTTGTCCTGTTGGATTTGAACTTAGACCCGTCAATTCCTCTGCCCAAATCGCATTTGAAGCGCGCTAATATATCACCGAAGTCAAGGGTTTCTAGACCTAGTTTATCGAGAGCCGCTAGGTCTTCCTCTTGGTATTTGGCTGACAGATACATTTCCTCGTCCAAGTCAGCAACAAGGGGATCACCGAATTCATCTTTGAAATCTTTCGCGATTAACTTCAACTGACGGATAAGCCGAAGAGGGCCCTGGCTCCGTCCGCGCAAGACTGCGCGCTCCTTGAGAAGTAGGTGGATTTTTTCTTTGATGCGTCTCCAGAAAGGGCTTGGTATTGTCTGTGGAATGTATCGCGGCCACTTGTACTGAAGTGTAGGATGCTTGCAGAATTGGAGCACGGCGTCCAGGAACGTTTCAGCTATGCCATCAAGTATATCATTGTTTCGGCGCTTATCCTCCATCACACCCTCCCTACTACCCTCCGTAATGAAGTCGGATTGAATAAGGAACTGTATGTATTAGCCACGTACATATACTATGTTAAGATCTACTTACAGAGAATCCGAAATTCCCCATAGGCAGGTACGCATAAGTCTCCTGGTCAGCAATGATAGGTTCCTCGTCCTTGAGGGGAAATGCAAGCACTACTTCAGCAGAGTTGTGGTCTCGTCGTTCGTCGGGTGACAGATTTGTCAGCGTCCTCCGCGTAATATGGTAGTGCTTCAAAGAAGGTTGTAGGACCTTGGAACCTATACGCTGGGCCTTGCTTAAAGTCGCTTGTCTGGAGGATTCGTCTAGTTTTCTTGAGAATGTGGTAGATTCCGTAGTCTTTCCGTCGATTCTTGTAATCGTGATGGCACCAAGCTGATTCAAAAAGAGGAGAAAGGTATCAGGGAGAGCATCGAATTGCGCGAGTAGTTCGGGATAGTTCAATTTCTTCCGGAGAGACAGTGTTATGCGGGTTAGGGGGTCTGGTAAGGCTTCCTCCGCAGGCTCCCAAACTGGAGTCACCAAACCCATCCTACGAGCAGCCAGCTGCTCAGAAGATGCATCTGCGACGTCAATATCGGGTGGTGCATCAAGTTCTCCTAGTGAATCTTCGAAGGAAAATGAAAAGGGACCTGATTGGATATGAACTTTCGATGCCACCATGAAGACGGACTTGAATCCAATGCCCTTTTCACCAATGAATTGCTGAGCGCCCTCTCTTTTCTTGGTGCTCTGCCCAATTTTGCATATTGCTTGCACGTTTGCAGTGGTAAATCCATCCTCATTTGAGTCAATAACGATTTTGTTGGGATGGACGGTGAAGTTGATGTAAGGCACTACGCCCGTTGACATAGCTCTCTTGTAAGCGTTATCTTCGGCATTTTGGATCAATTCAAAAACGAATCGAGCCTTGCTTTTGTAGAGATTTTTGGCTAGTCTACAATATTATCAGTAGTTTCCAATGCATTTGGAACAGCGAGCATACGTCCTGACCGAAATTCCGAGGTTTTCTTGGAGTATATAAATCGCTTTGAGAGCGTCTGGATGAGTCGCATCCCGGACTGTCTGGCTGATCCACCCATAACCGAGAGCGATACTTTCGACAAGCTGCCGTGCTTCGGTGGGGGATATGGCATCGTTGGTTGCCATTTGTGCGTTATTCTGCTGAAGTGGCAATGAACATATAATTGATTATGGGTAATCGAATTTCTGTACCACAACAATGGTCAAACAAATGTATAACAGACTTGGAATATATATCAAAGATCTTTGGCTTATTGAGTTCTGTTTTGGATTGTTGACAGAGTCAAACTTTCTCCCGTCCCTATCTACCCGAAGCCAACATGCAGGGGCTCCACTTGCGACATTGAGGCCTGTCAATCGTCTCAACCACGAGGCTGAACCAAACTTTCGGGATCAGGAACTTGAAATACTCCATTACAACTTCTTCATTCGTTCACCGACTGAAACAATCTATCCATTCCGTTGGTCCGAGTAGGGGAGGTTTGGAGAAGCGATGACAGGATTCTCGCTTCCAAGGCGCAATAAGCCATTTCACCAGGAACGGTGCAAGGTAAGATGCATACCGCATCGTCATATCGCCTACGCGGGGGAAAACAATGCTTGTTCCCAGAACCTTGAGGTTGCCCCTTAAGGCGCCTGGTCTGTTGAGAAGAGAGAATCAGGAATGCTCAAATTTCAATTGCAGGGCTGAAATAGGGGTACGTGGTATCGAGACCACGAGTCTCTACCTTGTTGCATATGCATGCGTCAATACGACTTTGTGACTGCATCAAAGAGTAAGAAACATGATCGCAATGTCACACAAGTGAATAGCACTATGTCTCGAAGCTAGATAGAACCTTGGAATGCACCAACTCGAGAAAAAGGGGCGAGTGTCACGTGCCCAAGTAAAAGAACCCCAGTGATCTTGATTATCTTACTGTTCAGACGCTCCTTAAGCAGAAATATTGAAAGCTTACACTAAACGTTAAATAACGTTCTAATTCGAATACAATTTCTTTTTTCCACGAAATGTATGAAAAAATACCCCGTATGCTTAAAAATAAATCACAAGACGAGCATTCAAATTACCGGTAAGCCGTACCAGAGATTGAATCTTATTCTTGCTATTAGCCATTCATTCTTGATTGGCAGACAATCTACCTGAATAAATCACATAGACACTAAAATTGCGAACCACACTTTCAACGCAAACAAAATATAAGCTCTGACTAGTACGTGACCAGCTTTAAAGTCAGGCATTGGAGACAGACTATGCGTCTCCTGTTATTCATCGCATTCCCTGTGATGCTGCTGTCAACCTTGCAAATATTGTCAAGCATACGTTGAACGTTTCGTCTCCTCCTTCAATGCTACCTGTATTTACCTACAAAACTTCGTCCCATCCTCATGCTCACAACTCCTTCTAACGGAATCTAACCCGCCCGCCCGGACCCTCACACATTGAAAGAGCTTGCGTCTCTTGTGGTAGAAACTTGTTGCGTTCCAAATCACACTTTGGACTTACTTATACTCATATCTCAGTCTGAAAAGAGATACTACAGCAAGTGTTAATTCTCGATTCCGCGGTGTTCCGTCGTCCGCCGTGGAAAGTGAATTGTCCGTCGTGAGGGCGGATGCTATTGACTGCTAACCTCCTCTACCTTCCGCAGTCTGCAGCGGACAGTGAATTGTCTCTTTTGAGGGCGGAAACACCGACGGAAAGCCGAAAGTTACAGAATTCTTCCATCTGCCTGTCATTCACTCCTCACATCAACCCGTTTTTATTTTCCGCTGATCTATAAATGCAAACCCAGAAGATGAGCGAAAAACAACAGACACGCTTTCCCATAGCCAAGGACATTAGGGGAGGGGCTTTGGGATTTGGTGTCACAGGAGACGTTGGAAGGTTGGGGACTGATGTTTTCTTGTTGAGAGGGAGGTGAGAGGTGGAGTTTGTTGAAATTTGCAAGTGGTGGGATGAGTTAGACTTTCTGACAGCAAGAGAAAAGGTGGCAACGAGAATGTGGTTAACAACGAGGACCGCTATGATGACAATTGTAAAAGGTACATAATTTGATCCTATCAGATGAAAACACAATGAGAATGTCGGTACTAAGCTAACGTGACATAGAAACAAGAATGCCCCAAAAAAATTATTGTCCTAGTAAAATGAGAGTATCTCAAAGACATTTAACACATATCACCTATCAAAAGCCTGACCCTGACACATCTGCCAATAAATGCCTTTCATCCTCAACAACTCCTGATGATTGCCCCTCTCAACCACTCTCCCTTCGCCCATAACAAAGATCACGTCTGCATTCTGAACTGTCGCTAATCTATGTGCGACCACGATCCTCGTTATACCTTTTAAGCTGCCCTCAAAGACGGACATTATGTCCCGCTCCGTTTCAGAGTCGAGGTTCGATGTTGCTTCGTCGAGGAGTAAGAGGGAGGGAGAGCGGATGAGCGCACGGGCTATGGAGAGGCGTTGTTTTTGTCCCTGTTGGTGATTAGCTTTAGTGAGTTCGAGGTTGAAAGTTAAGTCCACTTACCCCAGATAAAGCGATTCCTTTCGGACCAACCGCTGTATCATATCCTTCCGGCAACGAGGTAATAAACTCATGAATCCCAGCATCGATACAAGCTCGCTGTAATTTCATCTGAAGGCCCCTCTCCTCTTTATTTACACAGGAAAGACAGGACGATGGTTCTGAGGATGGGATGCCGAGTAAGATGTTTTCGCGTATGGAGCCGGAGAACAGAGATGCTTCTTGTGCTACGAGGGAGATAGCGGAGCGGTAAGTAGAGATGTGGAGCTGGGAGATGTTGCGGTTGTTGATGTGAATTTGACCGGATTGTGGGGCGTAGAAACGTTCTAGGAGGGAAATTATGCTTGTTTTCCCGCAGCCTGGGAAGAAGGTTAGTGCGAGGAGTGGGAATGGGAAAGGGGGATGTACCGGATGGGCCTACGATTGCTGCGAATTGACCTGCTTCGATCTTTATATCTGAGTCAGTATTTCTTGTGAAGTGATTTAAGGAGGGTAAAATTACCATCATACTCAGATCAGTCAAAACAGGAACATCTCTTGTTGGGTATCTGAAGGAGACATTTCTGAGCTCAACTTTAACGGATCGAGTCTTCTCGTCTTCTAGAGAAAAATCTTCTGTAGGCATGGCATCATCAATATGTGAAGACGGTCGCATGCTTCTGATTCGATTGGCAGCTGCGAAAGCGGATGCTACATCTATGCGATGAGATATCTGTCAGTGGATGTTGAGAGGGGTAACAGATGTGGGTAGACAAACTCGGACCGAAGCTCAGTGACTGTCCCGCACTGCTACTGCCTTGCACAATCGCAAGGTAGACGACCACTATCATCTGGTTAGAAGATGTTCATCTTGTCGTAAGGGAGGAAATCTCACTGTAGCTGAAAGGCGTATATTCATGACTCGCAAGGAGTTGGCCACCATACCTACACAAAGTCAGCTCTTCTGGATCTCAGTACTCTCTCCTCTGGAAACTTACCATAGAATAAACGCCATGCAAAGCAACGCACTACTATCACTCAACGCAAAAACAAGCGTCGACCACCTCGCTTTCTTAAACGCCACATTCGTATGATTCCTCAACAACGTCTCATACCTCCTGCAAATCTCACTCTCTAGGGTAAGACTCGAGACCGTCCTGAACGCGCCAATCGCTTCCGTAGCGAACTTGCTACTATCAGCGAAAACCGCATAGTTCAACCTCTCGAACATCACTTCGTAGCGCAGACGTAGATACCCTGAGAATAGGATTATGGGCATCGAAGTGCAGATTGAGAGGATTGCGAGTTCCCAGCCAAAGTATAGCGCAAGGGCGATGGAACCAGCTATGTTGAAGAGTGAAATGAGGACGATGGCCATGTTGATGCCGAGGAGTTGTTGGAGTTGGATGGGATCGCTGGCCATGCGGGAGGTTAGGGCGCCAACTGAGTTATCCTCGTGGTCGTGGTAGGAAACTGGTTTGGTGAGAACGTTTTGAAAGTATTCCTTACGATACGTTGCAGCTATTTGCTGGAGAGGAGAAACTTAGTCTTGCTCAAGAAGGGAAGGGAAAGGGGCTCGCTTACGAAGGAGACGACGTTGGATGACCATCCCAGAACGAAATAGCTGACGGCAACTCCAATCGCTAATAAAAACAGCATTAGACACCAGAAACTCGTCTGAAGTCTGAGAAGTTCTCCCCAGAGGTTAAACAGGGATATAAGTTTCGCGAAGAGGAAGGCATGTGCGGGGAATGAAACTGAATTGGGTCAGCAAATTGTCTTATGCACATCGCTAAGAGAAACCTACCTCCGGCACCCAGAGCACCAAACAGCATCACTGCATACCATCTCCATTGGTAATTCTGCTCCCAGACGAAGAGTGCAAAATTTCCAAGGAAAGGTTTTGGTTCTTTTGATTCAGAGCACGGAGCTATTTCGAAGTCCTCGCCCAGAGATTCGGACGCCATTACTGTGGTATCCTTCTTTTCTGGATCCAAGACTCCCATAAAGTCTTCGCTCAAAGACAACTGCTGAGCATTTGCAAGACCAAAATAATGGCCATCTCTATCAGCCATCAGCTGATCATGAGTACCTTGTTGCACGACCTTTCCTTTCTGTAAAACAACTATGTTATCAGCTTTCATGATAGTCGAGAGCTTATGAGCAATTGTGATCGTAGTCCGATTCTTGGATATCCTGTCTAGAGCCAATTGGATGATTCGCTCGCTGTGGATATCCACTGCGCTGGTTGCTTCATCCAGTATCAGGATTTGTGGCTGTTTTACAATACTTCGGGCGATGGCTAGTCTTTGACGTTGACCACCACTCAATTTGATTCCTGCATCACCAACTACGGTGTTGTAGCCCTACTTCAACATCAGTTTTTTGACCCATAGTGAGACCGAGCGGTGTCTGGCTAAACAAACCTCGGGTAGTCGAGAAATAAACTCGTCGGCAAAAGCTTCCTTGCATGCTTGCTCAACTAACTTCCTCTTTTGATGTTTGTTTGTATATTCCCACTCAGTTCCAATCAATCCATACTCCACGTTCTCAGCTATTGTGGTGTTGAAGAGGAATGGCTCCTGTTGAACAAGTCCAATCTGAGACCTCCACCACGTGAGATCTATCTCACGGATGTTTTGACCACCCACGGAAAGTAAGCCTAGGTTATGGAACATCGTCTAGGAAGTTTGTTAGTAACCATCATTGCATGGCTATGGGATGCTACAACTTACAATAGCTTCAGGCGACATATGCCCGTCAAGTTCATACCACCTTTCAAGCAATCCCACAATTGTACTTTTCCCTGAGCCCGACGCTCCAACAATAGCCGTTATCTTCCCAGCTGGAAATCGAAGGTTGAGATCGTCGAGCACTGGCACATGAGGTCTCATGGGATAGGAGAAGTTGATGTTCTCGAGAACGATATCTTCAGACGAGACATCTGAGCCTTGGATACCTCTTGTTTGAGGTTGCGGGGCATCGATGATGGTGAAGAGAATGCCAGCTGCTCCGGCTGCATGGGCTGCTGCTGTTAGGGGACCGGATATACCTCCGATGAAGGTGACGATTGTCATGATGGAGGTGAGTATTCTGATTCAGGTTAGAATATGAACGCGTCGAGGGAAGGAGGTTGTAGGACTCACATGATTATTGTTGTTACATTCGTTATTGCTGAATCTAGGTAGAGCCTGATAGCGTACCAAAAGGATAAAGCAAAAGTACTAGTTGATTTTTGTTAGAGGGCAATTAGTTGGGACAGTGTCAAAGACGTACGCATGAATAGCAAAGAAAGCTGCATGCAAGTCAGCTGATCAATTCTAAGATATGATGGACAACATTGTTTACCAGGTGCCTGTTGAATCGCCACGACCGGTGAAAGTAAGAGCCCTCTCCTCCGGGATTCATCTACGAAGTCCGAATACCTCTTTGCCATTTTCGATTCCGCTCCACAGGCGGCCACCATCCTGATCATTTCAAACACCTCACTCGAAAAAGACGCACTCATCTTATCTGCCTCTTCCACTTCTTTCAGGCCTTTGACCAGGTGTGGAATCGTGAAGCAATAAAATACGACGATGAAAAGAAGCCCGGTACTCGTGAAGATAGTGAGGAGCCAATTGTAGTAAAATGCTACAGCTAGAGCAGTGATCACAAGTGATCCAGACTGAAGGAACATGGATAATTTTTCTGAGATGCCAAGTTGTAGGATGTTTGCAGTGATGGTAATGATTGCCGCTGTCTGTCCTGGAGGAAGCGTGTCAAGGACTGAGATTGGCTGTTTGACAAGTGCTTGGAGATACGAGAGACGGATGGCGGCTGAGATGCGGATGCTTGCCATCCTAAAGCCCAGCTATCGTAGATTAGTTGAGATTCTCATGGAGATGAAAGAACGTACAGTAGCAATGTAGCCAAGGAAAAGTCTAGCGATGAACAAGTAGACCATGTACAGTCTAAAACTCCGTCAGCATCTGGCTGATAAGTCCAGAAAGAGTGGGAGCTTTACACATATCTGTTGATGATCTGCATGAACATCTCTCCCGTCTGTTCAGACTTGGGATCATAAAGTGCACTGAAGACGCCAACAAGCTCACCTGAAGAAGTCAGTCTTCAGTCAAGGGATAGACCACGTGATAATTACCAAACACAACATTCATGAGTGGAAGTGTGACGCCAGTGCAGATAGAAGCTGCAGCAGCAGCGACGAGAAGTAGTCTATCATTTCTGGTGGAGTAGGAGAATATTCTCTGTCCGCTGAGTCAATACTAATATCAATACTTGAACGGTCTTCCTCACCGAAAATTGCGATAAAGCTATTCTCTGTTCTGCGGTGATGAAGGAGTTCTTTGCGGTAGGTGGGGAAGTCGCCGTCGTATTTTGGTCTTCCCCAAGTCCGTCATCATCTAGTAGTCGAGCATTTTCTTCCTCATTTGAAACCTCGCTGCGTGTAGTTGGTGATATTGGTGATTGAGGTAAGCCTACCTCCCTTGACGGTGATGAGTGGTACTTTTCATTGTCGATGGTGATATCGGTGGGACTCATTGCTTCATCCCATGTGTAGTTCAAAGATTCAAGTACTTGGATAGAAATTGACTCTGAGACTGTTGATGTGTGCTTTCGCTTGTGTTCCTCCGTTTCCTCTAAATCGTCCAAATTTTAGAATTCGTTGTTGTTTAACACAACAGGGGTTTCTTACACTTTTGAGAATACGTTCTCGTTCTCACAAGGATTGCCATCCTGAGTAATCTCTCAATCCGGGGCATTCTTCATCCACAGCAAGATCCCGGACTGTGGCGACTCATTGTGCTGATTTGTTTTGCTGCACGGAAACGGCGCTATCCGTGGGCAACGATGCGAGTATTGTCGACCGGGTCTTAGACCAGGGAAAGGCCAGAATTGCGTTTCGTTTCATTTGGATAGTAAATCGTTATCTGTTTCATAATCTGTGATCGACTGCGCCACGGGAAGATCAATGCGGATTTAGCGCGCTTCGAAACATAGGACGAGCTACCGTTTGCGAGAAAGTGCGAGCGAATTCGAATGCGAGTCCGAGTGATTGTCAACGGGCTTCTCCAGAGTTTCGAAAATGACTAGGATTGCCTTGACTCTCAGGGGACTTGATAGGTAGAGAATACTGAAAACAAGAAGCTCGTGATCGTGTTCGTAGGTTTGATGCCCGTAGAATGCTTTGGAGAGATAGAAGTACTGTCTTTGAGCCACTGAGAAGGAACATTCGGAAAGCTACAGAATTGAATGAAGTCTAATTACGAGATGCACACGCACCATGTATATATATAATCTATAGTTCAGAACGCTGAATGCAGAATCCCGCTACATATCAACACTCCCTCAAATGCTCGATACCATGTTCCGTATTATATCTCCAAGTTCTTTCACTGTGTGCCTGTCTCGTGGTAAGGTATGTCCTTTCCCATGATCGAATAGGTATGCATCTATACACAGTTAGTACGTGTCTACAAAGATATCAAGGAGCTGGGGTGAGTTCTCTATCAAAAGAGTTTCCAGCTCCTCGACTTCCAAATTGTCTTATGATCAAGGGTGCGACATACTATCCATTTCACATATATTGTAAAGTGCAATAGATCCTGCCAAATAAGGATCTAAAGACCCAACTGTGGAACAGGTCAGTACTTCCTCCCAAGGCAAATATATCAACAGCCAAAACTTACTGACATGACAAGACGGAATCGTAATCGTTAGGTCAGATTCGTCTGCCAAAACAATTCGACTCAAATTGGCATCCAATGGAGGCCAGCCCGCAAAGAATAAAGCACACTTGAAAGTTGGTTCCCTTCCTTCAGTCTCGAACCTCATTTGCTCATGCAAGATCAATGTTGCTGCAACTGTTGCACCTTCTGAGTACCCGATGATCCCATCGAAGGGTCCAACTTCTTCTATTATTCGGTAGAGGTAGTCTAGGGCCTCTTGTGCGCTGTCGTTATGATAAATGTCATCTAGGTCGGGCATGGAGACTGGTGAGGATGCCCCACTACCTCCCCCACCGCAAAGCAACTCTCGCATTTGATCTTCTGCTGTTGCGCCTTTGGGGAAATTTCGAATTCGATCCAGGAGGTCACTGCCACCTTTTTCTGCCTCTGCTGGTTTTATGAACCTGTAGTATGGGCCAACTCCGAAAAATGTCTCAAATCCTTCTGGAGGAAACGCTTCGACGGGACCATGAACGAAGTGCAACTCTGCTGTGTCGTCCGACTTCAGTTCCTTAACCAATGGAGCTTGATGTTGGTCAGTATAAGAAATGGTATGAAAGGAGCTTCGTATATACCCAACTGCACCTCGAATTTCTGTTTAATTGTTAGCTTAGCCCAAGGCAAGCAGACGGAGAGGCACGTACATCTGCGCTTCCATACGCTCCGCATAAACATAAAAATCTCATGATGACGATTAAACAATTATTGGGTATCTTGATTTTGCTGCTTCGCACTGCGAGAGACTGCTGAAAAGAATGAATGATGAAAAGGACAGCGCAAAAGATCGAGAAGAACAAGCAATAGTCAACACTGGGTAGTTTGAGAGAACTGAAAAGATCTGGAGGTTAGCCACATTATTTACAAGAATGCAATCTGCACATCTCATTCGTCTCTGGCAATCCTGGCCTTGTCACAGTGCTCTCATGCCTCAAACCATGGGGAGAAAGTGTCGAAACATCGGATCGATTACGGCATCCAGGACTGAAACCAGAATAGCAACAATCTCCAATCTCTTTTGTGTTTTACGCCCGACGGTACGGCCCACCTATGAGCCTTCTTCGATGGCGCTCCTCACTGGAGACTGGAACCGGGTTCGAGAAAGTCGAGAAGCCAAGCTGCACAGGTCAAGCCCCTGAGACGATCAGCGCACATCTTTGGCTCATGGACTCCTTGAAGATCTGTGCAATTGATCGACCACTGGACGAGTCGTTGTGCCAGGAGAAGTGATGTTGCACCGTTTGTTTGAAGTCTCGCAAAGAAGGGGTAAGTCGCGAGTCCGAGCCACGCTAGGCTGAGTCCGGAAAAACGTAGGCCCGTTTCGCCAAGAGATCTTCGACAGGGTCCGGGAGACGTTTGGACCATCTCAACCCAACCTCACTCTCACCTCACGACTCTCCAGCTCTCTCGACATTGACTGCACCGCCCGTTTCACATCCTATCGTGGGGCAAGGTCCAGGTCCAAGGTTGGACTTCGTGCAAGAGCTCAAGCAGCAGTATTCACATGGCAGAGCTTCATTCCACTCTTGGCAGTGTCCGGCATGGAGTGGACATCCCTTCCCCGAAACTGCAATGGCAGCGGGGGTCCCTCACCATCATCCGAACAGATTGATAGGTAGGGCACGGTCTGCCAGTGCGGATGGCTTTCTTATCTTTCAGTCTGAAGCGCTAAGGTAAGCTTTAAGCTTAACATGAGTGAGTGTTGTGATTTGGAGCATTCTTCTTCAAGACACGTTCCTGGACAGTTGCAGTACCGTATAGCCTCAATCTCCAAGCGGATGCAGAAGTTTGCTCATCAATGCGGTCCCCTCGGTCGCGAGCTGGATTTGGCACGAGTATCTCGTCGGTCATGACGACTTCTACGGCCTCCACACCCTCGAGCTCTCCCCAGGAGGGCACGAATCCTACGAACAGTACGAACGGGAGCAATGCAGAGAAGCTGCAAGAAAACACGGACGGAGTCGAGAACGGAACACCGAGTCCTCGGACCAAGCTTTACACAGATGCATATACGCATGGCTACACGGAAGGATACATCGAGGGAAATGGAGCGCCGAGGAATATACCTATAGCCATCGTGGGCATGTCCTGCCGTCTACCTGGCAGCGTAAGCACACCAGACGAGTTCTGGGAGCTCTGTTCACGCGCGCGAAGTGGCTGGTCGGAGATACCGAAAGAGAGGTTTGAGGCTGCCAGCTTCTACCATCCAACTCAAGGGAAGACAGGCTGTTTCAATGCGGTGGGAGGGAATTTCCTCAAGGAAGATGTTGGTTTGTTTGACGCCCCGTTCTTTAATCTGACAGCACAAGAAGCCACATCTATGGATCCCCAGCAGCGCATCTTACTGGAGTGTACGTTTGAAGCTCTGGATAATGCAGGAATACCAAAACATGAGATTGTTGGGAAGGATGTTGGGGTTTTCATTGGAGGCTCATTTTCCGAGTATGAATCACAGTCGTTCGTCGACACTGACAATATACCCATGTACCAAGCTACGGGTAAGTTGCCATTCGTAGACGCAGCTCTGTGATCATACTAATACTGCTGCAAAGGTTGCGCATTTGCAATGCAATCAAATAGAATCTCCCATTTCTTTGACTTACGGGGCCCAAGCTTCACCTTAGATACAGCTTGTTCTTCTAGCTTAGTCGCTTTACATCAAGCATGCCAGAGCCTTAGAACCGGAGAGTCCAAGTCTGCGATTGTTGGAGGGTGCCATCTAAATATGCTGCCAGAATTTTGGATATCTATGGCAAAGTCTAGGTGAGTTGAGCAAGCTTGGCATTGGCATCTCCGTGAGGTTAACAATCAAAGACTCTTCTCGAGTGAAGGAAGATCATTCTCATTTGACAGTCGGGGAACAGGCTATGGCCGCGGTGAAGGCTGTGGATTTGTGATTCTCAAACCATTAGATCAGGCGTTGAAAGACAACGATAATATCCGGTCTGTCATCGTGGCAAGTGGCATTTCGCAAGATGGCAAAACCCCTGGGATTACAATGCCAAATGGCGCCGCACAGGGTAAATGAAACACTGCCTTTGGCAGTCAAGTTATCTGAAGCTGAACTTTGCAGAATCCCTCATGGAATCGGTCTACAAAAATGCTGGAATAAGTCCCACGTCAACTGGCTACGTAGAAGCACATGGTACTGGCACCAAGGTTGGGGACCCTATTGAAGCTGCCGCGCTGCACAAAGTTTTCGGTGAAGGTCGGACAAGTCGAAACCCTCTCTTTATTGGATCAGTGAAATCTAATATTGGCCATTTGGAAGCCGCTTCCGGTAAGATAGGTCTCTAGACATGAATTTTTATAATTGCTTACGCCCTTTGTAGGAATAATTTCGGTGATAAAAACGGCATTGATGCTGGAAAGAAGTTTCATCCTCCCAAATTTTGGCTTCAAGAAACCCAACGAAGCCATACCGTTCGCCAAATGGAATTTGAAAGTCCCGATTACCCAGCGCCCGTGGCCTAGAGACAAGCGCTTTGCCAGTATCAATAACTTTGGGTTTGGTGGAACAAACGCACACCTCGTCATGGAACGGGCGCCAATATACAGGAAGAACGAAGAACAACCGGATGTTGGAGCCCAACCAAGAAAATTGTTTGTTCTGTCTGCGAACAATAAGAGTGCCTTGGAGCTGTCGATGAAGAACCTTGGAATTTACCTCGAACAAAGACCTGAAATATTTCAGAACGATCTAATGACCAATCTCGCATATACCCTTGGCCAACGACGGTCTTTAATGCAATGGAGGTATGTCTCATTTTCATACCAGAACCTCATTTCTCCTCTTGGGAGCTTCGGATTCTTGGAGTAGAAGCCTAGAGACAAATCTCTGAGAGGCACACTCAAGTAGTGTTTCTGATATAAATTCAAGCTGTACTAACTCACTGAGTAGAATTGCAATCTCTACAACCTCATCTTTCGATTTGATTCAAGCCCTAAACAGTGGAAAAGTTACACCTGTACGAGAAACCGATGCAGCTTCACGGATAGGATTCATCTTCACTGGACAAGGAGCCCAATATTTCAACATGGGACGAGAGCTATACTTCCAATACCCTGTGTATGCTTCCACTATGGATGCATGCGATGAATATCTAGCCTCGATAGGAGCTCCATTTTCACTTCTCGGTATGTTAGCCTCTAGATTCTCGACGCTCAATTTCAGTACTGACGATGCGTGCCCAGATGAGTTGAACAAGGATGCAGACGTATCTCTTATCAATGAGGCCCATATCAGTCAACCCGCATGCACTGCAATTCAGCTAGCTCTTACAGACCTTCTGCGGTCATGGGGCATCTCGCCCACTGCAGTAGCTGGCCATTCGAGTGGAGAAATTGGTGCTGCGTATGCGGCCGGCATTTTACCTCTGGAATCTTGTTTAGCCATTTCGTACCACAGAGGAATGGCTACGAAAGGGTTGAAAAAGAAGCATCCCCACTTGAAAGGCTCTATGATGGCTGTAGGGGCTACGAAAGAAGAAATCGAGCCCTTGCTTGCTCAGCTAAAGACAAAAGCGCGAATTGCATGTTTCAACAGCCCAACAAGTCTGACGGTAAGAAGCGGTTCTTTCTTATTTTCATCGCCCCTTTAGCCTTATCCTCTGTCCTTGAGAAAGCCCCACCATAGAATTCCCATCTCTCCTAATGCATTCGTATCTTAGTATTCGGTTAGAATTGGTACTGATCATTTATAGATTTCGGGAGAAGAGTCTGCTATCGATGATCTCCAAAAGATCCTAGAAGAAAAACAAGTCTTCAATCGCAAGCTCCAAGTTGACATGGCCTACCACTCCCATCACATGGATCTCATTGCTCAAGACTACCAAAGAAACCTCCAAGCACTCGACGCACCTAAATTGACACAGATCAATTTCTACTCTTCTTTGCACGGAAAGCTTGTGGATGCTACTATGCTCGAACCGTCGTACTGGGTGGAGAATCTGACGCAGTCAGTACGATTCTCCGAGGCTGTGACCAAGATGTGTAAGCCTGATAATGGCGAAGCTGGAGTCGGTATAGTAATTGAGATCGGGCCCCATTCTGCACTTGCTGGACCGTTCAAGCAGATCCTCAAGGCGTGTAGCGCGATGGACATCACTTACTCGTCTGCTCTTGCAAGAAAGAAAGACGCAGTTGAGGCAGCGCTCGAGCTGGCGTCAACTCTCTTTGTCAAAGGAGCGAACCTCAACATGGGTGCTATCAACCTCTCTAAGCAAGCTCCAGAGGTACTAGTTGATATGCCTCGCTACCCTTGGAACCACAACACCCGATATTGGCACGAGGGACGTCTTGCAAAGAAACATAAAAATCGAACAATTCCTCGGCACGATCTTCTTGGTACCTTGGCGAACTACACGACTGACGCAGAACCAACTTGGAGAAATATCCTGCACATGGACGATCTGCTTCCTTGGCTACGACATTACCAAGTTCAGTCTTTGAATTTGTTTCCTATGGCTGGTTTTATCTCCATAGCTGTGGAAGCTGCGTCCCAAAGAGCCGCCCTACGCAACGTGCACCACTATGACAGCTTTCAACTCCGTAGCATTTCAGTCCACCATCCATTAATATTGATGGACGAAGACATCGAACTGACAATTCAGCTCCGTCCTCAACAAGAGAGTACTCTCGTTTCATCTGATTCGTGGGATGAATTCCGCATCTGCTCGTGGACCTCCAGCAAAGGCTGGGCAGAGCACTGCAAAGGTCTGGTTGCAGTCAAGACTAGTGGTATTACGACTATAGAAGAATCGAGACGCTCAGAGATCACGACTTCCGAAAAAGCTGCTGTGGAGAAAGCCAAGCTCTACCATTCACTATCTAATCTTGGAGTTTCTTATGGACTCAGTTTTCAAGGCCTCAGTGACTGTCAAGCCAGTGATAACTGCTCAACAGCCACAATTACGAATGTCGGTACTGCACAAGAACACGCATTTCAGACAGACTCCGTTATCCACCCCACACTGCTGGAGCAGCTGATCGAGATGTACTGGCCTGTTCTCGGTGCTGGGCGAGCATCCGTAAAATGCGACACGGTGTACCTTCCCTCATCTATCGAATCTATGACAATCTCGAGGAATATTACAGAGCTCACGAAGAAACCAGGGGACTCACTGGATGCATTTTGTGAAGGGTCGTTCTCTCGCTCAGCTGTCGTGCCGATTCAATTCTCAATGTTCGCCACTGCCACCAACTCCGACGAGCTACTTCTTGCGGTGAACGACCTGACCGTTTCTCCGATACTGGAAAGAGATATCGGTTCAGAGAATGACACTCCCAGGGAGCTCTGCTACAAGTTAGAGTGGGAACCATTTGCTCAGCTCTCGGACAACATTACCAATGGAAACACGAACGCCACTGAAAATGGTGATCCGCGGCACCTGAACGGATTACCAAACGGTACTTCGGAAATTGTTCCCAACGGGGTCGCTTCACCTCCAAGCGTTGTCTCCGACTTCCCTCTAGGAGAACTGATCATCGTTCATGGAGAAGGTAGCTTCCAGAAACTCCTTGCGTTGGAACTGGCAGCAAACATCGAGCACTTGACAGGTACTCGACCCGCCCTTGAACGTCTCACAACAGATCTCCAGCCGTCTGGAAAATTCTGTCTCTTCATCTCAGAACTAGAACAAAATCTTCTCTCATCACTTACATCCGACCAATTTACCGCCTTACAGAAGATGCTGACCAGCGTCGAGGGCGTCCTCTGGGTTGTACGTAGAGCTTATCTTTCCTCCAGCAATCCTGACGCAAATATGATCACTGGACTCAGTCGAAGTATTCGTTCAGAAACGCTACTCAAATTTGCAACGCTGGATCTAGATTCAGAACCCGTACTATGTCTATCAAGTACCGTGCAAACTATCCTCAACGTCTTTACCGCCGTATTTGGCCCAAAGGCGGAAGCGAACTGCGAGCTAGAATTTGCTGAGAGGAAAGGTGCGTTGTTTACGCCACGCGTTATAAATGATGTGGAAATGAATGAAGCTGTGCATAAGGCTAGATCATTCACCCTCGAGCCGACGCCATTTATACGGAAAGATCGACCATTGCAAATGGCGATTGGAACACATGGTGCATTGGAAACTTTGCATTTCGTTGACCAGTCCGTTGAAGATACATTGGCGGAAGACGGCATCGAGTTAGAGGTCAAGGCAATTGGGATGAACTCACGCGATATTCAATTAGTAATGGGTGTGTTGCCTAATTCTGGTTTCGGTGTCGAGTGCAGTGGCATTGTCACCAAAATTGGAAGCAAGGTCACCAATGTCGCAATTGGAGATCATGTCGCATGCTTATCGGTTTCTATCGGCGTCTACTCAACATACACTAGGACAAAGTCATCGTTTGCTATTCAAATCAAGGATGAGACCTCATTTGAAGCAGCGGCTGCTATACCTGTTGCATATTCTGCAGCATACTATGGCTTAATAGACCTTGGTCGCTTGCTTCAGAGCGAGCGAGTTTTGATTCACGGTGCTGCCAGTGCAGCTGGTCAAGCAGCAATTTGTCTGGCTGAGATGATGGGCGCCGAAGTATTCGCCATGGTAGGCAGCACTGAAAGCAGAAAATCGCTGCTGGAGAGATTCTCTATGCAAGAAGACCATATCTCATCGAGCCACATTTCTTCCTTTGGAAAGATCGCCAAAGGTGGTTTCGATATTGTGCTGAACTGCACTTCAGCCGATTTCGACACTTCAAGAGATCTGTGGGAAAGTTTGAGTAATTTCGGTCGATTTGTGCAGATCAAGAAAACGGATGGCCATGCTAGTGCTATACTTGCAAATACCAGCCTCCAGGGCAACAGGAGCTTCATGTCGGTTGATTTGATTTCTTTGGCTCTAGAGAGACCCAGGATCATGGAGCGTCTCTTGTCTGACGTCTCTGGACTCTTGGAGAAGGGGAAAATACAGACCCCTGGACTGAGCATCTACTCGATATCTGACCTCGAGGCTGCTTTCAACGCCTTGAAAGATAGTACTACGGACAGCAAGTTGATTGTTTCACCACAGCCAAGCGATCAAGTAAAGGTTTGTACTCTTCTGAATATATCTAGAGTAAAATGTTCACATGCTAATTGGTCCAGGCAACTCCTTGGAACAAAGGGAACAAACTCCTACGTTCAGATTGCTCGTACATCCTGATTGGCGGCACCGGTGGGCTAGGACGAAGTATGGCCCGATGGATGGTAGATCAGGGGGCTCGAAACATTGTTCTAGTCTCCAGAACTGGAAGCGTGACCAGCAAAGTGAAGACTTTGATCGATGACCTAGCTGCTGTTGGCGCCAATATTTTGGTCAAGAGTTGCGATGTCTGTAACGCCGAGTCCGTGAACAATCTCATTCATAAAGACATGCTTGGTATGCCAGAGATCAAGGGAGTTGTTCACGGTGCTATGGTCCTGAAGGTAAGCAGCCCCTCGTCGATATAGCCTTTAACAGCCTACTAACACGAATTAGGACGTCCTTTTTGAGAAGATGACCTACGAGCAGTATACCACCGTTATCGAGGCTAAAGTGCGCGGGGCATGGAACTTCCACAACGCCTTACTGTCCACCAAACTCGATTTCTTCGTAGCCATCTCATCAGCCGCAGGTGCAGTCGGCAATCGAGGCCAAGCCGCGTACTCAGCCGCCAATACCTTCCTCAACGCATTCGTGCAACATAGACTCAAACTTGGCCTCCCCGCCTCCTCTCTAGATCTAACTGCTGTTTCAGACGTCGGTTACCTCGCCGAAAACATTGAGACGGCTGCCGAGGTGTCCAAGAACCTGGGGAGTGACACGATTTGCGAGGCGGAGGTGTTAGCCCTGCTTGAAGCTGCCATCGATGGTCGTCTGTCGAAGAGCTGCAACAACCACACGATCACGGGCATGCGACTAACCACCTCAACATTCTGGACCAACGACGCGAAATTCAAACACCTGCGCCTCGCCGCAGCCACCGAAACCGACGAACCGGTCCAAATCTCCTTCAAAGCCGCCCTGAAAGCCTCAACCTCTCTCCCGGAAGCCGAACTCGTCGTCCAAAAAGCGCTGCTGAACAAACTGCCCTCGGTCTTGGTGCTGGAAGCAGAGGATATGGACGTCACGCGCTCGCTGTCGAGTTACGCGCTTGATTCGCTGGTGGCGATCGAGGTGAGGAATTTTATTACGAGGGAGTTTGAGGCGAATTTGCAGGTGTTGGAACTGCTTGGGAGTGGCAGTATTGAGACGTTGGCGAAGGCTATTTGTGTTAAGAGTAAATTGGTTGAGTTTAAGGAGGGAGCGGAATAGAGGAAAGGGGATTTTAGAGGGGACAGAGAGAAATTTGGGCAGGGACCAAATGGCTTCTTGGTGTATATATGATGGGGGGGATTTTTTGAGATGGTTTTGATGCTTGCTTGGGTTAGGTTGCATTGTTGTTGTATATATTTGTGCATTTTAGAATATTGATATTGTTAAGAATATTTGTGCTTTGAATTTGGCGTTGAGAATGTTAAGTGAGCTTGTGGTATGCACTATTCGGATCGCTGACTTGACTAGATGAGGCGGCTTGGCTAAGTGATAAGAAATATCTCAATGTCCAAGGCAAGCAGGGACATTCGAGTCTTGAAATCTGCGGAGGGCAAAACTGATTGTCCAGCTCCAAGATGGCAATCGGAGTTGATCATGGGAACGCGGCTTCTGCAAAATTAAAACATGCGACGAAGGATAACTCGTAACACACCTTCCACCGTCATTCGAGAGCAGTGACAATCAACCAAGACAACAAATCTCGAATTCTATACATACAAAAAAGCGTACACACAAGATCCCCAAACGCCCGTCCAAGCGACCATCTATCTATATGTCGCCAATCTATGATACCAATCCCAACATACAAAACACATCAATTTACAGACAAGCCCAGCCCAACTCCATTATTAGAGTTCAGCGCTGCGCCCAACTCCCTCGGCCTCCAAGTCTCTTCTTGTCGAGTCCCGGCCGGGAGCCAGGCAGCGTTACTCGATCCTCTGACCCTGCCTCCTCTCCCCGAAGGCGGGCCTAGGTCATCGCTTTTCTTGTCGTTGTCTCCGCGGTTCATGTTGGGGAGGGCGTAGCCGTTTGTGTAGCCGCGAACGGGAGATTCGTAGCGGGAGGCTGGTGGGGTTATCCTGTTTCCGTTTACTGGAAGGATGGAAAGTGGTAAGATGGATTCTTCCTTGACGTCCATCATCTTTGCTTTTCGGTCTGCTTTGTTGCCTTCCTTGGCACGGTCGTAGAGATAGAGGCCGAAGAACGTCAAACCTATGCCCAGACCTTGGATCTTGGTTGTAGGATTTTGGAACCAGATTATTGCGATTACGACCACGAAGACTCGCTTGATGAGTGAGGCGACGGAATAGGTGACGGGTGAGACCATGGATAAGAGGACGAACGCAATGATGTTTTGACCAAAGTGGAATGTACCGTTGAATACAAATTCTAGTGCCAAGCGGCCGTGATCGAATGCTGGCATGGAAGGCTTCCCCGCTGAGAGGTCAAGAGAGCCGTCATGCAAGAAGTCCTTAAGGAGCGTAAACCCCTCAGACATGAACCAATATGGTGTCGTGAGAAGAAATGCGAGTCCTGAAGAATAACAGAGGAGATTCAATTTGTCGAGTTTCCGGGACTGAATTCCAGATGCCTCGGCGAGAGCTGCTTCATTGAACAACCGCTTGGAAAATATGTTTTGGGTGACAAAAATCAGTGCTGCGAGTAGGGCGCAGAAAATCCCTACAAGGTTTCCTTTGAACTCGGCAGAGCAGGCGAGCATAACACCGAGTGTAAGAGGAATGAGAGAGACGTATGTAGCAGCAGGGTAGCGAATATTAAATATGAGGCGGTACGCTACCACGGTGAAGAGCGGGGAGAGGCCCTTGATGGTGTGGACAAGGGAAACGGGAATCTTCGTAGTTGCCGTTGCGGAGAGTAAATGGCCTCCAATCTGAAAAATAGCCAAAGGAAGTGTGGTTTTGATGACATCCCGTGAAGGAGACCGAATGCCGTGTCGAAGAGCATGAATTTTCTTTGGAAGAATCGGGAATACGGTGGATAGCCAGGAGAAGAGGACGCAGAAGAAGGCGACGAATGCGAATTGTATTAAGGTGAGAGTCGCTGGTTTCGGGAACGCATTCAGGATAGATTTTGAAGAAGTGTTTGTGAGAGCACTCGAAGTGTACCATACAATACAAAGGGTCTACAGCAAACATCAGTATGACATTTAATTGTCTGGAGGAATTACAAACAATTAACATGGGCGACACCGGCGCCTTCAATGCATCTCCAATCTCGTGCACATTCGCACTGACACTGCCTCTTCTGGTTCTTATTGTCCTTATAGCTTCACTTAAGCTTTTCTGTCTGCCATGTCTACCTCCTGTGCTCGAAGATCCATTTGCCCATGAAGCCCCCTTTAAATGGTTCTCTCTTCTCGGCTGCCATCTCTCATCCGACACTGGACTGGCTGTATAACCATTTGCGGTCGTCGGATTTGAGGTTGTATAGGGCGATGTCCCATCTAGGGACTCGATATGGTCTGGGAACTTCTCCATTGACGTTCGCAGAGCGGTCCGGTTGTCACTGGGGAATTTAAAGCTCTGGACCCGAGTCTGAGATGATGCTCTCGTGGAGTGAGGCATTGTGAGATAGCTGCAGATGGGTGTTGCCTCCACACGCGCTCATCGTTGTCGTTGCATGTCGGGCATATGAATGTTCTTTGCACACGTTTTCCGAGGATGTTGAGATGTGGTGAGAGTGTTCGCAATCCATTGAATCAATTCGATACGAGATTCATGGATGGCGGAAAAATCGACGGCACTTGCCGGCATCCTTTTAGCGCGACTTCGATAACGAAGCTTCAACTTTTGTTCACTGCGTCTTGACCTCGACGCAACTACCATCCACGATCCCTGGAAACATTTTGCACCTTTTGAGGATAAGTGTCGGGCGTGATGCCTTCAGCCGTCACTATGGCGCCGTCAAAACCAACAAAGAACCAAATGAGGCGCGCGAAGAAGAAGGAACAGAAGAAGGCAGCGCAGGTGAGTCTTAAGGAGAATCTCTCAACGGACATCTGCTGATAATGTACAGATCACTCCTACTCCCGAACCAGAAAAGGAACCAGAGCCCGTCCCTGAAGCAGCGCCAGCCGAGGCCGAAGAGGAAGAGGATCCATTAGAATCGGATATCACATCACTCGAGATCAGCGAAGATGATCCGAATTACGAAATGTTCAAGAGCATTATGGAGCGATTTGGCGCAAGCACAGAGGAAGATGAGGCTGCGAAGGAGGCAAATGCAGGAGATAAGGGAGAGGTGTTCTACGATGATGACGACGACATCCCGGACGAGGACGAGGAAGCAGACAAGGAACCAAAATTGTCCAAGAAGAAACGAAAGGAGCGCGACAAGCTTTCCGTGGCCGAGTTGAAAGCCTTGGTCCAGAAGCCAGAGCTCGTGGAGTGGACCGATACATCTGCTTCGGATCCCCAATTGCTTGTTCAGATCAAGTCATATCGAAATGTTGTTCCAGTGCCAAGCCATTGGTCACTGAAGCGCGAATATCTGTCTTCCAAACGTGGTGTTGAGAAACCTTCGTTCGCCCTGCCAAAGTTCATCCAAGAAACTGGTATTGCTGAGATGCGTGATGCGGTCTTGGAGAAGCAAGATTCAGCCACTCTGAAGCAAAAGCAGCGTGAGAGAGTTCAGCCGAAAATGGGAAAGCTGGACATTGATTATCAGAAGTTGTATGAAGCCTTCTTCAGGTTCCAGACCAAGCCTGAGCTAACGCGCTATGGCGAGGTTTACTACGAAGGCAAAGAATACGAGACGAATCTTCGGCATTTACGTCCTGGCGAGTTGAGTGAGGATTTGAAAGAAGCTCTCAATATTCCACCAGGAGCTCCGCCTCCATGGTTAATCAATCAGCAACGATTTGGTCCTCCACCTTCCTACCCATCTCTGAAGATTCCTGGACTCAATGCGCCTCCACCACCAGGCGGTGCCTGGGGATTTCACCCTGGTGGATACGGAAAGCCTCCTGTCGACGAGTTCAACAGGCCTCTTTATGGTGGTGATATCTTTGGTGTTCTACAACCGCAAGTCAATAACCAGGCAGGCGAGCCTATTGAGCGCACCTTATGGGGAGAACTACAAGCGCCAGAAGAAGAATCAGAGGAAGAGGAAAGTGAGGACGAAGAAGAGGAGGGAGACGAAGAGGACATTGGTGCAGGTCTTCAAACACCAAGTGGTCTTGAGACTCCGGGTGGATTGGCTTCTACTGTTCCTTCGGAGTATCCTGGCGACATGAGTGTTGGCGGCGACTTTGACCTGAGAAAGACGAAGCGTGGCACCGAGACGGAAGAATCTTCAGCTCCTAGATCCGCATACACTGTCATCCCAGAGCGACAAATTCGTGCAGAAGGTTTCTTTGGCGGCGATCGAGCGTACGATGTGCGTGGTGCTCAAAATGCACACTTACCGGTTCTAGGACAAGACGATGAAAACAGAAAGCGCAAGAAGCCTGGAGATGTGGACGTGGCACTTGACCCTGATTCTCTATCATCGGAGGATGGTATCAGCAAGGAAGAAGTGAAGCGTAGATTTGAGCAGCAGAAGAAAGAAGAGAAAGGTGCGTGGGCATTTGAGGAAGACCTCAGCGATATGATTGCTCAGGAGAGTCGGAAGAGACAAAAGCGTGATGAAGAAAAGCGAGGGGAGAAGAGGGAGAGATCGTACAGGTTTTAGGGTGGATGGGTGATCATCATACATGGAGTTTGGTGGCATCTTGTGAGACTTGTATTTCAGAAAGTGTAATATCAGAATCGAAAAAGTACATCAATGCCGGGGCGTCACCTCCAATTACCTCTTCCTAGGTATCCTATATCTTGGTGGGAAGAAGTCTTCATTTGCGGGGTATTCTAGATGTTTCTTGCTTATAAAATTTCCCCATTCAGTTATCAAACACCGCTTTAGCCTAAAGAAGATACAGTAATATCTGGATGAATCCTCCGTCAAATGAGGGACATTTGAAGCTAAGTAAGGATATTGCTGCAAGAGAGGGGCGGGACGCTCCGCTGACTAAGTGTCAGCTAGGGGTCTTAGTCCGCTAGCGGCCGCCTTCAACTTCGAGCCTTCCGAAATTTATACAAGCTTCACAGTATAAACATCGCTGCTTCATACCTCACTCATTATCTACACTCTGCAAGTTCGACCTTCTCAATATCTTCAACCGTCAACATACCTTCCTCCAAAGACTCTGCCAACAGTGCTAGCATAGAAATAAGGTTTACCAAGATGGACAGAGACAGGAGGGACAGGTCTCGAGACCGAGACAGGAGAGACAGGAGCAGAAGCAGAGATAGTTATCGGGGTCGAGATCGTGATCGAAGGTTCGTTCTTTATTCTTTGATGGCATATTTTTAGTTCGACCTGCCCGACATTGGCTTTGCTCCGGACCGGACATCGAAAACCGAACATTCACCTCAAGACAAAGTCCCATGCACGTCGGACAATGGAATCGGGTCGAGGACAGCAGAATCGAGGACGCGGAGGCAGATGCTCCCCCAGCAGAATCCACCGAGCTAATGGACCACGGGGTGGAGGAGGAGAGGTTTCCCAGAAAACCACAGTACATTATCGATCCCGCTCGGACTACTTACTGCAAGATCGATTCGATCCTCTCCTGCCTGCAACTGCACCTTTGTCAGAATGGGCGCTGCTCAACGATACCAAAAGAAAAGAGTGGAATGACCTTTTCGATTCCTTCGATGTTGATTCTAAGGTCGCATGGGTTTCCTCATACATACTTGAGTGGACGACCGCGGCTTCCAAGAAGCGTCTTAAAGTCTGGATACCGAAATTGCCACCAAAGGCTGAGGAATATGTGGTTTCAGACTGGTTCAAAGCGCAGTGGAAACATTATCCCAGGTTACGTCAGGAGAGCGATACATGGCTTCCTTCAATCAGACACTTTCATCGTCTTTTCCTGGAGGAGACCCCAGAGCAGAGCAGACTCGCAGACTCCTTATCAGCACAAGAGCTCCTAGAACGCTTGCGCGCTGCACGAGATGCAATAGAGCCTCCTCGCCGTGTTGGCGCGAGTCTCTTTGTGTCAGACAGAACTACCATTCGGAAATCAGATGACCCTGAAACCTCGTCTTCGGAAGTCCTGATATCTCGGCCCAACTTGTCACGTCCTCCGTGGGCACCAAAACCGACCCATCCTTTTGATTCACCATTGAACCCGGCTAAGAGGTTCAAGCGAAGCACTGCGGAAGCTCTATCTAATCTGGAATTTCAAGTTGCAAGCTCCGATGCGCAAAAGCTAACAACATCGCAAACAGAGGAGAAGGAGAAGTCACCAAAATGGGAGCAGGAGAATCGTACCGCCCAACCGCTCGGCCTCCAAGGTCTCCTCGATCACCGCCAAGAATCGACTCATTCAGAAGCGACAGGAGGTCACCCCGCAGAGACAGACCAAGATCACCTCCTACAATCGCAACCGATACCTGGCACCCAGGAGTCCGGGATCGATCTCAGCGTCGTCGATCCAGAACTCCTCCCCGAAGAGAACGCGAACGCTCACCGTTCAGAGACAACTGGCGGTCCAGAGCGAGATCACCACCACGCGTAAGAAGCCCGAGAAGATTTTCTCCAAGAAGAGACGAAGATCGTAGAGCCAGATCACCACTCAGGTTCGTTTTCAAAGCAGTATTGATCCGTTGCCCCTCTACTAATACTATGCAGAAGAAGATCGAGGTCGCCATATGAACGTGAACGCAATACTCGTGCACGATCGCCCCTTCCCAGAAGATCCCCACCAGCAGGTAAGCTTCGCATTCACTTCTCTCTTTACATTTGTCACTATTCCCTCCAAAACCATACCAAAACATATCTTCGACGTCTTTATGATTCGTTTACTCACTCATTTAGGACCTCGAGGTTCTCGTGCTCGCTCCAAGAGCCTAGACCGTAGAGATGACCGCGCACCCACTGGTCCAAGTTCATCAAATTGGAGAGCTCGATCTCCTTCACCTATGGCTCGCGACTCCGAACGCTCTTCTGGTCGAACTTCTGGAAATACTTCTCGCCGTTCATCACCACCAATTCATCCTGATCGCATGCACCTAACACAATCTACTGCCCGTGAACCAAGAGCTCGATCGCCGCCCACACGAGAACGCTCACCTGTTACGCAACTTGCCTTTCGAGAACGAGAAAGAGAACGCGAACGAGACTCTGCTAGATCCACACCCCGAGAACATTCGCCTGTACGTGAACCAGTACCACGATCTCCACCTCGAGGACCAGCTGGCTTTCGAGCGCCTAGTGGACCACCCACAGGACCAAGCAGTAGTCGAAATTTCACATCATCTGCACCTCGTATTCCTTCTGGCCCCTCGACCCCTGCAGCACATTTTCGGTCCGAAAATGCCGGCCCTGTTGTACCACCTGCGGGACCACGTGGTTATGTTCCACCAATACGTGGCACCTATGGCATCAGAGGTGGTAGAGGTTCGTTTGGCCATGATCGAGCAACTCGTCCTGATGCATCAGCATGGGGAGCAGCTCCATCTCGCCCTGCAGCGCACGAACCTACCATCAAACCCTCTGCACCAGTCAGTCGGCCAAACCCCACCCCAGCATCTCCTTCCCTCTCAACCGCTTCTTCCCCAACTATTCCCACTGGCCTGTCTGCCGGCATTCCCACTGGTCCCCGAGCCGGTGTTCCTTCTCGCCCAGCATTGCAGCATTCATCAAGTGTTTATGGTCGCGGCAATCAAACCAATGTCAACTCCGGACCTCGACCACATCCAGCCATGGTAGGCATCCCGCACATCGTCCCCAACGGCAGAATCGACCCCACAGCATCGGGTATCCCCAATGAAATCTCAACAAGACTCAAGAAACTCGAGGAAGAAGAGCAAGTATTACGAGAACGTTATTACGCTAAGCAGGAAACACTGAAGCAAGGATTAAAAGGCTGGGATAAATTAAGCAGAGAAGCTTCCGGCATGGCATTACGCACCGAACTCAGCGAGAGACACGTACGAATGCTTGCTGGTGAGGGTGTTGGAGGGGCTGCTTTCTAATCGTGTATTGTGTATGATTACATTTCCTTTCTTTCATGACAGTCAAACAGAAAAATAGCAAGTGAGCGGAGGCGTTGGGAAAACAATGCAGTTGTTGTCAAAAGCATTGTACATGTAGTAATAATGAAAATGGAGATACCATGATTGTGTTTTCTTAGGCTTCTGAAGTGTGCTTTGACAAAATGGACATTGTTTTACTAGAATGTACGGAGGGGTGTTTAAGATTGAGAAATGAATCCATAGCCTGACTTTTAGGGTAGCACAATGTTTGTCTTAAACATGGAGATTGGAGTCATCTTTTTGTATCGTTTCACTTTTTAAGTACGGCATCAGATCCGCAACGGGAACAGGGTCGATGACGGACCCAAAGCCTCACTATCAAATCAAGGACTCGTCTTGACAACATTCACCCCATCAAAAATCTTATACTCCGCAAAGCAAAATTCATTTTTGCTGGCAAGCTGGTATCAACTCTAAATACACTTATTGCCACCCAGAGCCCAGCCTATAGTAACCATCCCCCCTTCCTCTCAAGCTATCTTCCATTTTCCATTATTCTGCCCATTATGCACCTTTCGTCCCTCAAGGTATTTTCCATTTTCTGTTTGTTCATTATGCACGTTTGTCTCCTCCCTCCACCTGTCCTATCGACAGCGCACGGACCACCTGAGATGAGACAAATCTCAGCCTCCCACCGAACAAAGTAAAGCAGCAAAGAGAAAGCAAAAAAAAAACCGGCGCTATGCATCGAAACCGGGAAATGAGCACAAAATAAAAAGAAAAGAATTTTGTAATCCGCCTGCCGCAAGCATTTGCAAGGAAATTATATGTTGCAATTATGTAGGTAAGCCACCGACTCCTAACTTTGCAATAAGAAAAGTCATTCGCTATCGCTAACGAGATCAATGACATTCGACTTCTTTGGTGGTTTCAGCCTTCAAAATCAGCGATATACTTTTGAGAAGCAGGAAAATCGGATGGGAGCCAAGCCTGTACTCACTCATCCGAATCATCAGTATCGCTGATTGTGGGAACTGCAACATCGTCGTCGTCAAAATCGGCGCTGGGGTGGTAGGTTGGGTCTTTCTGAGTGTCATCTTGAGGAAATTCGAGAGGCTCGAGTCTTCGGCGTGGTCTCTTGGCTGCCGGACTGTCGGTATTGCTGCCATTTGGCTTCAAGTTTAAGCTGCCGTTGGATTGCTTGAAGGGGCGCTTTTTGCTTTCACTGACGGTGCGGCCACGATCACTTGGAGCCTGGTCGCTAGCAGCGGAGGAAGGACGCCTTGAACTAGCACTACCGGGTCGAGAAGTTGGTCGAGAATTAGTGACTCCTCTGCCAACACTTGAGAACGAACCAGCAGGTGAGATGTGTCGGGGTGGGGGTGGAGGACAGGCTGGTGCTGGTGTCGGTGTTGGGGTTGCCTTTTGCTTCAGAATTATGTCCGCGTTTGCTTTCTCAACCTTTTCAACATCCTCCTTTAGGATGGCAATCTTATTGTAGACTTCCACAAAACGGTTCGCTGCCTCATCTCGATCCTTTTCCACTTCAGATTGAACTCCTTTCAGATCGTCCACGGCCTTTTTTGAAGCAGATTGAGCCCTGGATACTTCTGTAACCAAACTGTCAATCTCTTTGCGCATGTTCTGGACACGCTCAGTGGAACCACTTAATCCAACTATTGTAGTCGTCAACTCGGATACTTGGGACTCCAATCCAATTACCCTTGGATTCACACTTTGAAGTACCAGGAGAGATGATTGCAGTCGACCAAGTCGAGCATTGAAGTCCCCGATGACCGTACTGCCTTCCAAATGGGCTTCTACCAAAGTGGACACCATCGCGTGATGCAAGTCACTTGTGTTAATGTTGTCGACTCTAGCTTGGAGATTGTCGATGGCGGCCTCGTGACTCTCGACAGTGTCAAGCAAGCCATTGACTACCTCTTTACGCGAGAAAACACCTTTATCCACAAGTGTTTGAGAGACGTTGAGAGAGATGTTGGAGACATCGGATGTCTGCCGAATTAGATTGTTGTGGTTGTCGGTAAGAGCATTGATAGAAGCCTTTAGCTGATTGGTGTTGACCTGCTGTTGTTCAAGGTCTCCTTGCATACGTTTTACCGCTTCATTTACAAGTTCTCCGGCCAAGGGTGCCACATCGCTCAATTGTTCTTCGACCAACTCCAATCTGTCTTCAAGTGCTTTGAGGCTTGAAGCATCGGTTGTTGATAGTTGCTGAGCTTGATCTGCTGCTGTCGGTACCTGTGCAGCCGGTCGCTGCTCCAAATTGTTCAATCGTGTATTGAACGAAGCTCTTTCCTTGCTAATTAATAATTCCTGGTCGCCCACCCTCTTCTCAAGATTGACAAGGCGCTTATCGGCAGAGTCCTTAGGTTTATTCGTCTCAAGGTGTGCGACTTTAGCCTTTAGGGAGTTGATGTCTGAAGTGTGTTGATCGCAAGAAGCCGTAAGGGTGGTTTCAACCTTATCCACTTGAGCTTTGAAAGCACTAATCTGGGAGCTTTCAAGGGAGGGCGCCGATGTAGTGAGACTAGGAGCCAGTTTTGAAATCTTGAGTCCATCAATGACGCCAGAAAATGCGGCCAATCTCTGGTCCAAAGGTTCAATATGCTTCTTTATAAGCATTGAATAATCAGGCTGGACCTGTGGCGCAGGAGAATTTGCCGATAAGTCTAGCTTCTTAACTCTTTCACGAATAGGATCAAGGTCTTTCTTTTCGACCATGCTTGTCTCAACCTTTGTTAATCTTAAAGCGAGCGAATTTTGACTTTGATTTTGACTTTGAGCTTGTTTGCCAAGTTCCTCGCTGTTGGTTTTGCATATCGACGCCACCTCCTCGCATTTCTTTTCGAGCCCGTAGAAAGTGTCCTGGAAGACAGAACTCGATTCCAACTTTGTCAGCCGTGTTTGCATCTTATTCATGTCGTTAACGCGTCTTGCGAGATTCTCTACATCCGTAAGCCTCTCATTAGCGTCGTCCCTACCCTTTGCTTGAGTGGCAGCATCCTTCTTAACACCACAGACGTCGTCTTTGATGACTTGAATACTTGAAACGGCCCCATTGACTTGATTGGAGATACTGTCTAATGTAGACTTTAAGTAATTGATCTCTTGTTGAGAGGCCGCTCTTTGGTCTTCATGGCTCTTTACAAGCTTTGAATACTCCTCGTCTCTCTTCTGAAGTCTTTCTTCCAAGGATTGACTCAATTTTTGTTGTTGGGCCAATAACCGCTTTTGCTCATTGAATAGCTTCGTAAAATTGTCAGAAGTTTCTTGCAGTCGCTTCTCCACTTCAGAGGAGTCAAGGTTACCACGGCCCTTATCGAGAATGCTTGGAATAAAATATGCAGCAGTTTCCCTAGCAGTCTTGGCAAGTGAATTTTCCTTTTGCCGAATTTTGTCCGAGACTAGCTTATAGGCTTTTTCCGCGCTTGTCTTAGCATTAGTTTGAGACTCCTTGCTGGATGGGAATTTCTCATGATGTGCTTTGAATTTCTCAAACTCTGCCGTTCTTCGATTGAGCCTCTGCTTTTCCGTATGTTGCTGAGCTTTTAACGACGACATCTCCGTGCATTCGTTGAGAAGGACAAGAACCTTGTTGCCGAATTCCAAGCTCAATTCATCTTGCAAGCTCGCGTCTATATTTACGTCGGCGATTTCAGAGGGGGTTGGTTGTTGGGGCTGCTGCTTTTGAACGCTTGACTCCTCCATATTGTCGGCTCTTGGTGCCATTTCATCGCTAATTGGAGGTGGAGTCAGCTTTGATGGCTCGGAAGGCTGATCAATAACTGCTGTGACAGTAGCTGGTGGTCGAGTCGAGGTCAATGGTGGTACACGATTTTGAGGTGGAGGACTATAGCTATTGTTTGCACCTAGGTATTGCTTAGTTAGACTCAAAGTAAAAGGCCTAGAGTGAGAGAGGTGTATTGATAGAGGGGCAGATGAGTCATCAGGCTCGGGGAGAATGGTAGTTATAAACCCCAATTAAATTCGAATAATATGCTCACCTCGTTCCTCTAATGGCGGCCTGTTTCCTGACCTGTATGAATCGTATGAACGTTTCTCCTCCAGCGGTGATCTTGCAGATGATCTACGGACCGGCGAACGCGAATTGTATCGTGGTCTGTAGTTGTTTTCGTATGAATCCCGTCTGCTGTCTCTGTCCCTACTTCGTCCGCGGCGAGGAGGGCTCTGATGATCGCGGCGATAGGGAGGGGATCTCGATCTGCGGTAATATTCTTCGCGCGAGTCTTCTCGTCTTGAACCGCGTGCGGGCCCAGAGCTGTAGTGATGCGATTTGGCCTGTTCTGCTCGTGGCCCAGAAGGAGGTGTGCTATCAAAGTGTGACGAGGACATATTATTTGCGATTTGCGACTTGCGCGGGCGAGGAAGGAGCGAGGGGACCCTTAGCAGCGAATTTTCCCTTTGGAGAATTCTTGAACTTTTTGGATTTTTTGAGAGTCATGAAGAGTGTTCCTGCTTTGCAAAATGGTGTCTGTTAGCGTAAAGTAACAGACATAGCAATGTTTGCTACAGGACAACGAAGCCGACTGAATACAGCATATCAAGGTCTGAAAGTAGGCGTATAGACGCGACAAAAAGCGAGTTGTGACATTCTCTTCCGAGGTCATCTCGAAATACAGACATGGGGATGAAAGCATAACAACAGTACTACTCACCCTCTAGCAAGGTTTCCGTCTTGCACCAGTGACCAATCCTCCTCGCATCATCAGCACTGGGAATCAAGAAGACGTAAAGGCTGTGGAGATATCGGGAATTTTGGTGGTGGTGGGGGGGGGGTTGGATCTGTTCGCGGCAGTTGATGCTCGAGACGCTTCAAAGACTCAAGTTTAGTATCCCGAAAAGCAGAAAAGCTTCGAACCTTTTGTGATCAGATTACGAAAGAATTATATGTGAATGTAATGAAGGAGACTGATAGTAAAGAAAGGGATGTATTCGATAAACTCGCTCTTGTCACAACATGTTGGCGGTGAAGCAGAGTGCATGATAGGAGGTCATGAGGTCATGAAAGGTCTGGATAAATGAAGGTCAATATTTAATGGCTCGACCCCCAAGTAGCATAAGCGAGACGCTGTCAGAACCTTAAAATGCTTAAATTGTATGCAATTGTAAGGCACGGGAATAAATACGACCACATCCACATTTACTGCTGACACTCCAGAATAAATTGAATATTTTGAGGCTGCCTTCTCTGCATTAGATCCAACGCGACTGCATTACCTGCGCGTATTTCCACACCTCACTTTCTTCACCCCTTTCAAAAGCCTTCAATATGGCTGCGGTAAGTTGACACAAGCACAGCGCACGGTATCCTTCTCACTGACATGTCCAAAGGCAATACAAACGGTCTCTGAGAGCAAGGAGCTCCGGGGCCTCAATCTGATTGCGGCGCATTCGCATATCAGAGGTCTAGGAGTCGACCCCATTACCCTCGAACCGCGACCTTCATCACAAGGACTGGTGGGACAAGAAAAGGCGCGAAAGGCTGCCGCTGTCATCCTGCAGATGGTGAAGGAGGGGAAGATTGCGGGACGAGCAGTGTTGATCGCTGGACCTCCAAGGCAAGTCCCTTGCAGTTATATGGATGAACCTGGAATTTGACGAACTGTAGTACTGGAAAAACTGCGATTGCAATGGGCATGTCACAAGCATTAGGTGTGGATGTTCCATTCACAATGCTCGCCTCGTCTGAGATCTTCTCCCTCGAAATGTCCAAGACAGAAGCCCTCGAGCAGGCTTTCCGCAAGTCGATCGGTGTACGAATCAAAGAAGAGAGCGAGATGATTGAGGGAGAAGTGGTTGAGATACAAACAGACCGAAGCGTGACTGGTGGAACGAAACAGGGGAAGTTGACAATCAAGACGACAGACATGGAGTCGGTGTATGATATGGGCACCAAGATGATCGATGCCATGACCAAGGAACGTGTTATGGCTGGAGACATCATCTCGATCGATAAGTCGTCTGGGAAGATCACGAAGCTGGGTCGATCCTTTGCCAAGTCGCGCGACTACGATGCTATGGGCGTGGATACCAAATTTTTACAATGCCCCGACGGCGATTTGCAAAAGCGCAAGGAAGTGGTTCATACAGTCAGTCTTCACGAGATTGATGTTATCAACTCAAGAACACAAGGCTTCCTAGCACTGTTTTCGGGAGACACTGGAGAGATCAGGAGTGAGGTTCGAGACCAAATCAATACCAAGGTTGCGGAATGGAAAGAAGAAGGCAAGGCTGAGATCGTGCCTGGTGTCCTCTTTATCGATGAAGTACACATGCTTGATATCGAGTGCTTCTCATACATCAATAGAGCTCTCGAGGACGAGCTTGCTCCTATTGTCATTATGGCAAGCAACAGAGGCAACTCCAGAATCCGAGGCACAAACTACCGAAGTCCCCACGGCTTGCCCCTTGACTTCTTGGATAGAGTGGTCATTGTCAGCACCCACGCCTACCAAAAGGAGGAGATCCAGCAGATCTTGTCCATCCGTGCTGCAGAGGAAGAAGTGGATGTTACTCCAGATGCATTGGCCCTTCTGACCAAAATTGGCCAAGAAACAGGTCTTCGATATGCCAGCAATCTGATCACCACATCACAGCTGATTGCTGCGAAAAGGAAAGCCAAGCAAGTCTCAATCGAGGACGTACAAAGAAGTTTCCAGCTCTTCTACGACTCGGGCAGAAGTGTTAAATTCGTCTCAGACTTTGAGAAGAGATTAATAGGCGAGTCTGGAGAAGTAAACTTCAGTGTGACAAACGGTCACGGTGATGCAATGGAATTATCATAGATTGATTTCAGGCGTTTGGAGCGAGTGTGTTGGAACAAAAAGTCAAGTCAAAACAAGATAATTGTACAAGTAGCGGCGCAAGTGGCATTTTGAGCACTTACGAAAGAACGAACGAATGGATGAGAATAAAGCTTTGAGCATCTGATTTTACAGTTTTGGGTATCTTGTTTTCCTTAAATCATACTCATACAAAGTCCATGATTCTGCTCCAAGCCCCCTCATCTCCTGCTTTTCTGAATTCGACGCCCTCACCGAAATACCCAGCGTCTTGCCAAGCTACCATTGTTGCGCCGTCATATGGACCTTGCTTGGCATCACCATCTCGGCCATCGATCCATCTGTATTCCCACATCTTGGCGGGTCTGGAGCCATCCGGTCCTTCTTTAAGCTCTGCTGCTGGTGGCTCAACCCAATCTTCGCCTGATTCTCGACGGTATTGTCTAATGAGCATTTCTCTCTCTTGCTCGTAGATCTCTGTCTGACCTCTCGTAAGCAGCTGATCGGCTGCACCGGTAATAGCATCGACAGCTTCTCTGATCTTAACTTGTTCTGGATCCTCGGCTACTTTTGCTGTTTCGACGTCCATGGCATCACTGCCGTTGTGCTTCTGCTTCTTCAGCTTCCACTTCGGGACTTTCTTCGTTTTTGTTTGGCCTCTGCCTAACCTTGCTAGAGCTTCCAAAACAGTCTCGCCCTTCTCTAGCCGTAGTATGAGTGTTCGCAAGATGTCTGGTAGAAGAAGTGCATCGTCCTCTAGTCTCTTCTGCCGTAATTCCGCTTCTCTCTTCTCGTGAGCTTCGGCAGCTTTCTTCATGTCTTTCTTTCCGATACCTTCCAGCCAGGAATCATGCTTCGCATCTGGATCTGCGGCTTTCCTCACAAAGTTTCCAGCCTCGTCGAATCGGCCTTCCTCCTGCTCTGCCTTCATGTTGAAAGCATCGACCTTAGGTGCATTTCTCTTCAAGCCTCCAGCACCAATCTCCTCATCTATGCCTTCCTCCTGCGCAACTAACGCAGCCTCTTCCTCGTCATCACTACTTTCCTGATCATCCATAGCATGTGTCGAAAGCTTGCCCTTCGGATCCAGTGCAAAATTCCCAGACACGTGTCCACCACTCTTGCTATTCTCGACCTGTCCCTCAATCTCATCTGCCTCCATAAACCTCACAGCTTTCCCCTTCTTGCCCTTCCCAGGCATAGTTTCGTCCTCGTCCCCATCTGCATTCCCATCGTCCAGATCTGCAAACATATCCGCGTCCTCCTCCATCTCACTCTTTCCCGCTTTCCCCTTGCCATCCTTCCCATACTCAAAGGCATCCGCAATATTGACCTCTCCCTTCTTTCCTCTGGCCCTCTCTTCCGCCCTGGCATCGAATCCCTCATTATCCGAGTCACTGTCGTAGCCGTCTAAATTCACAGCACCTCGTTTCGTAGCTGCACCAGCACCAATAACATCGGCTTCGAGGACTGCATCTTCTTCTGGCGCATCGGGCGCAAGAGCTGAGGGGTTGCGGATATCGAATTTGGGTTTCTTGGAGGGGCCGTCTTCTGATTCTCCGTGGTGCGTGCGCGCAAATTGTTCGCCGGCACGCTTTGGACGTGCTGCTGAGTATCGAGAAGACATGTTCGCAATTTAGAATATCATGAAGTCGTGAATTGAACTGAGATCCTGTCGTTGTGGTGGTTAAACAATCCGGGGTAAACTTCGGCTAAGATCAGACTAGCTCCAAGGCACGGAAACGTCACTATCGCAACCTTGAGCTTCTAATTCCATCTCCCCACCATAATTTGTAAACTATTTTCCACAAGTCCTTCTCAACTCCTTCTTTCATACTTCGACATATTCTCAACAATATGGTAGGTAATCTATCGTTCTAACGTATGCACAACTGCTTACCTGACCAGTCTTACGGAAATTACTTCGAGGGAGACGATCCCGCCATGATGTACCAAATGCTCCAGCGAGGTGGCATGAGGGGTCCTCCAAAGCGCTTCGATGAATACTACCGGTGCTATCCAACTGTCATGCTTCCTGGTCCTGAACGAGAAGATTTGAATTATGGCGGAAAGATCATCATGCCAGCGTCGGCCCTGGAGAAGCTCACTCGACTACACATCACATACCCCATGCTATTCGAGCTCATAAACGGCAGAGACGAGCGGACGTCGCATTGTGGTGTACTGGAGTTCATCGCTGAGGAAGGAAAGATATATCTGCCCCACTGGGTACGTTACTATATCTGCCAGCTCAGTGCCATTCATGTCTAACGCACAATAGATGATGCAAACCCTCCTTCTCGAAACAGGTGATCTCGTCCAGATCAAATCTACCGACCTACCTCCCGCTTCTCTTGTCAAGTTACAAGCTCAAGATGTCAACTTCCTTGAAATCAGCGATCCTAAAGCCGTCCTCGAGAAAGCCTTCCGCCAGTTCGCCACGGTGACAAAGGGTGATATCTTCTCCTTCAAATACAACGACACTGTCTACGATGTCGCAGTCCTCGAAGTACAACCGTCAAGTGAGAAGATGGGTGTTAGTATGCTGGAAACAGACGTCAAGGTCGATTTCGAAGCACCTATTGGATATGTCGATCCGCCAAAGACAAGAGCATCAAGTGGTACATCGACACCGAGATCCATGGCAGGTCTGCCAGCTGGAGGAGTCCTACATAGCCAGGGCACCATGGCACAAGCCATCAACTACGATGCTATCGCTCCCTCATCGAACGCAGCTCTTGCAGGCGCCAAAGCCGTATCCTCAAACTTCCTCCTGGGCGGCCAAAAGCTGTCTTCCAAGAAAGGTGCCAAAGCACCTACACCCAAACCCTCAACTCCAGTAGCAGGCACCAGCAGCAACGTCCCTGCACCAACTGTCGCTAGACGAACAAACGGTCCTCAACCTCTCCGACTACCACCAAACAAGCTCTTCTTCGGTTACGAAATCAAGCCCGTCAAGACTCAAGCCGACAAAGACAAAGAGAATGCCGATGCTGCACAACCGCATTTCGCAGGTGCCGGACAGATCTTGAGGGACGGCAAACGAAAGGAAAATAGCGATAAGGACAAGCCTGCTGAGCCGGAGAAGAAGCCTGATCCGAGTGCTGGGAGACGCTTGGATGGGCGAAAAGTCACGTAATGCTGCATGGGTGGTAGATAATCGGATTGCACTGGCTGGCGTTTTTAGAGCATGGTGGCGTCGGATGGGATCGGTAGGACATAAATGCGACTCGGGCGAGAATGCAATTTGAATTCGTGATCTTTACTTGAGAGTGAAGATTGGTGATAATGTCTGTTCTTGACTCAAGTTTTCTGAGCCCCAGGATCACTGACCTGGCCTAGGACAATGGCCATAGAGCAAGGCTCTGAAACATGCCACAGCTACGGGTCTTCATTCACCAGTGTGAATCGTTGCATCCAGCGTCTCCTTTTCTTGGTCATGACATTAATGCCTTGGCTCATCATGATGCTGTAGTGTTCGAGCTTGTCCGGTCGTGATTCCTACCTTTCCTTTCTGTTTTGGGGAGCTGGAGATTGAGTTTCCCATAATTTAAGATTGTGTTATTTCTTGGATCTCCGGCATGCGAAAATGTTTACATATCCATTTGATTACTGCAACGAAATCGGCAATCTCTATACCGCCAATGCAGAGGTAGTTTGAGTCAATAGACCATCATCCCAAGCAGTCTTTGGGGCATTGATAGCTTGTCGTTAAAGAGCAACGAATTTCGCAAGGATAGTAATCACTAGAGCATCGACCAAAACGTCAATTCGCACTGTTTGAATTGTTTTCTGGAGATTTTGTAAAATTATACAGCAGTAGTTCATCATCCACTTCACGATTGTACGGATGCTATATGATTTGCAAAACAGCTGCTTGCTATATAATTCGAAGTTTGAACGAAGAAGAACATGAGTACAATCTCAGCATCAACCGAAAGACTCGATTGACTCGCTAAACCATTCCGTTATCCATCTTACCTCCGGCTTTTGCTGCCCATTGGAGCAAAAGGATAATGCCCCTTAGCGTGCCTCGCCAACTCTATCAGATTCAGCTGATAGAAAGCTGCAACGGGTGTTTTCTCCACACGAGCCATCTCCTCTTTCGTCAGTGTCCCTTTCTTGTAGCTGTCCTGCGCATACTTCACAAACCTTTCTCTTCGCCGTCTGGCTTTCTTCATTTTCGTCCAGCTAAGATCTGCCTCTGTTGTTGGGTATGGAGGAAGATCCTTAAAAGATCTCTTCTTGTCTTCTTGCTCTTGTCTTTTCTTGAATATCTCTAATTCAAGTTGAGCTGCCGCTTGATAGCCCTCGTCGTCGTCTGACATAAATCGAGCATTCTGTGTTCTAGTGTGAATTCCACTGTGAGAGAAGAAGACAACTGCAGTCCGCTCTCCAATAGCTGGTCGCACGAAATGCTCTAAGATTGCACTTCGGAAGAAGACCAAGTCTCCAGGAAGGAATCTGCACCTGATACCCAACTCGGGAAGGCATAACTCTCCACCACTGAATCTTCCAGCAGGAGACATTCCCACCCATCCATCCCTCACATCGCCCTTGTCTTTATGGTTATGAACTTGCAAATTTCTGACTGCGGCGATCCCGAGAAAGCTCTGGTTTTGTGAGAACCGAATAGCTTCCATTCCAGTGTCATCCTGACACATGAGATCGACATGTTCTCTATATTCTTTATATCGCACTTGGTCAATGGTTTCGAACCAGAGGCTCATTACTTGTTGCACGGGCGCCAAATCAGAGATGCAGCGCAGACGGAATCCTAGCTCCATGGACCGCTTGCCATAAACATCCTTTGACAAAACATGATTCCAAGGACCCGAAGGGGCCCAAGGATCATTAGCACGACCTTGCATGCGCCAACAAGCAAAGTGAAATACACCGCATGGCTTTCCTTTCTCTTCCCAATACTTCTTGGCTTGGCTGAAGACAGAAGGTGGATGTCGATCACCTACCCGATCGATTGGAACGCGATTATTTGCAACTTGCCGAATGACTACATCTGGCGAGTCTGGCCGGGGTTGATAGACAACAACTCCACCCGCTCCACCCGCTCCACCACCACCTGCACCTCCACCTCCACCTGCACCTCCACCTCCACCTGCACCTCCACCTGCACCTCCACCTACTCCACCGCCTCCACCGACCCGGCCTCTGAGACAGGCCGGAGCGGTGATGCCTCTTGTCTCAAGTCGATCTAGTGAGCTAAGAATATGTTTATCTATTTGTGGGTGACGCTGCTCAAACACTTCTTCGGCACCTGTATTGATTTTGATGAATAGAGACTCGCCATCCGAGTCTTTGACATGTACAGAGTCCGTAACTAGACGAGGTGGAATGGGTGGGTTTCCCTCGACGTGCGGATTGTGCTCTAAGCGAGCTTTCATGTTATATACTTCGCGTGGCACCGTCTCAACTCTAACACTTGCTAGACGTCGACGAAGATATTCTCTGATATATGGTTCTTCGGACCATTCGGATTTGAGATATGAGTCGTATGGGCAATCATCTTGGATCTCTGTTCATACAAGTTAGTGTACTATTCTTTGACTCGTACTTGTCATTCGGTCCCAAGAGAGGGCTTTGGCTTACCATTTCTTGCAGCACTCCTATGGACTTCTCGCCAGATTTTGTCTTTCTTGGGTCTCTCTTCTTCGCGACAGTTCTGCATGAGTCTTCGGTATTCTGCCTCCGCCACCCTTATCTCTTCATCCGTTGCTGCATAGAAAGGAGGATCCTCATGAACGCCTGTAGAGTCACCACCACTCCGCATGTTACTTAGCTTTGCCGTATTGTCTAACAGATCTCTCTGGCTTGCGAATACGCCACGTCTTGCAGTACCAGCAATTTCCTCGAACGCTTCCCAGTCCTCCGATTCCAACGAACCTTCCAAGTCCTCCTCCTCCTCCGACTGCCCCATGTCATCTGACTTCCTCTTCGTCGGATGGGCTGTCTTCTCGTTTTTCTTCTCTGAGTTTACATCTTCGTCCCATCTCACATGGACCGAGTTGCTCTTCTTCTCTGCTGCTGCACGGCTTTGCCTGGGGGTATTTCTAAACAACTCCTTCTTCAGGTCCAGTTTTCTTCTCTTCTCGTCTGAAGTGAGTGGACCGGAATCAGTTGAGCTCGAACTGTCCTTGATAGGCATGAGACTATACGCGGCTGTAGAATCCGTGAGCTTGCGCTGATATCTCTCTTCTGCCTCGAACAGAGATTCGGGTATATTTCCTCCAGTTCTTTGCACCGCACGAACTGTGTCCGGTAATTCATCGACAAGTTCACTCTCATCTTCGCTTTCATTTGGAAATGACGGTCCACTCGAGGTCGTTGGATTCGGAGTTCGATCAAAATCACCAAATCCGTTATCCTTCTGCTTTCCCTTCCACACGCCCTTCCTTGAGTTTGATACCTCATCGCTGGAATTTTCTAGAAAAGAAGAATTCGATTGCGGAGATAAGCCAGGCTGTTGCATATTCTCTTCGTGTCTCATCACTGTCTGCGCATGCTTCCTCAATCCGTATCTCCCACCACGAGAGATAAATCTCCCATTCCGTGCTCGAGGCGGCGTAGAAATGGATCAGAATGATCATCACTCTCCTGCGATGACCACACGAACTTGGTCGGTTCTGGAAACGTGACATCATTAGGCTGGTCAAAGTGCTTCATTGTTGAAATTCCAGACGGCTTCTCTGTTCTGTCGCGCCCAGCTTTTGCTCGCGTTTGTGTCTTCTCTGGTTGCGCCTGTACACGTTTTCCGTCCTTCATCTCATTCCAAGTCGAGTCCGGCAATCCTCGCGCTTGATCTCAGTCGGCAGCGAATAATCCCACTTCGTGCCCTTGACCGAAATTTCCACCACTGGCCTCGTCTTCCTGATACTACGTACTGGCCACTCATCATCGCTGATCTCTACAGTAGCTTCCGGAGCCCTTTGTCTCACCGGCTCCTCATCTTCTTCATCGCCGCTAAGCACCACAGGAGGCTCTGGAGTCTTCTGGCTCGGCTTATCAAGCAGCGCCCGAACTACAGCGCTTGTTTTCTCTTCCGCGGCTTCCGGGCTGATGATCCCCATCTCTCCAATCGCTTTGGTGAACGCATTTGCGAAGACCGCCAGCAAGCGTAAGGACTCTTCACTTGCTGGTTCGGGATCCATAGTAGCTCGCATGTTGCGTCTTTGCAATTGGAGGTGTGTAAAAATTTCGAACGCATTGAGTAAGATAAGCTGGATTGGGATTTGAGGATAAGATAATCTCCAGCTGTATTGTGTGGAGCTGGTTCTTTGTGCAATCTCTGAAAACGATGTCATATTGTCGAAGCTTCAAAGGACATCAAGTTGGGCGTGGAATGCCCAATGCTGCATCCGGAAAAGGGGGGCACGTGACGCGAGAACAAAAGAATTGCCGATGATGTCTGTACGTGCTTGTAGAAGATGAAAACCAGTAGGTTCATGATGTGTAAGCTTCGCTCAACAAGGCGTATTTAGCCGTGACTGAGTACGTAGAGGGGCATCGTGGTAAGGGTCGGCAGTCACCGTCGCTTAAGAAAGGGGTTGAGGCAAATTGGCGAGGGCTGTTCTTGAACAGCTAACAGTACACGCGCGACTCGATACAGCACGGATCCATGTGAAATTACCATTGCTCGTAATAAACATGCTCTGTTATGCTAAGGATTCAACAAGTCTCTCATAAAGCTTTAGCCATTCGCTCGATGATGTCTCGCGAGCATTCGAATGTGTCTTTGATGCATGAATTCTGCCTTCTCCCACTCAGAGACCGCAGCCTCAAACATCAAAACGACATCCGCCCATGTTTCCCAAAACTCGTATTCTCTTACCTGAGCACATACAATGTCAATCAATTCATCTGCCCTGTTGCAATATACGACTCTGTCTTCGTCCTTTAGGCACTCTCGCTGCCTTCTTTGAAACTCCCCGTGTCTGCTGAGAGAATACTGCTCGAGAAATAGCTCAGGTCTCATAAAGATTTCCATGTCATCGCAGATGGAGGTAAGCTCTCCAAACTCGATAAGGACTGCATCATACACAGTTTCTTCTCGTTGTTCAATAACGTCATGGCCCCACATGTCTCCTTCCAACTGAGGAGCAGTTGATTCAAAGGGTGTCCGATCCTCCCTTCGTAGAAGCTGTGAGTCTAAAGTTACTAAGTGAAATAGGGGCCTGGCGTCTTCGTAATCAAGCCTCTCTCTAGCCGCCGCAAAAGATGCCGGATCCTCACTTGACCCGTGCGTCCATCTTTTCAGCCACCAATATGCCCCTATCATAAACGAAAGAAATCTTGCTTCAGCTGTCTGCAGTCCTGGCACATGAGGCTCAAGTGATGATGGGTGATCACTGGGCAAAAAGCACAGATCTGGATCTTGATCATATGACCGTACTTGGTAGACGTTAAATAACCTAGTCTGTTCGGGTCTACTTCTGTCGTCATGAAGTCGTTGCGTTGTGAGGTACCTCATATTGTCTCTTGAACATAGGTCATGCAACCAGTTTTGGAATCGAATAGCCATAGTCCGAACATACAGAGAAGCCAGGTGAGGAAACGCCAATCGAAGACAATCGTCGATGTCTTTGATGGAAAGGAAACTTTCAATAATCTTAAGCTGAAGCTCCAGAGGGAGCCTTGTCAGTCTCCCATACCTCCACAAGATCCGGCCACGGCAAAAACGCTTGATCTTGATTTGAGCCATACCGAAGAAGAAGAGAGCATCATAAACAATTTCCAAAGACACGCATAGTGGTGCATTCTCTCTTTGCGCCCATTCAATTGATCCTTCGTATAGCTTCATTCGGAACAATTCATCGACTTTTTCCGCTGGCGAGATGGATGATCTTTCCGTTACTCTCCAGCCCGAAAATATTGACGTCGTTCTAAGAAAGCGTCTGTACTTTTCCGGTCGGACATGCTTAGGCACCCTGGCATAGTGTCTTTTCTGGAAATTTATCGGGATACCTTCAGTAGATGTATCTGAGCTCGTAGGCTTAGAGTCCCGATGGAGTTCGAATTCCGTTGCAAAGATTATGTAGCTGTACATCCAACCCCTGGGTAACGAAAATGAACAGTCTTGGGGCTGCCAGTCGCGGGGCACAAGAATGAGATCTGGATCACAAGGAAAAATTCTCGTTATTACTTCTTCGCATGCGTAGGCAAATTCTGTAGTGAGGAGGTTTTGTAATCCGAAAAATCCCCTGTATAATACACAGGATCCATCGGGTCGTACTGAGCTGGTGAGACTCAGCCGTGATCGATCGCGCTAGATAGTGGGACAAACTAACACTTGGTAGAACATCTCCCATACCTCATAATTCTCCTTTTTCCAAATGGATATCAATAACGCTTGGCATAATTCCATTTTTTCTCTTTCCTGCTCCAGAAGCTTTTCTCGACGGGCAAACTTTGAACTCATTTTTCGTTCTTCGAACTCTTCTGCGGTCATCGGAGTGTTAGATGATGGCCAGTTGGTTTGTGTGCCTGTGCTTCCGGAAGGGTTGGCCATCGTGTCCAATATTCGATTGATAATACCAACGGACCAGGCTCGGCAGACTCGAAGTGCTGCAACTCAATGGCTCGAAGGTAAGCTTGTGTCTTCAGACCTATATACGTTCGCTCTATTGTGGGCAGACGGAGAGGATCGAATCTCATGGGCGCGATTACAAGACGGTGGGGTTGAGTGATGATGGTATCCGACTCGAAAATAGAGATGATAGCCAAGGCGCACGATGATGTATGCAAATGCGAAGAAACCAATATCCAGTTCGATAAGCAAGATTGGATGTGATTGTGAAGAGGAAGAAATATACAAGTTCGGAAGCAGAAGATACTTGGGGTCATGTTGAAGAAGGCAGTCACGATGGACCACTTTTGCACTTGCTGCATCACGAGGAGTTGACGGGACTGAACTATTGAGTATGGTCAATAAAACAAACAAGTAATCTGTGTTAAATGTTTTACTTAGAATATGTGCAGCTTCGTGGCAAAACTTTGGAAGGACATCCAGGAAGAAATATATTTGAGTGTGATGAATGGACACGTGACCATACTGTAAAGATAGGTACCTACCTAGGTACACCTGCAGGATATGCGGATGAATGACTTTCCCTCAAAGAAAGAAGAAACTCGACCTCAGATGAGAACACTTTACTTCTCGGAAGCCAGTGTTATTTTGGCTTTCTTTTCTCAGAATCTGCATAAATTCTACCCCGCACCGGTATCAACTCTGTGCATACACTGCCACTTAGCTGCGAGAGGATCTTGTGAACCATAACTTATGGTTAGCTTTACCAAATACTCCTGTCTAATCCACTTTGTTTATATATTGGAAGGACTACTTGGTGGTAGCCTTAGTTCACTTGAATCGTTCCCAAATTTTGCGAGTTTACCCCGCCTCAGTATCAACGCAAGAAAAATCGCAACAGCTCCTCGATTCATCTTATAATTCATACATACACGCACACACACGCAAGAACAGCGACAAAAAGTCAAAAAGTCATAAACTCACATAAAATACCAATATTTGCCTATTCATTCATTCTGATCCCAACGCGCATGTTCAAGTTTTCTCCCACCCAACCCAAACGCCAAAAAGTCAAAACCGCCCACCCACCCATCCATTTCATAACTCATCAAAAGATCTTAAATCAATCTATGTACGCATCCCATCTCCCCTCAAACATGACGATACTCCTCCCCCCACCTCGGCTCCATCTTAACCACCCCCCTCTCCACCACCTCCTGACTCTGCGAATTCCCCAACCCCTGACTCTGCTCCCAGTAACTCGGATTCGAAAAACTCTCAAAGCTACCCGTCCCCATCACACCACCCATCCCTATTTCCAGCCCCAAGCTTGGGAACGGGACTTCTCCAAATAAATGATTCGCGCCCAAACCTGCATCGAAACTTGTCGCAAAGTCGCTGAAAGAATTATCAGGATTTTGGTGGTTGTTAGATGGCGAAGGAGATACTGATCTCTCCATGCAGTACCGAGGAGTAGAAGCCAGAGGCGTCATCAGGGATTCGCGGCCTGGTTCTGCTTGGGGGATTTGAGCTTGATGATGGCCGCGTTCGCGCTTGACGAGCATACTGGGATGCACATCTGCGGTGCTGTCGACGGTGCCTTCTCTCGAGCTTTCTTCTTCATCATGCTCGATCTCTGCTTTCGCATTGCTTCCTCGTTTTACTTTCTTGGGAGATTCGTTCTTCTCGACTCGTGACCGCTTGGGGCCGGTGGTGGTATTGCGCGGACGAGGTGCTGGGGCAGGGTGAGAGGCTCGGTGGGCACGTTCAATTTGCTTCTTGAAGCGGGAGTATCGCATTCGGGCTGCATGGCCGTTGGTGATGGTTTGGGTCAGGATGGGGTCTGCGGCTACCAAGTTCCAATCGATCTGAAGTCATTGGTCAGCTTGGCTGCTTGAGGGTAGGCAGAGGAAAGGCTAGCCAATAAGTAGAGGGAAGGCTAGCAAGTATGGTAGGCAGTAATTGGGGAGGTTGGGTGGCGAATCGGAGGTGAGAAGAAGTGGGGATCTGAGTTGAAGATATGTTGTGAATAGCTGTGAACTTACGTCTTTCAGACATTTTTGCTTGAGTATTGCATACAGCAATTCTTGAATGGCAGTATCGCTCGGCATGGCCTTGGTTTTGCGGAGACTCGCCAGTTTGAATGTGAATTGGGTATATGGGAGGCTGTTTGGTAGATTGTGAGAGTAAGTCGAGGCAATACTCGAGCTTCAGAAGTGCGAGAACCTCAGTACTTCTTCGATGGGCAGGAATGCTCCAATGACCAAGGAAGTGCGGAATGATCTTCTAGAGCTGGAGACCAATTCACAGTGCCATGAATTGCCCAATAGAATCAAACTGGCGGTGTGCAATGGCTAAGAAGGAGTTGTGAATTTCGGTGAGGGGACCAAGTAGAAATATCTCTCCCGCTCACGACACTCGCGCAAAGAATGGCGGGGGCTGCGTGCATGAGATACAAGTAGACTAAGGCTTCACATAAGGAGCTCCTCTTTCTCATTCACAAAGACTTCTTTCTCATGCAAGATGGCCAGTTGAGCGGGCACTTCCCAATCTTCTTGTGTGAATTCTGCAGGGTGACAAGAGGATGCATGCTAGTGGCTCCAGATAAGGGGGCACTTGCTCGAGCCGCTTTTAAGGTGCTTTTAAGGTGTTTGAAAGTGCCGGTGAGGGACATGACGTTGTCGCTGTTGCCTGATAATGGAGATAGGTTATTGTGGTGGTGGTTGAGAAGTGCTGGGTTTGTAAGAGAGGGAGAGTTTCTCGGGCGTGACATGGCTGCAAACTGGTTCGATGTTGGCTGTCGGGTCGCGCAGGGTTTGGCGTGTTTGCCGTGCTGTGTAAAGAGCTTGCATGCTGCTAGTAGGGGTGCATGCCTGAAAGCGCCGCTGAGTGGTCAGCAGCGAATGTCAAAGCGGCGAGAACTTCTCGAACCTCCAACTTCAAAGAACCAGAGGGACCTGCATCAGCTTGCATATTCTTGCATCCCCTTCTGCATATCGTTACTCTTTCAACTCTTAATGCATACTGGGAGTTCCCGCTATGGTGGCTCACTTTTCTTTGCGCGGCTGCCCTGGATGTGGTTATCATGATGAGTCCGCCCTGCGCAATCCGGGGAAGAAAGCCGGTGGCTGGGGTTGGTGCAACAACGTGGAGGTCCAAAAGAAACTACCCAAAAGGAACGATGCAACAATGCGACGGCGGGGAGCTTTGTGACTCATTATTGAGTTATCAATTTGAGATACGGGTTGGTGGAGAAATGATAGGTAGATGTAGCTTGTCGGAATAGAGGTCAAAGAGCTCTAATGTCAAGATCTTGGAAGATCTGATTTTTCTTGCCTTTTAATTAATGATTGGGAAAGAACCCCAACGAGGAAGTATCAATCCACTGAGAGCCTTGTCGAAAGTGACTTTGAGTGGCAGCTAGCCTTTTGAGTTTGACCGCTGCGGTTACAGTTCACAAGGCTGGCATATCTGGGCTCATCACCTCCCTATCTTTCTCTAATCTCTCCCCAACAACACAAATCGATCGTCTTCCCTAGAAAATACACCAGAATTCGCCCAGACTGGCCATCTGCAGCTTACTTCTCTCCTTCGAGTTACCCGACGAGTTACCCGACGACGAATTTGAGTTTCTTTCCAACCACCCGGCTGGGATACTTGAAATCATCGCCTCTTCATCCCTGAACAACCTTTACAACACCTGTCACCACAGCAACCAGCCACCAGTACATATTTCAAAACTCAGTCCAAACATCAAGAAGATTGGGGTTTGTCTTTGTTCATTTTCGGGCAAGCTTGAACAGCCTCTCTTTGCCACTTCGTCACATTACTGCGCCACACCACCACCTGCCACCCCTTCACTACACAGCTCAACTTCCATCTGGCAGATCAAAAATCTTCAGTCTCCATCTTCGAGAGCACTTTCAGTAAGTTATCTCTACGCAATCTGTCCTTCCTTGCTTCCTTCCTTGACGAACGCCCGCCACTTGAGACTAAGGCACTTTTGAGATCCAAGATATCTGTAACTGCCCAGTCTCCCCTTTAAATAACCTTGGACATATCTTCTTGATTCCGCCACCTCTTTTATCTCACAATAGCTAACTGACCGACAGGACTCTGGTGCTCAACCTATCTGGCGGATCTTCAACTACTTGGCCCCGTCTAAGCGCAACAACGGCTCACTACAACGCTATACCTCAATCAGCTACCAATCACTCATAGTACCACAAAACTGAAGTGACGGCTCAGACTGGGAATATTCTGGCTTTCCATCTTCGTACTAAGGTAAGTCTTCCGGCCACAATCACTTCTACAACCAACCCCCAACTTCCTGCCCGACACTTCTCAATTTCTCCTCCACTCGCTTGTGAGTGGCAAAGGCACTGCTTTCACTTCCTTGAAATAATCACTCCTTGTACATCTGCATCTCAGAATAAGGCTCTGCTTCCGACACATTTTCAGAAGCTGATAGAATAGTTAAGGATAGAACGATTGAAAGCATCTACACTCTTAAGTAAAGGAAACTATTCTGAATACGGCAAATTCTCTGTTCTCACCTGGCACACGCAACTTGGTTATCTCAGTGCAGTTTAGCATAGTCTCTGTGAGTTCTTTCTTCATCAATACTCCTTCAGACAATCAAGCCTCAAGTTCGACGTGTCAACACTTGCTGAACAACCACTTAGCCAGCTCTAGAGCCCCTCCCTTATCACCGACATCCACGTCTACATCAAAAGCTTCCAAGATGCCTTCTCAATGGGATGCCAAGGCAGACCGTGATCTCCTCCTAGCCATCATAGACGAAGGTGCTTTGAAGTCAGTCCTGTGGCCAAAGATCGCGCAAAAGATGAAAGACAGAGGTTACACATTCTCCCACGAAGCATGTCGGTAAGTCGCTCATCTACTTCCACCACAATTCACCCCACTTCCTCAATTTCGATATCCGTCGCCTACCCCGTCGCTCAATATCGTTAAGTGTCGGGCATACTTATCCACGCTAATCACATGACCCACGAATTCCTCACCCCCAGCTAACCACCCTCTCCCACACAGCCAGCACTTCCAAAAAATCCGCAAAGAAGCCAAGAGTCCCTCTAAGTCCGCGACATCCACACCACGCAAACGTTCCACCAACGACACGCCCACCTCCTCTTTCAAATCCAGCAGCCAAAAGACAAACACCACTACAAGCTCAATCTTGGACGACGAAGACTTCGAGACTCCAACCAAGAAACGCAAGAAGAACGAACATCCAATCAAGGAGGAAGTCGATTTCCAGCAAGCCTACAGATTCAAGGCAGAGAACGAGGGAGAGATCATAGACATTGAGAGAGAAGAGTGAGTTCCTGTTCTTCGCGCTCAGGTTCGACACTGAGGTCCTTTCCAATCCCGGTTCTTGTGCTCGATACTGAGCGGATGCTGATCTTTATAGCCTCTACGAATCCTAATACAAGATGAAGCACCTCCACCGTGTCGTTCTTGCGCTCTTCCTTTCCGTCTGGCTTGCGCTGGTCCTGGAGGTTTACTTTGCGACCAAGATCCCGGCCAAATTGAACACTGCTGTGCTGTTGATCCTTTTCTGCTCCTCGGTGAAGTTCCTCGTCTGCCTGCTTCTTCTAGGACAGATTATAATGGTACGTGTTTCGTCTGAGCTTCGAAGGAGAGCGAATTACTAACTTGTGATAGGAGGATTGGAAGATTGAGCGGGAGGCTGCGGTTAGAGAGCGTCGACGGGCAGTTTTGGATGTTGTTTTAGAGGACAGTGATTGATACAGGGGCGGGAATTTGTTTGCTTGGGCACGTTTTTCTTTCTGGGGGACGTATGGGGGTCTGCGTACATAGTCCGTCTGCTTCGGAGACATTGAATGGACACACATCATGACTGAACATTATGTGCAATGAGTGATTTTCTCATGTGATGCTTTGAAGAGTGTTGGTGCAAAGAATGTTCGTCTTTTGCAAGGCCAATAGAGGATTGCCTTTCGTAAACTAGATTTTATGTGTTTGATTATTGAATTCCTTCCTCAGTTAAAGACTTCTAGCATGTAGAAGAGCTCTGCTTTAGACGTAGATTGACGATATGATTTTTATGCTCTGCCCAGATTTATAATTCAAAGAGTCTGTATCTTCAAATTTGGGTAGCTCAGCAAAAGAGATTACTTATGAGCAGCAAAAGTCATCAATAAATGAGAAATACTCAACTTCTTAGTACACAACTTACGCTCAGCCCAGCATCAAACCAGGAACCAAACGTTGTTATTTTAGAGCAGCTCAGCTGATTTCCGTACATCTGAACAGTGAAAGTCTCCTACCCAGCAGAGATACTCTGCTCCACGCCTACATGGCTTAGTTTCTACCTCAGGCCCTCCTGTGTGGAGTTGAGGTGTCCATCGTAAATTGACATCGTTGGACAGATATAAATCCTTTCCGACTCCTTAGGCGATCTTCTATTTCATGCAAACAAAGGTCGCGATGCTCTGTGTGACCACCAAGATCTGCGCGCATTGCGCAGAACGCGCGAATGGCGCAATCACCGCAATTTGCGCGCGGAACATAGAATGCACCAAAAACACAGAAATCCAAAAGAAAGATCGTCCATTGTCACCGGCCAGAAACACAGACTTCATAAGACTCACAGTGCTTTCATCTCAAGCTTCTTTGACAGCTTCTCTCTATTCTGTCTTGATATGGGAGAACGTTCTTGGACTTCATCTCGCTAACGCCCCTTTCTTGTTTAGCCGATCACGTTTTTCTGAGGAACTGACGTGCAGGTTGATTCCTTATTAGGGATATCCCGGTTATTAGTTTATAACTTTAGGAGTAGTTTGTGAGTGGTGGATAAGGAAACTGCACTACTCTCCTCACTGTCTTAGAAACAGTCCTCACATATCATTTCTTTTTATGCAAGAAAGAACTTCAGAAGACACGATCTTCAAGACATCTATGAAGAAATTTCCAAGCATTACATTGTCTAAACTACATGAGCGGTATCCTGCCCATAAGCGGAGTCTTAATTCCTTTTGTAGATGAGGTCTAAAACACTCTTGAAGAATGTTAGGCTTCTATGGCTAAGCGCTTGACATCATTCCTAGCCATAGATAAACATCGCCTTGGATATTCTGACTCATCACATAGTTGTAATAGGAAGATGATACACACACGATGTCGAGTTTACCCACATGGAACTTCGTGCGCGGGTGTGCTGGGAAAGGGGGACAATGCTTCGATTTCGTTCTTGATAGCTGTGAGGCGGGGAGCATGCAGTAAGGTGGAAGTACACAGTCTTGCGATAGAATAATCTACAACGTAGTGTTAAACTTGAAAAAGTGTGTTTTATTCATTTCTCGGTCTCATCACCTTTTCCTCCAAGAATCTTATACATTGCCACTTTCTCTCAGACTTTCCAAGAACTTGAATCCACTCATACGTTGATAAATTCTATAAATAGGAAGTGTCAGAACCATCGTATTGGAATTGCCGTGCTCTGTTGCGCTTACTCTGTTCTTGACCATCTCTGCCCGTCAAATGGTTCCTTCATCTGTTATCCTTCATGAGAGCGACTCCAGCACTGGATTCGAGTATTCCAACAACTCAAAAATTGAAAGGCTTACCAAAAGTAATGAGAAGCTAGAGACTTGACAAATTATTGGTATTCTGACATATTTATAGGGGCATATATTTCATAACGCAGAAATTGGTACGTTGCATAATATTGTTCTAGAGTTTGTGAGACAATATGCACTAAGTCCTAAGTATGAACTTAGACTTCAGCGACAAAGTGGTGTAGGAACGATTATTCCAATCTTCTTGAACGATTCCAAGAGATTTCTGCAGTATAATCTATATCTATTCCAAAGTATTACCGCTCGTTTTGGCGGAAGAAGTTTCAGCGAAGAGGCTTCATGGGCACTGCGAATGAGGGGCAATGAGGGGCAGTCACGTGAAACGAGAACGCGCTAAAGCGGAGCCTGCAGAAGGGCAACACAACACAGGATATACCAACACAGCTACACAGCATCATGAAGATATACTCCCAAACATCCGACTTGACGCGAAAGATGACAAACCTATTCTCAAGGAAAACGGTAGAATGAAGAGCGAAGGAGAACAACAGATTTGTACGAGCTTGGCGAGAAGACGGAAGACGCGTCCTAGACCTGGTAAGAGAAGCCTACATTCCACTCAACGCTGACTGATAGCAATTTACACCGCGTAAATTGCACCATATAATAGCACCAAAGCCTTCTCACTGGAGAATAGCCATGGACCCGTCCTCTCGCGCACAACACGCAATGAGCTTCGAATATCCAGCCTCGAAAGAGAGAGAGATTGCGACACCATATTCTAGGTTGCGGATAGTTGGACATATCAGCAGATCTCACGAGAAAACTCTCCGAGAATGCAAGGAGATAGGTCGGATCTGCGTCTTACAGTGTGACTCTGCGAGAGGCAGAGGTCTGCCAACTATCCCCGAGCCGAATCATCATCCTTCGTTCCACGATGTTGCACATCCCAAGCCTTCCTAGAAGAGCCTCTGGAATACCAAGAACTCCAGTTCGTTGAATTGTAGAAGGAGATATCATATTCTGCCGTGTCTCGTGGTATGACTTCAGCTCATACTCACAGTCTTCAACTCGCGCTTTCTTTGCTTTCTCTCTCAATCTCGCACTGGCGGACAGCGACAGCAATGGGAGGCATCTGCAACGCTGGGAACGGCTACAGAGCCGATACTCTGCCACTTGATATGTCTCATACGCGCATTCAGAGAGCAGACTGTACTCCTCGCTTTACTGGCAACATCTCCGAACAGTACAAAGTAATCTTCCTCCTTTCGTCAATTGCAGCGGAATATGGCAAATATGTAGCGCAGATAAGTTGGCTTATTTTATTCCCAGCTTGTGTGCGCTATCTGTTCTTGGTGTTTGTTCAAATTTCTTCCCATTTGATGTGGAATACTTCATCAACGCGTTTGGTTCATTGTACTGAAGAGACACAGCGACTTCACAATCAGCGCGATTCACCTGCCCAGCAGCACACTTTAGGACAGCTTCGCTAAGTTTCAGAGCGTCGCCTCTTGAGATTCAGGCTTGGAAGTATATCACAACGCTCTTCATCGCATTCAAAAACATCTCAACAACATGCAGAAGGAGAATAGCCCGTGTATATTGAGCAACATCTGAAATAGTGCACAGATGTTTCAAGGTCACAATAATGAGCGATGACGAGGACGCAAGCGTAGAACCAGCTACTGTTCTCAGCTTCTAAGAGGGTGGTCGGTGAAGTCCATAAAACCCTCTCTCAAAGTCAAACATGCCGAATCCCCAAGCCTTTACACTGCCTTTGCTTCCTCCTTTCAAGTACCAATCTCCTCGCTCTCACCCCGTTACGATCCTTATGCACGGAGCACTCCTTGACACTGCACACCTCCAGCAAAGTATGCTCCTTAATCGCGTCCATTACATCTTGATGGAACTTTCGATTTGCTCCCACTGCCTCAATCCAGAGCATTTCTCTGTTCGTATCTGCGAAAGAGTCTTTGGAAAGAAATGCTACAACCATCTCATCAACGAAGCATTCCTGCATGGAAGAGCCCTCCATTGTGTTATCATATACGTAAGTCACTTCTTCAATACTTGGAAGTCGTGTATCCAAAGACATACACCGTCGAACTTGGTCGACGGCATGCATAGCGAGTTTCTTCATGTCGAGCATGTCTGCTAATACGTAGACACTGCAAAGTGGCAAACAATGGTCGACATCCGCGACGTAAAGATCATGTTCCTCGGGACAACGAAGTCGCCTAGTCAAAATCCATTGCACAAAAAGCGGAAATCCGAGGGGATTGGCTTCCCTGAGGCGAACTTCCTTTGTGCAGCTCTCCTGGAACCCTCCCTTCAAAGCAGCTTGGAAAAATGGGGAGTGATCGCAGAGAAGTTTTTCTGGCAACACCCACGGCTGCTCGACGTCACCAACGAAGATGCTCACGAAGTTGTTGGTTACAAAATACCTAAGACAAGTTAGGATTGTGTTCTGTGAGGTGGTCTTTCCGAAATTTGTCCTCGGTCAACTCACTTGTCAATTGACTGCAAGTTCAGATTCTCTTCTTCGTGAACCTTGAATTGTGACTTAATGCCACTCAGCGAATTCTTCATCTTCCCACAACAACCAGTCTCATCGTCTGACTCTGACACAACTTGATACTCCATATCTGAGTCCAAGTCCATGATTAAAGCAGGCTTGTGAATGTGTACTTGATTTTGCAACGGGGATGAATATATGAGCGATTTTAGAATCGTCTAATTATCAAAAATTTAAGACAAGTCTTTGAGAGCAAAGAAAAGATCGAAGAATTCGCATCGAAGAGAAGACCTGCTTTTATGTTCCCCGCCTGTGTTTGGGAAGTTCAAACGGCAATGGTTCGATCCTCGATGAGAAAGCGCTGTGGCTGATTGAGTTGCATAAGCAGCATCCGAGGCAACTTTTCTCGATCATCTGCATATTTTACGGTGTTTCCACTCCCGGAAACATACATCATCGGTCAATTACTTTCTTTTTCATGTGGAGTTGGCCGGTCGAGTTGGTGTGGGAGGACTTTCCAGGGAGATGCAAGTTCGCCTCTTTAAGTTGGGAATTGATTGAGCGTTGAGTCTCCGTCCGCGGGAAGTTGCCATCAAAGACTATTATTTAATTTCTTGTTCTCGGAAAGGTGTCGTTTTGGACAAAAGGTTGAGAATTTGGGTTGGAAATCTGTTCTCAGTGCGATGAGAGGTGAAGACTTGTGGCTCGCTAAGTAATTTCATTGGATGGATATGCTCTATATACACAACAACCACAGGAATATGTAGACCTGAATACTCAAGTATGATCCTGCCACGCATCTACATGTGCACTCGAAGACCTCCTCCTCCGCTCCAGTTCCTCAGCTGTCTCAGCAGCCGATACTTCACCAGTTGCCTCGTGAGGCTCGTCATCTTCCTCTGCCAGCTCTGTCGTGGCGATCGTCTCATCCGAGAGAACTGATTTAGGACGTTCGACATAGTTGACGTCCGACTGAGTCCATGGCAAGTGTGCTCGGCAGTCTCTGATTAGACATGCTGCCCTTGACATGCGCAAGTGAGTTTGCTCAGCTCTTCGAACGTCAAGGCAGAAAGTCTCATGAGACGCAATCAGTGATGCAAGAAGTACAGAGTTGGCTCGGGTTGATGTTGAGAAAAACAGGCTTGTGAAGAGCTATACTAAGAACATGAGCAGTATCCGGGATGTTGGCAGCTTGTCGTACAGATAACGGATCTCAGCCGGTAAAGGGAGCCAGGCAACTTGCCAATATGGCCGTCGGCAATCCTCATACCAACTTCGGGTCTCTGCTGCGAGAACGGGGAGGCCGAATTGTATCGCCAGGACGTATAAAATACACCATTGAGAGATATGGGTTTCCGAATTCTGCCTTCCAGTGTCGAGATCCTCCAAAGGATCATTGTTCATGTGCCTAATAAGTTGGCCGAAGACACGCGCCTCCAGAGAAGGAAGCTGGATGTGGAATTCATCATCGTCTATGTATGTGGTGGAAGCTGCCTGAAATGCTCTGAGTGTAGTTCCGGCAGGAATTGGTGCCCTTAGAGTCAAGCATTGAGGGTGTGTCTGCCCTACGAGGAGGTGAATGGTTTGAAGCTCTAAGGGACAGCACGGGCTGCAAAACTCGTCAGTGATACTTTCCGAGCAGAGGTAAGGAATGGAGATGATTGCTGACCATGAAGCTGGAGTAGACATGCTGATGGATTGTATGTAGAATAGGTCGATGTTGAGACAAATGGACAGAGGGCTCGATTCAAATGATCAGAAGGTTGAGTTGTGTTGCGGTCGGAGACTGAAGACAAGAAGAGATGTCTGGGTATTCGAATTTTAACGTAAAGTCAGAGGAGATGAAGCTCAAAGACCGAAGATCATGAATCAGGCGTGAAATCTCTCGTCCACTTGGGCATTCTCTTACATCACGTCCCTACCAATATTCGTTCACAACCTCACCAAAAAGAACTTGCTCTTCCAAGGCTGCCTACACGCTCGAGAAATGACATTTTCACCGCCCAACGCCACTTTTTGAGAATATTTGTAAATAAGCAAGGTACTCGATGAGTCAGAATAGAATAATCACGGCACAACGCCCGAAAAGGGGCAACTTGAGGATATATATGCCCAAATATAGAATCCAGCGGGTTTCACAAAGGGCTTGCCATGGAGAGGGAAGACAAGGAGACCAGCATTTCCATTGGCTTGGTCTGCAGTTTCCTGCACCGACTGGCCTGGGTAGCACACTGGGCAGTTTCATGGGAAGCGGCCTCTTGGGCTGTTCTGACGGAGACTTCACGATGGTCCTGAGAACTTCCTCAATACTGTATTTCACTTTGGAGAACGACATGGACTTGGAGAGCTATGATGGCCCCTCTTAAACAACAATGAGGGCAGCTTGAAGTTCATGACACTCAAGAGCGACTCAGGTTTTCAGATGCTAGGAGGATGCCTCACCAGCAACCACAGCGAACATTTCCATACGATCCGAGTTGTAAGGCAAAGGTGAATTACATAGTGTACAAACGAGAAATAATAATAACAAGATATTCCCTTTTCAAGTTACTTAAATTTTTTAGTGTTTACACTAACGGAAACAACCAAATAACACCCAAAACAAGCTAAGGCATGCCTTGCCGCCACTTAGAATCAACATCCACGATCTTAACGCAAATCCAAGATGCTTAGAGAGGTGGAATATGCAAAGAGAGATGCATTTGGTCACCGAGTTGGAGCCATAGATGCTGATTGATCGTGGAGTAAGTTGATGGAGACATTGTTGGGCCATGGGACGTACACTTGCAGGTCACGGCTGTTGTCAGGAGGGTAGACTTCACCCATCGCCCTGCATGTCAGAACCGTGCCGAACTAGGAAGAACACTTGACTTGACTTGGGCAGGATATGAAACTCTGTCTTGTCCAGATTTACCTGTACTGTCTACAAGTGTAAAGCACTTCCCAGTGTATGGGCAACAACCTGAAATCTCTCAACTCATCCTCACCTGAAAGAACATCAAACTCTACGTTAGACTTTAAAGCGACAGACAGCACAGCATCATGTCTATTCAAGTACGATGCATCATTCAATGTCGGGCCTTATGGGATCCAAGGTCACCAGATACAGGATGCTACCACTTCCACTAATCTCACTGCCGGCGAGACCAAGTTCTTGGTCGCCTACGTCAAGCATATGAAGTCCACTCCAGAAGTCAGTGTGTCTCCTTTCCTTCACTGCATACCTCACAACAGAATTTCATGGCTGACAGGCATCTTCCATCCTTCTGCAGGTCGACTGGGACTCAATCGCACGAGAACTAGATTACGAAAAGGTGGACTCGGCGAAGAAGTTTTTCAGCAAACTGAAGATCAAGCTTAAGCAGGGCACTGGCTCCAACACTGGAGGAGGCGGAGGAACACTCAGCTCCTCGGTATTGCAGCCTACCCCTAAAGGTAGCAAAAAGAGAGCTGCTGGACAAGCCGCGGAAGGATCGTCACCGACTAAGAACTCAGGAGGCAAGATGATGTGAAGAAGGAGGAGCGGCAGAAAAGTGACACATCCTGGACAAGTCGGCAGATGTTCTGTGTGAGGACGGGCAACTGTCTACTCTAAACGAATGGGATCAATCCCCAAAGCAACTTCTGTGACTTGGCTTGCATGTATAACTTGTAATTTTCACTAAGACTCGACCTTCTGTATCAGTGCTCTAAGTGCTTTGCACCTTTAGCAAGCTGCTGATGGTTGCATTTCTGCCTTTGCAGAGCGGGATAGCCGCCCTGCCAGTGGCGGGAAAATAACTAAGAGGAGCGATTCTGAGGGTCGAGACCTCTCGAATCGCTTCATGGCTTGTAGAGATGCGCAAACGGCTTTGTGCAGATAAAGACGGGATGTACAGTACACTCAACCAAAGCGGGCTGCATGAAGGAGACTTCCGTTGAGTCATATGGTCTGCGCCGATAAGCAATATCTCGGCGATTCCATGCATAGGATACTGAAAAGAGGAATGCTTGCGGGAGGAGTGGAAGGGGCTGGGGCACATGAACAAGCGGGGTGCAATATACTTGCACCAGAAAGTCCAGGTTGATTGCCGAGTCACGGCAACCAACAGCTTCATTCGGCTTGCCGATCGTGAAGTGGACGGAAGAGGCGTCGATGAGAGGAGGCGGTATCTACTGGAACTGGACACCAGGCTCGAAAAGGTTCGAATGGCGGTTTTCGATTATTCCTTCTGCCGTTGCAACCTGCTCGTAAACCCTTGAACATTACTTTATCGTTGTCAGCTCATGCGACGCAATCATGCCAATGATGAAAATTTCTTTGAGATATGATATCGGTAAAAAGCCATCTCGATTCGGGATCAAAAGAAAGAAGAAAGAAACTTCGTGCGGAGTATAGCTTTGACTTTTCGTATCCACAGCCCATGCAATGCAACACCGCTCTTGTTGGTCTCTTAAAAGCCACCATGCCACCTCATCACAAGATCTACTTCTGATTTTCTGCAAAGGAGAGATAATCCCTGGGTTGGAGATAGCACCCTGGAATAGCACTTAATGGTTGCCCCCACCCGAAAGCGAAACCTCTTTTCTTGTCTCCTTTCCATCCTAAGTGTCTCTCGACAACTGAACACTCTCCCACACAAATCCGGCGCAACAACAACTCCAGACCTATCAAAATGAAAGTCACAACCTCAGAGAAAGACGCAGCATTCTTGACTTCGGTCTTCCGACACATGTTGAACACTCCTATTGTGAGAACCCGCCTTGGTATCTGCTAGGGAAGAACGCTGACGATCTGCAGGTCGACTGGGAAGCAGTCACCAGAGACATGCAGCTCAAGTCTGTCAAAGTGACCAAAACTCGATATGGTCAGATCAAGAACAAGTTGGAAGCGGCTGCAGGTCCCCATAAAATACGATCGATGATGGAAGGCGGGGATCAGGACGATGCTGCCGAACGCTCTCCCCCTGCCAAGCCACCCGCCAAACGAGCACGAGTGACCAAGGCTATCGTTCGAGCTTCCAAGAAGAGACCCAGAGACATTAGTGTATCTGACACTCCGTCGCCTAGCATTGCCTCCGGATATGCATCTCCCAAGTCTGATGACGTCTGTGTCAAGTCAGAGAAGACGTTTAGCCATGGTTGTGAAGAGGCTTCGGATGATGAGTATTGAGTAGAGGGTTTCTGGCTGGAACGGGATAGAGAGCCGTGCTATAGGAGAAGCAAACAATTGTATGTTGGTGAATAAGCAAGAAGAATGAATGAAATGCAGTATGCGCAAATCCTTGGACAGTCTAGACTTACCTGTGCAGTCTGATGACATCTATTGGTGGTGCAAGGCTGCAAGAGCGGGATGAGCATGTTGCAAACACAGATATCTATCCGGCTAACTTTGAGAGCAAACAATACTCTTTGACCCGTATGTTGGTGGCGTAGCCTCGGATGTGACATGTCGTTATACCCGCAAAACAAATCTCACACGGTACCCCACCAAACCCGGCAAAAGCCCGCAATCCCACGCTCATTCAGGGTTCAGTCGGCGACTATGCGTCCACACGTTCAACTCGGTGAGAGACAAGGAGAATTTTCTTGAACAGCAAGCCGTGTGGCCCGTGATCTGGAGACGCGTGTGAGATTCTCGATCGGAATGCAGGGAACCGCCTTCTTACCGGGTTGCTGGAAGCGAAACTGTCACAAACACTTCCTTGGCCGTCGTTCCAACATGCATCTTCAGATTTTGCCGCCGTAAAACAGCGACGGATCTTTCCTTATGCTCACAGAAGGATAGGAAACGTCCCTTGTCCTGGCTTTGACAATTACCACACCATCAATTTCCTGTCTAATGAGGCATCTTGGAAGGTGCTGATACGAAAGCGCAAAGTGGGTAGTAGATTCCGCAATACGTGAGAAAGCGAAGCTTTGAGGCTGATTGGAGCGGAATGTTGCTCCGATTTCTTTGTCAGCCTCATCGCGGTTGCGATCTTTCTCAAACTTCAGACTTTATATCAAGATGATACACTCTCTGTATCGCTTCTGTCTTCATCGATCTTGAATCTGTCTCTCTCAAGATGGCGCCAGAAAACTCCGGCAAGAACAATCTAGCCGCAAAAGCGGCCTCCAGTCAACTTGTCTTCTTCGGAACTATCCTCACCAACATGAAGAACAAACCCGAGGTACGTACTTCCACCTGACCATTTTGCCTTGAAATTTAACACGTACAGGTTGATTGGGACTTGGTGGCAGCAAAGACAAACTACAAATCGGGTGCTATAGCTCGAATCAGATTCAATACAATCATCCGAAACATCAACAACACCAAGAGAGATGCAGCTCCACCAAAATCATCACAACCGAGACTTCCACCAAAGAATTCTTTGCCAGATGACTCCCCGCCACAGATGTTTAAACCGAGAAAACGTTTACCTTCATCTCCCACCTCTTCAGCTCCCAGGTCTTCACCTACCGAATCTTCACCTACCGAGTCTTCTTCTGCCAAGTCCCCACTTGTCAATTCTTCACCCGCCAAGGTTTCACCTGCCAGATCACCAAAGTCCAAGGCTCAACCGCCATCCGAGGAATACAACCAAAAATTCGTCTCGCCCTACAAGATCATCAAGACAAAGCCTTCTGGAAGGAAGTTGACGCCTAAGAAGCTCAAGCAAGAAGCTGAAAGGGTCTTGTTTGAAGACGCCACATTGCCCAAGGGAAACTTGGTTGCGAAGGAGGAGCCTGAGGAGGATATTGTTTTCAAGGTCGAACTCATGGATGAGGATGACTGAAGCTTAGCAAGCTATCGACAGCTTCACTTTGACGCCAGCATTGCCGCAGCATACTTGGAGGGTTTTAGCATAATATACACTCTTTCTCTCACAAAGCCAGACTTCTTCTCTTTCACAGTATCCTGCTTCAACAATTGATGTCTCGTTCACGTCCCCACAACGTCTCCAGCACATTTCATGTCAGCCTTACAGTGAACATTTGAAGTCTGTGTCCTCAAGCCGAGGCACTTGACAACAACATTGATGATCTTGGGTGAGATGTACAATGCTTAGACGAACGAGACGCTCTTCACCTTTCGCTGATGTCTACGGAGGTACTGTACTTGTAACTCAGTACATAAGCATTTCTGACATGGAGCTCTTTCCTTGAACACATGTCATCAAGTTGGGCAAGCTTACTGGTGTAAAGGAAGAAGTTACTACCCACAACTGAGAGCCACATATCGCAGCGTCTTTGAGCTACTATCAGGAAGAGAATTTGCTTTGGGATGGGAGTTGGGTCTGTCTAAACACTCTATCCAAAGTCGCTCATCAACGACGATCGTTCCCCATCATAGGATGTCTAGATTTTGCATCAGCATTCATGTTGACAGGTATCAATCTCTACAAGGCAAAGCGAAGCGAAGCGATGCTAGGTATAAAGGCTTTCTTGAGCTTCAAACTCTTTACATTTTCACAAGCACTTCCTAACAGAGCTGAGATGGCTAGTGCCGGTTGAGCTCCATGTATAATGTCGCCGCTCGTCATTTGTACTTGCTGGTTCTGAAACGCCTTTGTAAATGGGTCTGTAGAGCATTCCAAATGCAGGTCTGAACAAGCCTAACAGCGATCAAAGATTAACAGAAGTAGTGCCGCTGTAGAATTGTGACCATAAGGACGATGAAATAATGGTAGCCTTCGTGTCTATCAGCTCTCGTTGCACCCAAATGATCATTCGCCATGTCTAGGTATTCTTGTGAATGGAAATCTATAAAGGGGCTTCACAAAATCCGCGAGCCAGCGTCATGGATTCGGGGAAGCTCTTCTCTTCTTCTTCCTTACAACTCTCCTGACTGTATAGTCTTTCTTCTGAGTTTCCACATTCCACCCGTGAGCGTTGAATTGCTATCAGGACCTCAAGAGCAACACAAAGAGTGACAGTTACACTTCCAAGCGAAGATCCAACGCTCAAGATGTGTATGAGATTGTGATATCCTTCTTCATTATCCTTCGTGTCCTAAGAATCAATTTCGAAAGGAGATGCTGTCTTGTCTCACACGTGGCGGAAAGATAGGTCTATGACGGCACAGTCTGACCTCCCAATTTGTGAGCTCTTGACTTGCCTTTAGCCACGATGCCCCTCAAAGAGCTCGAGATTTCAGCTGTAGATCCTCATTCTTTCCATCATCTCCTGCTTGTAATTTCCAGGTCTCTACTAACCACTTCATTCCTGCTTCAGGATACCGCCAGCCAGGCCCACAGAACTGGCAACGCTCTTGACTTGAATGTATTTTGTAACTCGGCTATCATTTAGAAATATTGGAGAGTGAGGTCTTTGATCAGCAGAGAGCATGACTTCATCGTATCGAGGGTAACATGAGTTCGTGAGTGTTGGTAGAGTTGAAGTCTTTTACTTTCAAGTCAGCTTGTGTCTCCGCGGACCGATTGAGGAGAAGAGAGGAAATTTGAGACCAACAAGTTGTACGTTCCTTGAAGAGGTTCGAGAGGTTGTTTCTACTCCTTCAATGTTCCCGGTCCTGTTCCCATTCCTCCAGCGTTGAAAGCACTGCATGAAGATCGCATTGTGAATCGATGTCGCGGGTTGTGCTGTAGTAGTAGTAGAATAAAGGTATTTTGCAGAATCTTCATGTAGACAAAATACTCTAAGGTTGTTAGCCTTGAGACACAACAATCTGGACTCAGTCTCAACTTTCCGGGCTGGAGAAAAGCTTCTGGATAACCGTGAAAGACACCCACATACTACTAGAGTAGAGCGCTTTACCCAAGTGTTCTGTCCACCTCCACGCCAGCACATGGTGTGGATAAAGGGGCGTCGTGGCGGAACTTATTGTGGTGGGATCCAGATCAGCTATGACGCGTAGCATATTCTTCGAAGCGAGAATATTTGTTGACCTTGAGAAGACGATGTATTAGCATCTTGCCTCTGATTTAGCATACTCTACGAATACTCACCTTGTTCAGGAGTTCGAATGTGAACCGAGCGTATGCGCCAATGTTACCTCCCCTTCTTTGTGGCATTTCTTCATAGATCTCACTTGTATGCGGGATCTCAAATCCTCCCTATTTGTTCAGTTCGCATTCAAAATGTTTGAACATCGCAAGTAAGCTCTGCCTTACTGCTGTTGTTGTGAAAAGGGGGTCTTCGGGGATTTACCTATGAGTGTAACGTAGTACAAAGAGTGAAAATGTCACTACTCCTGCGTAGAACACTTTACAGTATTGAGATAATTGTCTTCCCATCAGTCACAACCAGCAGAAGGCTGCTTTGGTCCTGTTGTGATAAAGTGACTCAAGGAGTCGTGGGGAATTCCGCCCATGAGCGCCGTAGACATCTCGAAGCAAGGATATCGCTAATCCTGCATGGAATACCTTACAGTGTCAAGGGAGTTGGTTCTCTGTCAAACACAATCAGCTATTAAGCTGCTTCAGTGCTGTTGTGGTGAAGTGAATAAAGGGGTCGTCGCGAGCTTGTTATCAGCGTCTCAGACATCTCGAAGGGAAGAAAATCCGAGAACCTTAGATGGCATCAGTGTCGCCAACCAGGTTGTCGCAGGCTTCACTTCACCTAGTGTGCTCATTATCAAACACCCTGTCCTCCACGTACAGGGTGTCAAGCTCTTATTCCGTTAAGAGCTCTATCTTTTGATTTCCCCCGCTTTATTGGTCAGACCCTTTGATCGACTAATCTGATCGATGTTTTGAAAGCGCGCGTTGGTGCGAGGAACGCTGCATTAGCAACGAGCTGGCTAGGTAATCTCTGCTTGTGCTGTTGAAATCCAGTTGCCACTGATCTGGTTGAGGAACCCGAGTCTGTAGTGAAGTCGCGACCGTTGAAGAGATTAACTTAAAGTGTACCATAAATTTGCGCATTACCAAACCTAGTTAGCTAGTAAACTGCCTCTGTGTTGCCATAGAGAATTGAGTAAAGAGGCTGCCGTGAAGTCCGCCGGAGACGTCTCGAATATGTCTCCAAGCAAAAAGAATCCGCGACCACTGAGGAGAAATATACCCGATGATATGAAGTAGATTTCCCTTCACCAAAAACAATCAGCTAGAAGGCTGCTTTCGTCTTATTGTGGTGAAGTGAATAAAGGGGCCATCGCGCAGAATCTCGAAGCGAAAACTTCGCGATCCCGAAGAGAGATATACCCGACGATGTGAAATGAATCTGCGATTTAACATAGTTAGCTAGTCTGCCAGTAAGCTGCTTTCGTCTTGTTGTGGTGAAGGGAACAAAGGGGCCATCACGTAGAACTCGAAGCGAAAAGTTTCGCGACCGCTGAAGAGAAATATACATACCCGACGATGTGAAGTAAACTTGCTTTTCATTAAATGCAATCAACTAGGCTGCTAACTTGTGCTGTTGTGATAAAGTTAATAAAGAGATCGTCTCGGAACGAAGAATGCGGCACGCTTGAACAAGATATACCCGACGACGTACACTGAATTTGCGCTTTTATAAACACAAGTAGCTATAGAACCATCCGGAAGAGAATATAGTCTCCTTCCACGTATGACGTGCGCTGCATTTATTGAGACTAGGCCGCAATAGGTCTGTAGCGTTTCAGGCAAGACTCGGAGCAACTAAGGCCCAAGTATAAAAGAAACCCCTCGCTCTCGATCTCCGCCTTTCTTTTTCAACCTCGATACAACCCTTCCTAAACCTCGACAGAAGCTTTGTTTTCCTCAGCGAAAAGCAGAGCATACCTTGATCAACGCGGGTGTCTTTCAATCGCAGACTGTCGTTTCACAACACGCGTTGATTGACATTGGTACTTCACCCAGCGTTATCAGCTTCGACCGAATCAAACATCGCGTAAGGTACTGTGTGTCTCACTTCTAACTTTGATTTCCCATCCTTCGGGGAGCAATGCCGTCCAACTCTTCAAGTTCGGACGACTCATTCCAACTTGTGCCTGCTTACTGACATGCAACAAGGCAGGATGTCCGACCCCAAGGTTACGGCGAAGTTGTTCCTTTCAGTGATCACTCATAATAAGAACAAGGCAGATGTAAGTTATATTCCCACGTCATTGTCTGCCCCTGAAGACAAGTCGTTGCCTATCTTTCCTTTCAAGACCTCATTAACGGTCTTGATTTCTCTAGGTCGACTGGTCCAAAGTTGCCGCCGATATGGGTCTCGGAAGCGAAGGCTCTGCTCGTGTTAGATACCACCAGATTAAGAAGCGATTTCTTGCCGCCGCAGAGAACTCGACCGCCGAGAAGACCGATGCGAACAAGGATGGCAAAGTTGGTAGTGGCACAAATGTGACCCCAAGCAAGATCATGAAGTCGACCCCTACGAAGCGCAAGAAGCCAGTTCAGGATGCCGATATGATGGGTAATCATGAAACTCATGTATCATCGGACAAATCCTCGAACACCTTCATGAGCAACCCCAAGGGAAGTGATGGATTGCTGGATGGATTCGCATCTTCCAATGCGACGTACTTCGATCCTCCATTGGAAGATCAGGAGGACGCCAACAACCATCGTCATGACGCTCAGGAGTTCATCTAAGTGTATTACTGTTCGCGTATCCGGCCAATGCCAGAATTGCGTAGGTTAATCATTTACTCAAGGATAACTTGGAGATTGAGCTGACTTATTCCATTATAGAGTCTCAAGAATACAATCAGAGCCTTGGTACGATAAGCATACAGAGATCCACATAGATGAGAGCGTCTGGCAAGCAAGTTTGGAGGATAATGCATGCACTTTTCACACCTAGCTCCATTTGGAGGCATAGGTCCCTTATTGTAGGGTTGTCATCAGCATGCAACGGGACACAATACGGACAGAGACAAAAAGCTTGGTAGATAGTCAATCAATGACTTGAAACTAAAATTGGCTCCTTTTGGTGACATGCCCAGAGCAGCCTTCATAAACGACCTGATATCCATATGCGACGTCCTCGTGGCAAGTGCTTTACCATTCTTCTGGCCCCGGGTTCTTTGTTTCTAGTTAGTCTTTTGGTGTATTTGGATTCGTTATCTGTACGAGCATCAACGTGCCGTCTCTAGTTACTCTTGGATCAGAGGGGGTTGGCGATTTGATAATGCTGTCCTTCGAACCGACATGTGGTCACGTGCGCCCCTTTCGTACGCGAGGTCCTGAAGGAACAAGATTCAAAGCATTTTTCTGCATGTCTGAAAGCATCGCTACGGTTTGAGCTTCAATATATGATGTCATGTCCAGTACAAGTAGTTGCTTGGTGGAAACCTTGCCGACAGTAGTTTTATCCTCAATGACACGAAATAGATGTTAAGCATAAAAACATTTAAAATGTGCTATAGTACGGCACGAAGTCCAGAAAGAATTGATACTATGTATTGACCGGCTGCTTATGGAAATGCTTGCATGGAGACTATGTGTATGATCGTAGAGTCTCTGTGTTGTCTTGCGCATCAAAGCTTCGGAGATTCTCGGAAGTGCTGATCTTGAGTGAATGTGCTTCAGAATTTGATCTGAGTGCTAGAACAGCAGCGTTACTCTTAGTTACGACTCTATCTAGACACTGCTATTCATCTCAACCAATGATACGAATCTAGTTCATGGAGATGATGCTGCGCTCCACTATGACGAATCCATCGTCTTTTCATAAGTCCTCTGTGGAAGCTTCGATGTAGCTCTCGCAAGGCGAAGGCGGATGTATTGTGACGATGGATCTTGCTGGTATTGTGAACAGAAAGAGGTTGTACCGGGGAGCCTTCGTGCTTAAAGACTCGGAATGCTGGTAGGATAGATCATAGAGTCTTTTGCAGCTATTGGATGGAAGATTCGAGCTGTTTCGTGGAGACAGGGGCTTGAATTGGTACAATGGTGGCTGCTGGAAGATTTACTTTTGACATTTCATATATATTCTTGAAAGTGATCACAAAGAGCAGGAATAGTCTATTGTTGTGTGGCGATTGTCACAATATAATACTAGCGCAAAAAAACGTGATCCTGAGACGCGGTCGCGCATCTTAGCCTCAGCCGTGCATAAAAACACCTTCTCACAACTTGCATCCACGATCTTCCTTCTACCAAATTCATCATCCACAACCTTTCCCAAATACCACTTCCTACTCTACAACCTCAGCCCATCAGTCTACCAAGACATTATCAAGTAAGTCTTCATTCTTCATCATACATCTGTATTGTTTCTTGCGCCCACTTGTATTGACTTCATCCGCCACAGATCAAAAATCACAACGATCTCTTCCATACCCACGCCACCCATCCACATCTTCGATATGTCTGATACCGAGATGCCAACCGCTCCAGCTGCTGCTGATGCCGTCGAGGAGAGCAAGGGCAAGTCCGACATGCCTCAAGCCGACATTGACTTCATCATGGTTTGCATCAAGAATGCCATGGATGGCGTCCTCACTGTAAGTTTCTTCTCGCACTCGGAGCTGTACTGCTTGACCGCAACACATCCTGTTCCCTCAACTTCATCGCACAATCACTTTTGTCATGCTAGATCGATAGATCGAAGCATCTATGTTCCAACATCACATTGCTCACTTTCATGACTTCAACCACTAATGTCTTCCCACCAGGTCGATGCTGTCAAGATTGCCGAGGCTCTTGGTTACTCCAACGTTCGCTCTGTTGGCAACCGTGTTGCTACTATCAAGAAGAAGTACGGTCTCGCCATGAGCGTCTCCAGAGTCTCTAAGGGTGACGACGGTGCTTCCAAGTCTGGTCCTTCCACGCCTGCCCCAAAGACCCCACGCAAGGCCGTTACTGCTCCCAAGACCCCAAAGACCCCAAAGTCTACCGCCAGCAAGGTTACCAAGACCCCTGCTTCCAAGAAGAAGGCGGTTGCCAAGAAGGACGAGTCCGATGAGCCTGAGGCTGCCAGCGATGACGACGATGAGGAGGTGGCTGATGAGGAAAAGGTCGAGAAGGCTCCAACCAAGGCTAATACCAAGGCTAAGGCTAAGGCCAAGGCTGCTCCCAAGGGCAAGAAGATCCAAACTCCCAAGAAGGTCATCGACGATGATGCCGAGATGCAAGAAGCCGAGGATGAGGAAGAGTTGGCTGTCAAGGCTACTGGTGATGAGATGGTCGAGGACGGCGAGGAGGAGGATGCTGACGAGGTCTAAATACATTGATTCACTCATTCGGCCCATGGTTGATGAGGTCATGCTATTTATTTCCTGACTGAAGCATACTTTTGTTGTCGGTGGTGGATATGGAGGCGGTGACTTCGTTCTGGTGGCAGTATTGGTGGAGAAGATGTGAACACTTTTCTTTTGTTATTCAGATCGTACCACTGAGTGTGATCATGCAGGACGCTGGGTCGTGCTCTTTGCTGACATTTTGTTGTCGATCTTTGATCTTCAACGGAATGTCTATGCATACGTAGCATAGCCTAGTCAGATGAGGAATGAAAGAAACCATCATCACTTCTTTTGCTTTTGTGATATGCTATACTTTACTATGCTGTAGAGCGCCCAAATGTGTATTAGGATCATAAACACAACACAGTGGATAATAGAAGTGTGCTCGCTCGCACGCTCATGGTAGTGAGGTTTTTGGAAAAGCAGCTCGATGCTAGGGGTGTTCAAGGAACAAGCAGCGTCCCCTAGATTGCCTAACTCCTATTTCAGGGGCACGGAAGGCACTTTAGGTATGTTAAGCACATGGTAATGGAGCATAAAACACGGGAAGGTAGCGGGCTGTCAGAGGCCAGGGCTATGGTACTGGGACACAAAGATCAGAGCATACGACACGGTGCTATGTTTCACACACCTTATCAAGACTCTTCACTTTAGCAAAGTCTTCTCTCCTTAGCTTCTAGCCTCATTACCACGAAAGTAAAACTTTAACCTCACCTCCAGTAGTTCTGTTTTAGTCTCCAATCGTGAGCAGCTGCTGCTTTAACCTGAGCTACAGGTGAGAGTAGCTGAGCCGGTGAGTGTACTTGACTAGAGCTTGAGGGAGCTTGAATACAGCTTGGGCAAAGCCCGAGTGAAGCTTAAGTAGAGCTTGAGTAGAACTTAAGTAAAGCTTGAGTAAATTGTTACCAGATGACGCTCGCCATCATCGTCAGCCATTATCCCAATTTGTACACTGCCTATCACCTACATCCAATTGTCGCAGTAGAAAGTCAGCAATGAAGAGGAAGCTGAAAAGTCAGGACTCGTCTGAGAGCCGAGACATAGCAGCGACGGAATCCATTCCGTTTGCTCAAATGGTTCAGCTTTCGCGACAGCTAAAGAAACAGGAGTTTTGTATGGGAACTTCGTCTTACGCTGACAGGGCTTCCTCCCCAGACAAGCGCGTTTCTCAGAGGATAGCGGAAGCCATTGCCGCCGATAGACTCATAGCCCCAAACGATAGAAGCACCAATTGAGCGAATTCGAAGAATGATATTCTCAGCGAGGCTGCGTCTGAACAGCCCATGAAGCTCAGATGAAGGCTGTCAATAATTTGACAGTTGAAGTCTGTATTTGAGGGCACCGTAGCTAAAGACGGAATTATAATGATGTCTATAGACTTGACCCGTACTTACTGCTTGCAGTCTGTAATAATTTAGACATGATACACAGGAAGAAGCGCATAGTGAGCACACTTGAAGAATAACGATGAAAGCTGACAAGGTTCATTTCTCAAAGTTTTGAGGGCAGACTACAATAATTACTCAACAGAAGAGATGGACACTCTCGAGACTATCTATATGACTGATTAACAATCTCCGAAGAGTTTATAGATGAGCACCGCAGTTGCAACATGTAATTTGAATACTCTGAAAGACTCCAGAGAATACGCCGGAACAAGGTACGAATGCCAAGCAAGCCAAGATAAAGCAATAAAATGGGTTACTTGTCCGAGAGTCTCCTTCCTACATAGGTCAACACTTGGCATAAGATCGATAGTAGGGTGCACCTTCCACCCTACATATCAGCAATGTTCCAATATTTTCATCCCATGGAGAGTAACAATATAAGTTGTTGGGCGGCGCAGTGATGTTGGTTTCAGATGGCGATAACAGAATCGATTCGAATGGTGTGCACAGCATTTGCCTGCAACCGCTCTGGTGGTTCCAGTGCTTATTTTGTAGCCATATAATCACAAATCGATGAGAATTGTTGCTGCCAAGCCTATCTCACTGGAGCCTAACGCGGGAGGGTTCTAGTTTGGGAAGAGAATATCTAATTGGGGGTTAGGGAGGAAATGAAGCAAGAGTGGGGCCAGGCAGGGCAGGTCAACTGCCATCAAGGGTTGTGATGTCGGTCATAAAGAGGCTGGCCACATCGGAGCAGACATCTGCAGCGATCATAAAATTCGGAGGTTAACCTTTTAGAGTATATAATGGGTCCAAATATTAGATTTGGGTGCAAAATACCCTGTAGCAACGGCCCAGCGACATATGATCTTCGTAACAGATGTCTGCTCCGATGTGGCCAGCCTCTTTACTTTGTCGGAATCAGAGACGACTCTAGATATGCTTGCTCATCTATGGTCACCTGACATACTTCTTAGGTACGAGGCGTGGGGGCCGAGGACGATTAGAGGGGCGTTCCCACCCAGCCTTATCTCGAAACTCCAGATGCTTACAATTATGAGTTCTTTGGTAGAGGGCTAAAGCTTGCGGTCTTCCTGCTCTTTCCTCGGACTGGATGGAAAGTCGGTAAGCACGTGACCCTGGCTGAATCTTGGTCAGGTAGGTCTGGTTGAACTCCGGGTGAGCTCTCGTGAGGTCGCCCCATGCTTGTGGTGTAGGCGGGAAGCTCGCGTACTTAACCTCTCAACGTTGCGACCCCTACACATTTCGGGCATGTTCAGCGTTTAAATATTGAATACGGTAACCCGAACGGTAAAGTGACGAAGCAAGTGCCAAGTTTCGGTTTCGCAAAATCTTTGAGATACACTCCTATAAATATTTATAAATTCCTCAATCTTCTCCCCATCTCTATCCATGTGTTCCACTCGCCGACGTCGCAAGGAAATTGAGGCTCTAGCTGATCAATACTAGAACATACAGCCCACATTGGTTGTCCCTCCAAATTCACACAGCTGAGAAAAGCCTAAACATCAAAACCATGGCTCCTCAACTTACCTCCTCTTCCAAGGACTCTGGAAATGTTACGATGGATTCTGCTGCAGGAGAAAACCCCACTAAAAAATATGTTATCTACCCACTTGGTGGCCATAACATAGATTCCATCTCATCTTTGTTGGCATCTTATCCTCCAAGCGCAAACATCATAGAGCACATATCGGTCAACGGATGGGGAATGATGTATTGGGACGCAACTCTTTCACCAGCCCAAGCGCAGGAAATATCCTTGAACGAACAGGTATGATGGTTCCTGAATCACGTTTTCGGGTACAACCACTGAGACTAGCTACATGAACAGGTAGAAAATATATATGCCATACTCATTCCAGACCAGATTGAAGATCAGGACGATTAAAAACAATCACGAAGTGATTTGTTGCCGATACCAGTAAAGCCTTTGCCAACATCTACACCTCCTAGCCGGCTCCAGTTGCCGCCACACTCTCGGCTGCGGTACGTCCCCAAACAGCACCACACATGTCAACCTGATCATATATTCATTGAGGTCCTATAGCCCCGGATGTTTTTATCGAAGCCAGTATTCGAAGTATATGTAGAAATTCATTTTGTGCATTTGAAGGGTTGACAATCTGATATGGTTGAGCATTTCTCGCAGATTTGAGGCTTTGGGGACTTGTACAAGCCAGGTTGCCGTGGTTCCTTGGCTTCTGACTTAAATGACGAGCGGGGGTGTTTATGTTGCAGCTAGTTTTAGTTGGTAATTGCAGCTTCTGGATTTCCCTCTTATGTTCTTGGCATTGTCTCTAGGTTTACACGGTTTTGGAGTATGAGGATTTTACCACGCCACGTGGAGATGATTATGTATTCAGACCCATGGCCATGGTATCAACGATTTTGACAACAATAAAGCAAATGTGAATCTTTCCAGCAAGATATCTCCGTTCCAATGTCAGAGGATACGGCGTTCTCATTGTCATTTCTATGCAGCATAAATGACGGGAACATTCGTGTTGGAGCTGGAAAGCTGCAAAGAACCTTAGCACTTTAGCAAATCAGCACCTAACAAGTCCTAAAACTCCTACACCACTGCACCGCCTCACTTATGCTCTTGTACTACTTGCCTATAATCCAGGAGTTCCATAGCCTTGTTGCTGTGCTGAGGTGCTAACGCCCCTTTTGGTACGCCTCACCGCCCTCGACTACAAACCTGAGCCCGTTCGCGTACGCCCCCTCGCGTATCAACCTCTTTCCTACAGCATTCCTTGGACCAATTTCCCACTCGAAGCTGCTCACCTCTTGCAGTCTAAATGCTGCATCCTCATCCGCGAGTAAGGTCGAATGTCAAGATGGGCTAGGTCGGAACGACGATATTCTGCTTACGTGGGCTTGGTTGCCAATGGATGGGGCTCTCCAGTATGATTTCTATTGATGTTCATCTTATGGTCTGAGGTGCTCAATGCTTTGACGAAGATGAAAGGTCAAGGGAAGAGCTTGCTTTCAACAATGGGCATGGGTTTTGCATGTTTTGCGCTTTCATGCAGCTGAAGGTGATTCTTTGTACCTAGCACTTCCAGATTGCCAATCAAAGCCTCTTTACAAAATTCTGGCGGGCGCCTGCCAATAATCTGCACGTAGACTTTGAATGACAAAATCGTGGTGACCTTCGCAACAGTGGTCCAGAGAGGCTTAAATTCCAGGCACTTCTCTTCTCTCCTTCCCGATTCATCTTGTCTGCGTCCCTCCACAGACGACTTTTCTCCATCGACTTCTACTTTAGTCCGTCACCCCTACCCGTTCTCTCCAACTTCAAGACCAAGCCAATACTCAACTCGAGAACACAATTCAGACGGATACATTGCCCAGAAATTACCTTCATCGTCATGGCTCCAGCTTCGAACGAAGAACAATTCAAGTTCCTGATCAGTTGTATCCGCTACAGTAACAATGGCAAGGTTTGTGCAGCATGACCACCTCACTCTGAGGCTCGCTAACAAGGGCAGGTTGACTTTGGTCAAGTTGCAAGAGAGTGTAAGATCGTCAGTAAGGGCGCGGCGTAAGAACTCCTCCATTCGTATCCAAGTTTAGATCTCTTCCTTTGAATATAGCTGACAGTTTGAAACAACAGCGCCAAGCGTTATGAGCGAATGATGAGAGCTCACGGAATCGCTCCCAATGCCGCTACGATCAAGCCTCCTCCTTCCCGAAGCATGAAAGCCGAACGTCGAGAGTCCTCTACAACCTCCTCTACCTCCCTCAAGAAACGCAAAGCCGATGCCTTTCTCGAAGATACCACACCAGTTGATGATGAAGAGACATTTGGAAGCATCAAGCCTGATCCCGTCAACATGAAGGAGCAATTCATCGTCAAGGAGGAAGCAGAGGGACAATCTATGGCACAAGGACAATTGAGCATCGATCAGGCTGCCAACCTCATGCAATACTACGATACTCCGGCCACATATGCCGGCTCGGGATTGAGTGCTCAGAGCAACTATGGTGGCAATGGCAATGGCTATGGAAGCTCTGGTGGCTATACTGGTTCTTTGAATCCAACATACGCTATGCAGAGCCAGCCTTCGTACGATTTCTCTACACCTTACAATGCAGGCGGTATGAACAGTGTCCCGAGGAGCGAGAATCAAGGACTCAGCTATCAACCCTTGGTGCCTTATCAAGGAGATGACCAAGGCCGTTCAGACAGCCCAGTCATCGTGGAGTAGAGGGTCAGAAATGGAGATATCTGGGATGGGAGAAATGGGTCACAAAGGAAAGGGTCTTTCAAATACATTCAGCAAGTTGTTTATGGGTGGGCGATATTGAGTTTCTATGTGCAAGGGCACCTAGAGGAAGACTCGAAGGGGGCATCTGGAATGCTATCTATCAAGACCTACATAATTGCCGTTGCTTTACAATCAAAATCGTTGCTTTGACATGTCACGTTTTCCTCTCGGTTAGACAAGGACTCATGATGCAAGAAAAGGGTTAGCGAACACGTGACCAGATTGACGACTTTTCTGCACCAAATCAGTGTGACGGTACGTAACTCGAAATGCAGTGGTAAAGCCAACATGCTAGGCCCTAGAAAGACATCGAAGATGATAGATAGCATTGCGCTTTTCTTTGACTCCTCCCCGACACGATGGTATCATTGATTGTAAGCTGCCACACACGGCCTTCACGACGACACTTGCAGCATCTGCGCCACAAACGAAACAAAACAACAGTGAGTGTTCTAAAATTCAAGAGGGAGGATGTGTCACTGAATGGTATCATTTGAAAACAAGAATGACGCTGCTAATATTCATAATGCGGCCTAGGCTCGAAGTTCAGTTACACAAGGGCCCAACTTCCTCACCCGCCGAGAAGCCAATACGGCTGAAAGAAGCACAAAGATACACAGTCTATGATTTGATAGCCTGGAGGTAGAAGTAAAGTGTGCTACTGGAATCTACATAGCAAAACCTAGATAACATATAAGGCCCAGCAGCTACGGACACCGATGTACTTGTTCTGAATCTTCCTTCCCGCGCGCACACTTCGACCAGATTGATCTTCAAAGGCGCTTTCCCAATACACCTAGGGAAGAAGCTAGGTGAGAAAGAGGTAACTGTTACACTCGTCTCAGAGCCTGTGCGGCAGAGTTGACAGATGGATGGATGACCTAGAATTCCACACACAACTGCTGCGAGTATTCAAGCACATGCTGACACCTAAGTAGGCGATTCGAATTCCTTCGAAGAGAATATCAGGAACGACTACGAAGCTTGGTGGAATGGATCTAAATTTCTGCCTCCCTTCTTTGACCGTCGAGGGAAGTGCTGAAGGACTCTGAAGATTTGAGCAGCAACACGAATATATGAACACACACGAACGGTAGAGCTTGAGTAGGAAATAGGAATCTTCCTTTAAACTTCGATTCTGGCTCTGTAGAACAGGTCATCACACACAAAGCAAGTTGCGACCCCGGGCACGGTCAGTGCCATCACACTTATTGGGTTTCTACTGGAAGAAGGGGTCACCGTTCTGAGGCTCTTCGAAGCTGGTCAAAGGGTCGGAGGAAGGTCGAGGGACAAGGATATGTGAGTTCATGACCGGCTCCTGGCTGTAAACTCGGAATATTTGGCTGAAAGGTTCTTTGGAGGTCATTCTAGGCCTTCCTGCCTTGCTGCTCAGGATATTCTCGATGTCTCACACACTTCCTTCATAGCACTAGAAGTATTGTACTCTTTGGTTATTGGGTCCGAGTGTGGGGAGACTTTTGTAGAGCTTGGAATTTTCGGAGTAAACAGCGCAAAGTTAGACACATAAAATAGCTAAAATCTGTCTAGATTCTGTTCTAATTCTGGTTCGAATCCTCAGTAGATACAACGTTGCTGCTTGACTGACCATGTCTTACACAGATATGGAGAGAAGCATAAATTAAAAACCATTGACTTTGAAGATCTGGGACATGGACATATATGTGAGAGATACTGGATCTTGAATACTATCTTTATGTACAAGTCTTTTTTGGCGCTTGGAAGGGACATGTACAATTTGAGAAGTGAGATCATGCTACGGACATTGTAAAATGATTTCGTCATCCTCAGGACCCTTGACCCCTTGTTGTGATTGTTGCTCGTTTAGGTATAGACTGCTCGTCTTCGGCCTTACCTTCGATCTCAAGTCCATAGAATATTCTCGGCCACCTCCAATTTGCGAATCGCGTTATAAAGTACAAGCGCAACTGATTCACTCGTGCTTTCGACTTCGCTTAGCTTGATTAAGTTTAGTTCTGTTCGTCTTCGGTCGCGCCCTCGATCTTGAGCCCATCTTCCTCCACTCCACCACTTTCGAATTTCAACCTCGACTTGTGAACTTCAACTTCTACAACTTCGCATTCTTTCAATTTCGCCGCAGCTCTATCGCATATAGAGTCCCTCTATCACTGCGAATCGATTTCCAGGTACGTATTCGAATATGTTTACTTTGTTGGCCGGCTGTCTTCGCGCAAAGCAGCCCAGCACTTTCACGTCGTATCTTCGCGCACACATTACCCCGCTTGCCTTCACTCTTGCTTTATGTTCTTCAGGTCGGCGGTCGTAACTTCAATACCCAGCTTCTCTCATATTTGCCATTGGCGTGGAGGTGATGAGTCTACAGCGCGCGTTCATAGACAACCTACCCCACTTCACTTATCCTGGTCATTCTGTTGCGCGTACCTTTGTGTCACTTGAGGCGGGAGGAGCCTGACAGCTCTACGTTCCAATGAAGAAGTCTCATAATGAGGAGCTATCTAGATTAAGACTAGATGTCTTGAAACGGCGGAAGCTAGACGCGAAATCAACTTGACAGCACAGCATCTCGATTAGGACATGCCGGAACGGCGAGTGTGATCCACCATAGAGCAGCGGAAATACATCCTTTCTGCTAGATATCCATCATCCTTCTCCTATGTTCGCAACTTGCATGTGCTCCAAGTCTTCTCGAGGAGTCTTATGAGAACTAAGCCGTCGAAGCTTCTTGACCAAAACAGACTCCATTACCATCCTTGAGCGAATCAATCTTTGCAAGTTCGCGTCGTACTAGTCCAAGAGTAAAGTGCTCAGGCTTGCATGCTTATATGCTCGCTACTTTGTAGTTCGGCGAAAGTTCCCGACACTACGATCCTCGAGGCTGAGCGCGGTTAAGCAGCCTGGTCTTGTACCGTCAGCCAAACCCATCTGACCCTTTCGTTCAACACACTATGCCTTCTAATTCAAAACCTCTATACTCTGTCTTCGGCAAGATTCTTGACTGCGAGGTGAATCATTGACCTGTTAGCGATTCTCTTAGCTGAGCCTTCTTTTGCTTCTGAAGTCTTCTGTCTTTACAGCAATCTTCAAGCACAGATCGCTAACATACCTTTCAAACATCAGGCCACAAAAAGCTCAATCCTACTAGTCAACACAGAACCCAAGCAGATCGCGGTGCACCGAGCCTACAATGGCGCCGACAAAGCCAAAGCCAGGTGGTCCGCCCAAAACCCCATCAAAGAGATTGGGTGGCAAAGGCCTGCCAGTTACGCCTTCCAACAAGGGTTCGTCCACGAAGAACACTCCTTCTACGATCAAGCGTTCCGTGACCAAGAAGACGCCATCCAAGACTCCTTCCAAGTCGGCTTCCAAGGCACTCGTCAACTCGGCGGATGAGGATGACGAGACCGACGAGTTGCCAGAGACGCCAGAGAAGCCCTGGAGACAACGAAAGCGCGGCGAGGCTACAACATCAAGAGAGAAGGGTAAGTCTGCCAGAAGAGCCATCGAGAAGTTCACCTATTGATCGACTTAGGTGTCCTTTATGCTACTGAATTGCACAGCATTAGGGCGACTCCACCTAAACACCTCGTCAAGGGCGAGGATTTGGTCCAACGATCCATTGAAGTTGATGAGGATGAGATTATGGAGAACATGCATCCCGAGTCTGCCAGACTGGCTGCTGAGGTTCACCGACAAATGAGCGAGCAAGGCGAGGGTTATACTTTTGCTAGCTATGCAATGAGTCAGGCCAACAACGAGGAAGATGGTGATGATGAATATGACGAGGAGGGTATGGTTGAGGCTGGACTTGCCAGCGCCAAGAAGAAGAAGCCAGCAGCTACCAAGGGTGGCAAGAGTGGCAAGCCTACCGAGATTAAGGAGTACGAGGAAAAGTACTGGATGAATGCATATGGCCAGCTCATTCGAATTGATCCGGATAACCCAGAAGAACCTACTGCTTGCAATAACATGGCTCGTACCAAGAAGAAGGCTCATGGACCCGTTGATCCCAATGGTCGCTTCATCGGTCGTCACTTGGTCAATTGGCATCGTAAGTCTCCATCTTCAAACTTGCGTGCATCTCCTTCTTTTTCGCAGGTTCTACAAACTGACGCCATCTAGGTCCTCGTATGATGGAGAAGTTGGTCCTCAACATTCAATTCGAGTGTCACAAGGCCGGCATCCAATTGCCATGGGACAAGATTGTTCATAGGCTCAACCCAGGATCTAGCGGACCAGCGGCGACTCAAATGCTGAACAAGATGCGAGACATCTTGATCTGTGAGGGTCACTTGATCCCACCTGCCATGGGTAAGAGAACCATGAAGGTAGACCCAATGGTACGAGGCTATGTTCGTGACTTGACCAAGCAAGACCCACGAGCTGCCCGTATCCTCTACTGGACCGAACCCTACGAGAACGCCAAGTATAGCTTGGATTGGGGCACCACGCTTGGCTCGGGCCAATATCGTAAACTTCTGAAGAACCCCAAGGTTGAAGAAGATAGCGATGATGTCGAAAAGCCTCGCCTCTTCCAGCTTCCTTCAAGCAATGCTAATCCCCGCCAACGCATCCCCACTGGAGGAGGCGACATCCGTCGTGCCAAGCCTACTCCACGCAAGTCTAGAGCAAAGATAGTTAGCAGTGACGAGGAGGATGAGGATGAGATTGAGATTAAGCCTGAAGAGCTCGACCCTGATGATGACTGGAGCCCAGAGGCTGGCAAGATGAAGAAGACGAAAGGTGGCCGCAGAAAAGTCGCTGTTCGTACCCGAATTACGCGTCTCACCGAGTCAGAGTCGGAGGGGGAGTCCGTTCATCACTCTTCGTCATCTGGTAGCCCTACTCCCTCGTACATCGTCAAGTTGCCCATCAGAGTCCCCGAATCTGTAGGTAACACCAATCGTCGCCAACGAGCCGTCGCACGCAATACCCTTGGCAGCGAAGACGAGAAAGATGATGCCATGAATGACCATGCCATGAAGATGGAGGAAGACGCCGAGCATGAGGTCGATTCTGATGGCAACGAGGACTTTGAATCTGGAGCTGGTGGTGATCGAGAAATGGATTCCACGACCATGTCATCTGGTAATAACAGTCAGGCCTATTCTGGTGTCTACAGTTCCCAAGCTCCCATGTACCGTGTATGTATTAGCCGCATCGCTTGTTTGTGCGGAACAAAACGCTAACAGAATCTGAGGGTGCTCTTCCAAATCCCGGACGTGCTCCTCCAGCCATGGGCCAGCTTGTTGGTTCTGTTTCTCGTGTTTCCATGCAGCCCAATATGTATACTGCGCCTGCTCCAGGCATGTACCAAGGTCAAAGCAACCACCACATGAACTACATGTCCCAAACCGACTTCTATGGTAATAGTGTCACGATGCAGCAGCCATTCGGCGGTTCTTCCTCTTCTAACTACGCCCAATCTGCCATGATCGACCGCATGATTGCCCAAACAGCTCTCAACTCCGCTCCCAACGTCAACTTTGAGTACCAACCCCAACATTCTCAGTACGTCCATGCTAAGAACGACGTCTTTGGCCGAGGTGGTACTCCCATGGATGATGAGGAGTAGAGAATGACACTGTTAAGGTTCGAGATCTCGGCCTCCAAGCTCGTGTGGCATTGCTGGCATCCAGAGATACTTCAAACATAGGTAGCGGGTTCCTCTTCTCGTCTTCGTCGTCATTACACATTTCATACATCTTCGCCTCAACAAGATGGCTCGTCCCTGCTTGTCATCCTTGCTATGCAACTCTGCTAGAGGTATTTGAATCAGCTTACGGGTTCCCATTGCTCAGCTTCGTCGCCTCAGCGTTTCTACACCTCCATCTTGTTTGCCCTCGTTGTGCTCCTTCGCTTGATTGTCATCCGGCATTCAGGAAAGGGGACATTTTGTGCCTTGAAGAACTTTCTCGAGGTCAAACGAGACCTTCTGGAATTGGTGGAGTTTTATGAGATGGCTTGGATGGTCAGGTTCTTGCGGTAAAATTTTCTTTCTTTCTCTGGGTATTTTCGGTTCTCCCAAAACGTCGTCATATGCAGATGCTGGTTCTCAGAGAGTGGCAGGGCTTTTCCTTCAGTAATTTTCGGGTATCATGGATGCAGGTTTCTCTGATGGATCCTCATTGCAAAGGCCTTTCGTGGTCGGTACTGGATCGCAGGACATACCTGGAAGAGCGAGACTACCACGATCCACATCTCAATAGGAGCTGCATCACTGCATCAAAAATCATCAAGAGCACAATACAAAAAACCAAACACAAATCATTGAACTTATGTGACATCACCGTGAATAATGATAATCATATACTGATGGACTTATGTCATTTTGAGTATTTTTCAACGTCCTCGACTTGCATCCGACTTGGAAGAACTGAAGAACTCGTTGTCAGGAATTGATATGCAAGCAAAGGTGGTCTGTTGAATGTCCAACGCTGCAGGAACAGCTCTGTTAAGAATGGGTCGCAGCGAAACGATTGTCTTGAAAGCCCCGAACTTTTGGTGAACTCATGAAGTCAACATAAGGAATCAGGATTTGGGTGATGTTGCTTTTCAGGAGATCATCGAGAAGCTTCGAAGCCCGGGTAATCTTATCTCCGAGCCGAAAGACGCTAATAATTTTTAGCGTGTCCCCTTCGAAAAAAGATGGAGAAGAATTCCCAAGTCAATTCCTCCTCCAATCTACATACACTGCACATTCTCCTTCCAGGTCATCTTCACTGAGATCCTGCTCCTTTTCTGTAATTGTACGTTCATATCAGCGACACTCTTTCTACATCCTCAGAATGCAACGAGCATTAACATCCCGGACCTCGGCCGTTGCGAGGTCCTCCAAGCTTCGTCCTATTGCTTCTGCTGGCTTCAATGCCCAGCAGTTGCGTTTCGCACACAAGGTAGGTCCTGAAGCAATAAGGGATCTATGGAAGGCCCAATGTGTAGCTTGAAAATGCAGAATTGAACGCTAATATTTATGACATGATCAGGAACTGAAGTTTGGTGTTGAAGCACGAGCTTCACTCCTTGCCGGTGTCGAGACGTTAGCAAAGGCTGTTGCTACCACATTAGGACCAAAAGGACGAAATGTTTTGATCGAGTCAAGTTACGGATCCCCGAAGATAACCAAAGGTTTGTATTGGCCCCTTGTTGTCATCAATAAAGCTAACATTATGCAGATGGTGTGACTGTTGCCCGAGCTATCTCCCTGAAAGACAAATTCGAAAACTTGGGTGCCCGATTAATCCAAGACGTTGCATCGAAGACAAATGAGACTGCTGGTGATGGAACTACAACGGCGACCGTTCTGGCCCGTGCCATATTCTCCGAGACCGTGAAAAACGTTGCTGCCGGATGTAATCCTATGGATCTCCGCAGAGGTACTCAAGCTGCTGTTGATGCCGTCGTTGACTTCTTGCAAAAGAACAAGCGCGATATCACTACCAGCGAAGAAATTGCACAAGTCGCCACTATCTCAGCGAACGGCGACACTCACATTGGTAAGCTGATTGCCAGTGCTATGGAGAAGGTCGGCAAGGAAGGTGTTATCACTGTTAAGGAGGGCAAGACTATGGAGGATGAGCTTGATGTTACCGAGGGCATGCGATTCGACCGTGGATTTGTCTCCCCATACTTCATCACCGACACAAAAGCACAAAAGGTCGAGTTTGAGAAGCCTCTCATCCTCCTCTCCGAAAAGAAAATTTCTGCCGTCCAGGATATCATCCCAGCTTTGGAGGCCTCAACCCAGCTCCGCCGTCCATTGGTTATCATTGCTGAGGACATCGATGGCGAGGCATTGGCTGTCTGCATCTTGAACAAGCTTCGTGGCCAACTACAAGTTGCTGCTGTCAAGGCTCCGGGCTTTGGCGACAACCGCAAGTCCATCCTCGGTGATCTCGGTATTCTCACCAACGCTACTGTCTTCACTGACGAGCTTGATATCAAGCTTGAGAAGGCTACCCCAGATATGTTCGGCTCTACTGGCTCGATCACGATTACCAAGGAGGATACTATTATCTTGAACGGTGATGGAAGTAAGGATGCAATTAGCCAACGATGTGAACAAATTCGAGGTGTCATGAACGACCCAACTACATCTGACTACGAGAAGGAGAAGCTCCAGGAGCGTCTTGCCAAGCTCTCTGGTGGCGTTGCAGTCATCAAGGTTGGTGGCTCATCTGAGGTCGAGGTGGGCGAGAAGAAGGATCGATTTGTTGATGCTCTCAACGCCACTCGTGCAGCTGTAGAGGAAGGTATTCTGCCTGGAGGTGGAACTGCTCTTCTCAAGGCAGCAAGCCAAGCCTTGAACGGCCTGAAGCCTGCCAACTTCGACCAGCAACTTGGTGTCAGCATCATCAGAAGTGCCATCACCAAGCCAGCGCGTACGATCATTGAAAATGCCGGTACCGAGGGCTCAGTTGTCGTCGGTAAGCTTATGGATGAGTTCGGAGCAGACTTCAACAAGGGATACGATAGCTCTAAGGGCGAGTACGTTGATATGATCGCTGCGGGTATCGTTGATCCATTCAAGGTCGTACGCACTGGTTTGGTAGATGCTAGTGGTGTTGCCTCGCTACTTGGCACAACTGAAGTTGCCATTGTCGAGGCACCAGAGGAGAAGGGTCCCCCAGCAATGGGCGGCATGGGAGGTGGAATGGGCGGTATGGGTATATAAACCTTCCCTTGTCTTTCAAACGTACTGTAGAATGCTAACTTTTACCAGGCGGGATGATGTAAGTGAGCAAATAACGGCATATACCCATCACGGTTAGCTCTCGGTGGTGGTATCTTGAGCTTCTGAAACGAAATCACACGACTGTCTTCCAATGTTGTATAACACCTCCCCACTCGATCCTCTTCATTCATTGTCTTAGATTCGGCATTGCAGAGCGAAATGGTGTCAGAGAAAAGGGGAATATTGTAAAAATAATAAATCAAAACAAGTCAAACATTCATATTGCGTGGCACCTTGCCACAGCCTCAGCAATTGTGATCGCCTTGAATCTAAATTTAAACCATCAACATTATCTCATTTCAGGTAGCAACATTCTTTCCATGATGCTATTATGAGGCGCCGCAAATTGAACGAAATTCTTCTGCCTGAGCATTGAAAGTGCAAGCTGACGCATTCTGAATTCTGGGCGCCATCCAAATCAGGTTACGAGGAGTCACGTGTCAGTCCACCCCACCAAGGATCTCAGCGGCTTGTTCGCAAAGCAACGGAGTCAAATAACAACAACGATAAACACTTGCGCTCAGCTTTCTCATTTCAGTCTTTGATTCGAGAATTGGAATAATAGAATCGACCTCCTCCTGATATTCGTACGTTCTCAGTTCATCTTGCGCATCAATCACCCCTAGCCTTTCCATCATCTCGACGGCGCCTGATAAAACGCTGACAACATCGTTGGCAGATTTCACAATCCACCACTGCTTGTCGCACAAAGTTCATCGGCATCATGGTAAGTCCTTCTCATAGTGTGATTGCCGTGATGATGTATACTCATTCGTCTGCGAAACACAGTCTCAATCTGGGTCAGTCATTATACCCCTCCACCCCTCTTTCCCAGCACCACGACTCCTTCGTGCAGCTCTCCTCGACCTCGACATTCCTCTTGCCGATAAATGTCACTCAGTCGATATCGTAACATATACTGATTTGGCTCTGGGAACAGTGTTCAGGTAGACGCTGAATGCGTCTCCAAATTCAACGAGCTGAAGCTCGGCAAGTCGATCAAATACATCATCTACAAGCTGTCAGACGACTTCGGCACCATTGTGGTTGAAGAGACTGGCAGTGACAAAGACTGGGACAACTTCCGAGAGAAGCTCGTCAATGCCAAGACCAAGAGCAAGCAGGTATGGTCTGGTTGATTCTGGACTTCGGGCTGTTTTGACAACATGCATAGGGCAAGGAAGGCAAGGGCCCAAGATACGCAGTCTATGACTTCGAGTACGAGCTCGCATCAGGGGAGGGAACACGGTAATACACTGGATCATGACAATAAGAGCAAATCTGATGTGGCTATAGAAACAAGATTACCTTCATCGCATGGTCTCCAGATGATGCTGGAATCGGCGTAAGCTTTCTGTCTCTGCCAATAGTTTTCTAAGCTAATCATCATAGCCAAAAATGACCTATGCCTCATCCAAGGATGCTCTCAAACGCGCACTGAATGGCATTGCTGCTGAGGTCCAAGCCAACGATGAAGACGACATCGAATACAACACCATCCTCGCCAAGTTCGCCAAGGGAAAATAAATCACCTTTCACGAAGCATAGATGTGATATACGAGAGACAAGAATGGGAAGCGGGTGCTGTGTTTCGTTGGAGCGGGTATGCTGCGCTCACTTGCCTGCGATGACTTGATATGCATAGTAGGGCGACTTGATTGTTTCTGCTCAGCTCAGGGCGGACTTTTTCTCTTCTTCTGCAACTACACCAGGGAACAGGGGAACGGAAAGATGATGGTGGAATTCTCTTGCACGTGCCATGAAACTGGGATATAAGACTTCAAAAGCTAGCCTTGATATTCCATTTCTAGCCTTCACACTCTTCACTTTCCTATGATTCGCTTGTGCTGTGATATCTTGATTTTCCCGTCCTAAAACGCCGTGCTTGTATGCAATCATGCCTCTCTACCGCTATTGTCTCTCCAACTCCCGGACTAGGATTGCAAAGCCTTCCTAAAAACCCCAACCACCCTCTCGCCCTCACTCTCATCCTTCAACCTCTGCACAAGAAATCCCTTCAGATCCCCCCAAAACTCCTCCGTCTTCAACACCTCCGCCCCTGCGCCAATGACACCCTCCCCAACAACCTTCGGCTCAACCTCCTCATCCGCCTTCTTCAACACCGCCACGCCACCCATAACCATAATCCCAAACTCCATCTTGGTCCCCACGTCCCCATCACCGAGCAGATCTTTCAGTATCTTGCTATCGGGAACGGGCTTTTTGTTGTAGAGTAATCGGATCTTGGAGACAGGGATGGAGGATTGGGCTGAGACGAATTCTTTCAAAGAGAGGATGGAGGTGCTGAGAGCTTGGGAGGTGAGTGTTATTTCGAGAGGGGGGTTGCGGGCGCTTTTCAGCAGGACAGAGAGGGAGGGTTCGGAGCCGGGGAGGGTGGAGGTCTTTTGGCGCTTGTTCATGGGGCGGGGGAATTTGGGGAGGATGTACTGAAGGTTGTTAGTATGGTTAGAGGTATGAGACTAAGAACTGGAGGGAGTATAGACAGGAAAGTAAGAGAGAAACTTACTGCGCCTCGTCCTGGGTAGGACTTTGGGTCTTCGACATGGTCTGCAGTAACCTTGGTCGGTCTCGAATCGAGAGTCGTGAGGAAGGTCTTTGCGAATGAGAGTTCCGTCATCTTGAAATCTTCTTCTGAAGTATTTCGCAATCGTCTTAGCCACGGATATTATGAGACAATTGAAAAGAAGCGCTTGACTTGGGCTGGACTGACGAGGCTATTCAAAGTCCGTAGAGCGAACAGTCGAGTGCATGTGCTAATTGAGTTAGCGCGGTCTGCTGATAGCGGATCTTATCGCAAGAAAAAAAGTTTCTTGTCGAATTGAATCTCAATATCCTCGAATTATCTGCCAACACCCCTCATTTACCTTCTCAATTCTCGATTGGAACTTCAGACAAGATGGGAGTCGGTCGAAAATTAGGCAAGAAGCAGGGCATGCCCGAGCCGCTCGATGAAGCGCACTTTACGAATTTGAAGAGAAAAGCTGGGATGAGCGTTGCGGAATCGAGAGCAGAGAGCCAGCAGTATTTGAAGAAGAGAAAAACGAATGGCTCTGGGTCAAAACATAAGAAGGAGATTGGCAAGAAGAGTTCAGTCAATGGAAAGGAAAATGGGAAAAAGGCGTCCGCGAACGGGAAAGAAAAGAAGAAGCCTTTCACAAATGTCCTCCCACCAACACCTGTGAAGAAGAGTACAAAACCAGAGAAGGTGCCACTACCGGACTCCGACGAGGATTTGGATCTTGACTCGGGTGAAGAAGCAGGACTGCTGGGCGATGAGTTCGAATTATCTGGCGACAGTGAGGAGGAGGGAATTGCTGGTTTGCGCGACGACTTTTTGGAATCCGGGAGTGAGGTTTATGATTCTGATGATGATCATCAACATAAAGCTATGTTCTCGGAAGATGAGGACGAGTCTGATGCGGAAGAGAAGCTCACTGCGGCGAACATTGCTGGTTTGACGAGAAAATTGGATGAGCAGATGGCAGAGGAAGCAGCAGATGCACAGGCAGAATTGGAAGAGGCCGCTTTACAAACGAACATTGCTGGTGACCGGCCACATATCCTGGAAGACTCGGACGAAGAAGGAGACGGCATCAAGACGAATGCATTGTTAGCACCAGACTTACAGCTCCTGCGAACGAGAATCAACGATACGGTACGAGTCCTCGACGACTTCGCCAATCTCGGAGAGGAAGAGCGATCAAGAGCAGAATATACAGCACAATTGATCAAGGACATATGTGCATACTACGGCTATTCACAATACTTGGCCGAAAAGCTGTTTAACCTCTTCCCACCGAAGGAAGCTTTTGCTTTTTTCGAAGCAAACGAAACGCACCGCCCCGTCGTCATCCGCACCAACACCCTTCGCACCCATCGTCGAGACCTGGCACAATCCCTCATCAACCGTGGTGTGACTCTCGAACCAGTAGGAAAATGGTCAAAGATTGGTCTGCAAATCTTCGAATCTGCAGTTCCTCTCGGTGCTACTCCCGAATACCTGGCCGGACACTACATCCTCCAAGCAGCATCTTCTTTTCTCCCCGTTATGGCTTTGGCACCACAAGAGAATGAACGAGTTCTCGATATGGCAGCTGCTCCTGGTGGAAAGACAACACACATTGCTGCGTTGATGAAGAACACTGGCTGCATCTTCGCCAATGATAGCAACAAATCTCGTGCCAAGGGTCTGATTGGTAACATTCATCGTTTAGGTGCCAAGAACGTTATTGTATGCAATTACGACGCGCGAGAATTCCCCAAGGTCATTGGAGGATTTGACCGAGTGCTGCTTGATGCTCCTTGTTCAGGGACAGGAGTCATTGCCAAGGATCCCAGCGTGAAGACGAATAAGACGGAGAAGGATTTCCTCATGCTCCCACATCTGCAGAAGCAATTACTACTGTCGGCTATCGATTCCGTTGATTATGCCAGCAAGACTGGTGGGTATATTGTTTACTCTACTTGTTCAGTCACAGTGGAGGAGAATGAGCAAGTTGTGCAATATGCATTGAACAAGAGACCAAATGTCAAGCTAGTAGAGACAGGGCTGGTGTTTGGTAAGGAAGGCTTCACTGCATACATGGGCAAGTCATTCAGTCCAAGCATGAAGATGACAAGACGGTACTACCCCCACGCCTACAACGTGGATGGATTTTTCGTCTCGAAGTTCAAGAAGTCTGGTCCATCACCAAAGGGCTCTACTGGCGGAATGAACCTTTCTCTAAAGAAAGCAGAAGACGACGAGATGGACGTCGACAGAGAGCCCGTTCCGGAGACAGAAGAAGAAGAGGCGGAGGAAGTGGCATTTGGCGGATGGGATGAAGAGGAAGATGAGGCGTATATCGAGAGAGCGAAGCGGAACAAGTTGAAGCGGAGGGGTATCAATCCCAAGGCGGGTGTGAAGAGTAAAAGTGACGGCGTCAAGGGGAACGGGAATAAAAGTAAAGATACCTAGGTAGTGAGTAATGAAGATTTCTGCGTCTCATGGTAGCACGGGTATCTATCCGCCTTCCTGCTCAGCTGTCATGACATTTTTTTGCGAATACCTGAGTCATCCTCGTTCATCTTTGTTCACTCTCTCACCATATACTCGTGAATCGCATTCGAATGTTCGTCCAAAGCAAGTGCAAATTTGGCACGTACTTCTCTGCTTTTCGCGCATCCATGTATCTCCTACAGCTCGTTGCGCTTAGCGAGGCTGTCCCCAATGAGTTATGTCTCTACCTTGTGTCAAGGTCCTTGACACGTTCTTAAACAACGCTTTTCTCTTCTTTCCACTATACCATATCGACCAAGTAATTGACAGCCTTTTCAGCCCACCGAGCAACATCACCCAAATTGCCCAAGCCTACAATCGTACCTCATTCGAACGCGCTCTCTATGCAGCCGACTTGCTCCTCTAGAAGTCTCTACAACCACGGATACTACACATTTTCGCCCTAGCGGACATTGATGTCCAAGCCTTCGGATCCGCGATATTCTCAATGGCTTCTGCCGAAGTTGGCAAAATTATGGCTTATAATCTTATCGAAAGTTTTGTTCTCTACTCCAGTAAATTTACTATCAACAGTAAAATTCAGGCCAAGGAAGGTGGCATTATTACCGTCTTGCACTCTGGCAATAATATCTATATCAACTCCTAGGAAAGGTTTAATCTGGTCTAAAGGTTCTTGTTTCTACTGTAGCAGGGCTCAATTGGCGATTCCTGCGCTGTCTGCGCTCTCGGCGCGAACGGCGCGAAAGGCGCAAAACGTGTAAGGGGGAGAAAATCTGGCCCAAAATTACCTTCCATTGATCCCAAAAGAGAGACTCTCTTTTGCAGTAACATGTGCATGTCGAATAATCACCCCATGTTTTTTCACTTGCACGTCCCAAGTCAGCATATGCAACAAGGCTGTTTGTCACAGCTCTCGATGAATCTTCTCAGCTAACTTATGATAAGGCATTCCTGGTAATCATTAAAGATGGCATCATCCGCTGGAAAGTCCTCTATCTTATTCTCCTGACAATAGAAATATGACTTCTTGCCGGAAGCCTCTCACTCCATACTCCAGAATCTTGGATCTTGGTTCTCGTCTTTTACATCCAGCATTACAACAGGGATGATCTGGTTTTTTGAAGCTAATCGTGGTATATTCCAAGTCGAGAACGAGCGGATATCCGTAATATACGTTGGTAACTCGCAAGTTTGAACTTCCTCTTTTGCCAAGACCAGATCCTGCTTTCATCAAAGCTTGAGTCGCTGAATTAGTAGATATTCGGCATACACAAGGGAACAACGTACAACATAGCGAAAACCTGGAAGTTCTAGATCAGTCTTATCGGCAAATTCGTCTTCAGGCAAATTCTGCTCCTCTCCTTCAGCGAGCAGCTTATCACGACGTCGATTCTCGCGGACATAATAAATGCGTAGCAACGTGAGGAAGATCCCTGCAAGGCGTCAGTTATCAAGTCTTTGTAGGTGAAGACAAAATGACCTTGAAGAATGATGCAGATGATGTCTGCAATGAAAACCGAGCGATAGGCCGGTGCCTCGCCGGTTTTCACCATGAATGGTCCACTGATATTTCCGAGAGCGTAGCCGAAGAAGGCGTAAGAGGATAAGGTGATACGTTTTGAGTATCCCGAGCTGTTGACGCCTGGAAGTGAAAGGCAGATGAAGAGAGATGTAGCGAATGGTGGAAAGAGATATACTGTTTTGATCGCGTTAGCATGTCTTTTCGCCCAAGTATCGCTAAGGGACGTACCTCCTACCAACAGACCCGCCACATTGGATCGAGGCAAGACAATCTGCAATAGCAAACCGATGAAAGTTGGGACGAGCATGCCAATGCAAACATAGATCCTTGCATTTGGGAGCCTTGCAGCGAGCCAGCCCCCAAATAAGATACACACCATATTGATGAAGCCTTGGGGTATATATATCAAAGTAGACTGGAGCGAAGTAAAGCCAAAGCTTTTGATTGTAAGCGTCCCGAATGCGCCGAAGCCACCGCTAGAACAGTTTAACGAGGATCCTTAAAGTGGTAGCTAGAAAGATGCTTGACCTACTTCAGGACTTCATTGCAGAAGACTGTAAGAAATAGCAAAAGCCCTTGAGGATCCTTCACTGGATTGAGGGCCTCTACTGCCTGCTCCATTTGAATTCACGATTCAAGATGCCAGTGTTATTAGCGCGGATACGATGTACTGCCAGAACTCGCTCATTCTCAGTCAAGAACCCAGCCCGCATGGGTGACGCAGGAAGGAGAAGCGTCACAAGGGTACCCCAAAAAACTGTTATAAGACCATTCATGATGAAGATCCATTTCCAACCCGGAACCCCAGCATTCACATGTCCCATACCAAAAGCGATGATGCCGCCCACCATGGAACCAAACCCATTGGCGCAAGCCCATACACCAGTTCGCAAGACCTGCTCCTGTCGAGTGTAATACATTCCATTGATAAGGATGAAAGTAGGGGTAATGAGAGACTCGAAACCACCAAGGACAAAACGGAGGACACCCATGCCAGCAAAGTTGCGGGCGCCAGCAGTAGCGATGAGCACACAGCCCCAAGCTACGATAGCTAGACCAACAAAACGACCCATTGGGAATTTTTGAGAAAGCAATGTCGTGGGATATTCGCAGACCAAGTAACCAAAATAGAATAATGAAGCAAGCCATGAACTGTGATTTTAAGTCAGAGAATGCTTTCGAAGAGATCTCTTTGCACCTACTATTCCTTACCCACTAGTCCAAGATCACTGCTTAGTGTGAAGACGCTAGCATAACCCAGACAACTTTTGTCGATACATTGTAGGGCGTAGGTTCCAAACAGAAGCGGAAGGAGACGTTTGTCGATCTTGCGTACGAGGGCTTTGTAATCCGCGTCTGTAGCTAAGGAGGCAATCAACCCAACGTCATGCTCGCCGAGAAACTTTTCGCAGTTAACACAATACAGGAAGCATATATCTAATCAATGCTTACCTTCCCAGCTTCATCCTCATCTTGCTGAACTTTGCGAATCTCATCATCGTCCTGAACCTCGATCGGGGCGGGGAGGACAGTATCCTCGAGTTCCTTGCTTTTTGTTGCCATTTTGTCTCTTGCAAAGAAATGAGAGCAGGGTCTTAGGGTACTTCTGCAACTGTGGTCTATCGGGATATACAATACTGCTTCGCCAAGTACAAGTGTGCCAAAGGTGGGATAGAAATCAACCACACGCACTAACATATGTCGCGATAACAGTCTACAAAAACGTATCTATCGCACAGAGCACGAACAGCACCTTGCTGCGGCTCGATGGATACTTTGTAAACCATTGGATCAAGGTTGGTAGAAATACAAACATTTGGCACCTGCTTCCGAACCTACGTTCCAGACCCGACAGAGTGGAGTTGGCCTGAACCGTACCATGTTGAAATTCCGTATATGGTATCTGACCCGTTATCACATAAGATTGTACTGTCTGAAAGGATTGGATAGTTGAAATTGGTGGGATTTTCGGTGACTTGGCTGGCTGCCAGACATCCCACCTCCGTGGATCAGGGGATATTCAACGCCCACTTACCACATGGCCACCACAGACTCAAGGATGAAGAGGACCTCTCCGATCCGGAAATATACCCAGATAAAACATCAATTAATGAAATCTATTCTTCGCAGTAAGCAGTATATTGAAGCATAACACTATTGAGCCAGCCTCAAAGATCGGTCTAGCAAAGATCGAAAACATGGGGAACGCCCTTTCACAACCAGCACCACAGGCACCGACCTCCAAAGATAGAATTATATGGCATCCACTCCAGATTGAAGAGCATCCCATCGATGTCGCTCCGAAACTAAAAGTCATCGTTGTCGGCGCGGGGATCGCAGGAATCAATGCAGCCATTCTTCTCCCGGTGAAAGTGCCCGGTATAGAGCTCGTGATCTACGAACGCGAATCCGATATAGTACGTTGTTCCCAAGATCTTTAAAGTCCCAAACTCACAACCGTGCAAGGGAGGAGTATGGCACCAATGCACCTACCCCGGAGTACGTTGCGACGTCCCATCCCACGTTTATCAGTCAACATTCTCCCCTTCACGAGATTGGTCCGAGCACTACGCTGCAGGTACGGAGATTAAGTCATACTGGCATCAAGTAACGACCAAGTACGATACGTGGAAATACATGCGATGCGACCATGAAGTTCAGTCCGCTATATGGATTGAGGAGAAGACGAAGTGGGTTGTAACCATCAAGCATAGCAACACTGAAATAGTCGATGAAGCGGACTGTGTGATCATGGCAATAGGGATCTTCAGCCATCCTACTTTGCCAAAATACCCCGGCATGGAGGATTATGAGGGTCATCTCTGCCATAGCTCGAGATGGGATGCAAACTTTGACCCGACTGGCAAGAGAGTTGCAGTCATTGGAAATGGGTCTTCTGGCTTGCAGCTTTTGCCTCAGTTGCAGAAGGTTGCTGCTAGAATTGATCACTATGCGAGAAGTCCAACTTGGGTTGGAGGAAGTTTTGGTCCCAAGGTGAGCGCAAGTGAGAATGCAGTTAGCCATGACCTGCGATCAAGTTTTGCAAACCCAGAGACATACCTGCGATACAGAAAGGGACTGGAGAGTCCATCCTTCACCGGATTTGGCGCAATCACTAAAGACGGAATGAATTCAAAACTGAACAGAGAGAAGTTTCACGAGGAAATGAAAGCAAGACTTGGAGACCGTACGGACCTCTTGGAAGCAATTGAGCCTGACTTCTCTCCAAGTTGCAGGAGACTCACTCCTGGCCCAGGCTACCTTGAAGCACTTACACAACCGAACGTCGATGACATCACATCCACAATCGAGAGGTTCACCAAGAACGGCATCAGAACAGCCGATGGTAAAGAAAGAAAGGTCGATGCCATCATCTGTTGCACCGGATCCGAGAAGTCGTTCGCCCCTCCATTCCCAGTCATGAGAGAAGGAATTGATCTCTCCTCTGCCTGGAAGCCCGGTAGAAGTATCGGATTCCCAAACACATATATGGGCATTGCAGCCCCTGGCTTCCCCAACCTCTTCTTCGTCAATGGTCCTACCGCTGCTGCAGCAACAGGTACCCTGCCATTTGCCACTGAGAATCAAATCACTCTGATCGCAAGAGTTCTACGAAAAATGCAAAGTCAAGGTATTCGGACGATTACTCCTTCCTTTCAAGCTACTGAAGATTTTCGAGCATACTGCGAAGCATATTTCCCGAGGACTGTACTGAGTGAGAATTGTAGTTCGTGGTTCAACGGTGGAATTAAGGGTGGAAGGGTGATTGCCAGCTGGCCTGGAAGTGGGCTGCATGCTAATGTTGTGAGGAGAGAGCCGAGATGGGAGGATTGGGAGTATACTTATCGGTCGTCTTCGGAGAATAGGTTTGCGTATTTCGGGAATGGATGGACACAGAAAGATGTTGAGGTCAGTCAGGAGGGTTTGGAAAAGTCGCAAGTTGACATGACACCGTACTTGCAATTGGATTCAGTGACTGGACGAGTAGATTTGAGGGGCTATCATGAGACTTGGTTTGACGTGTAAGTTGGGCCACAAACAACACGATAGAAATTTGTACCAAAAGGATCGCAAAGACTAACTCGAAGAGTTGGTCGGAAAACAGATCCTCTCGTTGATGTACTTGATTTCCAGATCTATCCCGAGATTCTTTCTTGACACATCTCTCCAAATTCTCAGAACACTCTCATTAGGCTTGAACTCTGGGGTACTACACCACGTTGCGCAAGCATTCGTTGGACTGGTCTTGTATGAAAACCAGTGCGGGCAATAACCACCAAACTCGGCACTTAGCCAAAGTTCTTTCAAAGCTGGCATAAAGGAGGCGGCTTTTCCGGCAGCTGTATAGAGATTATTCATATGCTCCGGAGAAGCTTTATGGCGGAAAAAGTTGTCGCGCTCACGAAGCCATTGTCCAGCTGGAGTAATGGGATTGTAATTGACGGTCAGTGAGGTGAAATGCGGCCAATGAGGAGCGAGTGAGTCGAAACTTGAGTTCCAGAAGAAATCGGCCCCAATGGTAATGTCGTCAAGATTTAGCTCTGTTAATTGCTGTGAAAATTTCCCAAGGTTTGTGCTTATGAGATCTCCACTGTTGGGCTCTGACAAAATGTTTGGTGGCATAAAGGATTGATCTTGTGGCGGTAGATTGTAGTAAGACAGATCTACCTTTTGGATTGAAGGAGGCCAACTTTTGATACTATTCGCGAATTCTGGGGACTTAACAGCGTTGCATATCATTTGGAGGAGGATCATGATCTTACCATTTCGAGCACCTTTTCGTAGCTCCAGATCATTTCTCTCGTTATCCCACAAGCGTAGTTTCAATGACCGTAGTTGTGGCGTTCTTGAAGCAATAGTAGAGCATGATGCAGGCCATGTGTGTCGAGGACCACTGCCATTGATATCCATCTCACTGATCGCAGGGACAAGGTGCAGTAGATGGTTAATGTCACCCGCAGTTTGAGAGCAGACAAACCGCAGATAAGATCTGTCAAACCTGCGATTAAGAAGGTCCTTAGGTCCGCCGATCAGCCTTCGCCTCCTGCGAGCCCTTGCGTCCATCTGACCAAGGCACGAGAGGTCACTGGGAGAATGCACCTTGACAGATAAGCTGACTCCCAGATCTGCAACATCGTCATCCTCCCAAGAACTGAGACTTTTAAAGAGTTGTTGGAGTGTCCGGGTGAAGACTTGATTGTTTCGCTCCTGGTCCTCATCACTTTCATATCTTCCGAACGCCACCTCATCATAAGCGTCCAGCACGACGTCGAGATTGATCCGACGGACATATTTTTGACGTTTCCTCTCTACAATGCGTCCAAACTCTTGGAGCCGAGTAGGCGTTAGATACAAGTTTGAGAATGTGTGCCGTTCCACGGATTTTTGCCACTCTTTGGACACGGTTGCATACATTGCAATGCGCGTAGGTTTCTGAATGTAGCCTGCGGGTTGGGGATCATCTGGGACCAGCAAATGGGAGATGATGAATGAGGTTACCTCAGAAGGCAAGGTAGCAGGCGACATTGCTGTGAACCCCGCGGCGGGCGCTCGAAAAGCTGGATAATTAATGTGATAAAGGTTATTTCGTCGTTTGCTACAGTCTTTGCCTTCAACTTCAATTGCCCCAACGGAGTTCAAGGATGCAAGAGGAATATTAGGATAGAAAGATTCTAGGAGTCCTAAAAGAATCGAGAAGTCACATTTTAAGTAGCCTGATTAGGCAAAGTGAAGGCTTACCTAAGGCTCCGACGGTGATTGCGGCGCAACAATCGCTTAGGCAGTCGTTTACTTCGTTTGACTCAATTTTGCTCATCAACAGCTCAATCCGAAAGGAGCATCAACCTAGACTTCAAGCCAAAAATAGACGACAACCATTTCGAGGTTAATATACACTTGCTCCTTCCTCAATTCTGTCTCAATTACCACTTATTATTCCTAGAGACGGCATCTACTCAACCCACACTACTGAACTAAGACCATCCTCGTTTGTGTATGTTCCTTGAGTCCCAACTTGCATTGACGCAATCAAAGGTCCCAACTTTCCCGAAACACTATCTCTCGCAATGATAGATATAGTTGAGCTCGTCTGCCCACCCACTGCAACCATGGTTCCAGCTTTATTGAAGTTGAAGCTCCTCGGGTAGAAAGCATGTGCACTGGTCGCTTCAATCCAAGAAACAGTTCCTGTTGCAGGATCAATCGAATAAGTGGCTAAAGAGTCCGTCTGATTCCCGAATAATTTATCATTGCGGTTGGCAGCATAGAGGAAGTTGCCAACGATGTGAACCTCGGCCGCTTTGGCTGGGTATGAGGCGCCTTCATAAACTGTTGCAGCTGGAATCTTGCCTCCAGCAAAAGTGCTTATTGTTTGCGTCCTGTTGAGACTCAAACAGCCCGCACCGTATGTCACACTCCAGCCTGTGACGGAATTGCCAAGTTCATTGACAGTGTAAAGCCTAAGGCCATCTGGAGAGGATGTGTTGCCTTTTGGGCTCCACCATTCTCCATGTCGTGGGCCGTCACCTGGGGCTGTCTGAGCATCGGGACATGCGTTAAGGTGGCCACTGGCTGCATTGATGGCGAAAATGTGAATTACATCGGCGCCGAGATCAGGCACAATGAGGAATTTTCCAGTGGGGTCAAGAAGCGCTTGGTGCGGATGGGGTCCGTCTTTTTGACGATCATTCGGCCCAGGACTAGCCATGTAGAAGGTCTCCATCTGGTGAGGAACTGTGTATGGACGATCAGGACCGGCTTTCAGAGGTAGAGCGTAAGTCGTGAGTGTTGAGGGAGTACTATTAAGATGTTAGATTTGACATGCAGAGGAAATCAGTGGAACTCACTATTCGACGGTTGCCATGTAGCTCCTTCCACTGGGACCTCCGTACAGCACTCCATGCACATCATTTCCACTAGTCTTTGCCTGCCCATTGACAATGAGTGAACCGTCGCTAGACACGTTATACTCGGCCATTGTTCCGTACCCTTGCCATGATTCATCCCAACAGTAAAGCTTCTTTGTGTCGGCGTAGTATTGTAGCCAAGTTGGCGTGGTACCACAGCCCCCAGTGGCGGATGTAATGGCAAGACTACCATTGTTACCTTGTGCATTCAACGACAGAGTAAAAAGTGCTCCACTGAAGTGAGATACCAAGAGGGTGGAGGTAGCCGCGAACGCTGTGGGAACTAAAGCAAGTCTAGCGAACAGAGCACAAATTATTGGAGACATGATGACTTGATCTTCGAGGATACTCTCACTGTGATGTTGCTGGGATCTTAAATTCCGAGCAGCTGGACGGACTATTTAAGCTTGACCGGTATGTTGGGTCGTGGGTTTTCGTCTGAGGTGTAACTTTCCCCGCAAACCTCTTATATTAGCCCTAAACGGCATTGTCCTCAAGTAAATCTTATTTTCAAATGAATAAAGTGCCATTAAAGAGAGCAATTATTGCTGGGTGGGGCCGTTCCTGGAGATCATATGCGGGTAATTAGGTTTTTGGCAGATCTCAGGTACCCGATGATCAACAACCAATAGCCGGCAGTACGGACTTCTGGTACTGGCCTGATGTTGATGTTTATAGATATATATCACTATACGACCATTCAAAAACAAAGAATTGGCTCAAAGGTCTTTCGCGCCCAGGATTGGAGAAAAGAACATATATTATCGGGTATTCCCACAGCCTGTTTCTAGCAGAACGAACGAGAAATCACTGCAGGTTATCGCGAGCCCCACAAACCGCATATTATTTATTGCATCATATCTTGAGCAAAAGAGGCAAACAGACTGAGTATCAATAGAGAGAAGAGCAGAAAGTTTCAAACTGTCCACACCTTCCAACAGCGCAATGCTCTCAGCCATCAATCTAGAGTCGCCGCTACCAATCCAGCCACACCGACTGCACCAAGTGCACCTATTCCAACCACTTTCTTAATGGTAATATCGGCAGGCAGCTTTTGATCCCACCTTTTCATCAGCTGCTTCAGGAGAAAGCTGGTGTCGGGGCTCTGGGTCTTCTGAAGCAAACTTTTGTAATTCTGCTCCAAGATCCTGTTTTTCTCATCCATTTCTTCCATCTCATCTTCAATGTCAGCTCGCTGGTCCTCAAGGGCTTGCTGCAGTGCTTCATTGTGAGATTGTCTCATTTGTTCCATTCTCCTCGAGACTTCTTTCATTCTCTGTCGAAGTTCCGAAAGCCTCTGCTTTTGACCCAGCTCGATGATCTGCCCAGCAGCTGTCTGTCCAAGGCTGAGATGCATTTCGCCTAGTTCTTCTTGAATCTGAAGATAGTCTGGAGTGAGGTTCAACATCTGGCCGACAATCCCTGTTGCAGAAGCCTGCGTATTGAAATACTTTGAGTACCTGCAGCCAAGTCTCTCCATGTGGGCCCAGAACTTCTCACGAAGCTCCGCCTCACGTCCCTCAACAGCATCCACAGCCTCGCAATCGTCATCCCATTTTGTTGTTACCAGTCGAACATTGGACAGGTACTTCTCGCCACATAACGAAAAAAAGAGATCGATGTTCCTTTTCTCCGATCCTTTCATTTTCTTCTCGTGAATGTCCCGAAGGTACAACACCCCTGTCAGCTTTTGATTCTCTTCATACCTGATTTGATTAGTAAGTCATAACACTTGCTAGCAGATAACTGACATTTCGATCAGATATGACGATATTTTTCTCAGTACTTGGGCCTCCGTCAAGTATGTGTCGTCGAAGCCAGGAGTGTCGATCAAGGTCACGGGAACGCCGTTCAGAACCATGTGTTCGCATTCAGCATCTTCTGTTGTTGACTCCAGATCGCCTCCTGTCTCTCTGACTGGTCTTCCAGTGATTGTGTTGATGAACTGCACGTCTCAGTATACAAATAAGAATGATGAGATGGAAACTCACAGAGCTCTTTCCACTTCCTGTAGGGCCCATGATCCTATCATGTGTTATCACCATACTGATCATGAAAAGGCTCCTAGACTTACGCTATGAGGTTGATAGGAAAGGAATGGTAAGAGGTTATACGAATGGACTCAGGTTCCCTTCCTCCTTCTCCGAGTGGGATATGCTGCGGATCTTCTCGATGATTGCTACCGGCAAGTCCAATGCCATGTCTGAGACGATTCTCGACTCTCCGGTGGAGCTCAGTCGTTGAAAACGGGGCGCCAACAAGCCCTTCCAACTCGTCTGTGAGACTTCTAGTGAAAGACTGTTCGCCTGGTGCTGCTGCCTCACGTGAGAATCCGCAAGCACCCAAAAGCCACTTCTTTGTGCCAGCTCTCAGCCTTCTACTAGTCGGAGCACAATGGCAGCAGTCGAGGATGAGCAAGACATCGCAACTAGCATTTTCGAGTCTCCATTGAAGTCCGTCCCATAAGACGCTTGGTTCTTCTGCTCGTCTATTACTACGCATCATCAGTAATGTTCAGCGCTGCTGAATGAGTAATTTCGCATTACGAATTTGTTGTTATAAGGAAAAAAACTTTGGATCATACCAATGCCAGGTCATGCGACGGTTGTGTTGTCCAAGGCTGCCATGGCCCGCGTAGTAAATGATTAGAAGTGACCTAGGCTGATCAAAAGTCTCAAAAAATGATTCTAGCTCATGATCAAGGGTTTCGTTCGCCCTCTTAGATGGAATTCTCCAATAATGCACATCAAATCCATAGAGCCCGGTGAAAACCCAGCCAAGTCTTCCGACTTCTGGTGCAACGTCGAGATCATCATCTATCCAGCTCAAGCATAGAACATGGACCGAATTATAATGATGGTGTTGGTTTCTTGAGCCTTCCATGCTGGTCTCTTTCGAGATTGTCCGAAATTTAAGGTAAAGCGCATTGAATTGATAATTTGAAATAGTGCAAGAGCGATGTTTTAAGCAGGGAAAGTTGAGGTTCGATTGTGTGGTGCTGCACGATTTTTCAGCTGGAGCCTTGTTTGAAAGAACACCAATAACCAAGCCCCATGCTCGCGAGTTGCAGATACGGGCGTTTGCCACTTATCTCAAACCAGTAAGCGTAGCCTCGTAGCCAAATAGGAGACGAGATCCGGATAATCTCCTGCATCATTTGAGAGGGCATTTCAGGCACCAGTAAAGATTGGTATGCAGATCATCGAGCTTCAATGAAGAGGTGAGGATCGCGTACAATTGCCAATCGATCACGTATCACTGCATTGAAGTAACCAGCTGCCCACGCGACAAATCTTGACCTTGAGACCCTCATATTGTAGCAAAGGGTATCAACATCCTCACAAAGACCTCTGTAGAAGCCTCATTCTTCTGGAGACTTCGAATGTATTTGCATCAATCAGACTAGGCAATCGAGAACTCTCGCTAATCGCTCAGATTCCGAGCGTATTCTTTGCCGAGCCCCTTCTACTCCCGGAGTACTGTTTCCTTTGAGAGACCTCTTGGGAAACTGTAGAACTTTATGAGTACCTTGGTAGTGTCTTTTAAGACCGAAGAACGCTCCACAATCAAATTCTTTTGTGTCATATGTAGCTCCTTGCAAAGGTTTTGGCCAGCTTTGGGAATGCTACGCTTTGATGATGCGCGCGTCTTACATTTTCTTTTGGAAGAAGTTTGATATTCATATAGCTATTGCCCACAGATCTGACATTTCTGACTAGATCAGTGATAGAAGTCCCACGCCCAAGAAGTTCAGCTACCAAACCTGAGCGGCCAAGACGAAAAAAACGCGCCGCCGTTACGTGAAACTAAAGAGTTGTTTTCAAGCACGTCTTGTAAAATTCGAAATCTGGGATAACATTGTTCCAGCGTCTGTAAGACAATATCAAAGGTCGGATTAGGAAAAGACCAAGTTTCAAGATACAAAGAGTCATTCACGTTACTATTTCATCACCTCACCATACCTGCCAAACCATCTGTTACAGTTGGGACTTAGGCGACTTGTATTGTACCCCAAAATCTGGAACAAATAGGGTAATCTATTCCATTCTTATGGTACATATTCACTTTTGAATTTGCGCACTAGCGCTGCATCCCGCGACCTACTTAGGTACCTTTCTATCCTTCACTCAACACAGAATTTCTCCAGAACAACAACGAAAACAACAGAAATAAGTCTTGGCGTTCGAGACACTACCTAGGTATATCAACACGCATCAATCATCTTCGTCATCTTCGTATTTCGAGGATTATGGTTATGCCGGAGCCGGTGCGCATGGACTGGCCCAAAGTATCGAAGTAGATGACAATGTTTCAGGACAAGTCGGACATTTAGCTTCTCAAAATTTCGACGGGCTTACTAAATACAGTTACCCTTACAACCCATCAAAGGACTTCAAATTTGCTCAGTATGTATTCACCTTTATATCACCTCATGCAACGTAGCAGGATGAAGGCTCTGGCCCTTCTTCGTCATTGTGGATAGACGTTGTTTTAATACAGGTAACACAATGGTACTACCATTCAACTATACAACGAGATAGCTATAGACTCCAGTCGACCTCACTTGATATCTACTTCACATTCAAGAACGTGTTGCTTATAATAGCGGATTCATCGAGTCTACAAAGGACATTCTCCGAAGAGGATTCAGGGCCGTGCACCATAATAATATAATACCTGCTTCCACAATCCTCTGCCTAGGAGCGTCTGAACACTGAGATAACTCGACTATGATTTATTGCAGGGGTACGAAAAAACGTGAATTTTTTGAAAAACGTGGCTTGCGATTGAGTCATAATCAGACCCCTGTAAAGTAGAGAAAATTGACACCCTCGGAGGAACCTTCAACTTCGTACCTCAGTCAAAGGCACAAAGGTATTATCGTCATCGCAATCAAGCGCAGAACAACCGTACTCCTTGCTATAAAATGTCCTCGAGGGCAGAACAGGAGCGAAGCCGTGAAGAGGAAGTTAACGAACGTGCAGAACAGGAACGAAGACATGCGGAGGACGAGAACCATACGAGCCCCCTCGGTAGTGATACCTGGTCAAACGAGCCTCGCTATGAAAATATCTACAGGGCACGGCTCGACTTCGTACTTAATAAAGTGTCCGAAGCTGCCTTACAGGAACTTGTTTCTTCACTACGAAATGGTATGAGATGTACAATTTCAAGAAACTATGCGGCTGGAAACTTCAATCTTGTCAAAAAGATAGTTTTCGAAGATGATGTCCAATGGATTATTCGGATTCGTCTGCCGCCGTTATCGTACTTTATGGCCGATACACCAAGAGGGGAAGCAAGCTACAGCGAGACTGAAGTGCGGGGCAGCCGTGTCATATGTACAGAGAGAGATCTAGAATCACTGAAAAGTGAATTTCTGACGATGAAGTATCTTCGGTTCTATCTCCCATTCCCTGAAAAACGAACTCGAACTGAATTCGAAACAATGATAGAGCCAAGACCACTATTCCAATACCAAGAATTTATGCCTATTCTCTTCAAAACGACAATACCATCGGTTTCCCCTACATAATAATGGATTACATCCATGGCACCACAGCATTCCACCTCTCTGCTAAATTCGGCAATCCTTTGTCGATACCAGCTCGGTACCTTAATCACTACTATACTCAAGTTACCAAAATAACGAGAGAACTAGCTTCCCTACAATTTGCACTTATTGGATCGCTCACTGGAGACCCGGATTCTGTTACCATGGATGAAGTCAAGATTGGACCAATTGCCGAAACAGGCGAAGGCCCCTATGAAACAGCGCAGGACTTTTATACCAACTACCCAGCAGCAATAGCAGGTGCGCTGTACAGCGATCCTCAAGCTCCAGACTCAGGAGGGTGTGAGACGATTCGTCGCTTACCCGGTCTTCTCCAGACCTGTATTGAAGAAACATGTCCTCAGGAGGTGATATACAGCCTTACGAATTTAGAGATGGGTACCCACAACATTCTCGTGAACAACTCCTTCGACATCCTTGCAGTCATTGATTGGGATACTGTGATAGCAGCTCTGAGTGCTGTACGCCATCAGTTCCCATGGTGTATTGGTGGTGATCCTGGGATACCGGGGATTGGGCCAATAAAGGCGTTCGGGGAGTGGGAGGAGAGGCTAGAGATGTGTAGGGTGTTTGCGGCAATATCAGAGAGGAGTATCGATGAGGAAGTGAAGGATGGAAAGGAGCGATTATTCTCCGCTGCGAAGTTTTTCAGTAAGGAAGCCTTGGCCTTCAGGGCCCTGGCGTTCTTCAGAATTAAGCAAAGCTAGGTTGACGAGCAGTGGGTACCGGGATTGAATTAGCTTGAAAGATGTAATGCGACCGAGATTTTGAGCTGGTACGGAATGTGAAATCGAAGGACAGAGGGGGAGTTTTCTAGTAATCGGACGGTGTGTATGATATAATTGATGTATTATAGTAGTTTATCCCTAATGCCATGATCTTCCCACGCAATAGTCATTCTTCACGTCAAGATTCCTAAATCTGCTGAGGCAGATTAGCGAGATATTCTCGGTCATAGGCCAATGCGGTAAAGCTCGAGTCACAATAAAACGGTGGGATGTCCCTTTAAATCCCCTCTCTTTCCTTGCAAGATGTCAGAATCCAATCCTGACCTGTGCACGTATGAACGTCTTTTAGCATCGAAAAGAGTCCAGAACTAGCCACCGAAGGAATCTCTGACTTACCTTTCTAATTCTAAAAGTCGTATCCAAGGAGCCCAAACAGATCGCCCTTAATCTCACCTCCTGAGTTCACTTGCTCAGCCTGAATCAGGCTTGGCTCACCCACTGCTCAGGCTATAGCAGTAATGGCCCAGGTCCACAGACGGAAATGGAAAATGCTCTAGTCGAGATTCCGATATTTTATATGCTGTTACTTAGCAGCTATAACGCAATTATATCATGGGACATCTGTTTTCCAAAGCACTCGACACCTGTGAAGACAAATCATCCAATCAGGTTGCAGATTTGAAGCGAGCACGTGCTCTCATCTGCAGCCACCGGCCTTCACAACGCAGTCAAAGGCACTCACTTGCTTTCACGACCTTTTCAAATCATCAGAGCACATCTTGAATAGCTTCCTCGAGAAGCAAAATGTCAAACAAGTACGATGCCTGTCAACTTGACAGGTCAACGGCTCAAATACGCCTCATTCACCTACAGCCTCGCCTTGCTAGCGGCCAAATTAGATGCTCTTTGCATCTGGCAGAGTTGGGAGATCAGAATTGCCTTTACGAAGCTCTTTCCTACGAGTGGGCCCCTCCAGATACCAGTCTATATTCAATCATACTTGATGACAAAGAATATACTATTCGCTGGAATCTACATTCGGCTCTCTGGCATCTGCGGGATGAACAAAAGGAGAGAATATTGTGGATCGATGCACTGTGCATTGATCAGGACAATGAGAAGGAAAGGAATCACCAGGTCCGTGTTCATTCTTTTTCATAAGTTTCAAGTTTCATAGGGGAGTTGAGGCTTCATGCGATAAAAAGAACATGTTCCTAAGCTTTGACAGGTATCACAAATGGGCACTATTTATAATCGTGCCACTCGAGTTATTGCTTGGCTTGCTTTTGAGGGGGCCACAAGCAGCATTGAAGACAGGGCTTTTGAAGATGAAATCGCGAGCGCCTTCCCCTTTATCGGCCTCTATGGCAAAGAGGCCAAGGATTCTATAGCGGGTACTGTTTCTCTCATTTCATCAACTATCAACGAACAAGGCTCTCTTGGTTATCTCAAAGCAGGGAGAGATGCTTGTAGAACTACACTAAAGCTCTTCAAACAAACCTATTGGACCAGGTTGTGGATCATACAGGAGATTGTCCTTGCTCGCCGAATACTGGTGTGTTTCAACAGTCATCAGCTCGAATGGGACGATCTGGTTCATTTCTGTTTCTTCCCTCCTAACCTTGGATCTGGGAATTCAGGCAATCTCAGCTCTTACTCCGTATTGTGCAGACTTAAGGATACAACTGCATCGAATATATTGGAACATAGAGGGGCGACTTCCCCACTCGCTCCCATTGACAGCGCCAGTAATGATTTCGGTTCGAGTACTGTTAAGAACTACCACCGTACCTTATTTGGTCTGTTTGAACGCTACGGAAGCTCCTCTTGTGCTGATATCCGCGATAAGGTCTTCGGCCTAAGAAGTTTGAGTCTGCCTTGTTGTCAGTCTAGTCTACCTGTGGACTACTCGAAAAGTGGGGCAAAGATCTATGCGTCGCTATTGAATCACTCTTTCTCTCCACATCGACATGAGATGATGGCTGTCAGCAAGCAGTCTCGAAAATTCTACCACAAACTCAGGGAGGGGTCCATGCTCTTCGGTTTCGATAACGTTCTGCCAAATATCGGACCTCTGAACCAGCTCGAGCGTCCAATTTTGCCTTATATTGGTATGAATTCGGTTGTAGGTCTTGAGTGTAGAGCAGTTGGGCTTTGGACTTGGATGAATGGGCGTGACTTTGGTAATGTTGTAGTTGAGGAGGAGGTATTGTTAGAAAGGGTTGATGGAAGCCTTTGCACAAAGACTGGATTCTTGGAGATGAACAAGTGGGAACAGGGGAGCTCCCAACAAAAACGTGGCTCTAATGGAGTACTGTTCCAAATCAACAACTTGGAATTTCTTCTCGTGCCTCACAGATATCCTTCGCAAATTCAGAGAATAGTGAGCGAGGATCCCAAGAAAGGAGGTGCGCTTGAGCAATGGTCCAGAAGAGGATGGAATAGGAGAGAGACCCCCATGTGGCTTAACGATCCGACGTTCAAAGGTGTTTGCCAGCTTGCATTCACAACTTGCTTTTGGTGCCCTCTAGCGGAGGTCTCAAGATTCATGCCAGACTTGAAGTCTTCAATGGTCAATGAGCCACGGGACTCGGGACATTTGAAACAGGTGGAAGGCGTATGGCCTACTCCAGAAATTCTGAGCTTCGTCAAACGTTTCATCCTGAGTCGCGGCTAAACCCTGCATTGTCTGACAGGTGGGAGACTGCAATCTCTCAGAAATAGAGACTCTTCTCCAGTTTCTTCAACTAAGACATTCCCGCTACATAAGACTATTAGTTTATGATTGCCGCACTATCGTACTACGAGGAGAAGTCATGACATAAAGGGCAAATGCATGATAATATCATAATACGAAGAATCTGAGATGCAAAAGAATCTTGGATTTGCTATGCCTGCACCACTCTTAGCTCGCTCAGCTAGCTCTTGCATCTGCGCTTGATACACTATCTGAATGCACCGACTCTCTGACAGCACCAGCTCTTTGTCTACATTGCAGTACCTCAGCACTATAGCAAAACTAATGAGAGACGAAGAGAAAGAGTAGTGGGGAGGAGCGGGACTTATTCTTAATAGCTGCTGAACTGTTCTAGCCTAATAACGAGCCTTGGATATTATGTCTGTGCTCTTCAGGGCATTTCTTTTCGGCTTGCGGAGACTTTTTAGCCTTACAGTAAAACCTCAATATAGCGATACCATTTTTAGTCTATTTTTGTAACGATATACCGTAATATCCTGAAATTTGATCCCTGTGATCCGGTGATTACCTCTTGATAGTGGTCAAACTTTCAAAAGTGTTAGGTATTTTAAATACATAAAACCTAATTTTGGTTTTGAAGTAGCTATTAATTTCGAATTGCAACAATTTTCTTTATAAATCATAATTTAGGGACTAAAACCCTTTATAATAATCGTTTAATAAAGAACATCGTTCAAATGTATTTAAATATAAGCGGGATTATTAATACTTTAATGATATTTGCGAATATTGTTATTTTGAGGATCGCTATATCGAGGTTTTACTGTATTAATTTCAAAAATCGCGACTATTGCTTCAAAAAAAACATAAGAACCACAAAGCAAAATTGTATGTAATATTGCATCTAAGCAACAAAATAGCCAAAGTAAACTATAACCTAATTAGTTTTCAAGCCTCATTTGAATTTTTCAACGCTAGTGAAATATTTGTTTGCTCCCCCTTATCTCTTCCACACTCACCCTCTATCACGATTCTTTTATTACGACTCTTTTATTACGCCCACTCCTCTATCACGCTCACTCCTCTATTACGCCTATTTTTTTATCACTCCTATTCCTCTATCCTTTTAAATAATATTAAAAACAAACAGTATTTTGCTAGCAGTGAGGTGGGCAGCAGTGAGGTGTACAAGCATAGCTAGGTAAGGTGAGTTAATCCGAACTACTGAATGAATGAATCATTTTTACCCTACTTAAGAAACTTTTTAAACAAATCCTTCCTTTTCACAAATTGCTAGACAAATCACAGTTTTTTTTACAAATTGTCAGACAAATCCTTCTTTTTTCCGTTTCTAATTAAAGGTCAGCCGTATTTGCCCTGTATATCTTAAGTTCCTCCCATAAGTTTCGCTATATATTTTGCTCGCTTTGCAAGGTACATTAGTCGTAAAGAAAGTCAAACATTGCTCTCCCAAGTTTCGAAGTTCAGGGCTTAATACACAATTTCTATGAATTAGGACCGGCAGGGACATCTTGTAAGGCACTGATTTTATTGTAAAGTAATGCTGCTCAATCGAATAATCATCACTTCAAAGGCAAGTCACAAGTAGCCCGGAATCTCAGCGCGCTTTTGGAAACGGTAATATTGGCAGTATATACTTTCTTCTACTCTATTTTGTTCAGAAAGACAGATGTTGAGACAAATAGAAATGAGGTGCACAAGGAGTAGCAGACGGAATGCTTAACTTTTTTATATGATAGAAGCTCTGGTGACGATATAAAGCGAGGCCGAAAAGCATAACCCAACCTGGGACCCCCACCTTTAGCATGTCCACAATGTAAATAATATCAAAGCTTCCTTACCAACTCTTCCCTCCTTTTAGATAATTTACGTACCAATCCCCAATTGACCTAGCCGTCGAGATCTTACCTTGACAGCTCTAGCTAGTTATGTAGAGAATGTGACACCTACAAGTGAAATAGAGCAGAGATCTCCTAGTTTCAACATATTCTACTCATTAGCAATAGTCGTAATGAGCAGTTTGGGTTCATATTCTCCGTGTCGTACTAGAGCTGAGAGTCTCTTACTCGGTAGCTCTATTTATCCAGAGACTCCCTAAGAATGTCGTGACAATTAAACTGTCAAACATCTTGATGCCTACCTCTCTCATGCCTGCTATATAACATGCTAACTCGCGAGCCTTTCTGAGTCCTTAAATTTGATTGAGGGTATAGTGCACACTAGTTTACTTGAAAGTAACTGGAAGGGCATGCAAGAAAGGCTAATTCAATGACAATAGACAAAATAAAGTGAAGACAACAAATTCATTAAGATTATATAAAGCTCCACATCCACACAAGCACCGCCTCCACAACCACGACTAGACATTACCAACAGCAACGACTGTTATTCAGCTATCCTAGATACCAGGAACAGTAAAATCATCAAACGGAGGCCAGTTCCCCAGCTCCGCCGGATCCCCACCAATCCTCACCCACTCCGCATACCCCGGCACTCCATTATCCAGCACGAACAACATATGCCATCCCGGCGGACAAACATGCGCGTTAGGCGGGACCGTTACTGTGCACTTATTACCATTGCAGGAATATGCTGGGAAGATAGTTCTTTGGCCCATGGAATTGCCGTGAGTCGACGCTACGGATGCCATTAGGGCGATCTTCATGTTCGCGAAATTCCCAGATGGGAGGAAGACGGTGAGCGTTGTGGTACCACCGTAAGCGATGTCTGTGGATGAGATAGTGTAGCTTGGAGGTGTCGCGCCAGTTAGCAGGTAGGGAGGGACGAAGACCTCGACTCTGTACTCTTGCGGGAATCGGACGTCTTCGGGGTCGGAGCCGGAGACTATGATCCTTCCATCTTGCATCAGCACAGCCTCGGAATGGTAGAGCCGAATGACAGTAGTGTTTGCCATAACACCCATGCGATTGTTCAGCGGCTTTGTTGGGTCGTAAAGGACGGCGTTGAGATTAGGTTCGGTGGCGAGACCGAAGCCGGCACGGCCCTGCTGGCCGCCGTTCATGATCATGTAGGTCCCATCCGGCAGGGCGCAAATGCTGGAAATGACTCGCTTGGATGGCTATTCTCGCTTATCAGTATGTGGATCTGCAGATGGGAGTGTGGGAAATACCATGCGCTCGATAGTCCAATTTGCATTAGCCACTTCAGGCTGAAGGGAAACGCAATTGTCGAGGGCGATCTCTGGGCCTGGAACCGAGCCACCGCAGATCATAACTGTAAGGGGAGCAGAATATGGTGCGTATTGAGGCATGAGAACTGCCGTTCCTTCGAATGGGTAAGTTCGTCCACCGAGGAAGTCGTTCACTGCTCCAGGGATGTTAGGAAGAACCTTCTGCGTCTGCAAAGTAACTTCGTTCAGGATCCGAGCTTCGTTGTAATAAGCGACCAAGATACCGCCGCTGGGTAATACTGCGAGGTAAGGATAGAGATTGTAGGGATCGGTGCGGTTCAGGTAGTCGCAATAAACGGTCCCAGAGCCAGAAGGCAATGGTAAGACCTCAAGGGAGGGAACGGGTGCACCATTCGACCCTTCCTCGCCACCAACAACGAGAATTGATCCATTAGCCATAGTCATGGCGCTGGGATACCATCTTCCTGCTTGAAGATGGAGTTCTACAACATTCTCTTGCCAGTCGTTGACGCCCCAGGTTCCTGGTTCTCCGTCTGGCCAATATAATCGTATTCCATAGGTAGCATCGTTGGCCCATCCGCCGATGTTGATCATCCTCCCGACCTTGTCTGGGAGAGTCAGACTCGCTGAGCAGAACACATCCGTCTTGACATGCAACGGCCGCCAAGCTGCTGTGAAATTATTCAAGAGCTTGAGATCAAGTTCATATGTGCCAGTAGAATTGTTCGCGGGCTCAGTACCGAACTGCGATCCCATTAGCGAGTGCTTCAAGGTCTTCTGCACACACACTGACCTTTTCCATGAACGTTATCTTGCCATTGACACCGGGTTGAGAGACAAGGGGAATTATGACACCTGTTGCTGGATGAGTTTCATACATGTAACGGAGAGGAATTTACTCACCGCCAATCAGGAACTGGTATTCGCCAGCAGAAATGCCAGTTGGAAAGTCCCAGCTCGTGAGTGGAGTTCCGATCCAGGTATAGTAAGATATCCTGCTTGGTCCACCACAGATGTACGAATCATTCCCAGAACATACCATATTGCATTCTATTTCAGCCATCAAAGTGGCATTGGCGTCAATGACATTTTGAGCGTCACCACAAACTAAAAAGAAAATGTTAAATTAACTTCTGCGATTGGTTAGGGGTAGTTGGCTTACAGCACTGCTCTCCATATTCCATGCCTCCTGCTCCATATCCAAATGTTTGGCATTGAGAGAGACAATTAGTGGCCGTATTGTTGTTCAGGAATTCTAGCTGATAGGGGAATGTCCGAATCACGGCGTTGTCACTGTGAATGAGGATCAGTCAGGACTTTGCAAGAGACGGGAAATTACTGACAGCAGACATCCAGTATAGTTCCAAAATCCAGGTAGACCAGTCAACTGAGTGTGTGGTACAGGTGTCACAACGAGAGTAGTTTTATTTGAGTAAATCGACATGCGATCTCCACCTCCACACATCTCAGCCGAGTTCCCACCACAAGCTGTGTTGCAATCGGTGTCAGCAGTAGCCAGAGCTGCTTGATTGATCAGAGCATTGCCGCAGTAGCATTGCGTGTAGTATTCCATGCCAGCAATGCTGAAACCCAGAGCAATACATTCCGCAACACAGCTCTCGACGGTGAGGGCTGAGTTGGAAGCTGCGGTTGTGCCAAGAATACGCCCAAAAGCTTGATCGATCCAACATCCTTCATACTTCCAACCCGTTGGTAGGCTGGTGATGACAGGTGCTGAACTTGTGGACGTGGTTGCGGTGCTCGTTCCAGAGGCAGACGCTGAAGATGTGCCTGAGCCAGCGCCAGATAAGGAATACATGCTCAGACGGTTGGGGCCTCCGCAAATCTCTGCTGCGTTGCCATTACAGGGCATAGTGCAGCCAGAGCTTTGCACTGCGCCATAGTTCTCGATCTTGCTATCACAATAGCACTCTCCGGCGTATTCAAGACCGGCGAGCGTAAATGAAGCGGCTTTACAGGCGGCTAAGCATAGGTCCACTGTCATGGAGGCCCCTGGAATACTGTAGATTTCTGTGGCGAGGGTACGAGAACCAACAGTGTCATTGTAGCATCCAATGGCACTCCATCCCGCTATCGTTGATGGCACAGCTGAGAACGTCGATGAGGCTGCAGTTGACGAAACAATACTTGTCGACGTGATGACTGTAGCAATGGCATTATTGTAATCCCAAAGACTGAGTCTGTTAGGCCCACCACAAATTTCCGATGAGTTTCCATTGCAAGCCATATCGCAACCAGCGGAACCGTCAGGGGCAGGACCGCCACCATTTGTGAAGGTGTTTGCACAGTCTGGGCAAGATCAGGATTGGCTCAAGATAGATAGATTCTTGGGTGGGATTCGAAGACTTACAACACTCGCCCGCATATTCGGTGCCCGAAAAGACATAACCAAGGCCTTGGCATGTCGAGGTACATATCTCGTTAGTCAAAGCAGCCTCTCCTCCGGTGGTACCAGGATTAACCGCCAGTGTGCGTGCCCCAACTTGGTCACTGCCAATATATGTTATTTTCTCGAACTCATACGGATGAATTGTATGCTGCACAATGTCGATCCCAATCAATCGGTATCAATGAAATGTCCCGAAGTGCGGATGCTCCCGGGCAACCAAATTCTTGGAAAACTTGGTTCTGCAAGCGCTAACCATCCTGACGGAGCCCAGTTCCGCTATCTTGTGAATTGCCACAAGATAATAGACTGTGGCTATAATCTCAGAAATTCCAGAAGATCGATGATGATAATGGATATTGCTGAAGGATTCGGGAACTTACACATAGCATCCGACATACGACCATGCTGCGGCTCTTGGTTGGACAGCTCGACTCCCTCGAGACGACCGACCCTCCACAAGTGCAAACTTACACCAAATTTCGTTAGCCAAGCTTCCAATCACATGCCTGGAAGAGGAAAACGTACAAGAGCGAGTGAGGCAATTGCCCAGGCGAGTTGAACGAGCGTTGCAGTCATGACTATACTCCCGTCGAAGACATGAGTAAGAAACACAGTGAACGCAGAAACACAAAGTCAAGCAGAGTAAATAAATTCTCTGTTCAACACCACCACGAGCCGCTCAGCGTGCGAAAACGGCCCATTGTCCCTCTCACGTGTTCTCACTTCTGACCAGCTCAGCCATATCTGCCACCGCTACTACTAGATTTCTCTAGTAAGCGGGAGTGGGGTGTTTGGTGCTCCCAATCAATAGTTCAGACGCCGACATGTTAATGTCCCTTGTCTGGTTGATCAATTGTCTGCACGCAAACAATCTAAATTTTGGTGCGGGTGAGGCTATACGAGGAACGAATTCGTGCAAGAGCATAGAAAGAAGCTTTCTTTACCCCTGGACAGGTACTGGATCATGCCATGCCTTCCATAACGAGACTGGCTCGGCACGGCTGACTGAGAAGCGGATGAAGGAACACTCTCGAGGCCCTTTCCGCAGCGGGCTGCAGTTGTCTAGACATTTGGTCGATGTAGCTGCTGCAGTGCAATATTGACTCGATGCAAGAGGATCCATCCGAAGGTCTGCGCTTACTGAGCCACTTCGGTTGTGCTGGCGGGACCCGAAGCAGATACTTGCATTTTGCTGATGAATACGACGTTGTAAGCTGCAAGATAGAGTATTGAGGTCGAGGAGGCTGACGCCGAGGAATGTATCATTGGTGGAACCTTGAGAAGTGACTGAGAATATTGCTCTGTGACTAAGAGAGCTTACCTGCAGCCTTGAGAGGGGGAGGCGAAAAGGTGAACGAGGGGGATGGACCAGGTGGATGAGTTTGTGTAACCAGCAAGGGACGTCGGAATAAGAATGTAGCTAACATCCCACTAAGCCTAGTGGTGTGGAGCACCTCCCCCTATTGGTGAGATACTAAGCGAGTTCGTGGGGAATGACGGGAACGATCCTCAATAGGAAGCTGGTAATGTTACATTGTAAACTTTAATATAGAGCGCGTGGATAATGTACAGTACATAATGATTGTGCATGTCAGCCACAGATGCTAAAGTCTAGCGCTAGCTGCCGTTGCGCCGTGTTCAGCATATGTGCCCTTCTCGCCAAAACCGATCGGCTTACGGCTGGCGGAAAGGCGGCGCGGGTGGGGCTTTTCTCAACTCACTGATACGAGGAGGCTTTGGTTTCCATTAAGAGGGAAAAGAAGTCTGTTTTCGTGGTGACAAAGTCTCAATAAATCGTGCGTGGAACGGATGGATGTCCGAAGAAGTGACCCAATCATTTCTCGTGAAGGTGGAAGGCACAGTACCATTATCGGTTATCGTGACTTTGGTAAGTGTGCATGATGTTTGGTACCACCCCGGACCTGTCAGCATGCCCCTGTGCAGTGTAGTATTCTAGCCATTTGCTGGCAGATGCGGCTGCAGGGCTTCGGCCTATACCCATGCTTGACAGTGTAAGCAGATCGAAAATAAAAACATCGAGACAAAATGTGAAGATAATCCGAGTGCGAACATGTACCTATCGATGATATTATTCCCAAATTCAAATCCAGGAGCTGCAGCCGTAAGGTACGCCCATATCCATTCACGCCATCCTGCCCAATCTAGAGTACTGTGTATCGACGAAATGGGATACGAGGCAATTAAGCAGATAAGTGTTTCGAACTTTGGTTCCTACTTTAATGTGCAGGGGAGCCGCAGGCGCCTTGACTCCACATCTTGACGCTTTTGACGTTCAGACCACGGTCGGTGCCATTGCCCCACGTGGGATACCAAAGATCAGTCGCGTTCCAAAATTCTCTTGGAGCAGAAAGGGATTTGTCTCCCCAGGGTTTGTTTCCAGTTTGGTCACTGTGACCAAAGTTAGCTTGGACCCTGATCGACAGATGCTCGATTTAGCTTACGGGAAAAATCCGTTTGTGCCTCCTACAGCCACATTCAGGATCAGATAGAATGCTTGATCAAATGGAGTGTTGTCTCGTCCGGTTTGGGACCAAGGATCATGAAGCGCCGAATTGTTGACGATGTCTTGTCCAAATTGCCCCTTGTTCCACATGTTACCACCTTCGAACGAGACAAAGACAACTTGCTATGGATTTCGATATTAGCTCGAGATACCGTCAAATACATAGGTGTCCACAAACCAGAAGGCGACTGTTTATGTACGTGAAGAGATACTTCTCGCTCCATTCCAATCCAAATGTATAATATTGGTCGCTATAATCAGTTCGGCGAACATTGTGTTTGCCATCTGTCCGCCAGAATGCATCCACTGCCGAGATTGGGCCCCAGTGCTGTGAGTGAAATTAGTTAATGTACCTCGAGATCCATTGAGTGCATACCAATGCTGAGATCAGACTATCTCGGCCGCCGACTTCCGCGTATGTGTCTCCATTATTACCTCTGGACTCTGCGATATCGATTTCGCCACTGGCAGGCCACTCTCCGTACACCGAATCTTCAGGCATCATCCTAGAGGAGAATCAATGTGACATCCGGCACAAAACCATATTCTCTTACCAGATTGCAGGCCAAAGCCAATCTCCTCTAGGCATTTTGGCTTGCTAGAATACTGTCAGCGCCAGGCTTCAAGGGGCTATTTTGATGTTCATGAATAGCGAGTGAAATATTCTTACCACTTCCACTCTACCGTAAGTGATTGTTTTCTTTCCTTTGGTCGTTAATCTTGCACTACGGATAGGATTGATGATATCTCCAGACGTGCTATTGCTGTAGATGGAGCACGAATTGTACGGATCTGGAGAGGTACAGACTCCCATTGTCGTCAAATTCAAAGTATAGCCATTCAAGATCTGGGCTTGTGTAATGGTTGTATCGTCGATAGTTCGTGTTGGAACGATGTGCAATCCTTCTGCATCGACGAACGCATTTCTTGGGTCGTTGGTCGTCCATTCAAATGATCCAGTCCTGCGTAGTTACCACAGTCAGCAATAACAGTATGATTGGGACTAGGAACTGACCCGAAACCGCCTCTCTGAATCTCATATCCCCAGATATCTGGATCAATCTTCTCAAAATTGTCTTCGAAGACCAAACAATACTATCGACATTAGAATGTCACTGATCGTCTATTTCAGGAGGAGCATACCTCAAAATTGGACACTGCTGAGTATGAAATATAGCACATGATGGCACCAAGACCAAATCCTACGAAGATTGCAACCCAGAAAATGATGGAGTCCCAAGTACGGCCAGATAGCTTTTTTCCTTTCTTGCCAGTTTTCCAAGCTTCGATCCATGGCTTTTCGTATCTTTGAGGCTGTTGTCAGCTCCTGTTAAAGGTTTAAATTTCAACAGAATTTCCTTACTCTCCAATCAATCGAGCACTCTTGAACCGACGCTGACGAGGAGCCGAAACGACTGAAGAGTGGTCAGAAAGCTGGAAGTGAGTTCTATTCCTCGAATTGGTCTTTACCATCAATTGAAGAAGCTTCTCCCGGCGTCGAGGATATTGGCTGAGGAGGGATTTCCGCAATAACGAGAGAGCTCCTGTAAGACATTGTGGATACTGTAAAGATATTTGCAAAGTCGAGAAAGTAAAAGCATGAGATCAGAAAAACCAGGCAAAATGATTGTCTCGTTTCTCACTTGTTTTAAACTTTGAACAACTTCAAACATGTGCAAAACCAGATAACACACACAAATTACTGATAAGAAAATTTACCATCTTGTTACCTGCATTGTCAATTCAGTGCAGCGACAGTGCAGCGAAAGCTATCAATATTGAGCCACACCTGCGGCATCCTTGGCGCTGCATTGTCCCCTCAAGGGTGTGGGTAAAAGGGATGCAGGGACTCCTGGTCATTGTCCCAAAGATGCTTGGCACTTGCGTCAAGGGATTTGGAAACAGTCGCACTCATGAGGCTGACTGAAGAACGCACACTGTTTCATTGTAACACGCCAGGAAGTAGCTCCGCAGAGATGCATCAGCAAGTACCGTCTCTGAAAGTAAGCAAGACATAGAAAACGGTGGTGTGATCGCGAATTTCTACGCTGGTAGGTGACTTCTCGTCCAAAAAGGTGACATATTCCGTCTGACAACGTCGGCCAGACAGAAACTTAATGAAAGATAAGGTGTGTGAGATCGCGGTGGGGAAGGCAACGTTCCTGACGGCCAGTGTCGCTGACGATCCCTTGAGACAACAGTATCGAGCATCTAAACCGAGTCAGCCCCCACTGTCTGCAGAATACGAGCGATACGCATGCCATGCATCGCGTGGGAGAACGGTGTCACTGTTGCTCTTGGTTCCGTTGCACCATGAGCAGCCTCAAATCCCGCAATGTACAATATACGAAGAAGGTTTGTTTGCTCCAGCTCGAAGAGGCAAGTGATGAATTTGGATCCGCGTACATGTAAGGTTACTAGCCTAAAGCGTGCTAGCGTCTTCGTCAAGCGCGCGGAAAATTAATAACGACAAACACAACGTCAATCCACACAGATCCATGGACAAAGGAAAGTTTCGTCTTCTTACCTTACCTTACCTTTACCCTTCTCACTCCCTTGCTTACCCAGGATGCTGCTCGTACCGAAAATCCGATTTAGGCGAAGGACGACAGGAAGGGTAGCACTTAACATACAGACAGTTCGAGAACATGTACCTTCGAGTCTTCCCGGCATGGCCATGACAAGGTTCTCTGCCCCACGAAGTCGTTGACTGGATCCAGTGAAGCCAAGTGAAGCTTCTAGGTCAGGCTGACTGCACTATCTCCGTAGCGCCATTCCCCGCCTGCAGTCCATATTCTTGTACATGTCAATTTCCAATATCCTTATCTGACAACGACACACCCCCATGGACGTGGAAGACCAGCGTGCGTCTTTTGAGTGGCGCGGAGGCCTCGAGGAGACCACCTTGTGGTTGCACAGATGTACTGTCCGAGCTGGGTACGAACTCTGGTTGAAGTCCCTCGTTGAGTGGACTAGAACCGGCCGAGGTGCAATGAGACTGCAGCATGTTAGGTCGTGGTTCCCGATCAGATCGCCAGTACTTATTGCTATTCTTATCTTCCAGCCTCTATTCGAATCAGACCCACACGTCTCCTACTCGGCCATGCGTGCATATGGAGCTCACGGGGTGGTCAGAGCTCGCCCATTATTTACCTGCACGAGCTAGCTCCCCAAGAAGTCAACATGCCCCAGAGATGATCTGTACCCTGGAGATGTGGCTCTGCCTGTGAATTAGTCTGCATCTACGGGCTCGGGCTGATCGATATCCCGTTCTTCTGGATCAGTCTTTTTCAGCTACGCCATGCATGTCAGGCCCCGGTTCTGGTTCCTCTGGAGCATATCCGTCTGAGCTAACACGGCCGATGTCGAGTCCCGGAAAACAGTTTCCAGCCTCCTCTCCACGTTGTATTTAATTTGTTTTTATTTTTGCGAATTGGTTCGCCGTGACATCTTTGCGGCTCCGGTCGACTATGATCCTCGTGGAGCTGTGAAAGTCTAAGAACTGCAATTGAAGACTGTTTCTCTTTGATTGATTGAGAGACTATGGCCACTGATCCTCCATCTTCGATGTCCGGGGCCGAAATGTCTGGTATGGGCCTGGTTCGTCCACCCATGATGGAACGACCGGGAAGCGTTGTTAGCACAGGATCAACTGGGAGTCGTGACAGGCATCTGTTGGTATGTTATCAAGTTTTGCAGCTCGAAGAATGTTTGACAGCAAAAACCCCAATGTCCCAGCATTTTTGGACAACCTCAACCACCAGCATTGAGAACTTATCAATGGTTGTAAGAATCCAAATATACTGACTTTTCGACTGAAAAATAGGTTGCCAAGTATCTCTACCGCCGGTGTGCTTCAGCGAAATGGCTTCAGCCTCCAGAAGACGAGGATGGACTAGTCGACGAGTCCTCGTGGATTGGCGTTGCTGTTCGAAATCCAGACGGGAACTATTCGACCGAGCCTCCCACCGCAGACCATGATATTTACAATGTGCTGCAAACTCTCAATTGCAAATGTGTATTTACCATGTCATCCGAGATAACCTCTGCACTGCTTGATCAGGTTGGTCCCTTTCAGACAGAGCTATCAGTGGCACCTAGAGGGCTCAAGATCAACATTGTCCAATCGATTCGACATCTAGCCTCTGGGAAATCCGTCGTTACCAGGAAATCATACGTCTGCATACTGCGAGAAGAGAGAATGGTGTTGGTCTGGAACGATTCTGTGGAGGGAATCTTGACACATGGCGCAGATATCGAGGGCATCTTGGTTGGTATTGTACGTATTTTGAACCACTCCGCAGAATGTCTATAACCTAACTGGAAACTCGTCAGATCTGGGGCTCACACATCGGAACGATGACTGCAACTTCACCTTACCATTCTTACTCGCCGCCAGTAGCACAAACACCGGGTGGCAATTCCGCACTTAGTTCTGATCCGGAACTGTCGGAAAAGATGGGTATCATCCAAGCTGCCATTTACCGTGAAGAGAACACAGATGCTCACTTCGATGTCGAGAAAGATGGCGCTACTCCGCCAGACCGCCCATTTCTGCTTCTTCATGCAGTCGTGGTTGGTGTGGCAATGACCCTTGTCGTATTCGTCGAGATGCTTTGTATTGCAAAGGTAAATATGGAAAATGCAGAATTTTGATGAAATTGCTAATTTTCGAAAGCTCATCGAAGAATTCCGATGGGATTCGGGGATGATCAGATTTGCGTTGGTATGGCTCCTTATAAATCTTTTCAGATAGAAAGCAGGTTGCTGACAAGTTTCGAATCAGGTTGCGGTTGTGCCGATCTTCGCAGTCTTCTCATTGGTACGTTCAAAAATGCTACACACCACCCAAAAAGTGGAACTAAATATCATTCAGTTCTTTATGGTAGTGATCGCTGGCTCATTGTTTCAATTGTTTGGCCCATTGACTTACGTCCGCGGCAATTCGAGATTTTACTCTGGTATGCGATGCTTTGAAGGCCTCCTGTTCCTCGCTAACTTTGCACAGCAAAACCTCCGAAGAGAGCGCGCTACCCGGATTTGGAACTACCACATATTACTATTCAGATGCCAGTATATAAGGAAGGTCTGAAAGGGTAAAGGATCAAACCTTTCCAAATCTTCAGAACTCAGCTGACACGTTGCTTTAGTGTCATCATGCCAAGCGTAGAGAGCTTGTTAAAAGCTATCAAGCACTATGAGGCACAAGGCGGATCCGCATCCATTTATGTCAATGAGGATGGTATGCAAGTCATCGCACCCGACCTTGCCGAGTAAGTTCGGATCCGATTATGGAGACCTTGGTCGCTAACCCTGTCTTAGAGCACGCAAGGCATACTATGAGATGCACGGCATTGGATATTGTTCTCGACCTGCACACACATACAAGAAAAAGAAGTGGTGGCAGCGAAGCAAGACCCATCCTGAAAACCGAGAAGGCTTTATCCGACGAGGTCAATTCAAGAAGGCCTCAAATATGAATTACTGCCTCGATTTCTCCATCAGAGTAGAGGATGAACTGCTTCGACTGATATCAGTTCTTTGCAACGAGACTGATCGAACTGACGAGGAATTGACTGTTGAGGAAGAGAACACTCTGTACCAAAAAGCTTTACAAACGTGCATAGATCAGGACGAGGGACGCACAATAGCTGGCGGCAATGTCCGAATCGGAGATATTATCCTGATCATTGACAGCGACACTCGAGTGGTACGTCTCCGACCGGGATCATCCCTAAGTAATGCTAACTGATCTCAGCCCGAAGACTGCTTGATCCTTGGTGCTTTAGAAATGCATGAAAGCCCAGAAGTTGCAATCCTACAGCATGCCTCTGGAGTCATGCAGGTCGCGCACAACGTTTTTGAAAACGGCAGTACGTAGTCCTCGTAGTCCTTAGTGGCTGTGCTGATCACAGATAGTCACCTATTTCACGAATCTTATCTACGTCTCGATTCAATTTGCTGTCGGAAATGGAGATTGTGCTCCTGTAGGCCTTTCACTCCGTCGAGGGAGCATGAACTAATTGGACGACAGTTTGTCGGTCACAACGCCTTCCTGCGCTGGAAAGCAATTCAAAGTGTGTCCTATCAAAGAGAAGAGAAAACAATTTTCTGGTCTGATGGTAAGTTCGAACTGGATCTGATGAACAGTCTCAGCTAACTTTGCATCAGATCATGGTACGCTTGGATTCAGCATACCGATAGCACGCTCGAGCTAATATGACCCAGTTTCCGAGGACTTCGATATGTCACTCAGACTCCAGATGAACGGGTTCATTGTCAGATTAGCAACCTACCACGAAGGAGGATTCAAGGAAGGTGTTTCTCTCACTGTCTACGACGAGCTGGCCCGATGGGAAAAGTATATTTACCCCACCTAATAATCATGCTTGATGCTAAACTGTGGCTCTCAGATACGCTTACGGGTGCAACGAACTGGTTTTCAACCCGCTCTATAAATGGTGGAAGGGACCCTTCACGCGCCTATTTTGGAGATTCCTGTTCAGCAACATCAAGATGACTTCCAAAATCACCATCCTCGCATACATTGGAACCTGTGAGGGCCTCTTTCTTCTTCCGTCCTAAGACTGTAGTACTGACGAAATGAATTCTAGACTACGCCATTGCATGCGCTGTCCCTCTTGCTCTCGCTAACTACGCCATGGTTGGATGGTTCGACGACAGTCTCGATCAGTTCTATCTCACATCGTGGAAGATCTTTGTAGGCATGGCAGTGATCTTCAATGTGCTGGTATGCTCCCACAATACGTTCTTCACTTCCCATTGTCCCTGCGTCCCTCTTCCAAACAAAATCTTTGACACTTTTCTTTGCATAGTCACCCCTCGCATTCGCCATGCTCCGCCACCGCCTCGGCCAGAAAGTCTTCTTCTGGTCCGTCGTCGAAACCGCGAAATGGACACCGATGTTCGTCCTCTTCTTCGGCGGCATATCTCTCCATCTCACAACCGCGATCCTCTGTCACTTCTTCAGCATAAACATGGAGTGGACTGCTACTGCGAAGGAGGTTGAAGCTAGTGGATTCAGAGTTGGACTGGACAAGATATTCAAGGATTTCAAGTACATGTATCTGGTTATCATCCCAATCATTGGAGGTGAGTGACTGCTTGAATGATAAGAAGCGCAGAGGATCAAGTTGACGATGAGATAGGAATGATTTATCTTGGCACATATGCGCCGAGAGGATGGCAGATTACGGACTTTACTGCTATAGTGCCGCTTGCTAACCAGATTGGCTGTCATGCTCTGCTCCCGGTATGTTTACAAATTTCTACTTCGATTAATTCTTCCTTCCATTTCTTTTACTGACAGCCTCACCGTTCGCGCTCGGGCTCGTGTAACCTTGCATTCCTTTCTCTTCTACTTCTGTGTTGATCAAATTGGTTCTCGATGCATGCGTGCGTGATGATGCATTTAGCTGGAGGCGCGTATTTAGACAGGATGTCATTTTCGATGGGCACGTACGTACACAGTGATGCAGATTGATATGAAACATGTTTTTAGGGGCGGAGGAATATGAAGTAATCAATTATCATTTTCCACATACTGCGTTCATATATCAATATGCTTCACTGCGGCTTTTGTCATGATTTGAAGAATACGTCAAGCTATAACTCGTCCGCCGTGTTTTAGTAGGCGGTCGTCGAAAGTTTCGGTGGTCGCATCCCCAGAGGTCTAGTGTCCATCCCCTGAACGGATCGGATCGCAACCTAATTTGGAATATTCTAAGAAAAAGCAGGAGCAGGGCGACATAATTCCATGTTTCCAATCCATTGATGTCACTCAGCTGAATCCAATGCTAAAACTTGCCATGTGATTCCCATTCCAACTCCAATGTCTCTGGCCCTTCTCAAGAATTGTCTGCTATCTATACACCATGAACCCGCTTCTATGTCTCAAAGACCCTTCCCCTCTAGATGTCCCAGATTGATATCCCACAAACAAACTCAATGATCTCACTGCTCCCATTTACTATCAAGGACCATCAAACTCACAATTTTTCATCCGGTTTTTTAACCCCAATAAACAGCGCCTCAGCCCTCGTCAAAACCTCTCCTCCAGGATCCTTGACTGTCGCGTGAACAAAGTACTTCCGCCCCACAACCTCCTTCAACTCAGCCGTAATCAGCACCGTCGACGGCGTCGGCACAGCCTTCACATAAGAAACATTCAAATACGCCGTCACCGTATTCCCCACCCCATCCAACGCGCCCCTAACTTTATTCTCATGCAACAATAACCCCATACTCTCATCCATAATCGTCGCAACCAGTCCCCCATGAGCAATCTTCGGATACCCGTTAACGGCATATCCTAAAGTCATGAGCGCATTAAGTTTATGGATGCGGTCCGAGGAAGAAGGTCGGGTGTAGAATATGAGACCGGATGAGAGGGTGGATTTGGTTTGGAGGGTTTCGGCGAAGAAGGCATCTTCGGTGCTGGGCTTCAGGTTGCGGGATTCCATGGGTTCGATGATGAGGTTGGGGTTGGAGAGGAGGTCGGCGCACCAGGGGATGGAGTTGAAGTGCGTTTTGTCTGCTTCCATGATTGCGGGGTTGGCAAAATTTGAGGTACGGAATTGGGAGCAGAGAATCTGACAAATTGATCACAATTTCGATTTGCGTTTCATCTCAGATGATTTGTCAATTGCGTCAATGAGTTACAAGAGAAGTTCTGCGTTCTGCACATTACCTAGGTAAGATCTTAGATATACCTCGGCAAAATACGCACGCTAACCCACTCGGGAAGCTTACAGGTCTCTCCCTTATCTTTTTAAGATCAATAACAATGTTTATCTTTTTTATGCTATGGCCAAGTTCAAGGATCGAGCTGATACCGAGATTCTGAAATTCAAGAGAGAGTAGACTTAGTTTGTTGATTTCCCCCTTGCTTTTGTAATATTTACCCCGCTTAAGCTTTCTTTAGATGGAGGGGACACAGTGTTGGAATCCTTCTTCGAGGATGCGATCTTTGGTTTGCACGAAAGCAATGAGATTGCATACTGCCTCCTTTCCCTTCACTCAGATCGCTTTTCCATTCCAATTTCGCAGCATGTGTCTGCAAGATGCCGCAAAAAAATCCTTTATATTATGTTGTCCATCTTTCAAAGTCTCGTCAGAGAAACATATTCCCGAATACGGCTAGCTCTTAGTACAAGTGTACCTTGCTAATCAGTTTCTTATTTATGACTTTCTTTAAGATCAAGATTAAAGCAAAAGAGAGAAATTAAGCAAAATATCAGAAGGCTCTGCCAAATACCTCAAGTCACTATAACATGTCAAATTGTCCATCTTTCGCGCTCCCACCAAACCGTCAGAGCATTTCGGATCGAACAAACAGAATGCAGCTAAAGAAGTCACCTGGCTGCATGAGTAGCTATTGCTTGTGATGGTATGTTACACAGTCCTTAAGCAGCGAATGGGATGTGGTTTCAAGCGAATATGCATGATGTGCCGCAATCCCCAAACAGGGCGGAGTGGCTGCGATGTCGTTGGGTTGAGAGCATTCGCTCCCTTTGCTTTCCAGATCCCGCAGAGGTCAACAGAAATGCAATAACCGGAGCCTGCTCCGCCTCGAAGCTCGCCACTGGAAGATAAGCCATAGTGCGGGGTAGCTAGAGCCCATGGTTGTCATTGGTGTAGGTCGACAGAGATATGGGAAGAGATCTGCTGAAGCTGAACCGCCATACTTCATTCCCCCAATTGCGAGTCCTCAGAGTGAGTTCGTACGGCACATCATGCGGTTTCGCTTATATAATTTTACATATATCCATTCGCGGACCACGACTGTACTTCAGCCCTATCCCGTTAGATCGGTCTAGACAGAGCAAGCTGCCAGGGAATGCAGCTTCTTGTGCCTCCCGCCTCCCGCAACTGCATGTCGGTACGGCTCAACCATCCGGCGCACATGTAGCCCAAGCAAGTTGTGAGCTATTCTTCCCGCTCTGATCCAGTGATCCTGTTGTCATTCAGCCATAAAAAGCCTCACTTCGGGATAGCCATCCTCAGCTATTCTGGAACCCCCCCTTCAGTCAGTTGGCATCGAAGCTCTGCAGTCGCTGTTGAGTATTCTCAGTCAGCCATGAGAAGCCTCACTGCAGCATAGCTATCCTCCGCTATATTGCAATCCCGTCCGTTCGTCAGCTGGCATTGAAGCTCTAAGCTCACTGGAGGATACTGTTGGCCACATCATGAGTCTCGAGCGCCTTTCAAGTTCTAGATTTCTCATGCTAGTAGCCTTGTTTACCTTTTAGAAGGTTTTGTGAGGACTCGGTATCTGAAGTCATGCATAGCAAATGGAGAATCCCGTCCATGGCTCGTAGCAGGTTCTGCACCTGGCCATAAACAGGAAGTTGCGTCCATGGTCGCATGCTACTTCCGCCAATATGTGCATCCCTTAGGTTCGATGAAACGGCATACCTGCACTCTTCAGTTTTGCATCACATCCGGTGCTGGCCAGGCCGAGCCGACTCAACCATCACGGGCATGTGGCAGCTCGCTGCGGCACAATGCGAGACCATAAGAACTGTTGGAAGGCCTTGAGCCATTCAATCTGCTCATGCTCACTTTTTGTGCTCTGCTGGAGCCTACAGAGCACCGCCATGACATCCATCGACGACCTCGCTAGGCGCTTGGAGCAGATTGACAGCACTTTCGACAAAGACACCCAACTGAAGCATTGGTCTTTTGAGAAGACGGAGAACAACTCTTTCGGTGTCACGGGCTCCACCGATTTCACCGTCTTCCTCTCCTTCGGTGAATGGCCGGAACTCGCAAAAGTCCCCGGCACGTCGGAGGACGACGTTGAAACCTCTTTCCCGAACCCGTTGCAAAATGCATTCAAGCAGGTCTTGGCCGCCGGCGAAGACCCAAAGGGGAAAACCTGCTTCATTGATCTGGCCACCTTGAACCCTGCGACCGACTTCTTCACGGAGGGCGGTGACGAGAGCGTTGCGACCGCCTTGCTCAACGCGGTTGACAAAATCGATCCGGAAATGAAGCCTGTCATTCGCATTGTGTGCGGCGACTGGAGTGATAATGCCCCTGAAACCTGGGGGTATGAGAATTCGGCCTGGAGAAAGATGTTTGAGGATATCTTTTGGAACGAGGGGAAGTCGCGCCTCCAGCACAACAAGAACGCAACTCTGTGGGTGGGCTACTATCGCCCGATTTTGGCAACGACTTCAGGCGGAGAGTAAGTCGACTTTCGTAGTTAGCAAAGTCCGTAACAGACTGACCATAGATCATAGGGCGTACGCTCCCACCGAGCAGTGGTTGAACGACCGACTCGACGACGTTGCGAAACTTGTCAAAGAATTGAATGAGCTCGTGACCGGTCTTCCCCAAGCGGATAAGCTCCTCAATATTACCAAGAACTTCGATCCAAAAGCTTATGTCGCCACTCTCCTCAAATCCAAGTATCTCCAGCAACACATCAGTTGGAATCACGGCAAGATTCTTGCCGTCAATGGTAAGACTATGATGACAGGTGGCGGTAACTACTGGAATGAGTACACGGGCCCAGTACACGATATCGTTGACCAACAAGCAAAGGTGACGGGCGAGGCTGCTATCTCCGCGCATCAGTGGTCGAATTACTTCTGGAAGTCAGTTGTTTCCGAGCTCTCCACATTCTTCGGCTGCTAATTTGGACTATCAGCTACCTCAATAAGATACCGAAGTCAGACAGCCAGTCATTTTATAGGTGTGCTAACCTGGGTGAGCCTCCCAAGTGGACGGAAGAGGAAGCGCCCCTCTCGCCAGCTTTCTCCACCAACGTCCCGTACGGCAACAAGAAGGTCTTGACGGTCTCACGAATTGGTGACTGGCATGGCAAGATGAAGGATGTGGAGTATCCCGTTGGCATCATCGACGGACTACGTGACGTTCTCTTGAACGGCGTGTATTTGAATTTCGGGACTGAAGGACCGCAAGTCCAGGGAACCATGGTGATCCTTATGTATGCCATCATGACTGAGGACGGTGAAGCGCTCCGGCACCTGACCGAAGCGGCGAAGAACTATAAGCGTGGTGTCGGCGTCTACATCAAGGACGTGGCTTCAGAAATCGCTAACACTTTTTCTTCGTGGTTTTCTTCCCCCAGCCGCCCCGCTGCGGTTTCGACCACAAAGGGCAGCTTCAGCCCTTATCACAGTCTCAACGTGAATCCGAACGCGTGGGCAAGCCGGTTTGCTCGGGTTTGCGCCATCGCTAACGCCAAGGAGAGCGTCATTCTGTGCCAACAACGGATCGCTTGCCCACCATACGGTGGGGACGATTCCAAGAAGTTGCTCAATGATTACATGCATCTGACAGAGCCCAATATATGGGACGGGTACCTCTGGCCATTCGGTAGGACCATATTTCCACTGCTCGGTGCTTAAGAATAGACCTGACTGTACCAGATCTCCTGATTGCGTTCGGCTACGCCTTGGCCAGGACCAGAAACACCAAGACCGGAGCGGCCAAGATCACGATTGTGTTGGCGACCCATCGCACCAAAAACGAGGGTGGAAAGCGCCCTGACTGGGAGGACGGCGCCTCCATCGGGGATCTAAGACGAAAGCTCAAGGCCGTCATGCGAGGCATGGCCTACCTGAACGGCGTGGCGGGCCCCCTCTCGGGTCTCTTCTCCAATCTCGCCGCCGCAGCAGATGTCTTCACCCACGTTGATCCAGTGCCCGAGAACCTGATCGACAAGGTCGTGGACGAAAACTTCGAAGTGAGACGAGCACTCGGTAACAACACGTACTATTACAATCACTGCAAGATTGTCTGCGTCGACGACAGATTGCTGTATGTGGGCAGCGACAATGCCTATCCTTGCTACAATGAGGAGCATGGCGCTTGGATCGAGGACGCTGCCGAGGTGGCTTCTTGGAAGAACAAGTTCTGGAACCAAATGTGGGCCAGGGCCACAGTTCCGGATAATGAGCCGGAGAAGAAACCAACCGTGCCAGAGTAGCTTTCTGGTACAGTCAATCCTGACAGAAGACACGTCGCTGAATTTGATGGAACCTTTCTTAGCTAGGTACACGTTGCTAGGGCTCCAGATTAGCTGTTCTTTTTGTTTTAGGTTTGGATAATGATTTTACGACCTGTGTTTTGGAACTGTTTGCTATTTCGTTGGCAAAAGGATTGGATGCAATGACTTGATTTTGGATTTGATTATGTCGGGCGTTTCATCTCAGTTGATTTATGATTAATTGCGACAATGAGTTACGAGAGAAATTCTATTCGTTTTGCGTGTTAGATATACCTCAGCAAAATACACACGCTAACTTACTCGGGAAGCTTACCCTCAACGACCTTTCCCCTGTCCTTTTGAGATCAAGCAAAACATCAAATCAAAACGCTCTACTAAATACCTCAAATCCCGAATTATCTCAAATAGTCCATCCTTTATAGTCCCGCCAATCTGTCAAAGCAGTACCAATCGTACAAACAGAATGCAGCCGAAGAAGTTGCCACGCTGCATGAGTAGCGATTGGTTGTGATGTTGGAGAATCATTCAAGTATCCTTCGTCAGAAAGCTTTAGTTTTGAGTAGCCTCTTCTTCTAGAATAGACCCAGAGTTCGTTGAAGTCTGTTCTTCTGCATTTCTCGGCTTCATAGCGCTTCCTTGGTCATGGATCGTGACAGGTATGCTGCCGATCTTATGATCATGAGAAGCGGCAGTGGAATGGGTGCCTTCAAGCGTGTCAGGACCCACTACAGTAGCAGCTGATGCCATTTGATCCTCTTCATGATGCTCAATTGCAGTTGTCCCCTCAGTACGCTCTGCCTTACCATGACTTGCTGCAGTGATGGCTGGTGTAACTTTGACCCCCTCATCATGTACAGCCGTAGCTTTGGACTCTTTCTCAGTCTCAGCTTCAGGTAATATTGGTCTTCCTAATCTCGGGTGATCTTGATCGGAGACATCCATGATGGCCAGAAGGTCGCCGATCTTGGTGACAGGAACAGTACTAGTCGTTTCAGTCCAATTTCCAAACCCGATCTCTTCGTGTGCTAAACGTTGCAACTGAAGTGTTTCGTTTGTGGCCCATTCCATGCGCTTGTAGAGATTTATGCCTCGGCGGCCTTGTATACAGTTGACAAGTGGCTCGAGGATAAGCGACAAAATTATGATGATGCCGCCAAGTGCGAAAAGTAGCGTCAAGCCGAGAATGCTGAAGGATGTATAGTCTGTACTTCTTATCATCTGCAACAAATGATTTAGTGAGGCCTGTGGAATGGCGGAAGAAGAAACTGACCTGTCTGCGACACTGTGCTTGATCTTGAGCATCCTGCGGTTTCGCGAGCCACGGATAAACGTCTTCGGTGAAGGGGCCTGCTGCTTGCTCCAACAGCGTTCTCTGAAGCAAGGATAGAGAAGCTTGCATCCAATGCTCCACTTCAAGCTCCCACTGATTGTTTGGTAAAGGACCTTGTATTCCTACCCCTAGCGAGTTTCTCGCGAGCAAAGCAGAGATGCCGAGACTAGCAACCACATCATCAATGTTCGTTGAGGCAAATCCAAACACCCCAATCACCGAAGTGAAATATGTGAAAGAGGTGTCCTGTGCTGCTGTCTTCCAAAGACCGTTCGTGACGTTCGGATTGGCAAAGTTTGAGTAGAAACCCAGCAGAGGAGTGCAGCCAGTTCCGTCACTTAGATTAGGATTGCAGAATTGGAATTGCTGAGTGCAGCCAAGGGCTCCCACTGGTTGATCTCGATAATAAAAAGACGCTGGGTCGGTATTTCCGGGAGCGCTCAAGGTTGTTGCAGCTTCAGTGTGTGCTGAATACAATGGGTCATCGACCGGGGCTAGGTATGCAATGTCGTTGGTGGAGAGAAAAAGAGTGTCGTATCGGCATCATCTCTTTGCAGCTCGGGGATGGGGTCAAAACCAGAATTGTTCAACGAGTCGAGGTAGTAGGTCACGATTCTGTAATGTCTATTAGCAAGACATTGAAGATCAACAGTAAGTGTACTCAATTCACGGTGTAATCTTGAGTGTTTTGAGATTGTGTTGTGATATTCAGATCGAGATAATTTGGATAGAAGTAGGTGTATGGATTCGGTACACTCAAATCCTCGGTGCCTGAAGTGCCATAGTAGTAATTCATGACCTGGCTCTCTACAGATCCGTCGGACCCGTTCTGCAGACTTGTGTATCCTTGTGTCTTGAGAGGAGAACAAGTGAGCACTGAACGATACGTGAAGCGATCCTCCTGGGGAGCATTGATTCCCAAATCAACATGGCTATCCAGCGGACCGGTGTCGAATTGAATGGCATCGCTTGCTTGTAAGCAAATTGATTGGTTAAAGGGGCAGGCCACTCCAGTTGACTTGTGATATGGCAGACTATGTTTGCTAAAGGTAGAACAATCCTGTGCTGTTACATTTATCTGGTAGCATTGCTGTGCATAATCCGTACTTGCAACGGCAAGCTGAACATAGTACGGAAGAAGACCACTGAATTGATCTGTAAACGAATCGTCAAGACCAGGATTGATGTAGCCACATTGTGGACTGGACAAGAGCACTTCGCTGCCGGTGGAAGTCGATATCTGCGACGAGAATACACTAGCAACATAGAATGCCCCGATATTCAGGAGACCCTGTGTTAACAATGGTATTACTCGGATGGCAATACTTTTTGCCTTTCCCCTCCAAGCAAATTGCATGCATATCAGCTTCCACACCCCGCGTAGACCCATCCCAGAATTGCGCAATATTGCTTGGCGCTGGTGATAGAGTCCATCTTGTTGAATATTCGAGGACAGGAGTTGATGCAAACCATAAGAGACAGTTCTGAATGTAGCGCCTCCAGTGACTGTCACGAACAGCGCCAAGAACGCAATCAGAAGACCACCATCTCGACGGGAGATTGTCAATGTAGCTCCACGTATTGATCCATATGACCAATTTGTCCAAGATACTAGGTGGACTCCATTCGCTGCAGTTGATTCCGTAAAGAATGCCGAACTCATGATACATGGACTCTCTGGTAACGCAGATTAGAATGGGTATGAAAGTCGCAGCTTGAAATCTCACTTTGGTAGAGCCTTGCAGCCCTATACTCCAATATGCTTCATGAATTGTCCAACGACATATTTGCTTTTCGATAGATAAGCTTCACTAAGGATCGACGAGACCAAAACTCATCGCAATGCAGATGGGGCCGAGAGCGAGGGGTCGAAACAAGGATTGTCCAGCCGCTTCTCTATCGACTCCAATGAAAACAGCACGCGCTACACCACATTTCCCACATCCGTTCCCCCCTCCCCTTTCTACCCCATCTTTTGAGCCTCCTAAATCAGCCCAGGTCATCGATTAAGGGATCAATAATAACATTCTGTTAGCAACTTATTACACGTTAATAAGATATTTCGTGCAACTAAGTATCAGTAGACGGAATACACCCAGTAAAAAGTTTTGTTCTAAGGATCGACAACCACCATATCTCTTCTTGGTCACTGACGCAGCCTTGTGTGCTGATAAGCCCCCCAAAAATCGAATCCTATCAATAGAGCTGCACGTCAACTCAGCTGCATATTGGAATGCGGCCCGCACCGCCAGTAAGTTCCACACTAAACCCACCCGAGTTCTCGCCTCACTATTTGATCCCAGATTAGGTAGGTTTCAGTTGGTAAAAGCATTCCATCGGCACAGCATTCACTAGAGGCCGTCACAGTAGGCGTGCTTTCCAAATATGGGCTGAGTCCAACATGGGAGACGCACCTTAACAAGGCTTACAACTGATCGCGATGCTTGGATGCGTTGACCGCCGAAGTCAGCGGTCTTGGTTGCTCTTTTTGGCGTCGGTTGTCCCAGCCTCGCGAACCGCAAAGATGAGTAAGTGCGCTTATACGGCTAGCCCTTAATGCCAAAGAGTAGAGGATTTGTCTGCTTTGATACTAACTAGAATAAAGCAGGAGTGAAAGTAAAAAAAGAAAAGCAAACAAATATTTCACTGACGCTGAAAACTTTAAATGAGGCTGGAACGCTTCCCCTTAAATTTCTCAAAGTCTACTCACTCCCCCTCACCCCCCCACCCCCTCACTCCTTTTCTTTTACTCATTCTCTTTCACTCTTCACTAATGTCAAATTATTAATTTATTTGAGGAATATGGGCATAAGTGTTGTCGGCACGTGCATATTTAGACCTAGTATCAGCTGGATAAGAAGAAAAATGAGATACCATGGGGAACTTTTTACCACGAACTATTTTCGGACGAAAATTTTTTATTTATTGCTTGGAAGGACAATGTTTAGTGCTTTTCATGACTACTATTGCTAAACAGCTGGAATTGGTAGATAAACTAAGGAAGCGACCTTTTGAAATCTTAATATTTACCAAGACAGCAAAAAAGTTCTTTGGGAATGAGCTTAGGAAGCTCTTACCCGTCCCAATATTCGACGATAAGTACAATAATAAAATGAATTTAGTCGATTAGGGTAATCAATTAAAGGCAGAATATTCCATACAAAGACTTCACCGTACGGGAGGACATTACTCACTTATCACCTAGCTACTCGAAACAGCATTTTTCAACGCCTACTAATTGAGTTTTTATTCTCTTGTTCTAAAGCACCTTAAATACACTAATCATAAGGCTTTTTATTAGGCTATTATTAACAGGACTTTTAAGATTGGGAGATTAGTTAAACGGAAAAGAAGGAGGTCTTCTAGCAATATTAAAGAGAAACTTATACAGGAGCTTCCTATCGAAGCTTATAGGTTAATTCATAGGGGAAGGCGGGGAGATTGTGCAGTGTGTAAGCAGGATCGGACCAAAAAGCAGCACCGCACCGCACTAGGCGAGGTATCAGGGAACAGTAGGGCTCTGAGGTACAGGAAAGTTAGTGTTTATGGTTGCTCTGTGTGTGATATTGCTCTCTGCAAAGAAGGATCATGTTTTACAGTCACTTGCGAAATCAGTGTCCGCGCTATACACTCTTAGATTTATTCAAGCCCCACATTGCCAAGACGCTGCTCGTGCCATTAGTATGATTAGAGCTAGCGACTTTTACTTTCAGTCTGCACTAGAGTATATCGGGTTAGGGGTTTCTTGTCATCATGTTGTAGCCTGACGCCGTCTCTGGAGTCAGCATGAATCACCGACGTCAAATCACTTCTCGTCGAACATACTCGCACCATTTCACCCTTTGGACGAAGAGAAATAACACCGTGGAAGAGAACGACTAAATAATCACATCAAGCAACGACTCTCGATATGGACCCGGCAACATCACAGAAGTCAACCTCGCAATTATCAGGAAGTTCGAAGGTTGACAAAGTACTAGAAGCAGCCAAGTCCCAATGGAATGCGGCTAATATAAAGGCTTTGTCACTCGAAGTCTGTCAAAAGCCGAGGTCGGGAGAGGTGGCAGACAGATATCTACGGGAATTTGAAGTGGCAGAGTGCTGAACTTCTCGAGATTTATTATTGCTCCTCTCACCTTCTAACTTTTGAGTTGTTTGCAATATAATTTACCTTTAATATACCTATCTACGATGATTTATGAGGTTCTTTTCTTCTCAAACAAACTGAATAGTAAAGACTGTATGTAGGTTTTATCCAACTCTCTTCATGCTCTTCCGTCACGCAAGTTGACACTTATGCGTCACATGACTCCATCCCTTTCAACGCCTTTCTCAATCGCAAGTGCAAGAGAATGGACTTCAGTTGACCAATAGGCATACATGTACTATTTCAATGAATTACCAAACCAACAGTGCACCAGTGAAAAAGCCTGATACAGTACTTGACCGACATGACTCTCGGTCTACATCCCAACCCGATCGGCGCAGCACTTCGGCTACAACCGGGGCTATGTCGTTTCAATTCGTCGACAGGAGAATGTGACCAGCTGGCCTGCATGAGGCCATTGTTGGTTGGAACGAAGAGGCAGCCTCGTGGCTTCGGACGCTTGATAAGAAGCGGTGGACGACCTGCTGATTGTTTGTCATGTAAAATTACAGATACTGTAAGTTTCAATCATCTCCGATTGCTACTCCTTCTATCTTTTATGCGCTAACAAACCCACATACACCAGAACTCACTTCGACGACGACATATAAACGCAACTCAACGATATCAGCCACCACGTTGGATAGTGTTATTCCTCCAAACGCGCGCCCCCCCTCACGCCAACAACAGGTACTGCGATCGGAACAACACTCTCCTTGCGCGAACTATCAGTACATTCCTAATATGGAGCATACAACCACAATCAACAGCCTATCAAAAATGGAAGCATTTGTATTGTTGAAGAAGTATGGCCCAGAAGCCTTGCTCAAAGCGGTATCAAAGAACTATGTTGGGTTGGCGCAAACAATCTCGGGCGTATTTACAGACCACAATGCGAGGCAGACCTTTGAAGAGCAACGCAAAGTATATGAGGCCATTAATAAAGCCATTCCGGAACTCTTGAAATTGATCGAGTCCAAGGAAATTCGGGTTGTGCAGAATGCGTTCAACTCAACCCCCGCATTCGTCAGTGTGTTTCAATCAACGGCACTCATCGCTATTGGGCTTGCAATCTTGGATCTCAAAAATGCCATAAATAGAGTAGGTTCAGCACTCGAGGGGATTCGATCTGAGCTTACTCTAGGGAATGTTGAGAAGATACAGGGGTGGGGTGAAGGTGATTTTGGGTGGCATGTGCATCGTTTCGTACAGGATGAGATGGCAGCTTTCTCCGATCCTGAGGAGCACCATTTCTTTTACGTGTGGAACCCCGATCCGGATTGGTATCCTAGATTTGAAGAGCAAAATCTGAGTACTCCTCTCGGTCCAAATTTTGGAGGATACCACACTGACCTTCCCACACTCTGTCTGCGAATGAGCGTTGATCGGACGACGCTGGCGAACACGACGACTTATGGCCGAGACGCAGTGTTTCATCTCTTGTGCCCCGCATTTCAGCCAGTTGTTATTGAACAAAAAATTGTCTTCCACGATACCTTGTTCCCGCTGGTCATTACAGGGCAGCAACATCGGGGCTTTAAATTTGTGTGGTTCTTTATCCCAACAATACCTGATGGGATGACTTTACGATATATTGTAGTCCTGGAGGATAAAATCCCTCTTTCTGTCAAAACTGGTGCAATTGGTTTTTACGGCGGTGGTCTCGGTGCGTTCGGTTGTGCAATTGCGGCGACAGCTTTCCCTCCGTGTGCCCCTGTAGCTCTCAGCCTTGGGGTAGGACTTGCGCCTTTTGGTTTTGGAAGTGGCGCGTTCTCTTTCCTATCAACTCTCCATCTGATGGCAACTACTCCTGGCAGCCAAACACTGGGAGACCCGATATTCTTTCAGCCTGATAATAACGAATGATTTTCTTGAGGAAGACCGAATGCGTGCCTAGCATCTGCCATGGTTTGTGTTGAACAAATGTAAGGAGGAAATGATAAGATGGACCGAAGGCTTCATCTGGTATTGACTGGCAATCAGATTGCAACATTTCAGGCTAGCAAAAGTACCAACAATCAACAAGGATCTTCTCGAGTAGAAATTCCAGACAAAAAAATGCGACTGACATTCAGGAATTGACCTGTGAATGACGACCTATGCAGTAGATAAGCAGATGATACAAATACGCGGATCCGAGATCCAAAACAATGCTCCTTTGTACAATCATCACAAAAGTCTTCATCAACACAAGTTACGCAACATTGAACTTATAACCCCAACCCTCATCCATCACCCCTCTTCCTCTTCCCGCCATCAAGATAAGTAGTACTATAGGCATGCAATGCTATGCTAGCAGTGAAGTGGACAGCAATGAAGTAAAGAGTAGTGAGGTGGATAACAGCAAGGTAATAGGACTAAGGTACCAAACAGATTATCCCTTTCATTATTTTCCCCAGACAAATCTCGCTTTTTTACGAATTGGCAGACAAATCCTTATAAATACCCTTTTATACTAAGGGTAAGCCGTACTTAATTCATTCAGCCCCAAAGGTGTCTCACCTTAGAATCCGTCACATCGAGAGTACATGATCTTCATCAGACTTTATTGCGCGACTCTCAAAAGGGTGTCTCATTTAATCCTAATTGTGTATCGTACTATAACTAGCCATATAATCATGGCTGGTGCCTTTCATTCATGTAACAATAACGACATTGCACGTAATCTCATCATTGAAAAACCATTCACCAAACTTCTGACCCTCAATTGCCTCTATATGTAAAGGAAAATTCAGAGAACGGTTCCAGGGGCTGAAAAGGAACCCCCATCACGCATCACACATCACGCATTATCCGCCACAATAACATCCGCTGCCTTCTCCCCAATCATATACACCGAAGTAATCGGGAAGAAGCCCGGCATCTGAGGAAAGATCGAAGCATCAACAATCCTCAACCCCTGGATCCCCCAAACTCGGAAGTGCGAGTCAACAACCGCCGTCGGATCGCTGGAGTTTTTCATGCGCGCGGTACCCATGGCATGATGACCCCATGCTTGGTTCTTGATGTAGTCCTTGATCTCGTCTGTGCTTGTGACACTTGCACCAGGTTGATCCTCGACGAAATCTTGGTAGGTGGATGATAGGTTACCGTAGATATCGCGGGTCCATTGGATGGCTTCAACGAGTGGTCGAATATCCAGCTCATCTGCTCCACCGGCCGTGGTGCCCGCATCGAAGAAGTTGAAGTCGATGTTAGGTGTATCGAGGGGGTTGGTAGACTTGAGCGTCACGGTACCGGCAAAGTCGTTCTCGTGCGCTTTGAGGATAGACCAAGTCCAATGGAAGGTATCAGCGACCGCGAGCTCGGCATAACCCTGGAAGTATCCGCGGAAGTTGAAAGGTCCGCCAAAAACGAATGTATCTCGCCTGCCAGCTGCAATGGAGGATTTCAGGAGAGCGGCCGCGGGAACAAGCGTCGTAGCATATGGTCCTCTGTCGGTGGCATTGGTGGTGTATTGGATGTAACATGGGTCGTCAGCTGTAGAGAGCCAGGTGCAATCCTCTAGAAGGGCGAAGCTTGTGTTGAACTCTACAACTGTACTGATCTCGTAGTGGTCCAACAGATTTGCGCCCACTCCTGGGAGGTCGGCAACCACAGAAATGTTGAAGCTCTCAAGTTCGTCACGAGGACCAACACCGCTCAGCTTGAGAAGCTGAGGCGTGTTGAATGTGCCTGCCGAGATGATGACCTCTTTGGTTGCATTGACAGCACCGGGAGTACCAGTAGAGTTGCCTGAGCGTGGGTCTGCTGAGTAAAGGCTCTCTCCGTCGAGAAAATCAACTCCAATTGCCCTTGGCTCATCACCAGATGTAAATTCGCTGAATCGGATCTTTGTTACGAGGGCATGAGTACGAATGTCCAAGTGGTACATTCTGGTTCCATCTGCAAATGTCGCATTAGCAGTTGCAAGAAGAAAGTTGCGCGGGCTGCTTCGTACGCCATCAGACACTGCTGCTGGTAAGCGGTAGAGAGATTGAGTTGCATCCCGATCAGGATAGAGAGTGTTCATGTCGAGAGGAAAGATTGACTCCAATTGGCTCTCGTCACTGAGATCAGACACTGGTGGCCCATTGATGACAGTATTAGTCGCATTGAGCATAGCTAGCATTTGTGGATCGGCCTCTACAAGACTGAGAGGCATTTCAGATGTGCCTAGCCAACCGTCGAATCCATGACCGAGAGCTGTGGCGTTCGTTGTGTTGAGGAGGTACTCGTTTCGTTCGATGCGTTGCCAGTATTGTACCATATTTTCGGGGGCCCAGGAAGCATCTCCAGTGAGGTTCTGGATGAGGGACCAATCTTCTTCAAACGGATACATTGTGATCATGGCATTGTGGGTAGCGCATCCACCCAGGGTTGCTGCTCGTGGATACCAGATACCCTTCAAAGTAGAACCTGCTGGAGGATCCAACCCGATGTATGTCGTCCCTTCTGGAGTTTCGTATGTGGCCTTCAAGTTCAGTCCCTCTCGGGTATCGTTGGGATAGTGTCGGGAGAAGAAGTCCCAAGACATTGGCGCATATTCGCTCGCAGCGGGATAGAGTGCGGGGATCGACTCGTAAGGAGTAGTGCCTTCATCATCACCGGCTTCGAGCAGGAGGACCTTTTGACCGTAGATTGCTAGTCTAGCGGCAAGTGGTCCTCCGCCAGCCCCTGATCCTACAACGATGTAGTCGTAGTCTTCGAGGACTGTGATATCGACATCTCGCTTCTCGTATGAACTGTGATGCTGTTAGAGCCTCCTCCAATAAATGATGAAAAGAGTACAAACGCAGGTGTGGCAAGAACAGAGGTAATGACAGTCAGAACCGCGAGGCAGTTCAAAGAACGAGAGAGGACCATGATGGCGCGGGTCCTTAAGACGACGTTTAAGTTGAGAATGAGAAGGCACGAAAAGCTCGAGAGGTACAATCCCTTCCTTTATGGAGATGCTTCAAGGTCCTTCCCTCGAGCTGCCCCTCCTGACCGAAATCCTAACGCCGAGGTCCTAACTCATACTGTAGGAAAATGACTTGCTCCTCACTGATGGCATATCCATTACCCAATGCAGAAATTTGAAAGTCATGCATCCTGTGACAGCTTCCTTTGCGGGCTTGGAAGCCGATATTTTGACTTTTCCATGGAAGCATCCTTGAGGTTGTTGTTTTCCTCCGCGTCTAAGAGTCCAATCCCCGGGAAGTGGGTAACTGCCGGAGTTGCGGTACGGTACCTCTGCCACGAGGGACTGCAGGAGAGATGAGATCTGGATCTTATCTGCATGGGACTCGTATCCTCTGCATGTACGGAGTACAGTAACTGTATTGATCGCGTATGGATCCACACATCACCCTTATAGATACAGAATCTGTTTGATCAAGTCGTGGGTTGCAATTGTTTCTGCAAGTCTAGGGGGGAATAAAAATTTGATGTTCTAGGGTAGGAGCGTTGCTCCGCGTCTTCCTTGCAAACGGCTCGCCTCGACCCGGACCAGATTTCCTAACCGAGCTCTAGGTGGGTAAAGGGGCGGTAAGGGGCTCGGCAAGTGACGCCATCCCCGAAGTGAGTAGGCTAAACTCAAAGAGGAAGCGCACCTAAATGTAGTCTACACATGGAAAGCAGAGCTCAATTGATTCACATAGAGTATCTCAAAATCTTCTTCACAATCATACTTCAAGTTTGCCCCCTTCCGACTCATCATCGCCAGCTCCCCTGGCCAACTCAAATGCAGGTCTATCGTGTTGAGGTTCTATCCGCCGAAAATCGACTTCTACACCCCGTCTCTGGAATTCGGCCACTTGCTGATGGACTTCCTCCCATAACGCTGCATTATCCACTGGCTTACCCATCGAGTCTCTCCATCCATTCAACTCCCAGTTGAAGATCAGATTAGTGATCCCGTCCACCACGTGAAGAGATTCTGCGCAGATGACAATTCGTCTAAGTAGAAGAAGATGCTCATCTAACATACGTCCGAGCTCCAACAGAGCCTTTTTAACAGCGAATAAGCGAGCAGCACCATAGCTGTCTGTGTATTGGAGAGGTAGTCTTCCTCGGTCGTTGTACCTAGAGCTGCCATCGAAGAATACAGCCCAGTTTGTAACGTCTATACCAGCATCGAAGTTCGATTTGACGCTGCTGATGTAGACGACGATAGACAATGGATCGTATGTCAGTCGTCGTACATGCTCACTCGCATTGTAGATATAGGAGACCATAGGATCGCCTAGCTTCGCACGGTTGTAGCAACGACGATCTTTTTCGGATTCGATTTGGCTCATGCTTGTAGTTGAGTTTGTTGATGGAAATTCTCAACTGAATCTCTCTGGATTGCCTACTCACTTTGGCTAGTAGCTATATTAATATCCATCTGCCATCAATAAGAATGAAAGGCATGCATTATCCAAGCACAGTTTGCACAAAGATGGTTGCAAGCTTTGCAAGAAGCTTCTTTGCTCTATGCGGATACTACAAAGACATTGCTAAAGCTCCAGAATCTCCAAAGGGTCTTTCATAGAATGTATTATGTAAGGCTCATGCCGAAAGTGAAAAGGGCTCGCTAAAGAAGCGAACAATGACGCAGAATATTGAAAAACTTCCGAACTCTTTGCCACTCTTAAAGTAATATACTGCATACAGATATGGTGGGGAGTCTCTTCTGTTGACAAGAGGGTGTTTAGGTGAAGTGCGTCATGTGTGTGGGCAATTCAAGGCACTGGAACTCCACTCCCATCGTCATGAATAGTCAAAATTCGCTCTACAATGCAAATTCTCTATTACATCAATCGAAAAATCCAATACTTTGTTCTTGAATCTTCTGCTGTCTAAGGGATTCTCAGTGGGGTTAAGAATATTCTATGTGTACGCGGTACGCTTGTAGCAATCAAAGCGAGGTTTCTATTCGGATTTGTACGCATTATTCCATGAATGTTAGCAGATTCTTTTCAAAAATATATGCTGGGGTAATAGAGATGTGACAAGGTAAGGTGTACTTATTGGCAGTTTGCTCTGATTCATACTAACCTATTCTCAGCATGCAATAACGAAAACTTAGCATTGCGCGAGAGACGCACTTCTAGGCCGCTTCACGAGTTCTAAAGCCAGCTAGACAAGCCTCCTTTTCAAGGATGACTGACTTGTGGAATCAGAATAGTTTCTCAAACGAGCGCATGAGAGCCCTGTATGAGCGAATACGACGCCTCTTCCACGTTGCAACCTATGGCAACCAGATCTCCCACGACCTGCCACTCGAAATCCGAAGACTCAGATACGATCCCTATTCTATCGTGCTTGCCATCAGCGGAATATGTCAATCACAAGATGAGACACGTGCAAGAGCATCATTCAGCGTGTTCTTCGCGAAGAACTCATTCCGCATCATCGCCGCGAGATTGCCAGCTTATCGAAACCAGACATCAAATACAAGCCAGCTGTATGCAGTTGTGGCTGCACTCCAAGGTGTGGAAGAGATGCTCGACTCCGGTCATTGCATTTCGCAAGCAGTTTTGATAAGTGATTCGAGGTGGTTGGTGGACAGTCTGGCTGTTGCGGTCTGGCAGTGGGAGCAAAATGCTTGGCGCAATAACAGGGGACGACTTATGGTGAATTGGGAGTTGTTTAGGTGGTTGCATGGCAGGATTTCGAGTTTGCAAGCTAGAGGCTGTGAAGTTAAGTTTTGGACTGTTAGAAGGCGGTGGAATCAGGAGGCAATAGTGCTTGCCAGGTCCGCCCTCCGTTGATTAAGTGTAGATACTACTCAGAGGCTAGCTTAGGTAAATTTGCAACTTATTGCAAGCACGATCCAATTTTGTGCCAAGATTAGGGAGGCCACTTTGCTCAAATCAGGAGTTTGGCTTGATGCTTTTTGTACTTGCAAAGCAGGTTCTGCTGCTATACACTAATGGAAGAAGCCTTGAAAAGTATGTGCCATCTCGGATGGCGGTCATACCCAATCTCGTTGGCAGTCTCGTGGGAGCAGCTTTTTATGTCTTCAGTGACTCCAAAATCAAAGTTTTATACCCTTCCACTGCTTCCTCTAAGTCCGAGATGCTGAGGTGTTCATGGTCTGAGTGGGCAACCAGGATAGTTCCAGGGCCATAAAGATATCTCTTGTGGTTTCCTTTCAGACTGGAGATATAAGTTCCATAGTTCATGACTGCAGTCTCAAACCCTGTAGAGTTCGTCAGCGGAATGTCCCATTGGATAGTCCAAAAGACTTACCATCGATATCATGATCAATTGAAATCGGCCCAGTTCCGAGTGTGAATGCAAGCTCAATGTCCGGACAGGACTTGTAGATGGCCTTTTCAACTACCTCCTTGATTTCGGCCGGACTACCAGCTGCGACTTTGATAGACACAATCGCAGACGCATCCTCAGTAATCACATTCTCAGCAACTCCCCCTTCTATCCTCCCTATGTTAACAGTCGTATTTCCATACTTTTCACTTGACGGCAAATCCAGCCCATCCAAAGCAGCAAGAGCTCGGACTAACATAAGAGTTGCACTCTTTCCCAATTCCGGGTATCCAGAATGCCCCGCTTTGCCCTTGGCTTTCATAGTAAACCCCATTCCTCCTTTATGGCCACTGGCCAGCTTCAACTCTGTTGGTTCGCCGAAAATGACACTCTCCCATGATAATCTGAGATCGTTCACTTTTTTCATGCCTTCGCCTCCCTTCTCTTCTCCAACCACGAACAACAGCCCAACGTCGCCTTCTGCGATTTCAGATGATTGTAATCGTGACTCCACGGCTATGATTTGTGAAGCGACACTCCCCTTCGCATCAACCTCGTCCCCAGATCTCGTCTTCTTTCCTTTCATAAGGCCAGAATGGTGGTACCGTATCGATGTGAGAAGTTACAAGGACCATTGCCTTTGGGGAAGGCCCGATATATGCGAGCACATTTTCTCGGGTTTCGGAAACCGGTTGGGATTTTACTGTGAAGTTCTTGCTTTCTAGATACTTGATAAGAAAGGTGGAAACATTTCTTTCGGATCCTGAGATTGATGGGATTTCTACGAGGGACTTGTGAAGTTCAAGTAATGATGAAGTTGAAGAGAGTGCGGCGTCGTGAAGTGGTTGTTGCGATGCAGCAGAAGATGAAACAACCCACTGCGCCAATAACAGACTAAGAGCTATGAGATTCTTCATATTGATCTTTCGAATATTGATGGAGACTAAGATTTGGAAGACTTGAAGATGTCAGGTAGATTGCGCACCTGATCGGCTATTCGATCCGTTATCCGGGCTGCTATCTAAATAAGAAGTGGGGTGTAGAATTGCGGAGAGACATTGACGGCAGCACCCGCATAGCTTGGCATGTGCGAATTGATAAGGGAAAATGGAGAATGTCTTCAGGTGAGAACTCTAGACTTTATGTTGTGTGGGGCTGACACACGTATCCCAAGTCGAAACTTCAAGTTTAGCATATTTCGCAATGAAGCCTCGCGATGGCGAGGTGAATAGGCGAGTTGCGTGCGTGACGCCAAAGTTTGCTCATACTCCACTTGCTTTGGGGATTTAATGATAGTGTTCTCGAATCCGAGTCATAAATTTAAGTTTTCCTCCAAGCCGATACGCTGCTCTTGTTATCAACGTTATCAAAGGGAGAAGTATATATTTTGCACCCCACTCTTGTCTCTTCGACTTGCCTTGAGATTGATAGCAAGCACTTACTTATCTATTCCGTGTCCCAAATATCGGCCAAGGCTACCCAGAGGCACTTAATGCCAGCCGTTGCATATTAAGCTATCCTGAAAGAGGTTGAGAGCAGCATTGCTATCATGGCCACGGGCTGATATCCTCTGAAAATGCCCGAGAGCATGTGCTCTGAATTTCATAAAGAGTACCTCTCCCTAAATTGACCTTTAAATTTCGATGTGCTCCTGTTGTAATTGTTGATCTATATTCTTTGACATCAGTCGCCATGTCTTCTCCCAATATCTCAGAGAAGATCGAGTCATCACCAAACACAACCAACGAGAAAACAGCCCTAGAAACCACCCAATCCCTGTCCATATCCCCAAACCACCCCGATTCCAACCTCCACTTCGTCACCCGCGGCAAAGTAATATCCGACGACGATGGCTCCGACGAAACCATCACCGGCTACGACGCCGGTCAGATGCGCGCTCGCGCACTACTTAGCATCGGGCAAGAAAAGAAGCTGTTCAGAAAGATAGACTGGCATCTCATGCCCTTGATGTCGCTTATATATCTGCTGAAGAATCTTGATGCTGCGAATGCGGCCAATGCGAGGATTATGGATAAGGGGACTGATCGGAATATTTTGACGCAGTTGGGCATGACGTCGAATGATTTCAACTTTGTGACTACGTTGTATTATGTGAGTATTGCGGTGAGAAGGGATGTTTGGGTGATCGCTTACACTTGGACAAGATTCCGTATATCATTGCTGAAGCACCTTCAAATCTCCTGGTGAAGAAGGTCTTGCCCTCGAGATGGCAATCTAGAATCATGGTAGGTGTATCAGCCCTAGATCCAAAATAGTGATTAACAAGTTTAGGTAACCTGGGGCATAGCCCTCTGTTGCCACGCAGCAGTCAAGAATAAGGAGGGGCTATACACTGCTCGCTTCTTTCTCGGTCTATTCGAAGCTGGATTGTGGCCTGGTATGCTCTTGCAAATGTGCTACTGGTATCGTCCCGACGAACTTGCTCGACGTATCCTGTATGTGACTGTACTTGGATACTTCAGTACAGTTATCGGTGGAGTTCTCGCTTTTGCGTTCAACGGCGTGACGACTGGAGGGTTGAATGGATGGCAATGGTATGTGCCCATTCTTCTATTTTCTATCAGCTGTGCTGACAAGGACCACTAGGTTGTTTCTTACGGAAGGAATCGTCACCGTCGTAACCGGTATCGTAGTATTCTTCGCGTTGCCGGATTGTATGACCTGCTGTTCAACCCTGCTATTCCCTTCTAACCTTGTGACCAGTCCCATCAGGAGCCTCCTGGCTCTCAGAAAACGAGAAAGCTTTCATTCAAGCCAGACTTCCGGGCAACTCGCCTAGGTCTGCTGAAGCCAACTTCAGATTTCGTGAAATCCTTGATGTTCTGAAGGACAAGAAGATCTGGCTGTTTACACTTTGTTGGGCATTCTTCACTGTGAGCCTATCTTCGACGTGACATGAGAATATGCTGACACAGACAACTTTCAGATCGGAACAACAGGACTCACATTCTACCAACCCACCGTAATCGCAAACCTAGGCTTCACGTAAGTGCACTCGCAACTTGCAGTGACTTCAACTCACATGACTCCCCACAGATCCATCGCTCGCAGCCAACTTCTCAATATCCCCTCAGCCGTCGTATCAGTAATCGTAACCATAATCTTCGGTCTCCTCTCCGACGCAGCTCTCGTCCCACAACCCCTCATCCCCCTCTCTTTCCTCATCACCCTCATGGCCTGCTACGCCGTCCTCTTCACCTTCCCCAACACCGGCGGCGTCTACGCAGCGACCATCATCGCAACGGGTGTTTCCTCGTCTTGGTACACCGTAATGTGGCCCTGGCGTGTGCAAACCACAGAGCGAGCCACTGGGTCCGCTTTCGCTATTGCGTTCGTGAACAGCTATGGGCAGATTGGGGGCGCGGTCGGGTCACAGATCTTCAATTCGAAGTATGCTCCTCATTATGCGACTTCGTTTGGAGTGGCGATGGGCATGATTGGACTTGCTATTGTGATGAATTTGGTGACTTGGGGATTCACGTATAAGATTGATAATGAGACGAGGAGGTTGAAGAGGGTGAGGGTGCTGGCTGGGAAGACGAACGAGACGGTTTTGGATGATGTGGATATACATGCTGGTGAAAAGCCAAGGAGTGAGTCTGGGAGCAGTGCTTAGCTTGGAAGTAATTGGCTTGTTGGCTATGTTGAGCGTGAGATGAGAATAGACTGAGTAGTGTTGCGAGCAGCCGCTTAGCAGTCTGATGGAGTTGAATTTATTGATCTAATCGAAAACTACTAGCCTAAAGCACGACAATGAATAGCAGTAGTGGAATACTGTATGAAGAGGTGCCGAGTAATTAAAGCAACGTGAAAGGCGGGTTCTGCCTTTAAGGATCGTAGACTATGGGATGGAAGAGTTTGTGGGCTGAGAGAGAATCAACTCTGGCGTCAGCATTTGTTCCAATGTCCGAAGGGCCTCGTCTGTCGCCAGAGTTGTAGCCTCTCTCAACCGCTCTTCTTCGTGTGCCGTTGGTGGTCTAGGGTTCCACAGCAAGTCTTCGATTTCGTAAGGTCGTCCTAACATCTGAGCCCGCGAGCGAGGGTCCAAGAGTATAGTCGTTCTGACTTCCTCCCATTGTTTCCTGACATCGTATGCTCCATCCCAAGTTGGGCCGAAGAGTAGCACAAAATTCTCTACTGTATCCTTTCCCGTAGTCACAAGACGGCGTATAGGATGAAAAACTCCTGCAGGCTCGTCTGCCACCGGAAACTTGAGGCCAATGCGGCGTACAAGATCTTGTGCCTCTGGACTGGTCGGTGCAATAAATTTCCAGTGATATATACACGCGCCGTGTGGTTCTGCGCTGTCCGGGTCAAGATGGTTCGTGCTGTTATGCTCGACACCAGCAACGTTATCCCAAGCTCGCTTGACAATTTCCCTCGAAAGGCCCGCCGCATTCTCGATATCTTTCGTCGCCACGAGCCAAAATACAACCTACATGTTCCTGACTTCCATGCTCTGAATCCTGCGGTACAATTCTTGCCATTCCAACACATTGTCAAGTGGATATCTTGGAGCTTCGCCATGGTCTGTCCCGGCCCGCTGCCAGAACTCCGTTGTAACACCCTCTATCAGATATCTGCAATCGGTCATTATAATAAGTCGTTGAAGGTCGAATCCGACGAGGGCTAGCTTTGCAAAAGCAAGGATTGCTTTCATAGCTGCGTATAGGATCGCGGACTGGACTGTTTGCTTTGCTTGATTGGGGACAAGGCACTGGAAATTTGATGGCTGAATGACTATCAGCTGATGGATCTCATCGATAGGAGGCACAACTGACACTGCTTTCTGCGAATGATCCCGCCTATCCGGCTATAGCGGACCCATCCGCAGATTCGATCACGCATGATCCATGAATGGATACCACAATTGATTCGGAATCTGGCTGTGGCTCGTCAGGGTGGGCGGCATCGAATATGCTGAGATGAACGGTGCCACAGGTAGGGTTGAGAATCAAGCAATCAGCAGGTCGGCTGTAGAGAAAGTTGTCTTGCGTGTTGTGGAAGGACTCATCCTCGGGACTGAAAATTCGAGAATTGTTTCGAGGCTGATCCATTGGTCGAGTCTTCTGAATGCGCGTGGCCAATGCGTGCGAAGGTAAAGAAATGGTTGATATGTGCTCTCGAAAGAAAGGAAGGAGCGACTCCAACGACGCGTTGTACTGCCAGAGAGCAAATCAACCATACCTTCGCTGCACGCTTACAATCAACATGTCCACAAAGACCCAGCGAGAGAGCAGACATAGAAATGAGGGCTTAAAAAGTCTCTGATGACGTCCATGGGGCCCGACGAAAGCTGGGAACAGACTTCTCGCTCCCAACCCCATAACAGCGGCTCTTGTAGGTTTAAAACGCGTCACAGCATCACTGCAGAAACAATCATGATGTGCTTTCGTAAGGTCGTCATATCCATTACTATCGTAATTCGTAACTCATAACTCATCATCATCTGAATCTGTCTCTGATCCATCATCGGCCGCTGCAGTCTTCGAGCTTGAAGAGGTTGGTTCTGGCTTCGAGGCCGCTGCTGGTTTTCCGTTGAACGGCAAGTCTCTCTTCGGAGGAAGGATGGGATCTTCGTCGGCTGGTATGGTCGCAGTCTCTTTCCCTTTAGTACTTGCCGCAGCTCTTCTGATAGGAGGTGCCGGAGGTTCATCATCAGATTCAGCTTCGTCTGCTGTCGAGTCGTCTGGAGTTTGTGCTTGTTCTTCTCCTTCTGATTCCTCCGCGGGTGCATCATCGACTTCCATCTTCTCAAAGCCCGCATCTGAATCGTCACTCTCAATGTTCTCCTTTGCTTTTCTTTTCCCTTTTCTGGAAGGACCTGGAGAATGCAAGCTAACGGGTTCGCGGCTTGCTTCTACTTCAGCAAGCTTCGCAGGATCGACATTGGAGCACGCGAGCAGGCGCTGCTGGTCTCGAATCTTGAGCTTCTTCTCGTTCAGCAAGAGGGAGAACTTCTCCAACAATTGTGTCTCGTTGTCGTTCTTGAGCTGCGTGAGCTCTGCGAGGCTGTCTTGCAGCTTCCTGATTTCTTCATCCTTCGACCCGAGCGTCGTTCTCAGGCTTTGCAATTCGTCATTAGAGGTGTCTTTTGCTTTGTTTGCTACGCCGCACCACTCGAAGAGGTCGATATCTTCACCCTCATCATCGTCTTTGGAGAGTGAGATAGATCCTAGTGGTTGCTGAGATGAAGGTCAGCTAGGATCTTCGAACCGTAATAGGATTGTATCTGCCGTACCGTAATACCTTCGATGGTCCTCCGTATGATGACCACAAGAGTGTCCTCTTCCACTTTTGCAACAGCCTCAACGTCTTCTAGCAAGGCAGGATCTTCTTCGCCCTGCGCCGCCCCCAGAAGAATGACTGACAACACGTAATCCCATTGAGCCTCATTCAATTTTGACGTCTTGTGTCTAAGCTTCAAGGTCTGAGAACTGTTCACTAAAAGACCGAGAATAGATTAGTCCCCGGATTAACGCATGAAATTGGAGGTCAAGGGTTAACCCGGCCAGGTCGATCCTGTGGCTACCTTACATGAGACCGCAAAAGCGTTTTCGTTGTCGGTGCCAATCAGCTTGACATCTAATGGATGAGGGCCCGCGGAAGAAACGTGCACCAGCACAAATGCGTCCTCCTCGGAGGGAAGGTCAAGGCGGGGAAGCCTTAGCAGCATTTTGCGTCGACCGGGCTGAACGGAGCCAGGTGGTGAAACAAGGCAAAGATGAAAGTGAGAACAGGGTAAGAAGTCAGAAAGTCCAATTTCGGATCCTTCGAATTTTCATCTGGGAAGTTTCATCACCCTTCGCGGCGGGAGTGAAGTAATCTTTTCGAAGTATATTTTCGTTCGTTGATCAGGCAGCGTCGCGAAACCGCGTCAAAGTCGCGTTTTGCGCTAACTCGGTTGGTCCAAGCGGGGAAATTCAAGATCCAGCCACCTACAGACCGACAACGACCAGCCATCTCGAACATCACAATCCATACGTACCAGTCCGACAACCAGATTTTCTCGACTCCAAACTTCAATCACATATTCTGGTATCTCGAGATACTGCCGACCAGCACGACGACAGCTTGCCTGTAGGCGGGGAGCAAGTGCGACCGCTGGAGGAATACGTACATCTCGAAAACTGGGCCACCAAACGACAGCTCACCTCACAGTAACGACATAGCGCAAAACTCCACTACTGAAACCTATCACGGGCACAAGTACAACACAAGACTGCTGATATTCGCCGACCATACGACCATGACTCCGTTACCTCGATAATTGCGCGATCAATGTCCGTTACGGCTTCGAAGTTTTGTTGAGAACTAAACCGAACGCGCGAAAACAATCGACATTCAAACCATTCCGCGCAAATCAGCATACAAAGAATACACCGAAAACATGAATCAACTGACGTTGAGACCGCGCAAAGCGGTGGAGCCGGAACCAATGGAGAATTGGGACGACGACGATTTGGAGATTGGAGGAGACGATCTCACCTTTCGGAGCGCGTCATTAGCTACCACTTCAGCTTCACAGCACAGAGACTCTATATCATCCAGGTTATCTATTCGATCAGACTTCGATTCGAATCACGGAGATGAGGAAAAGCAAGTTCATGTGCCCGGAGATGACGAACGCTCGACCATCGATGCCATAGCGACAGCCACCAAAGCCGGCATCCCCATACCACAAAACGTTCCTGCTTCGGCTCTGTTGGGCGGCACCATAAAACGACTTGGAGGCAGAAAGATCAAAAAGATGATCCAAGAAGACTGGGAAGATGGAGATCTGGAACTACCTATGGATGGCGGATTGCAGATAAAGCGACAGGATGGCTCAAACTTCCCGGATGCGCTGCGACAAGTGAGCGGTCCCACATCAACGCAAGCAAGTCCAGTGAAACATCTCCAGCCCGCACCCAAATTCAACATAAGCCCACGACCCGATCTAAGGCCAAAGCCAGCCTCATCCAATCTTCTTGACCGTTTCCGTAATGAAGAAGAGGATGACTTCTTCGGAGATGGAGGGGATACAATCAAGGTCGTGAAGAGCCGCCAAGTACCGAGATTGATACCTCTTATAACTCCGCCCACTCCACAGAAGGGAGAAAAGTCCGCGAAAGCCGAGGACGACTTCGAAGAAGACCTTCAACTGCCTACAGATGGCGAGCCTCTGAAGCTGTCCACTCGTCGGGAAATCCCCAAGACACCTGCGAGTTCGCAAGACGATTTCGACGAATGGGGCGAAGGTGGTAGTCTTGGAACGAGAAATGGTGGCAAACGAGATCGTACATCCAATAGAAGCTCTTCTGCATCTGCTCTTAGTCCCAGCGTATCCAGCTCGCTGACAATTGAAAGTGAGGACGAAGGTCTTGATGGGCTTGTACTACCAACCGGGCCAATTCCATTCGAGGATATCTTGAAGAGAAGACAGCAGGATCGGTCGCCTGATCATCAGCTCGAAGACAAGCCAGCAAGTAAAGCTGCAGAAGTTAAGGAGGATTTCTTGTCTGGCCTTGAGATTGGAGATGGAGATGTGTTTGACTCTAGCAAGCTCACTCTCAATCGCAACATCAAGCTGAAGACTACTCGTCAGACAAGTCCGACACGACCAAAAACGGCGGTCTCATTGATTTTTACTAACAACAAGCCTGCGTCGGCTGGCCCATCGCGCCTTCCTCGTCCACTGATTGGTCACGAACGTGCACCTTCTGCTCTCGAACCTGTTTCTGAAAGTGGTGGGCCAATCCTCAAAAGCACACGCAGATCACAATCGAGGCTTGGGGGCCATTCGGCTCAATCATCTATCAATAGCATAGCAACACCTACTACACCCTCATCAGTACACTCATTACCTCCTTCGACACCGCGCAGACGAGACCTAGGATCCAAGCCATCTATCACCGCTCTTCGCAATGAACCGACAACGACCAATGCGCAGCTATTGAAGCTGAAGCGATCGATGCCCACCATGCGATCATATCCTCAATCGCCAGCGAAACCATTAGGCTCACGCTATGAGAGACCGCCTTCCCGTACGGATAGCAGCAGACCTAACTCAGTGTCTCGGCCCAAGACTCCCGTCGAGCGTGATCGTTCCGGAGCCGAATCAAGTATGTCCCATGCCAGAAAGAATCCCGTACCTTTTCTACCAGCAGGTGCATCAGGTTCCCAGTCCCACCATGTCACAATCAAAACCTCACGTCACTTCCGCCGTCATGATTCCGAATCTTCTAATGCCAGTTTCGAGCTGCGGCCGTCCTCTCGAGCCGTTTCGAGGTCAACTATGAGGTCGCCAAGCCCCCGACGCAGGGGCGCGGAAGCATTGGCCAAGGATGCGGCCGTCAAGCGACAGATCACAAAGCCTGTAAGACGTAGGCACTTTGGTGATGGATTCGAGTTGGACGGGTTTGATGATCTACCTACATCTCGAGACACCGAACAACGCTTCATGAAAGAGCCTGTTGGTCGTGGCCCACCAAAGCAGTCAGCCCTGCGCAACAAAATCCACCAGGAAACCTTGCCATCTCGAACCACAACGCCGGCTCCACTCACACCATACTCCGCCAGATCGAGAGATGAATTGCCCCGATTTGCTCGGGATACAAATGCTAGTCGCATGGCAAGAGAACACTCACTTGCACAACGTGCTCCTTCCGCTCAAGGTGCTCCTCTCGCTGCCTTAACCAATCAATGGAAAGCAAAAGTGGCTGCAACGACAGGATTGAGCAATGTTCATGCGCAAGGCCTAAAACCAAAGAAACCTCGAGGCCCTCCACAAAAGCCTCAGCTGATTAAGCCGCTGGGTAACTTGAACAATGCAAAATGTGAGTTATTTGTTTCGGCTTGCTTGACGATCATTAACACTTTGTCAGCTGTCAAAGGAATGTGGTATAATCCCTCCACGTATCGCTGGGAGGGTAATGAGAACGACCTCAGCCCCTTTGACCAAGTATCCACTCCATCCACGGCATCTGTTCCCTCTCATTACTTCCGTGAAAAAGACCATCAGATCTATCGCGAGAAGGAGAATAGCACACCACGGCCAGCCCTCATCCAGAATGTCAACTCGTCGCAAAATGTACAAGTTGTTGGCGGAATGGGTAAGCAATACTCTCCATTTTTCATACTCCTCTCTCTATAGGCTAAGGATGCAACGAGACTTCTGCCTCGTGTCCAATCTTCTTCCCGATGGTTGTTCCAAGAGCCCAAAAAACTAATTTTCGTATAGTCTTTGATCCTCTGCGAATGTGCTGGCTCAAGATGCCTACTCAACCGTCTCGAGGCAAGAGCGATGCCGGTGACACAATGGACGGTTTCGACGCTTTTGATGATGAGGAAGATGTCTTCAAGGACGTACCCGACCTTGAGGATAACCCCACCAAAGAAGCTGAAGAAGTCGGTGGCAGAAAAAGCGAAGGGGCCAGTGGCCTGAAAGACGATTGGCTTGTGGGTGAGGAGTTTGATGTCGGGCCCGAGTTCGTCAAGCGACAGAGAGAAGAAGAGGAGAGGTGGCGTAGGAAGTGCGAGAAATGGGTTGGTGCCATCGTTGATAGAGGAGGAGAGGAATGGCGATGGAGTATCAGGGATGTCGTCAACCAATAATCAGTATATCACGCTGGAGTAGATCTATAAGCATGGAGCATGGCGTGGACTCTGTATATTGATTTTTGGCTGGACTGGGTCAAGACCTAAGGAGAAAGGGGAGCACTAGTTTGCATGGGTCAACGGCGCTCTTAAGCATATTGATTGATCCCTTGGGATAGATATGATATGGATAGTATCGATAGATACTAGGTACGAATGTTACGACGGTTATGATTGTCATGTCTCGTGGGTGTTCTGGAATTACCTTTTGTGTCGAGGTCCATTTTGACCCCTGACCAGCTCTTCTAGAAAAGCATCTTGTAGATTTATTTAATACCATACCCTGTATTGTCTACTTCTTGGTATGCAGTTGCCGTGCAAAGATTCTCAATGGTGTTAGCAGAAGTAGGTGACTTGAGTTCGGCAAGAGACCGACCTCGACATCACGCTTGGAAACTTTGATGAGACTAGGAGTTCAATGTCTCTCTGATTCAAAGGTCTTCGCTGAGTGAACATCTTAAATTCCGGCATGCATCTATCCTCTTGTGACAACAAGCATGTCGAGACAAACAGTCTTCAGATCAAAGCAAAGAAGTTAACTCGTGCTTCAGTTCAACAGTGTCTTTGTATTGTGACAAGCATGTTCTCAGAACTTTCCTCAGAGTGACAAGGATAAAGAATCACTTCTTTGTGGATAGTCGCCGGTCGTTGTATATTAGTCATATGTGAATGTCTGGACAAGCATGGAACCATTGTCGACGCTGAACTACACGAATTGCACAAAATGTCTATTGTTCTTTTTGATGTCCTGTAAATTTCACCTCTAGATACTCTTGAACTAGTATTCACCCCGTGAGCATAACATATCGGTCACGTGCGGGAATGTCTAGACAAAGTAGAGTAATTAATGACGCTGAATTGTATCGACTAAACTCGAAACACTATTGTTCCTGGAATTTCTTGCCATATCCCCACCTAGATACGCTCCAGTAGTATTCACCCCCTGAGCACAATAGCAACTCAGGGGCATCGCTACGCGACGGGAGTAAGAACGGCTCTTCTAGGACGAGTTCGCTTTCAGCGCAAAACCATAGGTCGATTTCGTCCGCCTTTACTTTCGCACCTTAACAGCTCTCTTCCTTCGACACAACGCACCATTTACAAATCACATCGCACTCTACACAGTCGACCCCTTTCACAAGTACAATTGTAACTTGCTACCTCCAATGCCTCCCAACATCCCCACCAAGTCTCCCCCCAAGAACTGGCTTGATATCAAGAAGCTTCGTCTAGAATGGATCAATACCAGGATGCCCCTTCCAGGCCAAGATTTTCTCTACCGAGTCGCTGAAGAAGTCCTCCGTCGCATGGGTCCGGATACTTACATCGTTGCGCTTGCTGGTATCGAGGACTGGGGCGACGTTATGGAGAACGAGACATTCCACACTTCTATCTGGCACTACAATGGCGCTTTCGATGATTGCATGGAGTATGGAGTTGCGGAGGTTCTTCATGCTCGGGATTATGAGACGTATAAGCCTATTGCGCGCAAGTACTTCAACGTGAGTTGACCTTTGCGCAATGTAGCTAAGCTATTGGCAATCTTGCCAACCTTTTAATGAAGCAATTACTGATTTCTCCAGTTCCCTGGTGCAATGGCCTCCTCTCTGACCACTTGCCTCCTCCACGAGCGCCGCGAGTGCTGGAAAGTCCTACAAAAGCACCCTCTCTTCTCCTACTTCAAGAACGCCTACCACATCAAGCTCTGCCTCGTCAAGTTCTTCAACACCCGCTACACCTCGCTCTTCGCCGACATCACTGGTGCGCACATCACTCTCGACTCCAACGGCGTTTACGGATCGACGACCTCCCTCCGTCTCCCGGATGAGTATCCCGAGTTCTCAGATGTCAGCAATGATTTCTACACCGCGAAGTTTCGCCTAGGATACCAAACTGAGGAGCAATCTAAGAAGGAGAAGGAGGAGGCAAGATTGGACTGGAGAAAGATGACCGATGATATGTGTTTTCGCTGGAGCTGCGGCTCGGAGGAGAAGCTCTTTGTTCTTAATGCTATGATTTGGCTTCGCTTGTTGCATGCTGCGAACCCGAACCAACAGTCGTTGAAGGAAATGCTTGTACTTCTGTTTGGTGAGGAGGATATCGAGGATGAGGACGATGATGTCAAGGCAGAGGAGAAAGACGATGATGCGATTTCCGACGTGTCTTCTTGTGGTGGTGTCAAAGATGCCGGAGATGAGGATAAGAATGTTAAGGTTGCCTCGGAGAGTGATGTTAAGACGTTCTTGGGATATGGAGATAGTAGGACGAGACCAGCTACTAACTCCGAGGGTCTCACTTGGGATGGTATCTTGGAGGGAGTAAAGGCACACTATGTATGCTAAGGGAAGATCTTGATCTTGGTTTTAGTTAGACATTAGCCAATAGACTTCTTCAGCAATGTGTTGTACATTCCCAGAGCTTATCTTGTGACTTAAATCACAGATTTCACCCAGGAGCGTAGCCGTGTAAGCCAAAGTCATGTTCACCAGAAAAGGTTGGTTGTCACTTTCATATTTTTTCACTTGCATTGGAACAATTCAGATATTTCTTTCAAAGGATCCATTTTTCTTTCCTCCTGTGTTTGACTCGAAAGTGTTCATGTTATAGTGTACATCGATGTTCAGAAGAAGGAATGGGTAGACAGTTCAAAGCCGCTATACCAACCATACTCCACTTGCTGGATTTCCGCTGAACAAAGAGACCTTCTCTCCAATGTACAAAGCAAAGACCAACCAAGAGTCTTTTCCCTCTCTCTCCACCTAACACTCACCATGCGCCTCCCTCTCATGCTTCGTCAAGATCCACTTCCTAGGAAATAAATCCAGACAAACATTACACTCCCAATGCATCTCCTCCTCATGCTTCTTCTCGTGCTTCTTCTCGTGCTTCATAAGATCAACAAACATTCCCTGACAGATCCAACACTTGCTCTTCTTTCCCTTAACGTGCGCCGTTCTCTTTGTGACCCGGGTCGTGAGCGGGAAGCGGCTTTGTTTGGACGACTCCTCGAGTTCAGCGCCAGAGACGCAGTTGTTGAGACATCCCTTTCCGAGTTTCGTGCAGCCGGTGGCTAGGAGGTGAGAAGCCCAGTTCGAGACGGTGGGGACGGTGGGGAGGTATTGGCCTGGGAGGGGGAACATTCGTGGAGAGGGGGTGTGGGTGTCCATGAATGGGTTGGGGAAGGGTGGGCATGATCTCGCAGGCGAGGGAGTTGAGGGTGGCGATGGGTCCATGACGAATCTTGGCTGGTGGTCTGGGGTCAGGGCGTACTCTGACATGTCCATTGATGCGGAGCCTTGTGATGATGAGTGTATCGGTGTTGTGGGTGGTGATGGGTCCATTGTGAACTTGAATTGGACTTTTGGAGCGCTGCTGTCTGTTGGAGATAGATTGAAAGGTGAAGCAGATACCACATATGGCTGCCCGACCAGGCGTGGAGTCTCTGGTACTGGTACGTAGTAGGGGCCCAGTGTGAAGTCTTCTCGGCGTGGAAAAGGTGGTAGGCTGGAAAGGTGAAGTATGTGGATCTCGCGCGCAGCACGAGACTCGAAGATCACTCCGCAGTGGTAACAAAGACAATTCATCCTGATGATTTGTGTTTGTGATGATGCTGATATCGAATGAAAGATACTGACCGGCAGTAGAGATTCACTTGAGGAGGAGCCGAGAATCGAAGGTGAGGGAGTTGAAACTTGAAGGTGAAATCTTGAGTTAAAAGCAGGCTTAAGGTGAATGGAATTGTTTGGGAACTTGTTCTTATTATATACACAAGGCCATTATCTTGATCTCAAAGCAAGCTTGTCCTTCGTCGGAAGACAATGGCATTCTGCTGTTAATCTCTTTCTTCAACTGTATTGCTTTGTGGGTAGTCTTTGAGGATTCACAGACAGAGCAACTCCTTGTCTGTAAACAATGAAAAGAGTTCGACTCTTCGAAGGCTCTTAAATACTTTGAAAACGACCCCGATTGGGTTAGATTTGTTGAAGAATTGGGACTCACAGCAGTGGATGTCTGTCATCAAGCTAAAGACTTTTCGAGTATCAAGTGTTGCTAGTTACTTGCTACAAAGAGTAATATAACCTCTTTTCTTCACTAAGCAATAAGAAGAAACACACTTCACACTTACTACCTCTCTAGATTATTCTTAAACCGTTCTGCGTATCTCTGATTGTTCACCTCCTCAAGCTTGAGGCTGGGGTATTGTTCCACGTCTCTCACGAGCTCGGATGAGGCTTCATTGTCCATCTAATTTCGAAGATCTCTCCCTCAGGTGTTTACAGCTGAACGAGATGAGGGATTTCACAATTAAGTAAGATTCTGGCACAGTAATAGTTCTGCCACTTGAAACGAGATACACGTTAGCAGGTCTCTTCACTTGAGGCCGACGAAACAATAAGGCTGGGAAGGTCACGTGGGAAATTGAGATTGATTTGAGTCAGGAAATGTGTATTCATTTTGATCTTGCTGTCGCTGCTCTTCAAGCATAAAGCTCGAGGCACAAGAGCTTTTTCGTTTGAGCCATTGAGCTAAGCTACACAAAGGACTCGGGTTCCTAGGGATAATCAGATCTTAGGAGGGGATGGGAGAGAGATGGCCCTTACTTCTTCGCCAGCCCGTCTCTTACCACCCATTTCTTCTTTCGAATCCCCCACCTAGGTACCTTGTTAGTTACCAGCGGCGGCGAATCAGTAGACGCGCTCCTTTCTGCTTTCTTCGGAGTGTCGCTGCTTCCCGCCACTGTCCTTGGAAAGTTATCACTAACCTTCCTCACATTTGAACGGTATTCCGGTATAACAATACCGTGCGCCGTTCTATAATGGTTCTTGTACCCTATCGCGTCCCTGAAAGACTGCTCACACTTGTTACATGGGTGGCGCTTTATACCTAAATGAACGGCCGCGTTATGTCGTCTCAACGCGAGTTTCATGGTAAACGACTCGTTGCACTTCAGGCAACGCCATCCATCGGAGTGGATCGATTCTTTGAAGTGCATCTCTAGATGTTGGGATTTTTCTTCTTCGGTGGTGTATGTGAAGTCGCATTGCAACCACCAACAGGTCTGGACAGTGGTTGATGGTGACGCCATATTGAGGATTTCGAGTTCTTCTTGTTGTTGTTAGCTTTCGAGGTTTTGGATAGGCTTCTTGTTGAGTTTTGTTGTCGATGAAGGTAGACATTCTTAGAGTCTTGTAGGACCAAGGTCTTTACTGTTCAAAACGGTTTCCCCTGTTTCTTTTAGAGGGCAGAGCTTGTTGTTCGCATTGGATTATTCTGCAGCAGATGACAATGTTCACTGCATTTAATACATAATGGAACAGCAGAACAATGGCTTTGTCATGCTCTTGGCGTTCGATGACCTCGCTTTGTCCATTATTCTTGGGGTCATATTGAGCGTATAAAGAGCCGAGATAACTTTCTATCGTCTCCTTTATGTGTGCTAGTCTCGATCTTCCCTTCTTGCCATATGGGAATGATGGTAAGTTTGAGGCTCGATTAGTCAAATATCATTACTGGATTCACAAACGATGATAAGACCGACCACAGACAGAGTAAGTAGATCAGTTGGCTTCAAGAGACGCTTTTGAATAATGGTTCAATTAACGCTATGGACTTTCCATTCATCTGATGCTTTTCAACGTCAGAAGAGTGAAAGTCCCATGGAAATAAACGGCGCAACAAAATCAAGATCAAGCACTCCAGCACAAAGTTACCAGACCCAATAACCTCTCTCTTCAAGCTGAATCTTCACTGTGATTTCCGCGTCATCGGCCTTTCAATTGGATTCGCATTCCCCTTTTGTAAATGAGATAGACTTGGCATTAATTTGGACTGGAACGCTTGAACCTGAGTTGACCGCCAGTGCACCAAAGTCGATTAGGTTTCTAGTGGTGGGTTCGAGAGCGATTGGGCTGGATCCACAATCGGCCGCAGGGGCAAGCCAGATGCTCGCGTCGTCTTCGTCACGTACAACTAGAACAACAATTGTGAGGAACAAACTTACACATGATAAGCAAGTCACTACATACCATAAACAGATTCCAAAAAGGTGTCTGAAGTACCGTAAGCATAGTGTAGCAGAAACCGGGAGTCTTGGTACTGACCTCCTAGAACGAAAAATTCGGGAGCAGCATCTATGCCTAGAACGCAGAGGTTTGGTTCTAACTCATACATGAAGTTCTTGATAGGGATTCGAAAGGTTCTCTTGCCGAAGGCAAAGTCGATTGTTATGGAAGTATTTCTCAAATAGGCACATGGTAGTTCGTATCCTTTTGAGAGTACTGGTACCGGTGGCTGTTGCGGGAAGCCTATTTGCTCAAGGATGGACTCAACAACGGGGACAGGTAAGATAGAGTGGTTGCAACCAGTATCAAGGAGAACATTGATCGAAGTCTGGCTTACAGGAACCGAAGTGGTCCCTGTTTTGGTAACTCCAACGGAGTCCAGGCGAATTTTGAAGCTATGCAGTCAGCACCGCCTATACTGCTCTATGTGACAACCTACTAGTCATGCTCGACTACATCATGCCTGGAGAGTGAGCCTGTGTACTTCTTTGGATCAATTCCGCCAAGAACGAGCGAGCCTTTCAAAGTGTTAGAAGTCCAATACATGGGTACAAGTCTATAGAATGCTGTCACCAACCTTTGCGATTGGTAGCGCCACCAAGATAGATCCCAAATATTCGGCTTGCAATCTTACCCCCACGGAAAAGCTGGTCTTGAAGGCTATCTTTGTCATGAGGCACGAGACCTGCTACGCCATCATCTATTTCAACAATCTTATTTGCTATGCCGAACATAAATTGCGGTATTGTGACACCTTCGAGAAGATTAGCAAGACCATCTAATGGATTATAGGTATGAGAATCGCAGGACGAGCATGAAATGATGGTTCGAATTATGTAAAATGGTCAAAGACTGGTGGAGATCGGTTACTCACCACCGATGTGTATATGATCCTTGTGTCTATTCCCTTTTGCAGCGTGTTTTCCCTTACCATAAATATAGTCAAACGATCTCTTAAGGTCCTTTCTCGTCGACGAGCGCTGCTGGTGATAGAGAGGATTTTTCCGACACGAGAAATTGTCGCATGAAGTTGAACCGACAGCAGGTGGACTTTTGACCCATGTGAAGCCAGCGCCCGTATCGACTTGTAGAGAGACATTCTGAGGTGGCGTACCAAGAGAAACTATACAAGTTAACTTCATGAATCGGCCAGCAAGGTATCCATACCGTCCAGCATGTACGACCATCGATTTGCGATACGCTGGTAGCGCAGATCTACAGCAATAAGACTGCTAGGACCAGCCTCAGTTGTAATTGGTTTGTGTGCGGGCGATAGGGAACCAGAGAAGATCGACAACTGGGGGACGAAGTAAGCTAGAATAGATACTAAGTATGCAAGTACAATGCCGATGGTTGCTACCACCCCTAGCCATAGCCATTGCAGCTTGGTTAAACGCATAGTGATCGAAGAGCTCGAAGCGATAAGCGAATACTGGTATGTTCTAACAAGTGATGTTGACGATAACGATGTCTGTTGAAAGTGATGGTATATACGAGTTGAAGAGAGAAGAAGAAGAAGAGAGGCCATCGCTGGCAAGTTCTGTTTTGCAACAGCGTTCAGCAAGATGGGAAGGCACGATGGTGCTGTTGCGGAAGTGGCAGATGTCGTGACCGAGCATCAAGCTGTGACGTTGAGATGAGAGATGTGAGAAGTATAGTCTGAGAAATAGTCGAGATCACTTGAAAGTGATGACCTGAGTTTCTGACTGTTTGATCAAGATGCTTTGCAAGTTTCAGCAACTCGGAAGAAAAGTCATCACGTGACTGATGCCGATTTCCAATTTTGGAGCATGGAGACGGAGCAATTGACGAAGAAGGTCTATTGTTGGATAATGACTAAGATAAGAGCCAGTGCTATGGTGTAAAGGATATGCATACTCATTAGCTTACTCCAACACAGACTTCGGGTGCAGAAGTAAAGCATCTCACGAGTCAAAGCCTTACCGTAGCCTTTTTTTGACCTTACCTCAGAAACCAATGTTCGACATCTTCCAGAGGCAAGATTTCAAGACATGCCTCACTAACAGCTGTTTGGCGAGCTGGAACTTGCTCGTGTTCAGGAGCTCAGAGGGGGGCTGGTACTTATACCTGCAACATCATGCCTTATCAATTCTCAACCCCGAGCTCTGGTGATGGCCAATCGTCATCTCTTCCTCTGTCTTCTGTTCCTTGTCCTGCTTTCAAACATTGTTTCAATGCCCGAGGCGGTCTCATGGTGGATTGAACGTCATTCTGGATTAACGATTCCGGTCTTCGTGTCGGCATTGCATGTCGACCAGTCTCTGAGGATGCACAAGAAGCAAAGCAACACTCGTCAGGCTCTTCGCGCTCAACGCCACGGAAATTTGAGAGGAAGCTCTTGATTTATATTGTCTGAGCATCCCTAGAGTGTTCGATGTAGTTGTAGTGGAGAAAACGGAGATCTGCATCTTCGATTCCGGCAGGCCGCTGCTTGACCTTTCATAGCAGTCTCATTTTGCACGTTCGATTTCGAAAGGGCTAAATTTGGTCACGTGGACACCCGTCATCGCTGCCTTTGGTAAAATCATCTTCGCTGGTGAAGTCTCTTTCCTTGTAACTTACCTCATAGACCTAAGTCCTGGCTCTTTCTATCTGCATGTATACCTAGGTACGGACGCTCTCATCAGAGGCTGATCTATAGTCACGTGCTCGCCAAGCCATTTCACTTCCCGATATTTCTGCAGGTCTCAGCTCCCAATTTCCCCATCTCAAGACACAACCACATCGCATCATAAACACCACATCTTGGCGAATCCACAACTCGCAACAGACGCTGCCCCTTTCTTCCGCGTCTGACGATATTTGATCGTGGCTTCCAGGGACAGTGGCTCATACTTTCAGAAACACGTCCGAGTTTTATCACGACAAAGCTGCACCTCCGCCAATTCCTCAGTCCACAAATCACAACGACTTCAAGTGTCTCCTCTCGTTTGCGTTCCAATGAAAAGCTCCGATGTTTTCTCCAAAAGGAAAGAAAGTCCCTGCACGATGCGGGAAAATATTGGTGGCGCGAGGCTGAACAATGCTCCCCGAACGCCCAAACCGTGAAAGGGGAAAAGCGTGGCCCAAAAATACTCGGGATGTGCCAATCAAGCGATGCAAACTCGGCGAGGAGGTTGGCGAGGCACTTTTTGGACGATGCGGTCCAGAACAGATGAGGCTCTCAGAGGGGCAGCATCCCGTTACACGGTACACCTGCTGCGCATCGGCATCTTCCCTCATTGAGACATGGGCCTGACCTCCATTTTTTGTTCCTCAGCTCCGTTTTCTACTCTGTGTATGTCATTGTCGCTCTCTTTCATCCCATCAAAAGACTCGAGAAGCTCGAAATCACGATCAAGCATACGCATGCTGATGAGCAGCGACCATCGAAGATGGCAAATCACAACGATAAGCTCGACAAGGCTCTGGGATGCCGCAATTGCTGCACCATCGGACTCTGTGCTGCTTGGGTGACTGGATTTGCTGGTATTGTGGGAGGTTTCTATTGTATCTACCTCGACAATTTCAACACAGATGGGGGAGCCTCGAATAAAGCACGATTCGTTATCCCTCACGCGGCAAAGGAAGTTCTGCCGCTGGGTCTTAACGTTATCGTCACCTTCCTCAATGAAGCGATGGGATATATACACAGTACCAGTCTGCGATGGTCTCTGCAGTACGAAAATCGACTGACATTCAACTCGAATCTGCGACTACTATCCAGCTCGAAGCGTTCGAAGCCTAATGCTTGGTGGTGCAACATTGCGTTCCTCGTATGCATCATATTATCATATGCCACCACCTCCCTCATTTTTCTAGGATACAACACCACGCTTGGAAGAGTTCTGAACGACAACGACAACAACAGTAGCCTCGAAAACATAATCCAAGTCTCTGGAGTGGCCCTCATCATATTCGGCTTGTCACTGCTCGGACAGGCAGGACTCTCCACCTGGGCTCTCCGCTCCACCAAGATCCCCACCTGGTCCTCAAATCCCCTCGATACGGTCTACGCGTGTACCGATGAGACAAACCCCAATCAACTCGTTCGTCGAAAGGATCGCTGCATGAAATCTGTCCACGATATCACAGAAGACTCCAAACCCGTCACGCCAAAAGAAAGACAAGGGCCAGCCTGTACCGCTCACCCAGAAGTGAAATGGGTCCTCACACTCCTCTGGGCTCTAGTTCCTCTCGGCGCCGTCTGGGGAGGAGTAATCTACGCCATGATCCTGCACAAAAATCCTCATGGTGTTAAAGGAGATTCATGGTCATTCATCCCACTGTTCACAGGCTCAACATACAGTAATGGCACCTGCGTAGCCGCACGCTGCACGCAAGGAACATCCGTGTTGAACGTAGGCTGGACAGCCAATAACGGGACGGCCAATAGCGGCATGGCAGGCAACGTTGGCTCTATATTCCTCATCGCTGGTTTCCAAGCAGGACTCACTCTCGCTCTCCATTGCGCCGAGCTCCTTGTTAATCTCTCTCGCGACGAAGGAATTTTCCGCATGGCAATAACTCCCAAAGGAACCGATCCCCGCTACAACAGTATCATAGCCGCGTTCTCATCGTGGCAAACCATCACACTCTTTATGTTCAAAGCTGCTGTCCACTGGTTGTTCGGTCTAGCTATCAACAACGATTTCAAGCTCGGAGTCAACATGTATCCACCGCAAATTTTCTACTTCACAGCCTTCTCGTTCGGGGTAGCTGTCTTTGCCAGCTATGTTAGTCTGAGGAGACCGGTCGGGCCGTTGCCAGCTACGTTTGGACATCTGCAGACGATGGCAGATTTGATTGATGAGTGGGAGGACAGGATGTTTTGGGGACATAAGGAGAGTGGGTATCCAAACTATGCGGGCACGAGCTCAAAGAGATTAGATATGCCCAGGTGGCATGAACTTTATGGTGGTGTGGGAAGCGGTGCTATCACCTCTCCAGGATCGGGTCGTCCGGCTATGGGGAACACGGCGTGGGGGACATCGGAGGAGACTTTGGCGGCGGAGTACTATACTGGCGCGTACGGGAATGGAGCGTATGGTGGTGCAGCGGTGTACAGTGGAGGAGCGACCTATGGTACGGGTCCGTATAATGGGCACTCATATGGTGGTGGTGGAGTTTATAGCCATTATTAGAATTGGTCTGAATGTGTATCATAGTACTGCTTTGGCGTTGGAAAGCTGGGGGATTTGCATAGCGTTTTTGGGATGATACCTGGGTTTTATACAGATGGTCTGTACAATGAATATTTGTTATACCAAGCTTGGCCTTAGTGGGTCGGGGAATGAGGAGTCTATGGAGTGTTCTCTCCGCGTCCTCTAGAGTGGGCAGAGTGAAAAAGAAACGTCTTATCTATGACAATAAAGCAGTAATTGTATTGCATTTTCTGGTATTTGAAGACCTAAGCCGCCAGAATGCACTGATGCCATATCTCTGAAGGAAGCAGCGTATTCTCCACATGAAAGTCAGTACCGTCGGACTTACCTCTCTTCTTCAACCCAGGTTGAACAATCAATTCAAGGTCAAGGTTTTCACTAGAAATTTTTCTTTCATCCAAGTCCATCAGTGATGGATCGAGAGGGACCTCTTTGAACGTCCAAACCACTTGAGCAGATTGTCTGCTAAGCTCTTTGTCTAAGGAGATCGCGATGTCAAGGATTTCGAAAAGCGACAGTTTGAATTGCTCTCTTTCTCCCTTCATCAACAGCCCAATGGTCTCCAGGAGTTCCTCTGCCAACATATCGTTATGGTTGTCGATCTGGCTTTGTGCTCCGGCATCCTTCTCTAGGTCCAGTGTCTCGAAGAGCAGCCCAGCTGTATTTGCACTCCACATCTGAAATTTGCGGTGTTGCTCGTAGTGAGAGGTGGCATCGATATCTGACATAGACGGTTCTGAATAAAGTCAGTTCAAGAAGTCTAGTGCATCGGAGAGCACGCATCTGGGGATCTTACTTGGTTTCAAGACCTTGCACATGTCCCGCATCTGTTCCGCAGCATTTCCTGCCCATTGAAACTGGTTGAATATCTCTCCAACCAGAACTCGCCAGATAACTGCCTGCGCGACTTTGCTGCAGCTGTCTTGACGTCTTAAGAGCCATTTGTAACAATCGCTTCCAGGTGTCGTTTCCTGCACGTATCGCAAGATGGAGGTCGAGCTCGCCACATTTGCGTCGTCGCTGACATCAACGATACTATCTTCAAAGAACAAAATGGCGATATTCCGGATTTTGTATCAGCAAGTTGACCTTTTCGATGAGATAATCGTCCGTAATTACGGGAAAGCTTTGTTTTTGCACGCGGATTCTGTCGAGTTCATTGGCTGCTCTTCTCCAGACCTTTCGCACATCTGCTTCGCGGACTTTGCTTGTGGCCAGCTCTTGCTCTAGCTGAGATATCCGATTTCGCTCCCCTGCCAGGTCTGCTTGAAGCTGCTGCACAAGTATTGGAGACATTATGGTGTTCGCCCCACGGTCGTTGCTGGTCGACTCTCCTTCTTCGTGGATCGAAGGCCGTGCTCGGGACTCTCCATACTGAAAAGTCTCAGCGCTGGCGGTCAGATCGGGGTACTTTGGGCTATGCACCTTAACCGTAGGATGTTCCGATAGTGTCTCTAAGTTGGCTCCTTGCGGGCATCCGTGTTGGCTTCCACATCCACGACTTCTCATTTTGCTCCTAAGCCACAATAAGCACATTGACGTGTGGTAAGACTCTGTTTCTTGGCAGTGCTCTGTATATTGTATGTGACAGAGATCTGTAGATTTGTGCTAACTGTTTTCCTTACTTTTATACAACTGCCACCATAGTGCTAGGAGGCGGAGTCATGAGTTTGAAGATATGCGCAATCATTCAAAGAGATCTATGGTTTTTACCGTCTGAAAAGCTTCCATCTTCCTGACGCTTCTTTGCTCCAAAGCAAATTTCTAATCCTCATTGGCCAAGCCAGATCCCGCTTTGATTCAAATGTCTCAAACGATAAGCCTCGAACCTTTCGAAGTGGCTAGCTCAATACAAGCTCAATACGACTGATTTAAGATACAACATGTTTCCGAAACCCTTTTCATCTCATTCGCGTAGACCGCCATCCCGTTTGTCTTGCTCATCACACTAGTAGCAACCTCGCTTTATTCGGAATTAGCCACGCGGCTGCCTGCAGCATCAAATACGTGAGATTCGTTTGGCCTGTCATTTCTTCAGCCAACAAGGTCTGACAATCTGAAACTTGTTCATTGACCCACAACTAAATATAGCAACTGGTGCTGACTTAAACTGAGTAAGACATCTCCGAGAAACTGCTCGAGACATCACACAAGCAGAGAAACGGGTTCAAGGAGTTGTGAGAATGCTGCGACAAATTTGACCACTTTGATGGAACTTGGTGGGCTAAGATTCCCTTCGTTGTTCTACTCAGACTATCTAGACTGAAGAACTACTTACATCTCTTTTCGAAAATTTGTAACCCACTCGTATTATTCTCAAGTTTTCTCCCACCAACACAAATTACCATTTTCAAGACTGCTGCGTTTCCGCGCCCCAAGATGGCACCCCCTCAAACGTTTACCATGAGACCGAGATCAAGAGTGGAGGTTGTCGGTGGCAGTGATTCTGATGATGGTGTCAATGACGTGTTGGTTATTGGTCTCGATTTTGGGACGACGTTAGTTAGCCCTCTTCTTGCTCCCAAAAGATGCTAAACTTTCATTAGATACTCAGGCGTCGCGTGGGCAACATATGAAGGGTTCAACGCTAACGAAATTAATGTTATCACTACCTGGCCTGAGCAGCCAGACGAAGCCAAAGCACCAACGCAGCTGTTCTATGAAGACGGGAAAATTATGTGGGGCTTTGGTATTCCCATCGATGCTGATCCAGTTCAGTGGTTCAAGTTACTCCTCATCAAGGATATCGATCTCGATGAAGAAACAAGGTCCTCAGAATTCTTGCTAAGAGGTCGCAAAATGCTGAGGGAAAACAATAAAACAGCAATCGACCTGATCGCTGACTATCTGAGGCTGCTTTGGAAATACGTTCTAGAGATGATCACTAAAGATTGTGGTAGCTCGGTGGTTGATGCGTTACCATTCCACGTTGTCCTCACAGTACCAGCTATCTGGAAAGGGTATGCTCGTGAAGGAATGGAGAAGGCAGCACGGGTGGCTGGCATCTTAGATGGACGTCTCGCAGGACCAACTAATCTGACCTTCGCTCCCGAGCCGGAAGCTGCCGCTCTTCAGAGCCTGGACGTAGGCCCAAGGTACTCCACTTGTGATTCTGCGCCCTCAATACTCAAGCTCTTACCAGCACAATTCTAGGCTGGTGAGATATACGTAGTATGCGATGCGGGAGGCGGCACAGTTGTAAGCCTCCATTTCAAGGTGATCTGGTGCCTTCAAATTATGCTGACAAGCAAGGATCTTATCAGTTACGAGATCGATTCTGGCGTGAGGCCCATCGTAATGCATGAAGCTGCTGAAGGAACAGGTACTGTACATCGATCATACTCAGATAAGTGAATCGTAAGCAGCATAAACTAATGCTATGCTTTATTAGGGGGTCTGTGCGGCGGCATCTTCATTGACCAAGCTTTCGAAGACATATGCAAAGCACGGCTTGGGCGGAAGTGGGATCGCTTGAGTAAGGCAGGCATCAAACAGATCATGAAGAAAGAATGGGAGTCTGGTGTAAAACTAGCTTTCAACCATCCGTCTCTCAACGACTACCTCGTGTCGATTCCAGCTGAGGCTTTTGGCAGCAGTGGAGATAGTCTGAATGATGACTCAAAAGAGCCAATCATCAAGAATGGAATCATACATTTCAAGAGGTAGCGTGAAGATCTTAAACATTGAAGACATACTGATTCAGAGTTGATAGTTCTCACCTCTGCCAGGCATTTTCCAAACCGTTCCTTCAAATTGAGGAATTACTTGACGAGCAGATCAAAAGAATCCAAAGCCAAGGCACTCCGCCAACGGTGAGAACACAAAACCCGTCTTCCCTTCGAGGCTAATTCTATGCAGGGCATAATTCTTGTCGGAGGGCTCGGAGGGAGCCCATATCTCCATAATGGCCTCAAAGCAAGATACTCACCCGTGGGCATCGATGTCTTGCAATCCACCGTGGTCAAGCCGTACGTTACCTCATATCTGCAATTACAATTACCGACTGCGTTATGCTAACATGAAAGTTCTTAGACGCACTGCCATCTGCAGAGGTGCGGTTTACAAGGGCTTCATGGAAGGAGCTGGTGGGAAGTTTGATCATCAGCCGAATATGATCAGTATTACCTCTACTATATCAAGATCCAGCTTTGGTACCATATTCCGAGCCAAGTTTGAAGCAGGAAAGCATCTCGAATACGAAAAAGTCTGGGATAACAACGAATGCGAATATAAGGCTGAAAATCAGATGGCCTGGTATCTCAAAAGAGTATGCATATTTTTTCACCTGTTCACACTTACTGCTAATTCTTTCTGAGGGCGAAACCGTCTCTGGTAAAGACCCAGTTCGTAGGTCATACTATCAGATTTTGAAGAATGACTTCGGGCGATCCTTCTCTATCACCATGCATCAATGCAACGCGTTGACAGCTCCATCTCGGCTAACTCCGGACGTGGGATTTCTATGCACCATAGACTGCGCCGTAGATACGCCTTTCGGGGCATTGGAGGATTACACGAACCCCAACGGAGAGATTTTCAAACGTCTGACGTATGATATCGAGATGGTTCCGTCAGGAGCGTCGGTCGAATTTGTTGTTTATATCAATGGAAAGAGACAAGGCGCACAGAACGCAAATATCCATTTTGAGTAGGTTGGAGGTTAGATGCTAGCAAGTTTCATTCCAGCGTCATATATATATTTTTGGCTCCAAAGCCATTCGTGGGCTTTATTCGTTGCACGCAATATCTCTAAACCCTTTACATCTTGATCCTAATCTTCTGTCACTTCTACTCGTAACAACACTCTCGATTGTGGCTGGTTCAATTGCAGACACGTGTGTGCAGAAGTGCGATTCTTTCCAGTGTCGGTCGTGCACGGATTGCATTCTCGCCCGCATTCCAACACTCTGCAGCCACCGTCATTACTTCTCTCTTTCCTGACGCAATCAAACCTTCTCGCTCAATTGATACCTAATATGGAGAATCCAGTAATCCAGCAACTCCGGCAAGAGCTTCAAGTAGAATGCCTCGCGCGAGAAAAAGCCGAGCAAACCCTCGACGTAAAAACCTCCGAGCTCAACACGATACGCACAAACTGGACGACAACAGCCCGGGAACTAGACCAGCTCAGAGTCTCTACGGCACCAAAGTCCCTTATTCTCACAGACGACCATCTAAGGGATAAACTCGCCCTTTTAAGATATCAGACCCGGAACCTGGCTATACTGTATTTCGATGGGGACCTGACTCAAGCTGCTAAAGCAAATCCGACGAGCTTACTAGATCCGTATCTCAAACCCACAACTCCCGGGACGAACACTTATGAGATTCTTCTCAATTCCTCTAATGCTGCGCAGAAGGTCGTACGGGCATACATATGGCGCGTTCTAGTTGGCGAGGTTTTCGGCCAATTTTTATGGGCTGGAGATATCGGTCAACACATGGCAGTTATTGGAAGTCTTTTACGACCTAGTATGTATCTTACTCCCTCTACCGAGATGAACAGCGAAAAAGAACTCATGCCCAATTCCAGGCGGGGACCCTCCCGATCCAGTAGCAGAGCGCAAATTCGCGCTCTGGTCGAATGACACAACGCAGATTCTTCTAGACGCTCTCGGTCTCAGGATAGAAGCAGAGGGACACGATGTCCGATACGCGACTCCTCGAGTCAAGACCCTCGTGTCGCTCATACTTGAAACGATATCTCCCTTCCTCCGGGAAAAGGAAGGGCAGTTGCAAACTACACTGCTGGAGATAGTAGACGCAGCCATAAAACTAGACAAAGAGATGTGTCAACAGATCACCAGGTTGACATGGGTATTTGGAGATATGGAAGCAGGAACCGTTGTCCTCGCGCCTGGGTTGAAGAGGAGGGGAAGGTCGGACGGGAAGGAGTTTGAGACAGAGAAAGTGGTATTGATTAAAGAGATTAGTCTTGAGCCTGGGTTGAAAATGGGGAAAGTTGGCTAGTATTCCTTAACTAGATTTGTGTTGAGATCTGATGCGTGTTAGTCCCGGTGGTTGTTCCACCTCCAAAGATTCCTGGTTCAGAGGCTTGGGCATACATTCCTAAGCCACATAATCCGCCTCCTGATCCCGGACCTTCAAAACCTTCACTTGCTCCTCCAAAAGTTGGTCCGCAGGTCCGCTTCGTCAATTCATTATCTGCATCTCGGGGCGCGCCAGCAAGTCATCCCTCCCATCGATCTCGCACCAGAAAATCAGAACCTTCCGATGCCGCTTCATCCAGTAAAACGCAGGCTCCAGATCTCGACCCCGAATCTCCGCCCTTGCTTTCCTTCGAGCCAGTTTCCCTGATCAATCCAATCATCCGACACCGCCTGAAGACTCAAGGACGAGAGCCTAAGTTGAAGCACCGAAGTAAGTTGTACATCATCCTGAGATAAAGACAAGGTTTCTAATATCGTCAGCGGTTACCACACCACCGGTCACTCCAGATCCTGATCCTGTAGTTCCTCCGGTAACAAGACCGCCGGGTTTGAATGTTCGACTTGTGATTAAGAGGGGTGTTGAAACCGTATTAGTCGTTATAATACTCATAAGTGTTATGGTGCTGTTTAGGTTAGAGTGAGGTTTTGATACTCACTACAAAGAGGCTGATAAAATATACACCACAAGCAATTTTTCATGTTCTCTAGTGAGTGAGAGGACTTGCTTAGCATATATACATCGATCTATTCTATCCTTTTCGGCCTCACGGCCTCATGAGTAGAGGAAACAAAGCATTCGGCACTGTCAATGTGTCAATATTATTAGATTGTAGGCACAGAATAGTGATTGGCTTATGAGCGTATCTTGCGGAAAAAATGGCAAAAATCCGAAAGAATGAAAATGCAAAAATCAACGCAGAACCGCCCAGCATTATTCCTGTTCGCATCTCACTCTACCCTTTTCAACATTTGTACTCGGCGTACATGTGCTAGTACCACTGTTCACTTCCACCACAGCCATACATGCAATCCTTAAAAGCCTCCTGCAATCCGATACAAACTACCCGAGTGCGAGTTCTGCTTCACCCAAGCACTCCAAAACCCACTCCTACTTCCCGGCGCCCTCACCAAGAAACAATCACACCAGCTCGTAGCATTTCCTAAATAATTAGTCGAAGTAAGAACTCCCTGCGTATTAAACGTAAGATTCGTCCCAACCGGCGGCCCGAAGCTATCGAGATATGTCGTTTCCTGTTTATTCATCATCTGATACGTATGGCCTCCGATACCCATCAGCATTACCAGCAACGCTACAGCTGTCCCAGCCCCAATGATCCAATAATACATCGCTCGTTGGACGTCACTATCGACTTTACATCTCCTAGACGCGAACAGTCTCTTTGGGTGAAACGGAGACAGAACTGTCTGCACCCCAGTCCAGATAGCAACCTGTCTCGTCGTACCCGTCGTCGCCGTAGCGCTATATCCCGGATGAAACAAATCATGAATGATATTAAAAATATCCAACAACTGCGCAATAACGAACGGCCACCACAACGTCCCAATAACCGTAACGCCGGCCTCAGTCGAATTCAGCGCATTATTACTATTCACATCCCCTCCATTCGCATACGGGATATTAAACAGCTGCGGCCACCCAGCATAGGACCCGGTATCGGACCAGAGCTGCGTCGTCCACTTATCGCAGCCAACGGAGATCCAGGACGAGGCTTGCGTCATACAGTCCGATGCCGTGACGGGACAGTTGCCGCCGGCGAGCTTGAGGGTCCCGTAGCGGGCCCAGGCGGCTTTGCCGGGGAGGTAGCCGCAGAAACCGAAGGTGATGGCGAGGGCGAAGATGGAGAGTAAGAGGATGAGGCGGGTGAGGGGGTGGTGGCCGACGTTGCAGTGCACGATTTGAGTTGCGATTTGGGCGAGGAGGATGCTGGATGGGGCGGGGAGGGGCGTGGTGTTATCTCGGTAGCTTTTGACGGTTACGAGCAGAGCGGAGATGGCGCGGAAGGTGCAGTAGCTGGCTGTGATGTAGTAGATGAGCCACATTGTTGGTTTCTTTGGAGCTCGGGATAACTTGGACGTCTTGGTTTTGGAGCCTGTTGTCTATGGTTTAATATTTGGTCTCTTGTATGATCTTAGGATGGACGTACCTGAAGCTCCTGCGGTTGTAGGTTGGAGTGGAATAGGTGCTAGAGCGGGGGCACTTTGAGTATCGAGTGATTTCATGGCTGGTACAATGGCAAGGAGACCGATCAGAAAAGATAAGATCACACTCAATGTGAGGAGAGGCCATGGCGTGGGTATGTTATTCGGTGCATATTGGGCATTCAAGCTCGATGTGTGATTATCCGATAGCTGTCCATAGATAGGAATCCCAGCATTAGATGACATTGCGCATAAAATTTCCGTGGTACTGGTTGTGTATGGCAATGAGTGAGCGATAAAGTGATGATTTAAGAGAGAAGATGGCGAGGCTGCGAGATATCGGGTCTGCCTGAAATGTAACTGTGGATTGACCCCTGCATCCTTCTGGAGAACCGAAGGCAGGGAAGTGGGCTAATTGGAGCGATATCTGAAGTCAAACCGAACACTTGCATGTATGCCGCAGCCTCGACCAATCGAGCAAGATCTGCCACGTGCGCCTATGAGAAGACGAGCCAATTCATGGCTAATCAGCGAATATTGTACTCGTTCATGATTTTGCCCACTTCTTCCTATTCCTATACTTAAGAAGGGGGGCTGTGGTTGACTTGCCATGAATGCTACTATGCGATGAACACAACCACAGGGTATTATTCAGAGAACATAAACTTTCAAAATTGTCCGGGTTATCAATTGTCGGGAATTTGGGCTAATCAGATGGGGCTGTGGCAAGGCATTTTTCAACTTGGTGGGGGCTTGGAAACGCCCTGTCTTAGATAGCCGGATGATTGCTTAGGCCGTTAGCGAATCAAGGGGGGAGAACCCACGTGACCCGGCTGCACTGATTTCGGTGTGGCTCTTGGGCGCAGATGTGGAGTCCACCTTTCGACAAGGCTTAGTGTCCAATATAGGCACATTAATCTGTGCTCAATACTTCAACATTATCAAAACCTGTAGATTGTTTCGAAATACGCATGAAAGGCAAGCAAAGACAACCGCCACAAATGTGATTCAGAAAGTTAGAATAAAGACATGGCTCTATGAAAGTGAATTCGGCTCCATTTGTTCACCAAAGCCTTCATAGCTTGCTATGTTTCCGATCTGAGCCTGAAACAATACGTGCGGGTGCATTAGCGAGATGATCATTTAGAGGATAGATGCAATGCAAGAAGCTGGAGTACTTGAAGAACACAGGTAGAGAACAATATGATAATATCCTCACGCTATCCGATTTCTCGAATACCACTAGATAGATGCAGGGAACGCCAAGTGTCCTCTTTCCGTTTCCTGTGGAGGCTTCAGCCTTGTCTGGAGAAAGGGCGGCAACGGCCCTGGCAGCTGGACAGGGTTCTTCAAGTGTTTGAAGGAACTTGCCATGGCCTAGGTTCACTCCCTGCAACTTCAATTGGTGCCACGAAACAAGGACGCAGCCTCGAAAAGCAAAGAGCTCTCGGTGACCAAGCTCGAATACCTACCCCAGATAATAGCGCTCCATGCTTGCTTATCTGTATCAATTGCCCGATTGGTTTCTTACCGTTTGAGTAGAACTCCCCTCCTAATAGAGAAAGACTAACTGTTTAGGGTTATCCAGAGTCATCTTTCGAACGCATATCACATGCTGGTTCACAGCAAAGAAAAATGTTGTCAGGCGCTTGACAGTGATATCGATATCTTGAATACACTCTCGAAGAACTACCAACATTATATACCGAAAGTACACCTGATGTGCCGGAAGATATGAGAGATGGTTCAGACGGCACAGAAATATGTTGACTGTAGATTTAGCGACGTCTCTTTTATGGTACCTAAAATCACTTTGTTTTTGTTTCACATGCTAGATGTTCATTTTATGTGCAAGGCTTGACAACATGCTTCCTGTCGAGATCGGCACATTTTGGCTTGTGGCTGAAGCTGCGCCCCATCCCGCTCGCCTAGATTCGCGTATCAACTTGGATATTGCCCAGAATCTCTGGTAGGTCATGAAACGGGTTTGGGTGAAGAATAATTTGGCTGGTTATAATGGTCGCTGCTTCCCTCGTTGTGGACTCATTGTGAGAACTGCCCTGAAACGAAAATCTCACTTTTCTGAATCATCAATATCTGTATGGTCAAACGCAGTCTTGGTAGCCCAAATGGAGCACCAGATAAAAGAAGAGAGTTTGCAAGAGTCTAAGAAGGCCATAGAGCCCTCCGTCCAAGAAATAGAAGATGGATCCTGTGAGAGGTAATTCAAACCACAGACGATATGTTCAAATCCATGTGTCATGGGCAGCACCGAACTAACTACTTCATTTCTCCCAGCACTATGATTCGAGATGCTACAACAGCAGACACTACTCGTTCTCCTTCCCGCACCAAACTTACAATCGATACCATCCTCCGCTCCCTCGGCCTTGCTGTCTTCCAAAGCTCGAAAGACGGCGGAAGAAAGAAAACAGCTTTAGACAAAAGTCGTTCACAAGCCCTTTCCAGATGTGCTGTCCACATCATCCCAATTATTGGCGCGATTGTCATCATTTCCCTGAACTTCAAGGCACTATACATTGGCGCAACCTTGAATGCAATAACAGCTCTTCAATTCGCCGCCAAGCTTCACGAAATTACAATGGTGGCATCTATTGCGTGTATCGTTTTCTCCTATCTGCGATACCAGTTGACGTTAGGAGACGGCTTACCACTCGGGGCTACGATCGCTGGTTTGGAACTCACTCGAATCAGCTATTTGTGGTCACTCGGATTCTGGGGAGCTCTGATGTCTCCTAATTTCTCGCTGAAGCAAAAAGTCCAATTCGTCCTTGTTGTTGTTCCGGCTATTGTTCTGGTAGCGACAGTTGGTCCCAGTAGTGCTGTATGCATGATTCCCAGAACGTCATATTGGCCTGCTGGAAGCACAGATATATGGATAAATGGTACTTATGATGAACTATACTCTACATTTGTGGATGCGTCAGGGGTACCTTCCACTTGCGCCAACACTTCGATAGCAGCGGGCTTGGATGGGTGTCCTTCAAATTCTTGGCAAGGACTGCTCAACTATATCCCGTTCTTCAACGCAACTCTAGGCCCGCCAAACTCCAATTGGATCTCAACGACTACCTTCGGAGTAGACTTTCTTACAATACCAATATCGGTTGGCCTTGCTGGTGTTCATTCGATTCGGTCGCTATACATTACTGTTGACGACGTTAATCAAGGAGGGAGTTCTGATCCACTGGCCACCATCCAGCCTGCTCCTCTAGCCGATGCATTGGTGCTCGTCGGGAGCATGTGGGCTACTCTAAATGCCACGCTATATGGAAGATGGTCGAGCCGGCTCGATTCGATCCACACCATGGAAATTCTTCAGCCATTTGTGGGAATGACTTGCAACTGGCAGGAAGTACCCATTGAAGGCAATAGCGACGCTAGAACAGTAACATTCCCCCAAGGCATGTACATGAACACTACTGTCGGATACATCGACTACGATGGGATATCCCGATCTGATTTATGGAACACTCCCGGTGATATCAGCAAGCCTCGGTTGGCGTTTGTAGATCTCCCCGATCCTCAATTCAGCAACGTCTCAGTTGGCGTCGTTATTCTCGAGCCTCGGAACCCCGCCAACAACACTCAAGCAATCATTCCCTGTATCCTAGCTGCAGGCTGGGGACAGTCCAAAATGATACTTTCAACAGGAAACAACCTCCAACGCGGCACAGCAGCTGTCCAAAGTACCAGTTTTGTGGAGCCATTCCAGGAGAGCTACCCAACTAACTACTGCTTTCCTTCTTTTCCGCTAATACACATCAACATCACCAAAGACTGGGCAGCCTATATGAACCCTTTCTTGCCCTTGCAAAACACCACAGTTTTCGGTGCGCTATCCAGCTTGATGAACAACGGAGAAATATCCACCGGCACCAAACAAGAAAAAGTAAACGAAGAAGGAATTTACACCTTCCTCATAACCTCCCTCCTAGCCAACGCCCTCTCCAACAACTCACCCAGCCTCTCCATCCAAGGAAATATCACCGTAACGCCTTCCGGACGAGCAAATGGCAATTCGTGGCTTTTTCACAACGCAAATATGTTCACCATTCCTTCCTCCCCTCAGACCGCAAACTGGACTAAACTCCGCATCGACTCTTTCGTGCAGGGCTTATCGTATGGAACTTCAGGCAGCACGGTCAAGGTTGCTTTATTGCTTTTGATAGCTTATTGCGGGTGTGCAGCGGCGCATTTGGTGTACTGCGTTGGTGTTTCCGGAGTCAGTTCTTCTGCTTGGGATACGATTGCTGATTTACTCGCGTTGGCGCTGGGCTCGAAGAAGTCGGACGAAATGGGAGCGGGGATTACTATGGATAAAGACGTTTTTGAGAACTGGGTGAGAATTATGGCTACGGTGGAAGGAGGATTGGAGTTGGTTCTCGAGAATGAACTGCAAGAGGAAACTCATAGGAAGATGGAGGTTGGTGAGGAGTATGGGAGTATGGATTGAGGAGGGTTGTTGCTGCTAATGTACAGGATTGTAGAACTTGAGGATATTCTCTCTTGTTGGGGGTCTTTTTCCAAAATTTTACGGATATAGTTATTTTGACTGAGCAATGACGCACATAAGGACTGGGGGTATCGATACCAATTTTAGCCTATCCACCTCAGGAATGCGCTACATGCGCTACATGCGCTGGTTGCGCTGGTTGCGCTGGTTGCGTGGGATGCGCGGGATGCGCGGGATGCGCTGAGCACGCTGTAACCTAGTACCTGAACTCATTTGTTTATGATGCCCCACAACGCAGGATTTCTCGGTATAGACAGCTTGGGGATACGGCAATTTCTTTTATTACACTTTCCCTAATTTTGCCCCTTTCCCTCTCAGATTGTGTTCCCCCACCTTTCCACCCCCATTAACCACTTTCTCATCCTTCTTGACGAACGGTGGATCTTCGACATAGACGTCATACTTATACTGGCTCCCAACATGATCACTTCTCAACTCCTTCTGCCCTTCGCCATAAACTTTCTCCCTGGCCGTCAATCCCTCCTTCACCTCTCCTTCCTGCGGATAAATTCCTCTTCGTCTCAATTCAGGAACCAACAAATCAACCACATCCTCAAATGTTCCCGGAGTCGTCACACACCCAAGGTTAAAGCCATCTACATCAGCTTCTCGAATCCATCTCTCTAATTCATCTGCTACAGTGGCTGGCGATCCGACTCCCAGTGGACCAAGACCACCAATAGAAGCCTTCTCGGCCACCACCTCAGGAGTCCAAATCGGGACCGTCTTACTCGTGGTCGTGAATTGCTGCAATGTACTCGTCACCTTATGCGCCTCCAAAGAATCCTCCTTCGTGATCTCCTTCCCCAAGGGCAACCTCGAGAAATCAATGCCAGTCCAACCACTAACGAGTACTAGACCACCAATCGTGGAAGCGTATTTCTTCACCTCTTCAAGCTTTTCTTCTGCTTCCTCATCTGTAAGTCCTAGGATTGGAGTAAAGGTACAGAAGAATTTGAGCGAGGCAGGATCACGACCTTCGAGTGCTGCGAGCCGCCGGATATTGGCTATTTTTGGAGCGAGAACAGCTGGGTCGTGGCATGTGACGAAGATGGCTTCTGCGTGTTTAGCTGCAAATGCTGATCCAGCTCTATTATTCTATTAGCCGCTTTGCTCAATTTTTGAAGGTAAAAGAGCACATACGGCGAAGTTCCCGCTTGAAACAGAAACGGAGTCCTCTGAAGCGAGGGATCAACGATATGTCGCGATTCCAAATCATAAAACTCCCCATGATGATTAATCTGCCTTACGAGGTCAGGGTCAACGTATGTATCATTCTCGACATCTTTGACGACAGCGTCTTTACTCCAAGAGCCTTCCCAAAGTTTGTAGAGAACACGCAAGTATTCGTCGGCTTGCAGGTAGCGCTTGTCGTGTTCGAAGGGAGTGTCGATGCCGATAGCTTTGAAGGCACTCTTTTTCCAGGATGTGACGATATTCCTTTTGACGTTCAGCTAGATAGAACTTTAATGGTATTGAGAGACTTACCAGCCTATTCTACCACCGGTCAGGTGATCAAGAGTGGAGAAGCGCTTGGCGAGAAGAAAGGGGGGTTCGAAAGATGTGCTTGCGGTAATGCCAAACGCAAGATTCTTTGTTACTACAATCATCAGTATTTCTCTCTCACCTTTAAAGAGAATTAATATTACCTGCAGCCATGGCACTGATAGGCTAAAGATCCAAGTTAGTCTCAAATTTTGACTTTGCACTTATTGAACTCACAATTGTCGGGTCAGTAACAGGCCATTGTGCAGCTCTCCGGATACAATTATCCAAACTGCCCTCATAGGTATCATAACCTCCATACGTATCAGCGAGGAACAGCGCATTGATACCGCCTCTCTCCAGAATCTGAGCTAGATCAAGCCAATACTGCAGACCTCGCTTCTCGGCCGAGCGGTCTTTTGGATTCTGACTTTCTCGTCAAATCTTTTTCACTTCATGTTTGGTACAGAAATGGAGTTACCTTCCATTGTCCAGGACTCAAGTGACCGACGGTCGACATATCAAAAGCATTGAGTAGAATTTGTTTCTTCCCGTTGATGCGTGCGGGGCCAGTTGTTCCATTTTGGTGGCTCGTTGTTTCTTTCTGTTGGCGCTTTGCAGTTTGTGGTGAATCCCCATTCGTCTTGCGCTTTCTAGTTCCTGCCATCTTGAACAGCAATTCCAGTCAAAATCCAATTCTTCGATGCAACTATGAAGAATTCTTGACTTTTGAGCCTTTTCGGAGTCCCGATCCCAAACGTGATGTTAGTGAGTATTCAGTTGCCCGAAATATGCATTTCGCACGCAATCGTCTAGTTCATGTCGCCATTCACGCCAGGACTTCCAAGATCGCCAGCCGCACTTGATACTATCTTCCATCCCACTTTTGCAACTTCACTGTCTACAAGTTGGTGGATTTCTTTGCCTGACATAAAGTTTGAGATTCTTGGTTGGAACAGCAAGATGTCGCTCAACTCAAGGATTAATTGCGTGCTCGCGATTATCAGGAACGCGCAGATAATTACTGCAAGCCAAAGATGAATACTCCCGAGATAGTAGAAGGCTAGACTTTTCTTCAGTCCCAGCAGTGGGGTTCTTGGGACTTTGTGGCCTTGCTACATCCTTTTATTTCTATGTCTCAAATTGGTCGCTGGAGGAATTCTCAATCACCAAGGAAAAGACTCGCAAGCTTTCGTCAACATGGCCAAAGAACTCGAAGATGGAGACAAAATTGTCCCAACAATCCAGGGAATTTCTTCGGAAGCAACACCAGACAGCTTGAATAGCAATGAAGCGGCGGATCGAATTGCATTCCTTTCTTCATTCAGCCCAGAAGAAGACAAAGCTATCAGGCGAAAAGTCGACTTCCGATTTTTGTGGTTGATTGGACTCATGTATATCATCAAGAATGTACGTATCTGCATATCTTGTATATTGCTCAAGGCTAAGGAAATACCAGATCGATTACACTAATGCCGCCAGTGTCAAAGTACTTCAAGTTGGCCAACCAACCAACATCCTGAAACAGCTTCATATGACCGCCGATCAGTACAATTGGGTTCAGTCAATTTACTTCGTAAGAACTGCCCATTCAGATCAAGATCTTAAATATTGACAAAAGATAGATAAGTTACATCGTTTTCGAAGTTCCAAGCAACCTCCTCCTGAAGAGAGCTACTCCACGCAACTGGCAGTTCCGCATCATCTTCTCTTGGGGCGTTGTACTAGCTTGTCATGCTGCAGTGAAATCCAAAGAGGGACTCTACACTGCACGGTTCTTTCTTGGGATGATGGAAGCTGGCATGTTCCCAGGAATTGCGGCACAGCTTTGTAGTTGGTATAGGTCGGATGAAATGGGAAAGCCTATAATGTGGATGTTCGGTTTCCAAAACTGTTCTGGAATTGTTGGTTCACTGCTAGCATACGGAATCTCGTATCTGGACAAGAAAGGTGGTCTCAGTGCCTGGCAATGGGTCTACCTCCTCGAGGGGATTATCACCATCCTCTTCTCATTCGTTGTTTTCTTCGTTCTACCCGATTATCCTAAATCACCACGTTCAAACAAATGGCTCACGCCCCGAGAACAAGAATACCTCGAATTGCGCCTTTCTGAGAATGCGCCTAAGACAGCGGACTCAGCTTTCAAAATATCCGAAATTTTGGCTTCGCTGAAAAATCCGAGGACGTACGCATTCATGCTCTCTCAGATCCTCATCAATCTTGGAGGTTATGGGTTAAGTTGGCAGCTCCCTACCGTAGCGACGGATCTGGGCTTCGCTGGTCTTCCTCGAAACCAGCTTTTGAATATCCCACCGGCAGCAGCATCAGTGCTAGCCATCATTTTTGCAGGCTGGTTTCTTCGTGGTGCATATCTCACCCGCCCAGCTTTCATTATGATAATCTGTGCTGGTGCTCTGGCATTCTTTATCGTCCTGGCTGCTACCACAAATAAATATGCTGTGTACATTGCTTGTGTCTTTGGAACCATGTTCTATTCTGTGTACTTCATTCCCTTCTGGGCTTGGAGATCTGGGACCTTGGTTGGTACAACTGGGACCGCTTTCACACTTGCCTTTCAATCCTGTGTTGGTCAGGTAGGAGGTGTGGTCGGACCACAACTCTTTCAGTCGAAGTATGCGTACAATGGGTATAAAGTCCCATTCGCTATTTGTGCGACGGCTATTGGTTGTGGATGGCTAGCAAGTGCGTGGACTTGGTGGTTGACGAGAAATGTGGAGTGTGATGTCAGGAGAATTCGGCGATTGAGGATTAAGGCTCAGAGAGATGGGAAGATGTTTGCCGAAGACGATGTGAGGGTGTTTCAAGAGAGAGATTTCTATAATGGATTGGTGAAGAAGGAAGATGGGGTCGTTGAAGTGTAGTTTGCTCCTGTCGCTCCAGCGTAATGAAGCGAGAATAAATAGCAGCAGACTTCCAAAACCTCCTGCTTTAGTATCCGAAAACTTCAAGGATTTCTGAATAGATTATCGCATAGACAAATCGCAATTCGATGTTCAAGTTGGGCATATAATTCTAAATAGTATTCCGTTTGAAATTCCTCAGACATTTCAAGCCGCATTCAGGCTTCATTTAGTGATCGATCGCTAGAACCTGAAACCTAATGAGCTCCAAACATGTAGCTTAGTCACTACCCCTGAAGAGGACCACGGGCTCGCTTCAAGAATCTATACCATGTTATAGTCGAAAATCATTATCCCATATTCAGATAAAGGTTTATTGTCGAGCGAGCCTTATCATTTAAATATCTGAGAACCAGTAGTTTCCACTGAGTCGCAGCATTTGTGGCTGTGCTGTTTATAACCAAACCCGGGCGTCGGTGGCGGTGGCTTGCAGCAACCACGTAGCGGACCTTCATCTTCTCTTCCTCCTTCCTTTTCTTTCAACATTCATTACAAGCTGCCCTCATTCTTCAGTCTTTGACAACAATACTTCACCGCGCTCTGATACGCAAAGCCTACGAGTAATTAAACGTCAGAAACGAAAGCTTCCATACTTTGCCTTGAAAGCGCGACTCATCATCATGATATTGCGCAGCCTCAGCCTCATCATCCTCCAGCTCAGCGTCGCGACCGCATACACGACCTTCGAAACAAATTGCAGTCACCCTCAAATATCCGTGAACTTCGTGTCCTCCGTTAACGCAAGAGGAACACTCGACATCCTATGGAGCTGTCTCTTCACGATCCTAGCATGCACCTGGACTGTCCTTCACTTGAACGTTCCAGAGCAGCGGGAGGAGCGCGACCCCGGCTGGCTAGGAGACATTAAGTGGGCAATGAAGAGAGCCTGGACTAATGCGGAATGGATGATGATCACTGTACTTGCTCCTGAAGTGCTTCTGGGAAAGTATTGTGGTGATCTTCAAGCTGCTATAGCCCTAACCAAGGATATGAAAGAGCTCGCAGAGAAAGACAAAGTGCCGTGGACTCTGACCCATTCTTTCCTTGCTAATATGGGCGGTTTTGCTATTCGCGCTCACGAGTCAAAACGCGTTTGCCGGAAGGGCCAAGTCAAATTAGATTGGATATCGCCAGAAGTAATTGGATCGCAGGCGGATGCAGAGAAAGCTGCGGAGAAAAGTAACATCAACCTAGGGCCAGTTACGGCTTCGCCAATAAAACTCAAATCAAAGGCGCAATCAGATCAGGCCACAAGCGAAAGTCAAATCGGGGCGGAGCCCGTTGAAGGTCCATCGCTGACAACTGCATTGGAAAAGGAGCCAAACCGAGCAACGGATACCGAAATGAATGCAACCGTTGGAGGAAGTTCTATCTATCATTTGATAGGCAACGACATCTTGTATCTTAGAAACAATGGCTTAATACCTCGGCTGCCATACATAAGCCTAGATGAAATAGGAGATCGAAACAAGAACGATTCTCTAGTTCGAGTCATTGCTATAACCCAAATATCTTGGACTGTTGTTGAAGCATTAATCCGTGCAACTCGTGGTCTGGCGATCTCTCAGCTTGAGATTGCAGTCATCGCTTTTGCGGCTTGTGCAGTCACTATGTACGGCCTAAATTAGTACAAGCCGAAAGGGGTTCAGACATCTATAGCTCTCCTTACATATGCCGATAAGATCCCGCGGAGAACTATTGACGCTTTACCTCCACGAAGCGGATACGCGTATTGGCTTTATGAAACAGCTGATTTCTTTTTTGAGCACTCAGAAGTCCTTGCTGGATCTCGTATAAGCAACAGCAACACGCTTTGCGATAGTGTAAAAGATTTGTATAGCATGGCGGGTGCATCTATCATCTTCGGAGGCATTCACATTGCCGCTTGGAACTTCGACTTTGCTACCAAAGTTGAACAAATCTTGTGGTGGATCTCGAGTCTGTGGTGCACAGTTGACTTCTTGGCGTTTTTCCTTGGTACCTCATTTTTAATATATGCGGTGGATGTTAAACTAGGATGGATTTCTTCTGATACGTCTGACAAGGTGCAAAAAGTGTTCATATTTATATATATTCTCCTATATTTTCTAGCCAGGCTTTATCTCCTGATCGAGATCTTCAGGACTTTGTGTTTTCTTCCTCCTACTGCTTATTATTCTACTTGGGCTACAAATATACCTAATGTTGGTTGACACGACAGAGGATGTTCAAAGATCATGTAGCTAGCAAGACCATCAATCAGGTCATCCTTGACGCACACAAACGTTAAGGACGAGCAGCACTTTCTATGGATCTTGACTTATCTTCGCACTCTCTCACTTCTTGACCAACACCGTACTCTCCTCTGGTGCAACAAAGCTTGCTCACCTACAGTTGAGGAACAACGTTCACAGCTTGCGTGGCTTTCGATCCTTCTTTAACGCTCACCTCGCTCTGCACATCCTCAACGCTATCCCTTACCCTGCCCTCTCCATCGCTCTCCTCTGCAAACCTCCTTTCCTCCCTCCTCGCCAGCGGCCTGACAACCGCCCAAGTAAAGATAATAATTACAAAGCTATTGACAGCACAAAACGTCCACCCCTTTAAGAACCTCGGCGCCTCAACAGTGGGAAAGACCAAAATGCCAGTCCAAGCCGTCGTACTCTGCGCGAACAGATTGATAAACACCAAAATCACCGATCGCTCAACAGCATTATGTCTCAAAATGTCATTACACCAGCCGTAAAGGACACTGCTCATCGCAACCTGGGTATAAGCGCTATTAAAAGCAAACCACTTCGCAGCTTCAGGCACCTTCCAGATGGCGAGGATAGTCATAGCGACAAAGTTCCAAGTATGTGCGAAAGTTATCGCACCGCTAGGACCCCAGAGAAGATCCGAGCTAAAGTTGACGAACAGTACGTAAAGGATGCCGAGAGCTGGTGCTGTGGTTCCTAGTTGATTTATTTTTGGTGTGGAGTAGCGCTTCAGAGATTTGATCCAGAGGAGATAGCCGCCATAAGATGTTGAGCCTGCGTTCCAGAAGAAGATATCCCAAAGCCCGAGGATATAGATCTTCCAGTCTGTCAAGATATGACGCAGGAGTTGAAGACGTGTTTGATTGACTCTTTCTTCGACATCGGCTTTTTGTTTTTTGAGGCGATTTACGGCGAGAGATAAGTCGGTGTCGGTGAGGAAGAGCTTGTTGGGTTTTGCGGGTGTGCCGGGCCAGACAAAAACGCCTGCGATGGCCACTGGAATCGTCATAAGAGCGCTGATTATGAACATCCACCTATGACCACATCAAATTAATAATCAATATAGGAAAGAAAACTGCATACCTCCATCCAGCCATGCCTCTTACACCATCAAGATGCGCAGAAGCACCACTTTGAATCAAACCAGCAGTAAGCGTTCCCAACATCTGTCCAACGTAAAAGATACCACCTCTTCGCCCGAGCTCATCACCTCGATACCTAAATATTCTGTTAATCAAGCTATTAGACCTGTATTAAATATTCAACCTACCACGAACCGAGCACATAATGAACACCCGGGAAGAACGCAGCTTCGAAAATCCCAACGAGAAACCGATAAGCAGCAAGTTCCGCGAAAGACTGAACTCTGTATTGAAGAAGGGTGAAAAGACCCCATCCTATCTCAAGAGCTGGGATCGTGTAATTCATGGGAAACATTGGGAAGATGAATGTGAATGGTAGTTGGCCAATCACTGCTCCTGCTATGTATAGAGAATTTAGATCGACGAGCTGGTTGCTGTTGAAGCTGAGATCTTCTTTGAGCCCGGAGACGTAGGCATTGGCTGTTGTGGGGTTAGATGTTGGGAAGGTTATATCGGTTGGGTGCGTTTGACTTACTCAAGTTCGACTGATCAATGTACTTGATCCAATAAGCAATGACTGCGTAGGGAATTATGAGAAGATCAAGCTTGATGATGAGTCTTCTCTCCTCAGGACTGTCATCCTTTGCATACCAGTGGTACCAAGCTCTACCTTGGCGTTTGGAATGCATTTTGAATAGAAGCTTCATAATATGGAAAGTTTCAAGTCTGAAGAGAAATGTCTTGAAGTGGCAGATATATCAAAGTCTCAGTCGAATTTTCTTCTTCAAATCCAAGCCAGTTGATGCTTGGCATGCATCCGTTACGAACTGCTGTCGGAGATATCCCACGCCTAACCGATGCTAAGCGATTAATTGCTGGTAATTATGGCTTGAAATTACATGAATCTAGACTGCCATAAGTGAGACGAGAGGTTGCCACAGAAAGTCTAATGTGACAGTAGCTGCACAAGAGCTAGACGGGCTCGCAGATTGTGGAGCCTGTCATAGATAACTGCCCTCAATTCGGCCATTATTCCGGTCAAGAAGCTTACTGATAAGACTTATGATTACACTTCAATAGGATATGCAGGTGAAAGTCCCAAGATGTGCACTCGCAATATATGTGGAGTCTGACCTCAGATTACCCCGCAATAACGACATCGCTTGACACAAAACTGCAAATGCACGGCGATAAGATAATCAGACAGGAATGGACATAAATATTTATAATCCAAATAAGGTCCACACGGCCAAGTAAAAATCCACTGTTGGCTATGATGAAGATGGCATCATATATGCCGTTTATGGCGATTGATAATTGCACCCTCCGAGCCGCAAAGCAACAGCTAATGCCCACTCTTGAAGATGGTTGAAAATGTAGCGATACCACTAAACCAGTATCGAGCGAAAACTCAGATGAACATTTTATGTGGAAAGGAAGATGGCTACAAACGCAAAACAGAGGCTGGAAAGCCTTTCTCGACACTTGGGTTCGACTCCAAGCCACAATGAAAGGCCGAAATTTGAACTAGAAGACCATCCAGGTGATGCCGTTCGGTCTCTGAAGGTAAGCACGAAATCTGAGAAGAACGGTTAGTTGCTAAACTTTGAGCAGGTTGCTGTAATTGGTGCTGGCATTTCTGGAGTCATAGCTGGAGTACTTCTGCCTGCAAAAGTCCCAGGAATTGACCTGACAATTTTCGAGAAGAATGCTGATGTGGTAAGTGACACATTTCAGTATGTCAAGAATGCCGACTTATTGTAGATAGGGTGGGACATGGTTTGAAAATATATGTCAGTTCCACTCCCTTCTAACAATGGAGACAATTCTCATATACTCTAGATCCCGGAGTCCGCTGCGACATCCCAGCAAACGTCTACCAAAGCTCATTTGCCCCCAACACACAATGGACAGAAGAATTTGCCCAAGGAGCAGAGATCCGAGCTTACTGGCAAAACGTAGTCAAGAAGCACGGCGTGTACAAGTATATCCAATTCAAGAAAAAGATATCGCAAGCAGAATGGGACCCTACAGCTACACAATGGGTATTAAAAGTCCAAGATTTCAATACGTAGGTATCTGTGGAAGAGAGGTTCGACATCTTAGTTACTGCTATTGGTCGTTTCAATGCCTGGAAACTTCCTAACTACCCTGGAATCAACGAGTACGAAGGTCACCTCCGACACTCGTCAAACTGGGATCCGAGCTTTGACCCCAAAGGCAAGACCGTAGCTGTAATAGGTAACGGAGCAAGCGGTATTCAAGTCGTGCCGGAACTCCAAAAGGTAGTCAAGCATCTCGACCACTACGCACGATCCAAGACCTGGATCGCAGGATCATTTGCTGGCCATGAGCGGAAAGCTGAACCGATTCTATTCAGTGCAGAACAACTGAAAGACTTGGAGGATCCCGAGAAATATTTGACGTACAGGAAAGGAGTTGAAGAGACGTATTGGAGGAGATTTGCTGCTTTATTCAAAGATTCGGACGAAAATAAGAATGCAAGGGAGGAGTTCAAGGCGATAATGAAGAAGAGGCTAGAGGAGAAGCCTGAGTTGCTGGACGATATCTTGCCCGAATTTTCGCCCCATTGTAGAAGACTAACGCCTGGACCCGGATATCTGGAAGCTCTGAGTAAGGACAATGTGAGTTTTATTCGGACACCGATAAAGCGATTCACAAAGACGGGAATCGAGACTGAGGACGGGATACATCGACCTGTTGATGCGATTATCTGTTCAACTGGAGCGAACATCGACTACGCCACACCATTTTCAGTTGTTTCAGGAGGTATTGACTTGTCAAAGGCTTGGAAGCCTGACGGCGAATTTGGGTTCCCGTATTCGTACCTCGGACTTGCGACACCAGGTTTTCCAAACCTCTTCTTCATCCATGGTCCCAACACCTCCGGCGCTTCAGGTACCCTTCCAAACAGTGTAGAGAACCAAGTGACTCATATCGCACGTCTTCTGCGGAAGATCAGCGGCGAAGGAATCAAGACCGTGGTCCCGAAGAAGGGAGCAGCCGATGACTTCGTTGAATTTTGCGATGCGTTCTTCCTCAAGACTGTTCTGAGCGAGAACTGCAGCTCCTGGGCAAATGGTAAGTCTCCAATCATATGTTGGGAGATTGTACCTTACTTTGTGTCATAGGAGGGATACCCGGTGGCCGAATCCATGGTCTCTGGCCTGGAAGCGCAGCTCACGTGAACTTCATCCGTCGGTCTCCGCGATGGGAAGATTTCGAATATCAGTTGAGGTCACCTAATGGGAGTAAGAATCGCTTTGCGTATTGGGAAAATGGATGGACGAGCAAACAGCTCCAGCCTGTCGCTGACCTGACGTCGTATCTGAAAGTTCCAGAAAAGGTAGATTTGAAAGACTTGCATGAGAGTTGGTGGGATGTATAGATGGCATAGAGATCAGTATCAGAGTAATTGAATCAGACAAGAAACTAGCAACGCATTCTCTAACAAGAAAGGAGATGCATCGACATATAGGCCAAATCAAAAAAGTGCGTGTGATGTCAAGCATGGAAGATGATGGAATAGAGATCAGGTAAGCTAAGCGAGGTTGTCAAAATGCGAGGCAAAGAATATCAGAAAAAAAAATTACCATGCAAGAGAAAAAAAAGGTAGTGACCTAGTCAAATACTTCAAACAGAATTCGGGACTAGAAAAGACAGAAAACGGCAAAAACTCAGGCCAGCCCAGAACCCAAAGCTCTGAGGTGAATCCGTAGAAAACCACTCCCCGAGGTGGTTTTTGAAGCGACAGAACAAAAAGTGCTTAATTAAATCCATATAGACAAAAAGTTTTAGCGGGAATTTGTGCCTGAGCTAAGGACAAGGCTGTACCATAGCTAGGCAATAGTCCTGATCGGAGGAAAGACTTTGAATGAGAGCTAAGGGCTAATCTTACTCTACACACCTCGTCATCGCCAATGTTTTGTCGATATATCCTCCGATAAGGATTTACATGTTTCGACTTAGGATCGATCATCGGGAGCGAATTTGTCCTTCCAGAAGCCCCTGTAATGCTTCTGTTTACCAAGCTCTGCAATCTCTTCAACTTCCTTTGGCGTCAACTTGAATTGAGCAACCTTTTGATACCCTTTCAACCTTTGCTCACTCCCACTCGTGGTCAAAGCTACAATCCCTTGGTCAATGACCCATCTCAACGCGATCTCTCCTGGTGTGACTCCATACTTCCTGGCCAGTTGATCATACGTTCCATCTAGTGGTCCTGGCTTTGCCCTGACAGCAGCAGTCAGAGGACCATACGCGGATGTAGCGATTTTGTGCTTCCGGTGGAAATCAACAAGGTCCCCATGCTGCAGATACGGATGATATTCGATTTGGTTGATAGCCGGGACGACCTTGGCAGTCTTGAGAATAGCTTCCAATTCAGGCTTCAAGAAGTTGGAAACTCCAATGCTCTTTGTCTTTCCCGAAGCATGGATAGCTTCCATGTCAGCCCATTTGGCTTGCAAGTCGGCATCAGACTTGGCGAAGTATGGTGCGTGAATTAGGTACTGGTCGACATAATCGAGCCCGAGCTTCTTGAGAGAAAGTTCGAAAGCTTCTTGTGTATTTTGGACTTTTGTTCCTGAGATTTTGGTCGTCACATAGAGCTTCTCGCGAGGAATACCAGCTTCTTTGATAGCTGTTCCAAGTTCCTTCTCATTCCCGTACACTTTAGGACCGTCAGCACTAAGCACCAAGCGACAAAAAGGGGTAACACGAACCCTCGGCTCCGTCCAAATGGTAATATCCAGCTTTGATAGCCATTACTACAGTCTTCACCAATTCTGGGTCATCTGGTGAATTGGGATCCGGCTTGTATCGAGCGGTACCAAGGCCATATCCAAGCTATATAGACTGCTTAGTGGTAGGCTGGAATTGAAGCTCTTGTTACTTACCATTGGAATCTCATTTCCATCGTTCAGCTTAAGATTTTGAATTGCACCCATCTGTTTAGGAGGTGTGCCAGAATTGCCGTCCTCGTGAGAGTGGGAGCTTTGATAAGACGCCGTGGTTGAATTCATGGCTCCTTTAGTAAGTGGAGCACTTCTTGGGTAGAGACTTTTAAAATGAAGGAAAAGTGGTCTTGATGTTGGAAGAATTGTTGATCTTAAACTCCTCAATAAAATAGTCATGAGAAGGAAAGAATCATTGTTATTCAGAATGTCCCATGTCAACTGAACACTCGCAGAATGTCCCACTTCTGATGTGAAAGAGACCCCCACATTCGTCATCAATTTCGTTCACCGCCCGGCAGAATGCATTTGCCACTTGAAGCTTTCGAAAGCCGAGACTCTCAACGTCAGTCAGCAGTTGGAAACATTATTCCCGACCTGTCACACAAGAAACTTCTTTCCTTAGCTCTTTTCACCTTTTTTTTTTTTTTAATTTCTCCTGTGATACCCATCTCTCCTTGCATAGAGATACAGGTTAAGCTTCATTGTTTATGCTTTCCAAACTTCTCTCACGACCACAGGTACCCCGCATGCGACTCGCTCAAATGGCAGCTCATCTCTCGAACGGCAAGCCTTCAAATGGCAGCTCATACGAAGGCTCAACCCTAGCAGACCTTCCGAAATCATGGACTTTCACCTCCTCGTTGCCCGCAGACCCGAAGTTTCCTACACCAGCTGCCTCGCACAAGACTCCTCGTCAAGACATTGAGCCTCGGCAGGTGAAGGGAGCGTTGTACACATGGGTACGACCCGAAGAAGCTCAGGAACCTGAATTATTGGGGATTAGTCTAGCTGGGATGCGAGATCTTGGGATCAAAGAAGGAGAGGAGAAGACAGAAGACTTTAAACAGCTAGTTGCAGGCAACAAACTGATGGGATGGGACGCAGAGAAAGAAGAGGGTGGATATCCTTGGGCACAATGTTATGGTGGATGGCAATTTGGGTCTTGGGCTGGTCAATTGGGTGATGGTAGAGCGATATCCTTATTCGAAACGACGAACCCGACTACGAAGACTAGATACGAATTACAATTGAAGGGAGCTGGTATTACACCCTACTCTAGGTTCGCAGATGGAAAGGCAGTCCTGAGGTCGAGCATAAGAGAATTTGTTGTATCAGAAGCTTTGAATGCATTAAGGATACCGACCACTCGAGCGCTATCTTTGACATTGCTGCCACGTTCGAAGGTCCGGAGAGAGACTATCGAGCCGGGAGCTATTGTTGCTCGATTTGCTCAATCTTGGTTGCGAATAGGAACATTCGACATCCTGAGAGCACGTGGCGAACGAGACATGATCCGGCAGTTGACAACATATATTGCAGAAAATGTATTTGATGGCTGGGAGTCATTGCCAGAAAGGAACCCTTCAGAAGACGGCAAGGATGCACGACCTCTCAAAACTGGAGTTGGGAAAGACGAGATTCAAGGACCAGCAGGCCTCGAAGAGAATCGTGTCACTCGCTTATATCGAGAGATTGTCCGTCGGAATGCAAAGACTGTGGCAGCCTGGCAAGCATATGCCTTTACAAACGGAGTTCTCAACACAGACAATACATCCATTTTTGGGCTGTCCATCGACTTTGGACCATTTGCTTTCTTAGACAACTTCGATCCCAATTACACTCCGAACCACGACGATCATATGCTCCGATACTCCTACCGCAACCAACCAACGATCATCTGGTGGAACTTGGTCCGATTAGGAGAGTCTCTTGGCGAGCTGATCGGCGTTGGTGCCAATATCGACAAGGAAGAGTTCGTGGAGAAAGGTATCCGACAAGAAGATGCAGATGATCTAGTCTCTCGAGCTGAAGCACTCATCACGCGAGCTGGAGAAGAGTACAAAGCCGTGTTCTTAGAAGAATACAAGCGTCTTATGACAGCGAGACTTGGCTTAAAGACACACAAGGAATCAGATTTTGAAAATCTGTTCAGTGAGCTCTTGGACACGATGGAAGAATTGGAGCTAGACTTCAACCAATTCTTCCGGAAATTGAGTAACCTGAAAATTGGAGACCTCGAGACCGAAGAGCAGAGAAAGTCAGCAGCAGGCGTATTCTTCCACCACGAAGGTGTGACTGGCATCAACAACAACGAAGAGTCAGCGCGGAAGCGAATTGGTAATTGGCTCGAGAAATGGAGTACGAGAGTCTATGAGGATTGGGGACCTAATGGAGAAGATGAAGCAAGACAAGTAGAGATGAAGAAAGTTAATCCAAAGTTTATTCCGAAATCATGGATTCTGGATGAACTCATCAAGAGGGTGGAGAAAGGGGGCGAAAGAGAGATTCTGGACAGAATCATGCACATGGCCCTCAATCCTTTCGAAGAGAGCTGGGGATGGGACGAGAAAGAAGAGGAGAGATTTTGTGGCGATGTGCCGAAATTTGATCGAGCTATGCAATGCTCGTGTAGTTCGTAGATTGGAATACGAAAAGACAAGACCTACAGGTACCTGACAGCAAGTTCATCCTGCCGCACGTGACCAGAATTATTCAGCCTCATCCAGGCACACCTTATCTCGACACCCACAGCCTGTCATTTGCAACACCACGATTCTGGTAGTGTCATCTAAGGCTAAACACATTTTCTACCACAACCTCGTTCCTGTTCATATCATGGATGAAACTTCCTCACTTGTTCAAGCGGATCCCATCACAAGGCTCTCTCCACCGATGAAAGATGACGTCCAATTGCAACAGGTCAAATATAACAACTTCTACTCGCCACATAACAACGACTTCTACACAAAGTTCCACTATTCAAAATTAGATGAGAATAGCATCCGCCTCCTCCGAATAAAACCACTCAACCCAGACGAGGACGACAGCGCTCCCATTAGTTGTGACCTTCTCAACAACGTCTCACTCCCGGCCAACAAGGACAGTTACACCACTATCTCGTACTGTGCTGGAGATCCTAAGAAAGTCGAGCGTGTAAATGTTAACGGCATCGATTTCAACGCCTTTTGCAACCTGGGCCATGCCCTCCGACAAGCTCGTCACTTCTGGAAAGACAAGTACGACAAGCAAGAACTTCTCCTTTGGGCAGATCAGATTTGCATCAACCAAAGTGACCACGAGGAGCGCTCGCAGCAAGTCAGCCTCATGGGAGATATATACGCCCTCGCGTCGCAAGTGCTTGTATGTTTGTCGTCTAAGCATGATCCTGCTGGAGGCATTGACTGGTTCCTCCGTCTCTCACGCATTCATCTATTGGAGCACAAATTCTCACAAGAGTCCCCACCAGGGTATGAAATCTACGATGATAACATACGACTTCGTGAGTTTTTTGTGGCCAAATGGGACAACGAAGACTTTCACCTTGGATGGGATGCTTTTATTAGGACGGTGTTGACCAGTCCCTGGTGATCACGAGCGTGGGTTCGTCAGGAATTCATTCGCTCTCCCCAAGCCTACTTTTTGGCCTCTTTTGAGTCCATTCGTTGGAAAACAATGGCAGATCTCATCATGATTTATCACGGTGGAGCCTGGGGCTGCAATATGTCACCGCCGGAATTTCATCGCCGTTCCAGTCAATCTGGAAGTTGCTGGGGTGACTGCCAGGTTTGTCTCTTCAGTGTAGCCCCCACTGAGTTCTTCGAAGCTGTCGATCGTGCGGTTGGATTACTTGAAGCTAAAGTTGAGTTTGAATCCCAACCAGGACAATTCGCAGATCTGTTACGCAATCTCCGCGGCGCCTATCTTTGCGAGGCCTCAGACTCTAGAGATCTAGTGTATGCCCTTTTCGGATTCAGTGCTCACAGTTATGGTGTCTATCCCGAGTATGGACCAGGTATTACCATCCAAGGCGTTTTCCGACAATTAGCATGTAAAGTCATATCTTACAACCGCAACTTGGATATACTCGAAACAGCCTACCGGACTCGCCGCCCATCTCGCAGGCTCAAAAGGCTTCCGGTAGATCATGAACTACCTTCTTGGGTACCAGATTGGCGTAATAAGCAGGGGTTCTCTATTTTGAGACGTTTCGAGAAGCAGAGGCCCTCGTTTGAGACAAAGATGATCTTCTCATTCCAAACCGACGCGACTGCTCGAAGACATCGCATCCTTCAAGTACGTGGGATTTTCCACGAATTCCTAGGACGTGAAACTTTTGGAAGGCGGCCCCAGCGTTTTATCTCGGATGGACTTGGGGAGATACGAACGATGGGATCGGCTAAAGAGGGTGATGAGGTGTGGATGCTTCACGGTGCTGATATTCTTTTCATTTTCCGTCGGCCGAGCGGGGGCAAGTACCTTGAGCTTGTCGGTGAGGTCGTGGACCTCTATGTCAAAGTTCCTCCCAAACCTCGTCTGCCTACTGAAGAACTTGACAAGTTAGTAGAAAATAACGACCCCTCCGTTGTTCTCGTTAACATATGTTGAGCGTTTATGGAGGATGACGGTCGAACAGTCTTTCTAATTGTTTTGATCAAAATGTTCATTTTGTTCTATCACTATCGGCTCGCCAAAGCTATTGTGACCTCTACCTTCTTCCACAGCTCAATTTACCTTCCTCTCACATCCCAGCCATCCTTAGCTTCCCTTCCACTTCGTCACCTACCTCTCCATAAACCAATACTCAACCTCACCATACGTCTCCCAACTCGCCCTCACCTCCCCACCCCTCAACTTCACATCTTCAATTTCCCTAAACCCCTGACTCTCATAAAGTCTCCTCCCCTTCGCACTCGCCTCCACAAAACCCCTAACACCCAACTCATCCGCCTTATCCACTCCCCACTTAACCAGCATCCCTCCCGCCCCTCTTTTATGATACTCCGGATCCACAAAACAAGAATCTAACAGCACCGCCGGTCCAGCGACCCTCTCCCCCCTCCTCCCATAAACCTGCTCCACCACCCAAGAAACATATTCTTCGTCATCCGGCGCTCCGTTCGGTCCAAAATTCTTCTCCCCATCAGGAGCTGATGGAAAAATCCAATCTACCTTCACTTCTGGCCAACGAATACCTTCTTCTCGCTCACCAGGTGGCCAGATGATCCATTTCGCCGCTGCTACGATACGGTCTGTTTCCTGGCCAGAGGAGGGATCGAGGATTCTAATGGAGGGGTCTTTTATAACGAGCCACGTGACGTGAGGGTCTGTTCTCCAGGCCTTAAGATGGCGGGCGATGGTGGAGGAGATGACGGAGGGGGAGACGGGGTGGGGAGCGGGGTAGATAAGGCGGTGGAGGGTATCTGTGGGGTGAAAGGCGGCGAATTGAATGGGGACTATCAGCGGTATGTCCTCTTCTCTGGCGAGGGCGAGGTAGAGGGCCATTTTAGTAGTTGAGTGGGAAATTAGGAAGTTGAAGGTGTCTACTTCGTCAAGATTTCGGGATGGAAATATAGATTTATACAGGTCGTACCGGTGAGTCATTCTACACTAGAAATGCTGAGGAGGAAGAAATGTCATTCGGATTATGTAAAAGGGCGTGAAGCTAAGCGAGTTATTCAGGGGTAGTGTTGAGAAGCTGGGACAAAGTTCAAGGTTGCTTACCTACGAAGGCGCGAGGCGTTGAAAACCGTCCATTTTCCAAGGATTTTCAGATAGTGAGGAACATCAAAACATTTCCTCTTAGAAATCGAAATTTCAATACAACTCCAGGTACTAGATTTTTATTTATTTATCTATTAAATTAAAGGAAAAGGCAAGCTATCTTATAGTGGTATATTTAAGTCAAACCGCTCACTTAAAAATGGACGGTTTTCAACGCCGCGCGCCTTCGTAGATATGTTTATCACACCCGGTGGGGCAAAGTCGGAGAACATCTTTGGTAGTTTTGCTTCAAAGCAGCCTCAAATGGATGTAAATTTAGGAACCGTGCCACCATAGCTGCAAGGTAGATAGCGAAGATGCTTTGAGCATGGATCAGTAAAAAGTGGTTTGAAGGCTTTTCATTCTGGCGAGTACTGCAGTATCTAGCACTCTACCAACACCACAAACCCATCCCCATTATCTCCATCCTGATTTCATTTTAGGTCATCCTGATGATCATGTCTCCCAGCCCCTGGAATGGAAACTGATGATACTATGCCACCAATAAAAGCAACGTAGATGATCAATCTACTATCTTCCCACTTGTCACCCAACTCCATCCATCATATCAACCATTGGAGATCGAGTCTCCTCAGAGATAAGCAAAATGAGAACCCCGCATATACTATCCCAGTCCAATTCGTATGATCGGAATCGCTAATTCGCTCCCCAGCCAAGAAACTGTCTGGTCATATTCGTAATTTCTCGTTTCGTTCGACGCCGTGATCTTGGTGATACAATCGCAAATAAAAAGGAAAAGTAAACTCAAAACATGAAAAGCAACTCTCCACCCCGTTTTCCAGTTGCAATAAGAGAGATCGTCGTAATCCGGATGCTGCTTTTTGACCTACGAAATAGCGAATTCGTTGAATGAAGCTTTTGATACAAGCAAAGAAAGTCCGTTTCGCCCAGGATCTCCAATATCATATGTGGTGGATTATACACTTGCTTGTGCATCTCCACGGCTACGATAACCTCCACGTGCTTGACCTGGTTGGCCATTTCCTGCATAAGTTCCTCGGCCACGGTAATTTCCGCGACCACGACCTCGTCCACGTCCACCACGATATCCTCCACGGTAGCCGTTGTCGACGCTGCCTTGACCAAAAGTCTCCACATTCTTCTTTTGCTCCTCGCCTCGCCATTCGCGTCCACCTGGTCTGTTGCCAGCACCTTCAGCACGCTCCTTGGCTTCGGAAGAGATGTTATCAAAGAACGACGTGGCCTTATTGTAACCAGTCGATGGCGTATCTACTTCAGTTGGTGAAGCGACTGATTCGGTCTCTCCGAGCGGCGAGCTAGCACTTGCTTCCTTGACCAAATCCTGCTTGTTGAATTTGGCATTTGCGGATGCAAAGTCAAAATCTGCCTCCGGGACCTCGACCTTGTGATTCATATTTCGTCCACCACCTCTTGGTCCACGGCCTCCTCTGGGAGCGAATCCAGTACCTCCAGGGTTTCTTGGGGCTCGAGCTGCATCGTTCACTCTCATCTCGTTAACCTTTCTGGTCAGATTGTCGACAGCACTACCATTGGTCTGGTTGAGGGGTGGGAGCTTAGCCATTGCTGCAGCGACGGCGGCAGTGGCAGCTTGGGTGGCATCTCTCAAACTAGCAGCAGGATCGACTGGCTTCGCAGCAGGTTCAGTTAGGGCAGTGTTGCTGGTTCGGGATTGAAGAGGTGCCTTAGGAGCAGCCACGCTTGGTAGTGGTACAGCAGGCATAACAACTCGGTTCTTGGGCAATGCTGGAGCAGGGGCCTTTGGAGCGGCAGCCTTAGGGGCAGTTGGCGGCGCAGCTTGAGAGTTGGCTGGTTGAGAAATAGCAGCTTGGACTTGGCTTGCAGTTGGCTTCGACGCATTGTTGGGAGTAGGAGGCTTTGGCACAGATGCAGCGGGCATTTCAGCGGCAGGGGTAGCTGAGATCTTTGGTTCAGCCTGCTTTTCATTGGCTTGACCGGGAGCTTGACCAGGAGCTTGACCAGAGGGCGGGGCAGGGCTTGCTTGCTTATTCGCACCAGGACCGATCGGCGAAGGCTTAGGAGGTTGATGAGGTGGTTGCTGCTGTTGCTGTTGGAATTGTCCAGGAGCGCCAAACTGTTGTTGTTGATAGCCATATGGAGGGAAAGGAGCTGGTGGAAATCCTTGATTTGGAGGGGCATACCATCCTGGTGGGGGGCCACCATAGGGCATCGGCGGGAAAGCACCAGGTCCTGGAGGTCCACCACGACCAAACCCGCCAGGCGGTGGGTAAAAGTGAGGAGGATACTGAGGGTGTTGACCGAAGGGAGGAGCTCCAGGACCTTGCTGTTGCTGTTGACCTTGTGGGCCCGGTGGACCTCTTTGTTGCTGCGGAGGGGCTTGCGATTGAGGCGTAGGACGGGAACGGGAACCACTCTATTTGCGCAACGAGTTAGCAACAAGTTTGCAAAAGGCTTAAAGGCTGTATATATGTAGCTTGTAGATCAGAAGGAAGGCAACGGAAATCTCCACACGGTTTTGCGCTCTCGGAGACAATATGAGTTAACATCCGAAATATTTCATCATCTCAGGAAGGGCTGGACACAAACGCGCGGCTCAGTGACATCGCACAGTAATATTCGCACTTACTCCAAGGATAGCAGGATCATTCGGGACCTGTGGGGGCTTGTTCTCATTGACAGCTGGCTTCTCTTCGACCCTCAAGTCCTTCACATCACTACCGCGGAAGACAATATACTCGTAGACGCTATCGGAAGGTGGAATCTCTTCTTCTGGGTTGGCCTTTCGTCCCTCGGTACCGAAAGACGTGACATTCTCGAGTGCGACAGTCGAGTCATTCGAATTGATCTCGTGGAGCGTACCGACATATCTGCGAACCCGTCAGCGCAAACCTCACAAGCTGGCCAAGCACGTTTCCATACCTAATATCACTCCGCGATACTAGAGATATCCTCGCACTATCGTCGTACTCGTGTTAGCATCGTCGCTCCTCAAAGCTGAGCTTCAGCCTCAACTGACCCTATGAATTCAGTCATTGTGCCGTGATTGCGACCAGCTCACAGCCCAACGCACGATCGAGTAAAAAGGAAGCTTGTTAAGGAAGGCACCAGAACAATTGTGAAGACGCGCACGAAAGAAGATTGTGTTCTGAGGACGTAAGGGAGAAGGCGATTGAGGATTGAAAGAAGGGAGTTTGTGGTATTTTGCGGTTCAAGCTAAAAAGCGAAAAGGCTTGGAGAAGTCAAACTTCGCATAGGCTACAGCGTGATTGGCCTAGTGACTCTTAGGTTGGAGTTCAGCCTTCCCCTCCGAAGTTTACCCGGACTATTCACTGATCAACGACAACAAACGAAACACACGACATCAAGACCACTGAAGACTCCACCACTTTCAACCTTCATCATGGAGTCAACCGCAAGTGGTCAGTCTGTTGAAATCTTCAAGGAGCTCGAGGAGTATCCCTGGGACAAGGATAAGGAATTCCAGGTATGTCAGGACATTTTCACAATTGTTATCAGCCTCGGCACGTCGAGAAGTCTTTGAGACATCACTGGCATTCAATGCAAGAGTACAAGCATGCCAAGGGCACAATATACTCACCTTCGAGTTCTACAAAGACGAGCAATGCTGACGTTCTCGCCAGGGCGGACTTGCAGCAATCCTCGGTCCAAATCCCCAACCCTCCCAAATCCACGACCTCACCCTCCGAGCTCAGTGCTTCTACCTCTCCCGCAAGCGATCCATCCCAATCGACTTCAACCAGTACAAAGAATATCTCATGTCCAAGCCCGAGACATCTACTATGTCAGCTTCGGCACCTCCACCACCTCCCCATAACAACCACAACATGGCATCCTCCCACTTAGCCGACGTCGAAATCGATGACCCGAAGGCAGCACCTTACCCCCGCTCCTTCGCCGAAATCGTCGAGCTCATCACCTCTGGCAAACCCATCCCAGGCATCAAGGAGATTCACACCACTGTGTGTCCAGAGCTCGCCACCAAGCCAATCCTGCCGAAGCGTCGAAAGCCGTGGGAGAAGGATGTTCCGCAAGAGCAGATTGATGGAAAGATTGGCGGCTTGTTCGGTGATCACAGGGATATTCATATCTCGCAGGAGTACCCCGATGCTTGAGCGTCTAACGTCATGCGGAGTTGGGCGTTCATCCTTAAAGTGTGGCAACCTCCTTGCTGCTCTTACTTATCATTAACGGTGCTTAATTGTTTACGAGGGATGGCGTTTACTCTGAAAGATACGAGTGGGGAAGATATTATCTCTCGAGTATGGCATGATACATGGCGTTGACTTATATTTTGGGATCGAACTTTGCGTTGCATTATGATGCTTATCAGCTATCTTTACCTCAAAATGAATCCAAGCATATTAGCAATCCACGTTTTCTTGCTTGAGTGACAGCAAAATAATCCCTAGGTCTCCTAGCGGTAACTGTCGTATGCAAATTCATCACAAGCAGTTCTCATTATGTTTTTACAGAAGCCCTTGTATTTCTCAAAGAGTGACTAAATAACAAAGCTTTTGGTTTGGTTTTGGCTACAGACGCAGGAGCAAGAAGAAACATCGCACTATAGAAGCACATTCCTTCTCTCCACCACATTAATGCCTGCCAGAGCAGAATAAATACAGCCCCTCCTCAAAAACGCTGCATCCGAACGACACTGAACAAATCTAAGCAAGTATACATCCACACAAGGCTATAAAGCACTCAGTCGAATGGTAATAGCAAAGACGCCACAAGGACGACGATGATCATGCCAGACCAACCAAATGCAAAACCGTAACCATGAAATGTCCAAGGCACCGAAGAACGAGAATTCTTCGGCGTAGGATGATCCGTAATGGTGAGATAGGTGCCGAAGAAAATGTTATCGAAAAGAACAGAAAGGAAATATTGCAGGTGACTTTCGCAGGTGACACCATTTTAGTCAAGACGATAGACTAACAGCGCCTAAGGTGACTTTCAGAGGATGTGGTAGAGCCAATTGAAGACATCCATAGATATGAAAGACCATAAGCAAACAAGAGACAGAGCCCGTTGGAATATGTCGTATCGTATTCTAGGTCCATGATATGGGTGTCAAGTAAGATCATGCGAGCCAGGACACAAGGAGCAATATGACAAAGCAAACGATGCAAGATGTCGTAGTGATGCTTCTAACGATAAGCACCACCAAAGCGAGGGTTTGGTTGAGGACCCATGCGAGGGGCAGGAACACCGATAGCAGTACCGACGCCAGGACCAGGACGAGTTTGGATAGCGGGGTTAGTGCAGAGCATACCAACACGAGAGCCGAACTTGGATCCACGAAGAGATACCATGTGCTTTCGGATATGACTGGCAACAAGCTCACGATGTTGAGGATTGGAGTGAGTCAAGATGTATTGAATGAGGTAGTTGCCGTACTGATCACTGGCAATGTCAATCAGTGGGATGCGTGGACGATCATGACGACCTTCACAGACACGGTCAAGGTATCGGCTGAGAAAATCGGGGCCACCAATCTTGAGGCACTTCTCAACGACCTTGGAAGCAAACTGGTCCATGCTGTACTCGGAGGCGTATCGGATGACATGGTCAATGGCTCGGCTGCGATCAGCTGGGGCACCGTGCTCGCAAATGTGTTGAATGCACCAATTGCCAAATTGGCCATGGGCAACAATGTCAATGCTGGCAAGGACCTCTTCGATACATGGGCGCTGTGAACAGGTTAACAGAAGCTCAAACAAGAGGAAGATTAAATATATACCTTGTCTTCTTCGAGGCAGTTCTCAAAGATGTTCTGAACCACCAAGCTACCTGTCTCACCAAGAGCTACCTCATGCCACATACCACGAAGAGCTTCATTGACGAACTTCATGATTTGTGGGGGAGACTCAGTCCAGCGGAGCTCGAAAAGTTTCTGCCAAACGTGACAGGCATATCTGTGAATAACGGTCTCAGGGATACGACGAAGAAGTTCATGGACCATGATGGCCTTGTAGTCTTCCGGGACAGAGTCAAATGCCTTCTGGACAACGTGACAGCCGAAAGCGTCCATAGACAAGTTCAAAGTGTTTCCCCGAATGGCGTCAGCGATCTTGATGACCTGCTCAGGAGTTCCATGTTCGAAGCATCGTTGAACCAAGAAGTTGCCAAAGCGGTTGACCATCAGTGGGTAGGCTTGAGCAACGATGGCCTCAACAATCTCATACTTCTGCTCAGTTGTGCCAACCTTGAGCTTCTGTTGCAGGAAGATGGATGCCTGCTGGTCATTGTTGCAGACGATCTTGTCAACAATGTACTTCCAGTTGCAACTGACAGTACGGTCGAGGAGACGACGATAGTTGAGAGGCTCACTAGTGGGCATGTAAGTTGTACCTTCAGTGACACCAGTCTAAGAGTAGTGTCAGTAAATTGTGCAGTAACAGAGAGATGTGAAGGTACTTACTTCGCTCTTCCATGTTGATCCAGAAGACGTGAACTCTGGTGCATGTGGGGAGAGGGGAGTACCAATCGATTGAGCTTGGTATCCACCATACATGCCCATGCTAGCATTCATGTTCATGGTCATAGCACCACCCATGGCAGAGACACCAGGAGCCAAACCTCCAACAGAACCATAAGGGGTCGTGGATGGAGTGAAACCATCAAACGAGCTGTTGCTACTAGCGTAAGGATACGAGCTTGCACTGCTTCGGTTGTTGAATCGACCCCCAGGTTGATTACGTCGTGGGAGCTGAGGCATCAACAGGTCGGGCTCCGGCATCATACGATCGTTGCGGAAAGCATTCATTGGAGGTGCAGCAGGGTATTGCATACCAGCGTCGACGAAGGGTTGACCAAAGCCACGGCTCATCCATTGAGCAGAGGCAAGAGCGGCCGATGGTTGCTCAAAGCTGGGCATGGGAGCAGGCATCGGAGCTTGCATGCCAGGGAAGCCGGGCTTACCACCTGCATTCCAGATAGCACGAGCACGATTGAACCCAGTAGCGGAGAGTGCATCACTAGTATCAGAGCGAGCATCGTCCTGAGCAGCCCAAGAATTGTCACGTTGAATTTGAGGACGGACAACTGGAGGAAGATGATTGAGACGATCATCGACTTGGCTGCTGAGAGGGAAGTCGGCCTCGGAAGCACCTCCAATGGCTTGGTCGATAGTATGCTTTGTAATTCTGGTCTGGGCCAGCTCTTCATCCATGAGAGCAATCTTACCCTTGGCAAATTCAAGTTCTGCCTTCAAGCGAGCAACTTCCTCCGCATTTGGTGCAGCAGGGTCCTCTCCAGAAATGCTAGGAGGGCTGGTTGTAGGAGCAGTAGGGGCGGCACTGACGTTCTGGCTCTCGTTGGCAGAGGTGATGGGCACCGAGCTGCTTGTAGCTTGGATGTAGTCGAGTGTGCGAGCCAAGGCAATATTGTCTTCGGAGGACTTGAGAGCTTCTCGTTGGTTGGCAAGGACAGCTTGTTGTTCAGAGAGCTTGGCTAGGAGCTTGTCCATTGGGTTGGCCTCGGCAGCGGCAGAAGACTCGTGCTCGAATTTCATCTTCTGCAAACATTAGCATTGCCTTTCGAAGGGAAACGGTGTGGAGATGGTGGTTCAACTGACCTTTGGGGCGGTTTGATTGGCGAGCTGGTTACCAAGCTTGCTGGAGGTCAGAGCTGTGGCAGACTTCTTCAATGAAGCTGAGGTGTTGTCCTATAATGGAAAATCTCAGTATGTTACAAACATAAGTATCATCGATATCTTGGAGATGCTTTTGTAAAGGAGTGTGAGATTGTGGAGATCTGTATTGTGAGAGGGAATGTGCTCTGTGCCCAAGTTGTTGAAGTTCGGAACAATTCTGGGATTGTGGGCAGATTTAGGGGAGGTTTTGGGAGCGAAAGGTGAATTAAAGACATGATGCCGAAGTCGGACAGACTTGAACAAGAGTGACTTACCAGGCGGGCCATCAGGCTCTCGTCAGGCGAACCGGCATTCTCCTGAGAGATGCTTCTGCCAGCTGCAGCTCGACGCATGGTAGGAGAACCAGTTGAGGCCGACATGATGATCAACCTGTCGAATCTATGCTAGAGATCCGAAGCTCAACTTGGCAGACGATGCTGTGCTTTGGTCGAAGGGAGATGTTGGCAGATGGCTTCGACGTGGTAGGTGGATTTGTAAATGTACGAAGGAAAGAGAAGATCAAACAAGTCAAATACGAGTCGTAGCTCAACGGAAAGTAGATGGAAGGTGCACTTGAGCAGCGCGTCCTTTCACTGAAAGAAGGACTGTTGAGCTGGTTCTTGCTGACGAGTCGAAGTTAGAATTTGGTGGCTGTGGTGTGGAGGAGAGAAGGAGCGGGTGTTGAAGAAGTAGAACGCGACTTAGGTTGGCTTTACGTGTTGGCGTACCCCGTCGAATCACGAGTTTCGAAAGTGACTTAACGCAGGACAATGTAGAAGTTGGGATGAAAGAACATGGAAGAACAACAACTACTTTCATTCAAGAAATATCGAAGTAATGCATGCGGCCGCTTTCGCTTTCCTTCCTCGAATCACCACGAAGATGCCATTGGTCGGCCGATTTGGCCATTTCCATTCTAGGCAAATCGAGAAATGTGAGATCAGGACAAGAATATGACAACAGATGGCTCTCATAAATTTTTGGAGACATACCAGGCCGGATTTTCACATGGTGTAGAAATCCGCCCAACGTAGAGGACTTCTTCAAAGTACGTTGCAATCTAGAGAGGAGCCTGCATCTCGTACTTATCTGGCAAATGGAATACTTAAGAACGAGACGAGTAGGAGGGGGTTGGCCTTCCATTTGATACGACACATTATGGAAGGACCATAAATCTTCGAGGGACAGCAAGCATGTGATACCCAAATACTTGCATTCCTGTCTGTTCTGTACAGTGACTTTCTGCAGCATGAACACCCCATAACGGATTTGTGCTCTGACATGCACCCACCAAACGCCAGTATTCCTACAAGTATGCAACATTTCGTACATCGCTTCCATTCTACACCATGCCGGCCATCTACCTCTTCTTGCCCTTGAACTTCTTCGATTCTGTGGTACCATTGTCAGTGAACGCCCGATTTTAGCTGCTAATCTCTTCTCACCTTCCGCTGTCCTCTTCTTCTTGGGGGCACCCTTTCCTCTCGCCTTGAGACTACATGAATGTCAGCGTGTGTGCCATGGCCTAGCAGCAGAATCACAAACATCTTGATTCCCTCCAGCCGGTCTTCCTCGGCCTCATCGATGAACTCGTCGAATTCCGGATATAGCTTCTGCAGATCTTGAATCGTAGCAACCTTTCGTGGATAGTATGAAGCCAACGCTGGGCCCTTTAATCTTTGCCGCAGAATCTTATTTCCCAGTCTAAGACCTTCCGGATTGAACGTTGTTGAAAAGATCCGACATTGGACCTGCCACAGTCAGTACAGGCTCAATCACTCGCACGAATGTAGATCCAGTGCATACCTTCATCAAGTCCAATATTCGTGAACGTGGAACAGCCATTGTGCTGCTTGATTCTCAAACCTCGCTGTCGCTGCTCTGAGACGACGTTGATGCGCGGTCAGAAAAGTTGCAGCAGAAGCGGGCCGACATTTACCCGAAGCCGTCACCCTCAAATAGTCCATGAAATCGCAAACTGAGACAACATTTTCCAAGAACATCGATTTCCTATCATAATTGCAAGTATCGATACAAGATGCAGAAGTTATTCAACAAGGCTAAACGAAAGCATCAAGAGAGCCCTGGCTCTGGTGAACGAAGCTCAAAGCACAAAAAACATAAGGTCATTGTCCCGCTATCGAAGTGAAGCGCAAACTGACAATATTTCAGAATTCCCACGAGCGAGAGAATCCCTTTGCCAAATCTTATGAAAAGACTAGTGTGGATATTCCCCTCAGGGCGAACAGCTTCGACCAAGGACGCAAAGGGCAGAAGATCGCAAATTTGATCCGTGCCTTAAACGAGGCTTTGGACGAAGATGGCATGGACGAAACTTTGGAACTAATTGGGGAAGAGAATCTCAACAGATGTATAGATTTGAGGACCAATTTGAAGGAGACGAAACTAGAGACAGACGCATCTGCCGTCATATCACCTCCAGCTTCGCAGCCTCAACGAATGTCAATGTCACATGACTATCAGAATATCCCGAAGACCTTGTCCGTCTTGAATCTAACACCTTGGAAATCGTCTACAATACCTACAACATTGCCTCCAGCACCTAAAATTCTTGATCCGACTCTTGAGCTGTCCGCGTTCACACACATTGGTTGTAGTGCCGGCAAGCCATCAGACCTCAGCTACGAGCGACTCGAATGGATAGGCGACGCTTATATCCAACTCACAGCAACTCTCCTCATCGCTCAAACGTTTCCATCGTCCAACCCGGGAGATTGTTCTCGGTTCCGAGAAAAACTGGTCAAGAACGTTACACTGGCCAACTACTCGCATCAATACGGCTTTGACAAACGGGCTATCTTACCAGAGCACATGTCGGCAGGCCATGAAAAAACAAAAATAATGGGCGACATTTTCGAAGCTTATGTGGCCGGTGTCATATTGTCAGATCCAGAAAATGGGGTGATGCGGGCTACAGACTGGCTGAAAGAAATATGGGGCCGGACAATCGCAAAGGACATCATCAATGAAGAGAGAAATGGCATGAAGTTCGACAGCCCTTTATGGCGACTTCGAGGAAATGTGGATCCAGTTCAGGATATCAAATCGGCGGAGAGAGTAATACTGAACCCCAAAGAAGTATTGCAGAAAATGCTTGGGTCGAAGGGCATCAAGATCACATACCGAGATGCAGCACCTGAGCGAAAGTCCAGAGAGACGAACCTCGCAGAGTTCACGGTAGGAGTGTACCTCGATGGTTGGGGTGAGAAAGACAGAATGCTAGGCATTGGGAAGGGAAAGGGCAAGAAAGAAGCTGGATTCAAGGCTGCGGAGCAGGCAATGGAAAATAAGAAGCTGATGAAGGTATACACTGACAGGAAGAAGATCTTCGATGCACAAATGGAGTTGGAGAAGAAGGCTTTGGAAGAGCAGCAAGAAAGTACATCAACCTCTGTCTGAGATTGTTTTTTGTAGTTAGATGATACCCTCAAAATTGTCCGATTTGTTTGTAGGATGAGCAATAAATTGTCACTGGTCTTAGGCCGAATATGTAAAGCATAAAATGGTGGTATTCAGGCAAGCTATATAAGAATTCCAAAATCGAATTCAGAGAGCAGCTTCTAATGGCTATCAAAATGACTCTTGTAGCTACTTATTCGTGAATGTCATAGGCCTTCGCTCCACATTACCTCTACTAGTCCTAATCAGTTTATCGTAGACTTTGCGACATGCAACGAACGCTAGGTACCCCCAATTGGGCTTTTTTTCACGCCCTATGACAAACAACAGAACTTACAAGAACTGGTATTCCTAAGTACGCTTTTGCAAGTAGCTACAAGTACATTTCTGAGGCTCCCGTACTCTATTCATACTATACTTGTCTATTGCTGCATATCGTTGTAAAGATCTTTGATTACAGCTCGTGATCATAGTGACATAGGCAGCTCTGTGTGAATTCTCCCCTTTAGCTTTGTTACAATTTGCACTTTTAAAATGTGATATAAGCCTCATCAGTCAAATATACGGCTCTGTCTTAATTTACATTTATGCTTTGTTGCTTATCGTAGTTCTAGAGACTCAGAAATACAGCTCGGAATCTAAGTGTTCCTCACATGCAAGCCCTCGTACCGAGACCCCTGATTCAGATGCTGCAAGTCAAATCAGCAACATCACAGCCGCATCTCAGAACTTCGTGGCTCACTATTCTCAAAGTCCCTCATTATAGGGTACATCTCCAGGTATTTTCCATTACCTACATCAGCAAACATTAGTTCTATAATTACTTTGTTCACAAGATAGAACTCTCTTCCGACCCGACACGACACGACAACCCCCTGTAAAATTGCATCACCGAGGCACGACTTAACCCCATCACATCTTAGAGAGTACACGCGACTCTATGATGCGCATAACCATTAATTTCCATTTTCCCTTCCCCACAACACAATAAAAACAATTGCTTGCTTCCCTCATTTGCACATACGCCCTCTCTCTGTATATGTCATGTTTATAGATAACCCTGCGGCCTCGGCTCACGATTCTGTTTGCTGAGTGAGCAAACAAAGAAAACGCTGATAAGATGGCGGACTCTGTGGGTAGGTTACCCGCACGTGTCCTCCTTACTTTGTGCGAGTGTGCTAATTGTGGATGGTGGGATAGATCGAGTGTTTGTCCACGCGCTGAACACCGTGAAGAAGATTCCCAAGACCGGCGCCTCTCGCCCGCCTCCTGCGGACCGTCTGCGACTTTATGGCCTCTACAAGCAAGCGATGGAGGGGGATGTAGATGGGGTTATGGAGCGGCCGGGAAGTGTGGGGGAAGGTGAGCATGAGCCGGAAGATGTAAAGAAGGATAGAGATAAATATGATGCCTGGGATGCGCAACGGGGGATTAGTAGGACGGAGGCGAAGAGGAGGTATATCGAGGCTTTGATTGAGACGATGCACAAGTATGCCAGTACTACTGCGTAAGTCTTCTTTCGCTATCTGTTTGGAAGTACAGAGATGGCTGGTGGGGGAGACTTTTGAAGCGGAAAGTGGGATTAAGGAAAGAAGAAAGTCTGACAAAATCACAGAGATGCAAGAGCATTAGTAGATGAACTGGAATTCGTCTGGGACCAAATTAAAAACAACAGCGCCTCATCCTCTGGCTCCTCTCCTGGCCGTCACGGCGTCCCTTCCTATACCACGAACACACAACCCCGCCAATTCCAACCTCCCCTGTCCGGAAACGATGGTCCCATGCGAGTCCTCAGTCCAATGTCCCAAGACGACGAAGCGGAGCAGGAATCGGAGCGCCGATTAGATGTATATGACGAATACGACGACGATGAATATAACGAAGATGGAAAGAAAGACAAGAAGACCAAAAGATGGCGGAGAACGGTAGAGCAGGCGTTGGTCAAGATGACAGCTGAGATTGCAGCGCTTAGAGAGCAGATTGCTACCGGGAGAGAATACCAGGGGAAGAAGAGGAGGAGTTTTGGGAGGTGGGTGGCGTGGTTTATATGGATTGTCGCGAGGCACTTTCTGGTGGATATGGTGGTGCTGGGCATTGTCTTGTTGTGGTTGAGGAAGAGGAAGGACAGGAGGATTGAAGATTTGGTGAGAGAGGGATTGAAGATTGGCAGGGAGTATGTGAGGAAGATACTACCTCCAAGATGAACGACCTCACGACATCTTAGACGAGACACTCGTGGCAATTGATCAATGCCTGATTACGATGTCTGCCAGGAAACCGAATATTCGACAACTTCACCATGCGGTCAATGTCCGACAGCAGATGATCAATCTCGAGGACCATCATTCGAACTGCGGTCGAAGTTTTAGCGCACAATAAGGGGAGATTGGCTCTTCAGATGAACTTTCGCATCGAAGAGTTCACTTCGACACACGACAGTCAATATGAACAATTTTTTATTCGTTTCATGGCTATGTACATCCGTCTCGAACAACCCCACCATCCGAAATTTACGCAGGTGGCATACCAGGCAACTGAGCAGCTCCCTCAATAGCTGGGATCCAGGCTATACGCTCTGGAGCAAAGAGCTCAGCCTTGGGCACATTCTGGCTCGGGAAATTTGGATCGTCCAAAACACCCGCCTTGATGATGACTGCACCGGGAAAAGATTCACCGGTACGAAAGAGTGTGGTACCGCAATCCGGACAAAAGTGGGATACAATAGTCTTTCCACTATCGGCTGTCTTGGATATCTCCTTGGGCTTGCCTGCAGATTGGATGTTAGGAACAGAGCATAATAGAGAAGAAGAAGGATATACCAGAGTGAAGCTTAAAGTTCTGTTCGGGGACGATCAAGTTGTTGGAATAAGAGGAACCTCCAATCTTTCTACAGTCTAAACAGTGGCATAGAGCATGAGCATTGAGTTCGCCGGTGTAGCTCAACCGGATCTAGACGTAGAACGTAATCAGCATACATATCACTCCACGTCTTCCACTTGCTGTACCCCTCTCTGTCCAGGTTGAAAGATCAAGGATCAACCCACCTTGTTGCAGAAACATCCTCCTTCAGGCATTTTGATGATTGGTCAATTGAAGCGTAGCGTAGATGATAAAATGCCAAAGCGTGCAAAGTAATCAAGACTTCGAGAACCTTGACGGTTACATCTTCCCTATATATACCCTCTCATCCTCTCATCCTCCCATCCATCCATCCATCCATCATCATTCTCTCTTCAACTTATTCCCGCAAGCTCCCTTCCTACAGAGCTAAAGTGCGGGGTGAACCAGCTATACCTCTATGATAACACCGGATCTCGACCCTCCCGTTCTCTACCCTTTCTACCGAAAAGTCCTATCGTCACAATTCCCAGAAACCAAATTCTCCTTATCCTCGAATTTGGAATTATGATCTACGAAATCGAGAATCATGACGTTGGCGGGGTTAGTTGGTTGGACCTCGCTGCCTGCAGCCTTCCTCGCGGGAGCCTGAGGACGCCAAAAGCAGCTAACCAGCTGGGCATCTAAGCAAACTTTCCTCCTACTGCGAACACCAGCTAGCATCTCCGAGGCGAAAAAAGAGAGCCATCCTGTGGGACGCTTCTTCTGACGTACATTGGCGAGTGCTTCGCCGCTGGGAAACCTGTTCGTTTGATTGGGCACTTCGCCTGGCTAAACAGAGAATATGTCTGAGCCAATTTCGCGAAGAACAGACGAAGACGAGGTGAGAACCTAACGACCCACGACCCCTTTATTACGCGCGAATTCCACGTGATCCACGCGTCTCACTTGCTTGTCTTTGCGTCTCCAGTTATAGTCATTGGTTAAAGAGATGCTAACAAACAAACAAGTCATTCAGCCTCGCTCCCTCGATCTTCTTCCCGTTTCCAGGATTTACCGAGAAAAACACCGTCCCGATCCAGAGTCTAGAAGATACCGAGAAGTTACAGAAGATCATCGAGAATCTGGGCGTGCAGCAAGAGAGGGTTAGGGGCAATATGATGTTCCTAGTCAAGCAACGAGCAGAGAGACTAGCCTCCAAAGCCAAAGAAGAACTTTCCACCCTCGACAGCGACGGTGAAGAGGATGAAAAAGATAAAGAAGTCAAGGAGAAGAACATCGATGCCATGTTTGCGAATATGAGAGTCCTGGCCAAGAAAGGTGCTAAGAGTGCGGAGTACGAGGTCAGACTTGACAGCAATCCTCCAGTTCAGACGGATGTTACGATGGCAGGCACGGAACTTACTACACCTGCAAGTCCACTGGGAGGAAATGGCGATGTCAATATGGTTTCTACTCGTTCTTCACGCCAGATTCTCGGCACGCTTTCTGCGGAGATGAAGATCCTTATCGATGACAACTCATCTAAGATGCAACGTTATGATAAGCATGCGAAAGAGGTGGTCAATCATTACAAGCAAGCTCTTGAGCGGAGAAATAGTAGGAAGGGTTCTGGTCCGGCTATTTCTGGGGCCGCCTTTGGAGGAGGAGGGATGATGGCTAGTCCGGTGGAGATGAGGAGGTTGAGTACGGGAATGCCGATTCTAGGTTCGTTTGTTGGGGGTCCGCAGCCTGTCAGGGTTTCTGAGACTATGGAGGAGTTGGCTAGGAGGGGAAGCAAGTGAGTAAGTGATCAGGGGAAGAAGGTAAAAGGGGTCAGTGGGGTTTTGCTGATGGTTGTCACTGCTTCTGGCGTAAATTGCGGTTCTGGGACGCGGAGATACCACTTTTGCCTCTGATATTGTCTGGGAATTCGCTAAACAACTAAGATTCCGTTTCCTGCACTTGTTTACTGGTGAAAATGCTATGTCTTATTCCTTCCCATCACACCCATTACCTGTTGCTTGCCCACATTGCCACATCCAAAATCTCGGAAACAGACGGATCGTTGAGCTCATACTAATTTGTTTGGCTCGAACTCGCACTTTGAAGTATCCTTTCCAGAGAGTGCGAAATAGAATGAGTGCACTCTCAATTGCACATCACACCTTTCAGACTGTATGGTGCACTTTAGAATGCGAGCTCCAGCCAAACACACTCTATATTCATTCGCCCGAATAACCCATCAACTCGTAGTACAAGGCTTCCACAGGTCAACAATAATCCCATCAATTAGATTGGAGAACTCTTACCTATCTGGCGCTCGAAATCAATGCCGCTGTCACGACCGACATGAAGCCTCGAAACCTCATCTCCAGTCAAGTGGAACTTCTTATCCAACTTCGCGATCTTATCCTTATCTTCAGCGGTCGGGAGTCTAGGTCGACAATAAGGAGCTCCTTCATCCATGATGTTCCAGCTCTCATTCCTATGGAGTCCTCCAGCATACGGCTTCTTGCGAGTAAGAACATCCATTCGAATCTCGTCCCATTCCGTCTTGATAGCTTCCTCCCAGGTATCTCCGAACAAACGTGCAAAGTTCTCGGCCCTATCTTCCCCCGTGATGACAAGCCGACGAATCGGTGCCGTGAAGCCTGTGAAAGTGTCACTCGTGCCAAACTCGAGAGCAATGCCAAGTCGTCGGCAAAGTTGCTGTGCAGCAAAGTCCGAGGGAGCATGGTACATCCAGTACAGAGCAGCAGATCTGAATTTGATACCAACATTTGATCTTGGAGGAGGTTCTTGAGGGCTTGGACTGTCATCTCCAAGAGCCATCATCGTAAGGACATCCAAATTCTCAAATATATCGACAAGCCAGAACTTGATCTCAAGTCTTCCTTCTCTGTTGTTCTCCTTGATCATGTCGTGGATGTTCTTTAAGAGGAATCGATTCTGTTGTTCGACATTTCGATAGTCATTTTGCTCCCAATCCCAAACATGCTCGGACAGACAAGCTACCATGTAGGGAAAATGGAGTTTGATGACGAGTTTCTTGATGGAAGTTTCGGAGAGCAGGTTATCTTCGACGATCTCAATGGTACGTTTGATTGCATATAGCATACGGCATGATTTCCATGGCTGTCTGTCTCCGTGAGATAATAAGAATGGTTGTATGGCGATTCAGAGCTGAAGAATATTCCATATGCCTAGACATTGGATTAGACGGTGATCTTGGGGGCCTCGAATGTGTATGAGAGAGGAGACTTACGCCTTCAGCATCAGGAGTTTCATCGGTTTTGCAAGCTCCATGGATAGAAACAACAATCTCCTCGACTAGAGGATTGTTACATATGAATCCTTCTTTGTCGATATTCTTGTCTGTCTTGCCACTGAACTTCGCGTTGTGGATAAATCTCGTAAGGTCCTTTGCATCGGTCTCGAAGAGGAACTCTTGGGTGTTGCGCCTGGGACCATCTGGAGGATAGGAGGCGCAAAAATGCGAGAAGCGTTTCTTGATTCGGACATCTTTTCTGTAGCACAAATGGTATTGAGTGATGAAAGCAGATGGACGAGTCGTTACCTGGCATGTAAAGAAAAGCTGTAGAAAGGTTTGAGTGGATGCGAAAAGTAGAGAGCTCAAAATGGGAAGTATGAATGTCAAGCACAGCTCGCTTGAGCGCAGACTTCGAATTTATGACTGGGACGCTAGATGGGCCCAAATGAGGCAAGCGGCAAGCATCGTAGCTGTGAAGGACAACTTGGGAAGCATGTAGAGACACTGTAACCATATGTTAGTTTCTTGTCACTCGAATACTTTACTTTAACTAAACGAGAAAATGTATACCTGTCTAAAGTACCCAACTACTGACGGACTTTGAATCTTCATACAAATTTCGTTTATGCACTCTCTTCAAATTGAAGTAGCATCTCTCCATATATTTAGCAGGCTAATAGTTGATCAGTGGCAGTACATCGTAAGCTACAATTTTGTGAGTTCTGATCTCAGGGTTTCGACCCCACCCTACCCCGCTTCCTCTTTGGCATCAGCAAGCACCTGCTCCGCCAATTTCCTTGCATCTTCCACTCCTCCCTCCTCTACCAACCAGAATCTGATTTCGCAACCAACTCTCTCAACCTCTAAACAAACTTCTCCCAAGCCCTTGATCTCAACATGATTACCAACCATCTCCCCTTTCGTAGTTTGAAGGCCCTTGTTTTGCCACACAAAAATCCAGTCCGCCATGCATTTCACCAGATACACACTATCCGTGATAATAACGACTTTCTTCTTCGTTTTCCTTGACCCACTTTCCGATGGTGTTGAATCCGGAGATGACGAAGGACCCAAGATTAACAATTCGTAGCTGATCTTCAGACATTCGGCGGTCCCCAGAAGGAGTGCGAGTTCTTTCGTCTGGTTTTTCTTCTCGGGAGCAAGCGAGCTGATATTCAGCTCCGAACTCTTCCCAAAGTAAGCGCCAAACCCCGCTCTCCCATCCTTCACAGCTCCGTCGACAGAAACCACAATCGAGTCCCTATCGACCTTCACCGTTCGATCGGCCCTCCTCTTCGCTTTCAGATTGTTCACCGCGAGATGCGTGACCCCGTTTCCAACATCGTAAGAAGAGATATGGTGTATAATATCAGATGGCTGCTCCAGAGTTTTCACACGGTCTGGGGGACCGAGGAAGTATAGATTTGGGTCGAAGATGCGGGAATTTGATTGTGTTGTTGAAGCGTCGGGCATACTTGGGACATTGGAAAATAGAGGTGGAAGACATCGTGAGGAGGAGGGCGGAAGATAAGGTAAGGTTATGTGATGTTGCGGCGTCAATGCGTGTGATGAGATGTGAACGTTGGCTGTGTTGGTGGCGTTGGGGAGCTGACTTGACAGGGCTTAAAGTGGGGACACTGTTGGAAGCCCTGGAGTGGAGTTCACTTGCACGTGAAACATGAGTTGGGTGAAAACCTTACCCTAACTCGGATTATAATTTTGTACATTAGATTCCTTCTTTTGGATTAATTGCTTTGTTACAATCTCTTGGCTCATCGTACATAAATCATCCGAACTTTACATCCTGGGCACCTTTCGAACACACGAGCAGCCGCCACCAACCCCTGACAAACCCCTGTCATGCAAATGTAAGTGGATGCTTTTGCGGCTTTTTGTCCAGCCAGACTCACAATTTTCTGATACATTTGCTTGTTCCTAGGAGCATGGTTCCTTAGATGCTTGTTTCTGTTGATGCAGGAACGGTGGATCGGATGTTGTCTGTGCGGTTCCAATATTTAAGCATATCTGAACTTGAGGCTCATTCGTCTCCAGAAAAACTTTAATTGTACATCACCACTCTCGACGATCATTCAACCTTCCATCTATCCCGCGTCGTAATGACGACCTCAAATGACAATGCAAGGCTTTTTGAGCCAGGACATCTCCGCAACGGGCCTCGTTCAGCTATGAAATATTACCCCGCATCTGGTCTCACATTCGCCAAATCTGAGACTCCCTCATCTCCGTCAACCACAGTCATCGTCGGTGTCGACGGAGCATGCCCTGATAATGGAAACGGGCCAGCTCGAGGATCATGGGGAATCTACTTTGGGCGCAATTCGCTGTACAATACATGTGGCCTAATCCCAGAGACCGAGAAGAAGACGAACAATGTCGCCGAAATCTATGCTGCAATTTCCGCTGTTAGACTCGTTTCCCAAAAGGTAGTACTTGGTACTCGAGAGGTGAAACAGCTTGTCATCATGTCGGATTCAACTTGGCTTGTAAATTCCATGACGATCTGGCTACAAAACTGGAAACAAAACGGGTTTCAGAGCTCAAAGAAGAAGCCGGTCATCAATTCGGAGTTGATTCGAGAACTGGATGATCTGATTGAGGATGTGGAAACAACACTAGGACTCAATGTCAAATTCTGGCACGTGAAGAGGAAGTCCAACTTTGGAGCGGACAGGTTGGCCAACATAGCTCTGGACAATGACGCCGATTGGGAAGCCTTCTGGAGAAACCAGCTCGAATTCGATCCTAAATCACTTAATTTGGATTTCTTTACTTTGCGTACGAATACTGTGGTAACCATGGGACCGAGATTGCTTTGTTTGGAATACCCTGTGACAGGGAAAGGAGAATGGTTTTCGTCGTTGCGTGCATTCCTCATTTTACAGAACAGCTGGAAGGTCAGCTGTTTGCCTGGAAGGACACCAGAATCGAAAGATCTCCTTCGAGATGAAATTCTCAAAGGGTTTCTGGGCCCGAACTTTCGGAGGAGAGCAAATCTTGAGCTTGAGAAGCACAAGCAGAAATCGGACGCTCAAATGGCGCTTCTGCTGAATGCCGCGAAGAAGTATCACGAGGATGGCGATGAGAGGAAGGGAAAGTTCGTCATGTTGGCGGAGATCAACAACCACATGATTATGACCATTGTGTCACGCTCACTGGAAGGTAAGCCGCATCCATATCCCTTGATATGTTTGTGCTCACAACTACCAGTATCTCTTCCGTTCGCTGAATGCAATGAAAGTTTTGTGAATCGAGCAAAACAATATCTCAGTGATGACGATGATGTTATCAAGAAGCTCGAAGTCTTGATCAGCGGGACAACGAAGCAAGCGAAGAGACAAGGCAAAAAGCAGGGCCGAAAAACACGACAGGTTCCAAAGCCAAATGAAATCGACAGTGGAGCAAAGCTTGACTGGGGTGATGATTGGGTTGAGGTTGAACGGCCTGAGGAACATTTGACCTGACCTTAGTTGGGGCAGGTCTTACCAAGATTGTGCGAAACCACTTGACGACTGTACAATACCGACTTTGTATCAACTTTATGTACTATTGTTGTGATATTTGATAGATTTTGTTTTACCCTAGGACATTCTCTTGGCCAGAGTCTCTTAAGCTCGTTGAAAACTCGATGAGAAGTTATCCCTTTGGATTTGGAAGAAGCACGGCGGGTTCAAATATTGTATGCCATAAAAATCGAAATACGACGTAACATTGTTCTACAGCTTGTGAGACAATATAAGTGAGGAAAGCAGACTCTTTGCAACGTCGAATCAAAAAGGGAGTCAACACATCGTTCTTGATCACTTCATCCTTCAAATTTTAGTTCACACTTGGTTGGGACTTAGCCCTTTCATTTTGTCCCAGAAGGTTCGGGACAACATTATCTTATCTTCCAAAATTTCATAAAACCCAATGAGGCGCGACATAGCACATTAAGAAGAAATGGGAATTGGGGACTCCCAGGCTATCTGGTCTCAAGGATGATGTTATTTATTTCCATTCCAATAAACATACATGGGGAGTATTGGCTTCTTAGATAGTGATGCACCATTTTGGTGAAAGGTGGTGCAAACATTGACGTCCCAAGCCGAAGGTTTGACTTTGAATCATCTGGTGTTACAAATATCAATTGGTCCGCAACGCCACTTCAAACTGCGTCGAATGCTGGGAATGTACCACTAGTGGAGCTTCTGCTTGATTTGGGAGCGGATGTCAATTCAACAGCGTGCCCTGGGGGTAAGACGGCGCTATTTGCCGCTGTTGAGGCAGGTCACGCCGAGGTTGTCAAGATCTTACTTGCCAGAGGCGCTCAGGTTGATGCTTTCGGTAATCATGAGTCCGAGCCGCACGTTACGTGTCTGATGGCAGCAGTCAGGCGAGGCGATGCTATGCTTGTTCAAATGCTACTAGAAAACGGGGCAGATCCTGATTTGTTAGTTGTGGATTCTTTTGGCTTTTCAATAATTGAAATCGCCGAGGCTTTCCCTGACACTTCAAGGATTGTAGAAATCTTGGTTCAATTCGGGGTTTCACGAGACAAGAAAACCTAGGAGCGAGGCCAGCTTCTTCGGGCAATATCAACCGGTGATTCCACATGTTTCAGCTCTCTACTCGAATATGGGATAGATTTCACAGAGCCATCCGACTACAGGTCCAAAATTCTTAGCGCCGTCATAGACTCTGGAAACAATAACGCTCTTATTTCCCTTGCTCAAGCCGGAATAGACATCAACCAAAGAATCAAAGTGGACTTTTTGAAACTCAAAAACCAACTTCGATTTACTCCAGCTTCGGATGGGATTTTAGGCATTACGGCTGAGTTGATTTGTATCACTCCGCTTGGTTATGCCGTTGCCCACGGAGGATGGATCAAAGGCGCAGTGCCGGATATCGCAATGACGATGTTGGACCTCGATGCAGATCTTAATGCCAGCTTATGGGAAGAATCTTTTGAATATCAGTCATTGTTGCATTTTGTAATAAGCCAATGGATTGGCAGGCGTAATTCTTTCTACCAAGGAATCAAACATGTCAAAGGGCTTGTTACGCCCAAATTGATTGAGATCCTGTTGAGCAGAGGGGCTCTTCCGGGTGCATCCGGACATGGCCTGGATTCATCCAATCAGGCTACGCCACTCCAGTTAATTGCGTCTGATGAACCTAAGGAGGGATGGCCTGAGACGTTTGAAGTTGCCGAAACGCTATTGAAGGCCGGGGCCGATGTGAACAGCACGCAATGTTTAAGTGTTCTTCAACCTCTTGAAGCTGCAGCTTTTATGGGGAACTTTGACTTGGTGAAGCTGTTGCTAAGTCATGGGGCCGATGTCAAAAGCTCGGCTCTCCAGGAGGCAATTCGTGGCTTCTTCAAATATGATGCTCAACCCGAAGTCAGCATGGCAGTTGTGAATTTACTGTTGGAGAAAAAGGCGGATATCAACGCTCCACCGTCTTATGATGGCATGGGCATGACAGCACTCCAATGGGCAGTTCATGGGAACTTTCTGCCTTTGGTTCGTCGTTTAATCAATCTTGGAGCTGAGATCAGTGCAGCCTCGCCCGACGCTACATACGGAGGGACAGCGATACAGATTGCAGCAAAGGATGGCCATCTTGAAATAGCATATCTATTGATTCATCATGGCGCAGATGTCAATAGAGCAAGCCACAACTTTCCGTATGAAGAAGAAGAGACATCTGCAATAGACCTCGCAGCAAGAGAAGGACGACTCGACATGGTGCAACTTCTTATCAATGAGGGTGCAGATACACATCTGCCAGGAAGCAAGAGATACCGGAGAGCCGAAAGACTTGCTGAGAGAGAGGGGCACGTTGCGGTTGCTGATCTCCTTAAACACTATTTTGAAGATGCAACCTGGGATTAAAAGTCTAGTGGTAAAAGCGTGCCCTCTTACTTCCAACTTCTCTAGTGATGAAGGCGCATAGAAGAAATGCATGGATAAACGTAAATAAGTGAAAGACCGCACGACATCTAGGTCTGTTAATAATGTTTTGTCATTCTTCGGAATTTTGATTCCTTTTTAATGCTTGTAAGAACGAAATTAGTTGCTATGATTCAATCTGCAATTAAAAAAGCTTCTATATTTGCTTTCAATTTACTGCCATACCCATCCCTCACACACCTCTTTAACATTGACATGTTTAGAGCTCACCCTTGAAAGATAATTATAACAGAAAACTTCAATGCCATCAAATCATCGACACCATCGGGAACAGCGCAAAAAACGGCTCTAAAATCATTCGACTCAATCCTCATCGTCAACCGACGCGAAATAGCCGTCTGAATCTTCAGCACCCTAAAGAAGCTTACCATCAAATCAATCGCCATCTACCCCCGCTTAGACCATAACCGCCCCCACGTACGCGCCGTAGACCAAGCACACCTGCTCGCTGGCGACACCGTCGAAAGCACCTACCTTTCCATTACCGCCATCACCGCCATCACCGCCATCACCGCCATCACCGCCATCATCGCCATCGCCAAGGCATCGGGCGCAGAAGTAGTTATACCCGGCTATAAATTCCCGTCCGAGAGCGCTGAGTTCGCGGAGGCATGTGAGGGGAGTGGAATTATTTGGTTGAGACCTACGCCGCTGCAGATGAGGAGTCTAGGGCTCAAGCATTTGGCGAGAGAACGCGCCAAAGATGCTGGAGTGCCGTTGTTGCCGGGCACGGGATTGCTTGGGGATGTTAATCAAGTACTTGATGAGGCTGACGTGATTGGGTATCCGGTTATTGTGAAGAGTAGCGCTGGTGGAGGGGGGTAATCAGAATGAAGAAATGTGCAACTCCTCTGGAGCTGAGAGAAGCTTTTGATTCTAGTAGATATCTGGCGCTTTCGATCTTCAAAGATAAAAGAGTCTTTATCGAGAAGTTCGTGGAAAACGTGAGACATGTTGAAGTTCAGATTGTTGGTGATGGGGACGGGTTGGTGAAACATCTCGGTGAGCGGGACTGCTCGCTCCAGCGGCGGAAACAGAAAGTTTTTGAAGAGGGTCCTGCTATCCCCTAAGCTGTGGTAAACACACTTTTCTAGGCCTGAGGCATACTATACATCCTCGCTAAATTTCCAGCAGTCTGTGCCCTGAAGGCGCTAACTTCGTAAGATTGGGGCCTGGAAGAATTCGCTTAAGGGCTCACCGTAGCCTAAAAAGTGTGTTTTGAAACACAGCTTAGGGGATATTCGTGCCGGAAAAGATTCGTGGGAGTATGCGCCGCGCAGCCATCGAGCTTGCTTCTTCCGTCTCGTATAGAGGTGTTGGCACCGTTGAATTCTTATATGATATCGGAACCAAGGCTTTCTATTTTATGGAGGTGAATACGCGGCTACAAGTAGAGCATGCCGTCACCGAAACCATTACTGGGCTAGATCTCGTAGAGGCAATAATCAGGATTGGCGCCGGCACTTCGTCTTGTCTGTTTACGGACTCTTCGGAACACTTCTCGATTGAGGTGGTTGCTGTTGAAGCTCGAATCTATGGCGAGTCTCCGTTACAAGATTTTGAACCCTCACCAGGGCAACTCTTAGAGGTGTCGTTTCCTGAGGATGTACGAGTTGATACGTGGATCGAAGCTGGTACCATTGTCTCCTCTCTATATAATCCTTTGTTGGCAAAGGTCACCGTATGCGGCAAGGACCGTCCAGAAGCCATCAGGAAGCTAGCCGCTGCTCTCCAAAACACTGTTTTTTCTGACATCGAAACGAACCTAGATTATCTCACGCAAATAGTTTCGAGCAGCGATTTCCAAAATGGAACGTACACAACGACGACACTGGATGCTTTCAAGTTCCAAGCCGATGCATTCGAAGTCTTAGATCCAGGGCCCTCGACCACCATCTAGGATTTCCCAGGTCGTCAAGGGTTGTGGCATGCTGGAATCCCTCGATTGGACCTATGGATGACTATTCATTTCGACTCGCCAATTGTCTGCTGGGAAATGACCTTGGAGCAGCGTGCTTGGAGTGTACCCACGCTGGACCTACGATAATTTTCCACCAAGACGCTTATGTGGCAGTTGTAGGTGGGCAGCTCAGCCTTGAAATAGATGGGACGCCTATCCCTCTTTTCAAACCTCTCCACGTGCGTTCAGATGGCATACTCAAGGGCAGGCAACACAGGTCGCGTGATGATGGCGGATGATATCGTTATTGGACTGAACGCCTTGACCTCCTTCGAGATAGACTTCCAGCATAGGGCTGGCTCGGTGCGGCATCTTGTACCATAGTGGCAGAAACCTTTTCTAGGACGCTAAGGGAAGACTTGACTAACACGAAAGAGGAAATATTTAGGAGGTAGTGCGAGACAATGCTATGTTGCGAGAAAATCAGCCTTGAATTTGAAGGGCGTATTTTGGATGGATCCTGTTTGGGCTCTAATGGTAGTGATTAGCGAGGTAAAGGTCCAACGAGATACGGATTCACGTCTCCTAAGCCAATGAACTCTTTTCTTAAGCCAATAGTCGTGATTGGCCAGAAAGGTTAAGATTTAAGGTTATTGCTGTTGGTGATGAGCGAGGCGTGGGTCGTAGGTCCAGGTATAAGAAGTTCACCTGTTTTTCCATTTCGATTCTTTTTCTCCATCCTTTCCCAAAGTCATCAACATAACACCAACTTCAAACACCCACAGCACAATGTCCAGCACACTAGCAATCCGCCAGAGAGAGGAGGGGGAGGGACAGAGAGAGAGAGAGAAGGATGAGAGAGAGGAGGTAAGTTTACTTCTTGAGTTTGAAATTTTCTGCAAGATTTAGGCGCTAACTTTTATCTAGGAGGAGATGGTAGAAGAGAACGACGACGATGATGACGACGATGACGACGATGACGATGATGATGACGACGAAGAAGAAGATAAGGAGGAAGAAGAGGGGAAGGAGAAGGTAAATATTTCTTATCTTTTTAACTTTTTAATTTTTAGTTGAGTTTAATCATTGAAATATAAAACTAACTGAAGAATTCTTAGGCAGAGATGTCGAAGACGAAGGAGAGGAGATTGCGCATGAAGGCTCGCCGCAAGGCGGAGAGAGCGGAGGAATTGAGGGCGGATAGGACGGCGGCGAATCAGAAGAAAAGAAGCTGATACTTGAACATCCGCAAGATGCGGAAACGAAAGCAGGAGTGGGAGAGAAGGATGAAGATGAGGAAGCCTTGAGCTGGGGTGTTCGTGTCTGTGCGTGTTCTTCTGTTAGAAAAAAAAAAGAAATTGACTGTCTCATCGAATATTTCACGGTGATAAAACACTCTGGCAAGATACTATGATGGCTCTTATGCGATGAGTTGTAAGTGAGATCTCTCACCAGAGAAACTCCTCTCTAACAGCTGAATGCTTTAGGGCTCCCCAATCATATCTTTGACCATCGTACTATGGAATATCAACTTACATCACAAGCGCACAAACGTTTGTAATCTACTGAACCTGCAGTTGCCTTTTCGAGATCCATTGGCGCTTAGATCGAGTTTGCTCACCCCAGTAACGCCGTGTCTCTATTTATGTTTTCATACTGGATTACTGGCGCGGTGTTTGCTTGTATAGTACTGGTACTTCCTTGGGGTACCGGGTTTGTGATCTTGGAGTGGTGTGAACAAAGTCATTTTACAACTCTGAAGTATGAAAGCTCATTCCGAGGCTTGATGTCGTTCCAGACTTTGAGGGACAATCGAAGTGGGCTAAAGGAGTGAACGAAGAGTTGAGAGATGAAGTAGTGCAAGAACGACCTGGAATTTCCTGTCTCGAATCAGGAAAGAGCACTCCGCACCATAGCAGCTCCTGCTTTAAACCAAGTACACAAGCATTTCCAGAACCTTGGCTTCTTTCTTCCATCATCAAGCGTCGCAACATCGTTTACCATTGAGCATCAGACAATATTCATACCTCGTCATGAACCAATTTCCCCGACCAAATCGGACATTCGATCCGTTACCATATGTAAGCGGAGCACCAAGCAATGCGCCATACCCTTCTTGTATTATGCAGCCGATCGAAATTGAAGGCCAGAAATTCTTGCAGCTTGTAAGATGGTGTCCCGAGCGAGCGCCAGTGCCAACCACCTTGGTTGTTCACACTTGCGGATTCAAGCATGCTGAAGCACTTGCACTACATGTACATTTTGGAGAAGAGAATTATGATTGGAACAACCACTGGCGTGTGTGGCGACACTTACCGCAGACAGAAGAGTTTGCTTCTATTCATGCCGCAATGGCTACTCTACATCGTAAGTTGACGCTCTGAATGGTGGTACAGTCAGCATGAAATTGTATAAATATTGATTGTTAGCATGGTTGGAATTAGAAATGAATTTGTGAGCGGACGCTTTAGGAACATTAAAAAGTTCGTACTTGTCACCAGCTCGAACCTAATTACCACTGCGATGCGTGAAATGGCCGGCGGTCAGCGCACTGGCACTACCCACGGTATTCTGTACGGATTGCTTCACAGTGTGGTTTCTGGATTCGAGGCAAGAGGTGTGGAGGTCCAGTTCTTCACTTTACCCCAAGAGCACAATGTGGCCACACAAGGAGCGATAGCTTGTATTTCCGAAACAGCACCATCCTCTGATGACGAAGACTGAGTTTTGGGGAGCGCTGCGAGAGCAAGAATGAGGTTATCGGAAATCGAGTTGCACGAAAGGAAGAGAGCAGATAGCTATGGTAGGATAGGAACTTCATGAATCACAGTGAAAACTCTTCCGTTGCTCGTCTCTTTTCATCCTCCATTTATTTTGAGCGGGATGAAGGTTTTTAACACGAAAATTACGAAGAACTGCTAGGGGGCAAAGGGGGCGTCAAAGCATTGAGATTTGCTTAGACCTAAACAAGAACTCTTACCAGGGGTCTGACAGGGTGGATGTCTTTGCTGTGGAGGACGTCCGGTCTCACACTGTCCGTATATCCCTACCATCAATTCATGCCCCGAACATGTATAGCCATATATCGTAGATAAAGTATTATCGAAATTGAGATGTAGCAGCCGGCGGTAAGTTGCGCATTCGTTGAGCAAAAGCTCTCATTTGCATCCATTCCAGCGCCCGAATTCGTGCTCTAGAGCACAAGATAGAGGAAGAACTCGACAATAGCGACAACCGCGCCGAAGCATGGTTGCGCTCAAGTGTTTCCCACAATATCAGCTCAATACAATTTAAATAAAGAAAAAGAAGAATTCTCCGGCGTCAAAATCTTCAATTTTGTAGAACTTTTCCCGCCGCAAAGCTAGACCCGAAGTGGCTTGGCCTGAGGGTCGCCAAAGCGCCAATCAAATCATAGTCGTTCCTAATGAAAGCTTGGGTAGCGCGATTTCGAACATCGAGCTCGAACGTCAAGAAAGGGTATCAATCGCTCGCCCCCGCCACTCCGCAGTGTCGTCCTTCTTTCTTTTCTGTTAATTCGACGAGAGGACACGATGCTGAGGCAATCTCTGGCACGTTCGGCTCTGCGGACGAGCAAGCAGAGCTGCAATGCCTCCCGAACATTCGCAACATCGAGTAGACGACAAGCGGAGGTCCAGCTTACTGTTGGTAAGGCGCATTGAGTCTGCAGATTGAGTAGTTTGAAAAACGGCTGACTCGTTTTTAAGATGGCAAGCAGGTTTCAATAGAAGGTATGTTGTGTTGAGTCTGGCTGACGGCGGTGATGTTGACGAATGCCACAGCTGGTTCTGCTTTAATTCAAGCTTGCGAAAAGGCCGGAGTGACTATTCCTAGGTAGGATGATTCTCTAATCATGTATGGAACTCTGCTAATACTACTGTAGATATTGCTATCATGAGTGAGTCCTCGAGCCCCCGAACGTCCGAAGCCCAACAATCGCTGATCCTACAATAGAAAACTTATGATTGCTGGAAATTGTCGTATGTGCTTGGTAGAGGTCGAGAGAGCACCGAAGCCAGTGGCATCATGCGCCTGGCCAGTACAACCAGGAATGGTCGTCAAGACCAATTCGCCCCTCACACACAAAGCCCGAGAAGGTGTCATGGAGTTTCTGCTAGCAAACCACCCACTCGACTGTCCCATTTGTGATCAGGGTGGAGAGTGTGATCTTCAAGATCAATCGATGCGATATGGAGCTGACAGAGGACGATTTCACGAGATTGGTGGTAAGCGTGCTACCGAAGACAAGAACATCGGACCTCTAATCAAGACTTCGATGAACCGATGTATCCACTGCACAAGGTGTATTCGATTCGCCAACGACGTTGCTGGCGCACCGGAGTTGGGCTCTACGGGACGAGGAAACGATATGCAGATTGGCACATACCTCGAGAAGAACTTGGACTCTGAGATGTCTGGCAATGTCATCGATTTGTGCCCTGTTGGAGCCCTCACCTCCAAACCATACGCCTTCCGAGCTCGACCTTGGGAGCTCAAGCATTCCGAATCTATCGATGTCCTCGACGGTTTAGGTTCAAACATCCGGGTGGATTCGAGAGGTCTCGAAGTGATGCGAATTCTCCCAAGATTGAACGACGACGTCAATGAGGAGTGGATCAACGACAAGACACGATTTGCATGCGATGGTCTCAAGACGCAAAGACTTACTACACCTCTGATTCGAAAAGATGACAAATTCTTCCCCGCTACCTGGGAACAAGCTTTGACTGAGATTGGTGCTGCATACAAGGACTTCGCACCAAAGGGCAACGAATTTAAGGCTATTGCTGGAGAGCTGATTGAGGTTGAGTCAATGGTTGCTATGAAAGATTTGGCCAACAAGCTTGGTTCCGAGAACTTAGCTCTTGATCAACCTTCCGGCAACGGACCAATTGCTCACGGTATTGACGTTCGATCAAATTACTTGTTCAACTCCAAGATCTGGGGCGTTGAGGAGGCTGATGCCATTCTAATTGTTGGCACCAACCCACGACACGAAGCTGCCGGATTGAATGCCCGTATCCGAAAACAATGGATGCGATCTGACCTTGAGATTGGCGTCGTTGGTGAGACTTGGAAGTCAACTTTCGAGTTTGAGCACTTGGGTACCGATGCTGCAGCTCTCAAGAAGGCTCTCGCTGGTCCATTCGGCAAGAAGCTACAAGCTGCCAAGAGACCCATGATCATCGTTGGCTCAGGCGTTACAGATCATGCTGATGCCAAGGCCATCTACGAAATGATTGGTGCCTTCGTTGAGAAGAACGCTGCAAACTTCTTGACCGAAGAGTGGAATGGTTATAATGTCCTCCAACGTGCTGCATCGAGAGCGGGTGCTTACGAAGTTGGATTCACTACACCATCTACCGCCGTCGCGGAAACAAAGCCCAAGTTTGTTTGGCTCCTCGGTGCTGATGAGTTTTCCGCTGCGGACATTCCTAAAGATGCTTTCGTCGTATACCAAGGTCATCACGGAGACCGAGGTGCTCAGATTGCCGATGTCGTTCTCCCCGGCGCTGCCTATACCGAGAAGGCTGGCACGTACGTTAATACAGAAGGACGAGTACAAATGGCAAGAGCGGCAGTCTCATTGCCAGGCGCTTCACGAACTGACTGGAAGATAATTCGAGCTGTCAGCGAGTTCCTCGGCTCTCCTCTCCCCTATGACGATGTTGCAGCTCTCCGTGACCGTATGGTTGAGATCAGCCCTGCCTTGGCCAGCTACGATATCGTTGAGCCGGTAGCATTGAAGCACTTAAGCAAAGTACAATTGGTGGACCAGAACAAGGGAAGCAAGCCGAGCAATGAACCATTAAAGAAGATCGTCGAGAACTTTTACTTCACAGATGTTATTTCAAGAAGGTATGTATCTACTCTTCTTTCTGCTTTTCCATATTGCTGACATATTTTTTAGTTCCCCAACGATGGCCAGATGTTCAGCTGCCAAGGAGACTGGCAACCCAGAGACCAACTTCATGGCCAGTGGATATTCTTCTGAGAAGCCTCACGGTCAGATTGCTTACGGGTCGTGATCTTGTATTTTGAGTTTCCTTGTCTTGCTGCATGAGGTGTTGGTCGTGTATATATGGGTAGTAGTACAATACAAAGAATGCAAAAATAAGATGAGAGGCTAGCTTTTGATCAACGTATGCCTTCATCAGACTTGGAACGCGAGTGGCTGTGAAATCTATGCATGTTACATACTGTACAATAAACAGTGATGGAAGAATAAACGACTCATCCATCGGATCGAGGTCCGACCCGCCAACGCCGTCCAAATGCACTGTATCTTAACCTTCATCCTGGGAACTGGCCCTTGGGAATCAATCTCCGTAAAATTCGTCTCGTCAAACCTTTCGTTGTCTCCTCCACTCCTCTGTTCGCAGGTACCTCAATCCTTTCTCTCATCCTCGACGAAACCTCTAGACTGGCAGCGCGAACTTCTTTCCCTTCAATACCTTCGTGTAGTAGATCCAAAAGAAATCCGAATACAGCACCGTCTGTACAATACCAGCCAACACCGAGATCCAGTCCCAATGAGACTCCACAAAGTACCTGTAGATCCAATTGGGGATGTACAGCGTTCTGTACAGTCCCAGAGCGAATAGATAATGTGTGGTAATTGTCTCCGCCTCTCCCGTCCTTTGCAGCAAGAAAAGCTGAGGCAGAATTGCGACAGATTCTAACCAGATTGAAAACGCCCATAGTATTTCGTATGGCGTGTACTTGTATGGGAAAATGACCGCCAGGACTAGCGAGCCCCCGAGAAGATACTGGACTCGGAATGTATCGAGGTTTGGATCGTGGGTAGGTTTGTAGGCTGTCGTCATCATGTAGATGGTATAACCAGAAGACAGGAGGAACATGATCTTGAATGTGGTATTGTAGGCGCTGTCGGTGAAGGTCCAGAGGAGATCGAGGTAGCGCGTTACGTAGACGATGAAGTAAAGAGCTTGCGACTTGAAGGAAATGCCTGAACACGACTTGAGAGCTAGTTAGCTTTTGTTATTGACAGCATCGGAGTGAGGTACGTACGTTCGTTTGGTGCATTTTATGTAATAATATCGCAATTGAGACCAGATGGGAGAGATCTCCTGTGAATATTGTCAATTCCTATTCTTCCGGCATTGAAGAGCTTTGCGATTTGCACTTACCCAGAAGTCTGAAAAGATTCATGTTGGGCAACGGGACGCCTCAGCGTTTTGGACTTGAGCAACAACGTAGCAGATGGTGAAGCGTTCCAGCACTCGAGAAGCTTCGTCTTGCTCTGGTTCTGTGGCAGATTCGATGACAGTCGCAACAGAAGCTTCACTGTCGGCAGTCAATAAGGACACGCAACGACGCGATTGGAATCGCAGGGATGGCAGGAACGGCGTTTAACGCGCTTATACTAACCTTAAATGCCGGTGCGGGAAGCCACATTAGCCGCGCAATCATGTGGCGATAGAAGTCGTCCGATTACGAAGCAGAACACTTGCCTAGAAACTTCGAGGTAATCGCCAAACATGTACTTTACCTTTTGAATACAAAGACCTTACCTGCATTCATTGTCCATTCTTTTTCGTACAGTGATACTTCACAACCATGGCTACTGACTTGCATGATCAAACCCTTGCTACTGACAGTCAAGAAGATCTAGTTTCCGTTGCCTTCACTTATCATGGAGAGCCGCATACATTTGCATTTACTTCTGATGCGACAATCATAGACCTGTCCGAAGAGATCGCAGATACGCTTTCGATACCACCGTCCAATCAAAAGCTGATGGTCTCCAAGCTTGGTTTGCTCAAGCCGCCATTCAAAGATCCTGACCTGCCCCTTTCTTCTATCGTAGACAAGAAGATCACCTTGATGGGAAGCACAGTTGAGGAAGCAGGTTCTATTGCTCAAGCTGCTGAACATGCATCGAGGAGAGCAACCAGGAGAAGCAGACCTATGCAGAAAGTACAAGCATACAAGACGCACGACTGGAAGAAAGAACAAGAGGAAGCCCAATATACCTTTACAACCTTAAGACCATTACCCTACCTTCCGAACCCTTCGAAGTCCTTACAGTTCCTTCAACGACTGAAAGATGACATCGGTATCAAGGCAGCGATGCGAAAGCACAAGTTCACCGTTCCACTTCTTACCGAAATGAATCCAATCGAGCATACACAATCTGATTCTGAGGGTACGACTAGAACATTAGGATTGAACAGAAATGCTGGAGAAGTAATCGAGTTAAGATTGCGGACGGATGCGTACGATGGATACAGAGATTACAAAACCATCCGAAAAACTCTGTGTCACGAACTTGCTCACAATGTCCACGGACCCCACGATCGCAATTTTTGGGACTTGTGCAAGCAGATTGAGAAAGAGGTAGATGCTGCGGACTACCGGAGTCGTGGACACACTGTGAACAACGAGGAAGTGTATCATGGACATGACGAAGAGGACGAAGTGGATGATCATGGGGGTTGGACGGGTGGCGAATTTGTTCTTGGTGCGAGCAGTGCTGGTGGTGCTGAGAGCACGGGTCAAGCATCGAGCCAAGGTATGACCAGAAGGGAAATCCTCGCAAAGGCAGCTGAGGAGAGGATGAAGAGAGCCAGAGAGCAACAAGGTGCTGGAAAAAGCGAGCAATCGGGGAGCGGTTCATGAGAGCATTGCGAAATGATGGGCATTTACGAATGGAGCGTTGGCGTTTCGAGATCATTGCGGGTACCACTTGGCTAGAGGAACGGGGATTTTGGCTTACAAGCGGTATTCGCGTTCAGTTGGAAACTGAATATAGTTTGCTCTTCAATAACTCTGGAATATCCATTCTCAATCGTCAAGTTAATACCTTTCCGCATTCTGGCAAGTGCTTCTCCTAGCAAAGTTCTTCGTCCCTTTTTGGTATCCAGTTAAGTTTAGTCCATTGTTTCTCTTGGTAAGCCGTTCCGTTAAATGACGAGCTAAGAAAAGCGGCCCCCAAATTTCCTACTTTCAATTTCAAGACGCAATGTTTCTAGCTTTTTCACATTACGTCATGTCAAATATTCGAAATCATCGATTGCTTCATTTAATTTCAGTCGCTCTGTTGATTTTAAAGCTTTGCATCTCCCGGGGAAAACATCCATTTTAAATCATTGTATCTTACCATCGACCGCCATCTCTCGCCTCGAAGCGCATATACTATCTTACAGCATCACGGCCATGGCGGAATCAAATTCTCTTGGTGCTGGCAACACCATCCAAGAATTGTGTGGCAACGTCACGAACGTCACTATTTCCTCGGAAGGCTGTCAATGTTCTGCCAATTTCGATGGTGGAATAGCAATCTTGCTTGTTCTGGAACCGCAGCTTGCATGATAATTTCATTTATCTTTTTTAACCACATATTCGATTTTGATTTCGTCGGACGAAATCAACTTCTCATCGAACTTCTGTCCACGCCAGGTTATAAGCTCCACAAGAAAGTTGAGGATGAGTACCACAATTTGAACCGCGTAGGAGACAATTACGACTACAGAGGCATTACTTGATTTCCCATAATAAGGCATCACGATGACCTTGCCAGTAAAACACGAACTACCACAATCATAGAGGATCTGGACGTGTGTGAACACATGGTACCGACAGAACTATGTTTCGAATATTGGTCTGGTCATGGGAGAGAGTCGGAGTCGAGGTGGCAAACACTTGAGGATGAAGTGTCAAGACTTCTGGAATTTTCGGACCGGGTTGCTCCTGATTCGCTGACCTGGGAGGGAAATTCTAAAAGACCAGCGGAATCCGCGACATCTGAGTACAGTGAACCTCGAGAATTACCGCCTCCTTATTCTCCAGAGCAGACCTAAGGTTTCAGATCAATTTTTCTGGGCAGCAAATTGCTACTTGGCAATTCTGAACGTGAAGGACGGATGATATGACGCATTCTGGATTGGCGTAGTCGAAAGTCGTGGTCCAATTTGGTTAGATGCCACCGTCAAAATCACTTAGTGCATGAATAGCACCCGAACATGAAGCTTTCCTCGTGACAACATTTTTGGTATACTTCTCGTGACGCACTTGGAATTTGGAGAAATAGTTTTTGTTCGCTGTCTTTGTTCCTTTCTCGCACCAAATCACATCGATAAACCGCAATACAAGATTCTGCAGCTCAAGTTTTTCACAGATCAAATCTTTCTTCAGACTGCATACATCACTCCCATTTCAGTATCGGCCTCGTACACATTCTGCAGGATGTCGTCTCCCAATGGTCCAGACTCCGCAATCTCAAATCTTTGCTCCAGCTTCCTGGCACATAACGTTGAGACAAAGATCGTAGAGAAGCTGGGCGAAGCGCAATGCAACACCTGCTATGACGTATGGTACATCATAGCAATATGCGTCATGGTGCTCTTGTGGATCAAATTTCACTCAGAAGGAAGAAAACAGGCCATCCAGGAGTTGAGAAATATGCCATCGTACAAGCTCCACGACAGGCTAGAAGAAATGTACAGAGAGGAGGTGGCAAGTGAGAAAGAGGTCGTGCAGTACATCGATCGGTATCATCGAGTCTCACACGAGGACGATAGCGTGCGGATGAGGAGGACAATCACCATCGTGGAGGACTTGTCGAGGACCAACTTGCCAGCTGTCAATCCCTCCCGCGAGGAGAGAGCAACTTCACCTACTGTCAATCCAAGGACTAGAAGAAGAAATAATTCTCCGGTAAATGCGAATCGACGGAGCAGGAGATCTCAGACTGGCAGTCAGTCCCATACGCATTCGTCGCTTTGCAATCTCTTTCTCCATACAAACTTGTCGACGTCGGCTACAGAATCGAGATCTGCTCCAGACCTAAGTTTAAGACAAGAGGAAGCTGCTCGACTTGTGAATCCAAACACTTTCCGAAACTCGAACAACACGTCTACAGCAGAAATTTCGTTCGAGTCTGAGGACCTGGAGACGCCTCCACCATACTCTCCAATCATCGAATCAGTCGATGATAATGATGATGACAGCGACCCAGAGGAGTATGAGATAGCTCACCCTTAAAATTCACTAGAAACGTTCTTGGTTACTAGAAATGTACCAGAATTTTATACGCCTCAACGTTTGGGTCCCTTACTTCTTTCAGTTAGTCACCTGTCAAGATCACGACCCGGCCTCGAAACTCCGTCTATAGGATCACACAATCTTACTAGTTAAAGAAAGACCAGCACACAGTATATATATATATCTGCAAGAGGTGTCCATTGTCTGTCCGGAAACCGCTTTTGGAGAATCTTTTCACCACCATTTCATACTCGACAGCTCTTACCTTCTCAACAAAAGATCGAGTACTCCTCTACCTTCACCGCCAGACTGCCTCATCATGTCTCCACCAACCCACTACCTCAACAGGACATGCATCGAGCTTGCCACTGCCAATTTCACATTCTTCGACTCCGCAGCAGGTGGCAATCTCTCAGCATGCTCCATCAAACCCCCAGAATTAGACCAGAAGTTAGAAAATATAACAATGGCCCAAGTCTGCATTGCGACCATCAAAGTCATGGTCATTATATGCGGTTGGTTGCTTATGTGGCAAGCACGGAGCCTCACTCTAGGAATATATCGCAAATTGCGCCACCTACCTTCGCACCAACTGCACCGGGAGCTAGAAGACTTATACGTCGCCAACCTCAGCAAGAAGGACCGCAAAGCTTTTGAGGATACAGGTTCTCCTGCTGGCAGATACCCGAATGTGGCGTTCAGCACTGATCAGTTTACGCGGAAGAGAAAGATTTTCATTGTAGAAGATCTAGATGAGGAGCCGACTAAGGAGGAGATGTGGAAGTACACCAAGAGGCACCAATTTACTGGCAAGAAAGCAACTGAGGTCCCTTCGTTGAACATACCGGAGGTCGATGGAGAGAGTGCGTCAGTGATTGAGCTATTGAATCTCGATTCAGTGGATGACATTGTTGTTCCAGAGCCAGCTGTCATCAATGAGGAACATGGAGCAGGTCAAGGAGCAGCACCGGAGGCCTCATCAAATCCGCCGCCGTATCATCACTCATGGACAAGATACGTGTAGAGCGGATGATACTAAAATCGAATCCGTGGTGTGGAATAGTGCAAATGGCGCAATCATTACCGGTACTATTTTCCGTGTAAGGATTAGTTTCAATGGCGGCCAGGGGAATTTACAAAATTGCAGCACTCGACTCTATTCCTAAGCTCCAGAATATAGTTTGAAACGCTTTATCAGAAGACCGCGCGTAGAATGAGTCTGCAAGACGTCGGAGGGTTAAGTTACTAGTGATTCTGTTTTCGATCAATTACTCACTCACCTAACATCACTTGACTATTCGAAATCACTTCGCAATTCCATCATCTCACGAAAACTTTTCATCACTAAATCTTTTCGTCTTCACATGAGCTTGAATATGACTTTACACCGAGTTATTTTTTTCTAAGCAATTTTATTTTACACGTCGATATACTTGGACCTCTACTTCATACTTCCACTTCGTTACCTACTGATGACCCCTCTCATGCGCCCTCAACTTCTCCTCCGCCGAACAGTTCACCCCACAAACATCGCACCTCCAGCGTCCCTCATGAGTTCCCTGAACATGGCGTTTCAGGTATCCTTTCGCGAACTTCTGGTTGCAGTGAGGACAGGTAGCTTTGTCTTCGTCGCAGACTGTGAGCCAGTGTTCGGTTACTGAAGGAGGGGAGGCGAGCGGACAGCAGCAGGTTGGGCAGGTTAATGACATGGTTAGTCAGGGGGTTTGGTTTTAGTTGGGTAGGGTGAGTAAAGATTAGCTGTTGTTGAGTTGGTTTTAGTAAGTTAGTTGTGTTGGATGTGAATTGTATGGAGATTGGTTAGGTGGAAGTTGAGGGTAATTTGTAGGGGACGGCTTCGAGTTGTTCTTGGAGAAAGTCATTTATTCTGACAAGAGGCACAATGAAGCTTTGTCTAGGTACATCAGCAAAAGCAAGCTTTCATTGTTCTGCGGGTATCATCACAAAGTTTTCATTGTTGCTCATTGTTATTATTTAACAAGATCACATAAAGGAGGAATAACAAGACATGATTGTTCTACGGTAGCAAGCGAGGGCTATAGTAGGAGCAGGATGACAACTTTGATACTGCTTCTCTCTACTACTAGGCGATATGCGTGCTACAGACTTACTTCTATTTTCTTTGCAACAAAACTCTGTACCTCCACGCTAGGCCAGGCAACATCTACTAGCCGCCACTCAGTGTCTGTTTCAGTCAAAGAATTTCCATTCTCTCTACCTTAAGCAAATTCTCACTCAGCCTGCTCATCATCAGATTCAACTTCTTCAAACAGTTCAAGGAGTCATCAGACTTCCCAGTAAACTTAATTGGTCTATGTGGTGCAAGATGGAACAAAAAGAATATATTCCGCGAGAGTCACCTGTCGCCAAGATTTATTGCAAATGCCAATATTATACATCAGACCAGTAGAAATCCTTCAGTTTTCGAGTACGGGTATTCTGGCTTTGGAGTAAGTGCCTCACCATCCATCATACCATGAACATAACACTCTCCTGCTAGGAGATAGCAGTCCCTGCTCTCAGACTTAACCTTCTTAAGCAAGACAGGCACACTACACCCAAAAAAGATGCAAATAATATCGTTCGCCTCCGCTGCAGGCGGACACAGACCGTACAATGTACTTCCATCTCTCCCCCTCGCATGAAAGAACTTCCTATTCCAAACAACCTGCTGGACTCTCTCCAGAAACTGCGTCATGGCAGTCGTCCTGTGTGGTGTGCAGTCGAGGTTCTTGAACTGATCTAAACTCAGATCCCCGAATGAGTCTGTATACTGGAGACACTCCAAACACGCACGGCGGTACCAAGTGGGTGCCTCTCTTCCATGAGGCCCTCGATCAGCCACTAGAGTTCGCCATAGCCGGTTTGGCACTTGTCGCGATGAACCTTCTTCATCTCGTTCAAATGACCAGCCTGAGAGTGTGAAAGCTTCTCTCGGCCTTTTGTCTATCATTTTATACTGCCCGTGGAGGCAAATGGTTGATAGGAAGCGGGCAAGAGCAACATTAGAAGGGGAAGAGTTGGGGGAAATCGATAAGAAGGGTCTCGACGAGAAGGATCTCGGAACCATGGAAATCACAGAAGGTGGAGACGAGATTCGGCCAAGCTAAATGTATGCCTGGGATATAATTGGAAGTCTTGTTCAAGGACGACGTAAAGTCTTCACAGCTTTACACGGAAGGGACGTTGGTTTCACAAGCCATTCTTGGCGGTATGTACAGCCAGCTGTTCAGATAATGAATGGATCACAAGAACGAGTCAAAAGTGCCCAAATTTGGAGTTCATATTTTACATTCGAGGTCTATAGTACTTACAATTTGAGCAAGGCTACTTATTCATCAAGCAGCCAAGAACAAGAACCACAGCTACAAGAGCCACGACTTACCATCCTCGTCCCTGCACCTCAACCCTCACTCACTTACCTACCGTTTCCCCCTAGATGGCTCAGGATATGCGACCGGTAATCCGCCCCATTCCTCAACCGCTCCTGGCATAACAGACACACAAGCTCTCCGTCTGTCAAGTTCTGCCCCAACAAACTCGGCTCACCACCCAGATGCTCGACGATGATATGCTCATAGCGTTCATCGTCTGTGACGAAAGCTCGGAAATTACATACCGGACAGGTGAACCCTTCTTCGTCCTCTTGTGCAGATTTTGCTAGTTGCACGAGATGGGCTCTAATGATATGGACCCGCAATTCCTCGGTTGTGGGAAAGGAAAGGAGGCATTGAGGGCAGACGGGTAAGGGTTCGGGGGACCGTTGGGTACGGACTATTTCTTGAGAGACGGGAGCTGGGTTGGATTGGAGTGATCCTGGACCCGTGAATATGCATCTGTATGGGTCGTGCTCGTCGAAGGCTTCTTCGGTGGGGAAGACTGTCCTGCAGCCGAGGCAGATCCAGCCTGCTCCTAAGAGGCGGTCTTGGTTTTTATTCATGTTGATTAATTTAGTGTTTAGAGTTTCTTTTGGGAAAGGTCAAATATTTGTTGATTGTAGGGATGGTGTAAGTGTGATTGGAGAAGAGAGATTTGTTAAATGGTGGGATGTGATTTTACATTTTGTCTATAGGTTCTGTTCTCTACTGTCAATCTCCTGTTCATGATATCAAGTCTCCCCATGTGTAGAGAGGGGCCTGTTCCTTTGTCCTCATGCACTGTCCTGCCAAGTCACTTGGTATTCCCCCTTTCGACTCGCTTAACTCACTTTGCGCTTGCCCCACAAAGCGTAGCGGACTCAATAAAGAAAAAGATATTCTTGAAGTTAACATAGTCTAAGCAATGTTTTTATCACCTCTAATATGAATCTCACTTCCGCGAGGAAACAACGCATTGTCTGACCTTAGACAAAGATCCAAGAACACTCCATTGTCTGTCCTCAGAACCTTGCTCTAAGACCTCTCAAGTTGGTATGCCAAGGCAAATGAATATGCTTTATGGTGACCGGATTAACTAAACACGCAAAGTGCGATGTGCAACAAAATTCCACTATTGTCCCCGCTCGGAACTTGACTTTAGGACTTCTTAAACTAGTATCTCAATTCACATTTTCCCAAAACGCGACCTGCAACAGAAAAATTCGCAAAACCCAAGATACTATTCTCAGTGACGAACAGACAAATCAAACACTCAACTCTCCACCCCTCCCATCTCCTCCACAACCTGATAAACCTTAAAAAACAGATTCTTCCCCCTGTTCTCCCACCGCACTGGCAGAGCGTCCTTCGTACACTGCATCCCACCCACCGCATCAACATACCTCTTTAAATTCTCAAATCCTTCTCTCTTCAGATCCAGACCTCGGTGTACCAAATAAGCCACATTTGGATAGAACGCGCAATCCGCCAAACTCATCTCATCGCCTGCTACAAAAGCAGTTTTGCTTAGATACGACTCCCAAAATCCGAGTTCTTGGATAGTTTTCGTGTACGCGTCGTAAATGCGAAATTTGTAGTCTGGCCTTGACCAATCTTTAAGAAAAGTTAGCTCAATGTCTTCGAAGACATTGTGCAGATTTTCCGATTCGTGGAAGCGTTGTAGCATGAGGGTATGCGCTGCTTTTTGTTCCTTCGGTGGCTCGAGAGGTGGGGTTGGGTACGAAGTTTCCAGGTATTGCAGGATGGCCAAAGATTCGATGAGGATTGTGCCATCGACGTCGATTAGCGTTGGTGTTTTGCCTCGTGGGTTGATGGCGAGGAATTCGTCGGCTCGAGTCTCTTTCGGTGTTGACATTACTTGGAGTCTGTTTCGTGTATATGGGAGTCCTTTGAGGGATAGAGCCATCATGACGCGCCAAGAGGGGATCGAGCCGGAGACCCAGTATAGTATTCGGTGTGGTGTTTGTGCCTCATCTTTGATAGATTCGGGTGTGAGTGTTGATCCTGAGACCACACTGCCGTAATACTTGCTGATTGTCCGGAACGCGGAATCCTTGAGAATCTCATTTGTAGCTCCTATGCAATCCTCTAAGGCACAGACATTGTACCCAAGTTGGAATGCAGCCGTCAAGGAAGCGAGGACGCAATTGTTGGCTGTTACACCTGCAAAGTAGAGTGGACCCGCACCGACATTCTGTGCTTGGAGATGGGAGTGCAGCGAAGTGCCAGCAAAGGCAGAGTACATCGTCTTCGTGAAAACTGTCGCTCCATATTCTTCGAAAAGAGCCTGTGCGTCAGGATGCAACTCCGCTCCAACGCTACCTGGTGTACAGAACTTGCGCTTCCCTGCGTGAGTACCAGCGAGGTGGTCTTCTGTTGACTCATTGTAGCTAGTGTCCCTGTTTTCGCTGGAATATTCGGATCTGACAGCAACGATGGGCCAGTTCTGGCTTTTGAAGATGCCGCATATATACTTCAGCTTAGGCAGCAGTAGTTCGAGAGGGACGTGTTTCTTCTTAAGAGTACCTTCGGGCGACACGAAGTCATTTTGAAGATCGATGATAATGAGCGCTGGAGACATACTCACAGAATCCTTCTCAATCCTGAGATAATTGAGGTCAAGAAGGCGTAAGTCGATTTGGGGATTAATTAATCAAAGGAAAGAATATCAAATTGGAGAATTGAGGTTGTTGACTTTTGTGCTGATGACTCAAAGCGTGGCGTCCAATCAAACGCGCACCAATTCGTAGAAGTAAACGAAACAACTGTATGGAAGATCAATCGCGATAGTCAGAGAAGTCCGGTATCATACAATGCTAGAATTGAGTTTTATGCTCCCCAAAGTCTATGTATTGTACATCTCTTTTTTATACCCCATCTCCGTAACATACATCCCTCCGCCACACTCCCACCTCCTCGAATGCGTCAAAGGGTCGACCTCCAATGCGTTAAGAAACCATCTACATAGTAAACAGAATCAAGAACGAAACCATGAGCGCGAAAAGTCCAGTGGCTTCAGCGAACGCAAATCCCAAAATGGCATACGAGAACAATTGTCCCCTCAACGCCGGGTTCCTCGCAACACCAGTGATGAGAGCACCAAACACCGTTCCGATACCCGTACCGGCACCAATAAGACCGGCTGCGGCGGCACCAGCTCCGATGAGCTTGCCAGCGCTGTAGATGGCGGCTCCGACCGTGATGGTCTCCGTCACGACGCCACGGGACTGTCCGCGTGCGATGTTGGAGGCGGCGTTGCGGAGGAGAGCGCGGCTGGCGATCAAGCCGGACTTGTTGGCTGATTGGAAGCGGGAGATTGAGGTGGTGGGACCTGTTGTTGAAGAAGAGATGTTGTTAGCTGTCAATTGCTCTTTTTGCGGAGAGGTGATGGGAAGGGAGGAATCGGACCATTTGTGAAGGCTCGACGAGCAATTGGGTTTGCCTGTCGCAGGGCCGAGGCGCCATTGAGGCGGGCAGAGCGGGCGGCGAGCTGGGCGATCGAGTTCATGATGATTGGTGATGGAATTGGTGATTGGGAGAGGGGATTGAGATGTTCGAAAATGTTTTATTGAGGAGGTTGAAGGAAGGACGGAGAGGTGAGAAAATCGGATGGGAGAGGAATGCTGCTAATAAGCCAGGGGAATCATTCAACCGGACCAACCAGAGGGGCGTCTGGTCGCCATGACGAATCACATCACCCCATGGGCAGAACTTCATGCAGTGTCGCAGAGCTATACCGGATTGGAAGCAGAAGGGGATCGGGATGCCGGAATAGAGACAACATCCGTTTGTTTGTCGAATGCGCAATTGCAAAGAACATTGTTGCGTTATATGTTTACAGGAAATGATTTCTGATGGGAATTGGCTGTAATTCGAGGTCGTTCTCGATTGCGATGATGGTCTGAGCCTTTACGCGGTTCGCGGGGATTTTATGGGGCCCCCACGGGGTACGGTAAGATTTCATAAAAGTATAACTTGTGCAAGAGAAGAAGCAATCTGTCAACAAGCTCTTTCATAAATATTTCTGCAAGAGAAAGACTATATCGAAACAAGAGAATACGAGATTGAAAGGCGGCCTACACTGGGAATAAAGTTATCTATTGAGGTTTTTCGGAGGATTTTTGCTCTTCCACGTCCCTCCTCAGGCATCAAGGCTACAATTTTGTCAAAAACTTCTCTGCACCATTCAACTCGATTACAAATGCCATGTCGAGCTATAGCAAGCTGGCATCGCTGACCGCGACGACAATGAACCTATTTAGGTTTGACAGGAGCCCTGGTCCAGCTGCTTAACGAGACAAGCCCTTCAGATACATATCCACACCTCCCTTACCTCCTTCGCTCTCCCAGTTCAAGAACCCGTCTGCAATCCTCTCAGCCGCAACTCTCAGTTCCTTCCACGACTCTGCACCATTCAGACGATCCTCCGCCTTCTTCCTATAAGCTCTGTCCGTTTTGGCATCCCGTCCGAGACTTCCATCCCTATCGCGGTCCGCCGTCATCATCTCTGATATCAACAGCTCCTTCTTCTCTCCATCCACTTGCAGCTTCTCGAGAGGCGGTACAAAGCCAGACTGATGGTTTGAAATATCTTCAACCTCGTCTCAGTAACGTTCAATCTTAGCGTTTGCTGCAGCGATGGGCATATCTCTAAGCTTGATTTCTGCGATCTTGTTTTGCTTGACTTCTCTGGAAACTTGTTAACATTCTTTCTTCGTTCGAAAGCGAGACTGTGGTTTCGAACTCCGGCCCAGTGGTCAGAGAAAGCTGAGGAGCCAAGAGCGACCATTTCCCATTCGTTGTAGAGCAGGTTGAACTGGCTGCGGAGGAAACGGATGAGTTCTTGGGTTTCCGAGATGATTTCCTCGTAGTGCTTGACGAGATCTTCCCTGAGCTGGGCCTTCACTTGTTAGCTTCATGTTTGCGTCTTCTCAAGTTCTCCTTCCCACATCTTGGCGAAAACCTTCTTCCTGTTCATCTTGTTACTCAATTGGTAATGAGAAAGTGGATGACAATGGATGTCATGGTATCATATTTGAGAAGAGAAGGATGATCTAATTCTCCATGGAAGGAACGTCGCGCTGATTCTCCCATTCATCAGTCAAGCTGTCGCAGCGATCCTCAAACATCCCGAACAAACAGCCAACAAGTAGATACAACTTACATCCTTCACTACTACGCAAAACGAGGTCTTGAGATTGCTTGAAGAGGAAAGTGGGACGAAGTGGACTTTGGATCATAAGAAGAGGAAGCTCCGATTTTCAAAAGATTGACGATGCATTCGCAATTCGAGAAGCTCATCTCCCAAAATTACTACCTGAACAAGAGCGCCAAAGGCAGTGAATCCAAAATCCCCAAAAAGCCGTACACGACCTCACTTCCAGCTTAGCGAGCCCGGCTTTTGTAGCACCCAAAAGTCAAAACAAAAACTCAGAACCATCGACCGAAATCGATGGTTCTTCCAAACCAGCAGCCAGTGCTATTTTTAAAGAGGCTATGAGTCTATCTGGAAATCTGTCAACTGAGCTAACAGTATATTAGATAACCTTGGGTTTTCCGGACTACATGGCAAGACTTTTGCTTGTTTAATTTTATATAACGCTTAGCGGTTAGGGCTAGGATAGGGTCAGCGTGAGAGAGCAAGACGCTAGGAGCTATGTTGCGAAAATGAGGTTTTGAGGCTCGGAGGCAGACGTCATGGGGATATGAATAGGCACCTAGGTAGGTGACAACATGGAACGTATTAAAAGACATCATTATGTGACTGCTATGCTATCAACAGGTAGTCTACCTTGATAGTTGATACAGACATCCAGATCGCAGATGGGGAGCGTTATGTGGTTGAAGAAGATCATTGCGGAAGGCTTGGCTACAATCTTGTGACAAAGAACGCAAACGCTCCAACTTCCCGTATATCTCCCTGGAAATGTGGTCCGTATCTCAAATCAGTTGATTTCACATCATCTGCAGTATCTCCAGCGTTCTATGCCAGCTACTGCACTGATGCCAGTGCGTTGAACGACGAGGCAGTAAGATCATGACAGCTCTTCCTATCAGAACGTCTCTGTTTCTGTTATCTGCGGTCTCTTTACGACTCAACTGCGGTGTGCTACAATTGAAACATGCTTGATGTATTTCACTTGTGGAATCATATCCCTTTCAAAGTTTCAAAAGGCCGAGACTGCACTTCTTTTTCTCTTTCCCCCCCTCAAAACTACTACGCATGCCCTCGGAGAGCCTGGAACGCATTCTCTGTGACACAAAGACTCTTTGCATTGCAATTTATATCTCTTGTCGGCTTCTGGTTATCCCATGTGTACTGTACGATAAGGCTTCGTATGGAATTGTCGAATCGAAGGGGGATTCTGCGAGTTTAATGATGATTGGGTGTCCCCCTTGAGTGAAGAAAAAGCTTGATGAAGCAGATTTTCTTGGTGATATGCAACGCTTGATGTTCGAATGAGCGGTCGGATGGCGCTATTGTTCTGAATGTTTCTTCTAGGCACCAAAACAAGGTGCGTTTGGGTTACTTTGTACACTTTGAGTCTTTTCGTTTCTTGATTCTCAATGCTTCATGTCTCGCAGAGAGCTTCCTTTGGATTTAAGGCTAGCTAGCATGGAGGTGACTTCACGTGGTAAGTCACGTGATACAACATGCGACGCGTCCATATCCAGGTAAGGCCGCCGTCACCAGAATGGCTAATCCCTCGCAATCCCACTGACCTACTCTACCGATCGTCCCGGAAACTTGAGGCTTGGACCTCAATTTTCTAATAGGGTATCCCTCTTCGCCAAGTCGGATTCTCGCTTATCATCAACTGTGCCGCACCAGCGAATTGAAGCTTACTAAGAAATTCCAAATAATGTGCATGTAAGAGGATCTTTTATTTGGAATGTGCATCTATTACTACGTTAGAAAGTGCAAAATACCTGCATCACTTCAGAGGAACTCGGAAAAGCCCGACTGAAATAAGATGAATCCGAGCTGCGCCCCAACATCACGGCTGATACCTCCCCTGTTTTGCTCATTTCTATAGCCCGCATCATCTTTCGAAACCATACACATGAGAATACCAAGTGAAGCCACGATGTTAAGTCACATCAGAGCATAGAGACATAGGCAGCCATGATTGTCTGCACTGCCCCATTGTTCAATCTTCTCTGTGGATATAAGACGACTTCCAGTCCTTATGAAATTTAATACACCAAAACAGTCTTCCTTTCAATTTCTTATCTCGACTATACCCTTTACCAAGTTTCCCAAGTCTTCTCAAATCCTGCATATATTTACCAGATAGAACATCTCCAAAATGGGTCTCTTCACTTCGACAGGCGTTGGAAAGGAGAGTGACAAAGCAGCTCAGATACTCAAAAGCTTCGTCAGTACGTATTCCGTATCAGATATTCCTCAAGCACCAAAGGAAATCGACGCTGACTTACCACACAGGCAAAGGCAAAATTCCCACAGAAGCCATCGCGAACGCCAAAGGCCTAGCAATATTCTCCGCCATCCGAGCCGGAATGTACCTCGCTGGCTCCGGCGGTTCAGGCATCGTCGTCGCGCGCCTCGCAGACGGGACCTGGTCGCCTCCCTCCGCCTTCTCAGTCCGATCCGGCAGCATTGGCCTCGTATACGGCGTCGATGTATACGACTGCGTCTGTGTTCTCAACACAGACGCCGCGGTAGAAGCCTACTCCAAGCCCGAGATGAATCTTGGCGGTACAGTCGCTGCTGCAGCTGGGCCAATTGGTGGAACTGCGGATATGAATATGAAGGAATACAAACCAGTCTGGGTCTATACCAAGTCGCGGGGCCTGTACGGTGGGCTAACGGTGGATGGCACGGTGATAAAGGAGAAGGGAGACGCGAATGCTGAGTTTTATGGATCGAAGGTTACGGCGGCACAGATTTTGAGAGGCGATGTTCGTGCGCAGGTTGGAGGTAGCAAGTGGCCTGCGGGTGCGAAGCAGCTGGTTGAGGTGCTCAAGTTGGCTGAAGGGAAGAGAGCCGATGAGGGGGTGCTCCAAGGGATTAGCACCGAACCGACACCGGGTGATTTGGAGGAATAAGGTCGATGTACTTCGGGTTGACCAGAATGATTCTTGGAGACTCTTGATAGAACACCGGGGATTGTGGAATTGGCGTAGAGCAAGATGGGTTAGATGGGATTGGTTGATACCATTGTGTACTCTATTGAACTGCCAGTGGTGTTTTACTTATGCGAATAATACATGCTTTACAAAGCTTCAGGAGAGGTTATGCCACTGAATGGACCTCGCGAATTCTAAATCCTCAACTATCTACATGAACAAAAATTACAAGAAGAAAAGACGATATTCAAAAGCAGCAATCCTTCATCATTTACACGAGCTCATCCACTCTCCACTCGAAAAATCCTAAAGCCCGCCCCACCTACGAAACATCAACAAACGTCGTCCCCGCAACATTCAACACCCCAACATAGTTATCGTCCCCTGATTATGCCTTGCAACGAAACAAAATCGAGATGACCCCATTAAGAGTCCTAATGTGTGGCAGCAACGTTGCTGTAAATATGACAGCCTTTCAAAAGCATAATACGGACAGAAAAGGAGCAGGAAATTCATCATAATCACCAGTCATATCACTCGCGATAGTCTCGTCAACACGGAGCTCAAGCCACGAACTTTTGAAAAGATCTCACCACTCAACATGAGATCTAGAAGGATATTGCTTTATCATAGCTCAACTATAGCTCGCAGCAAAGAGAAGTGAGTGGGCCGATGGAAGGATTCGTAGGATCAAGAAGAGGTAACATTCTCGGCTCTGCCCGTGGTCAGGGGTTGCACGTGTTGCATGAACTCCTGATGATGCGCAGGAACACCCGTTTATCTCATCTTATCTCTGATCTCATCTTGGCATCGATTCTCCGATGGCGCTTACCGACTTTCCTGTTCCCGTTTAGTCTTCTTCATTGCGGGGTGATGTCTTCGACCTCTGGGGCTGCTCTTTGAAATCCCTGTGAGTTACCTTTGACAATCGAGGAGCCACTTGGTACTGTTTTGTGATAGTATCGTTAGCAAGATGATCGAACAAGAAGAAAGGTGAAGATCTGGCACGGAGAATAAGCTTTATCTCCTTCTACGTCCGACTCGGCGACACGTTTCTCCGGCCCTCTTTTGGGATCTACGTTCGCTTAAATGGACACAAACACGTGAAGCCCCTCACTTCGATTCACCTCGACTCATCACACTTCAGCTCTCAACGTTGTGTTGAAAGCACATCCTATAACCTGCATCTACTCTTAATCTTCATCTCTCTTTCGGATTTCTCCTTATTGTATGACCCATTGAAACCTAAGTGGTCGTTTGCGAAGCTGCCATGGCTGAAGCAGATATGGAAAAAGAATTCCAAGCTGCCATCGACTCTGGCAAAATCAAGGGCGTCATTGTCTGCGCCACAGACGCCGAGAGCAATTTTGTTTATGAGAAAACACTGGGAGAGCGAACACTACTGTCTGGTGAAAGACGGCCTCACCAGCTTGACGATGTTCTATTCCTTGCTTCAGCCACCAAGTTACACGCCACTATCGCCGCTCTTCAATGTGTCGAGGACGGACTATTATCACTGACGGACGACTTGTCGACCATCTTGCCTGAACTTGCCGCCCAAAAGATCATCACTGGATTCTCCGAGGACGGCGAAACGCCGCTGCTTGAACCACGAACCCGTCCCATCACTCTCGAAATGCTGCTCTCACACAGCTCTGGGGCCACTTACTATTTTCTCGACCCTATGATCGCTCGCTGGCGCCAGAAATTTGCACCCAAGCCCGAAACCCTTGCTAAAAGCAGTGTGCCGGTCGAGGACATGTTCGACTACCCGCTCAGCTTCCAACCTGGCACCAGCTGGATGTACGGCCCAGGACTGGACTGGGCTGGTCGGGTAGTAGAGCGTGTAAGTGGCAAGACTCTCGGCGAGCGTATGCACGAGCGTATCTTCGACCCTCTTGGCATCACAGACGCTCAATTCTACCCCGTGGCACGTGAGGACTTACGTGCACGCCTCGTTGATCTGAACCCTGAAGACCCCGAAGTCTATGGCAAAGCCGTGATGGGAGGGCCCAACGACATGAACAAGCTTGGAAAGGGAGACTTCGGCGGCCACGGCTTGTTCATGACGGCTCCGGACTACGTCAAGGTGTTACACTCCCTACTTGCCAACGATGGCAAGATCCTCAAACCGGAGACGGTCAATGATATGTTTGAGAACCATCTGAGCCCAGAAGCAGCTGCTGGCCACAAGGCCGCGGTATCGGAGGAAAACCCTTTTGGCATCTTCTTCCGTGTCGGTACTGCGCCAGGTTCAAAGGCTGGATATGGACTGGGTGGACATCTCACCTTGGAGGACGTTGATGGTTGGTACGGCGAACGCACACTTACCTGGGGTGGTGGTCAGACTTTCGCTTGGTTCGTCGACCGGAAGAACGACTTATGTGGTGTTGGTGCAATTCAGGCCACAATACCCACTGATCCCGAAGTTGCCCATACGCTTAAGCAGACGTTCCGCCATGACATCTATCGCAAGCGGGCTCAGTGGAAGAAGGAACAAGCATAGGACTGACTCACATGAAGATGGTAGAAATCGTTTGTTCAGGCATCTACATAGATAAGCTAATGGGAATGTATACAGCTTCTTTGCCTTCAATCCCAGTCATTCAGTGTTGTCTCCCAGTGCTGATTATTTGTTCCTTTTACTTACCAGGTAGCGAGACGTTTTCAAGAAGATCACATTTGCTCACAGAAATCCTCAACAGCAAATCATACGCAATACTAACAATTTCTTGAACCAGCATCAAACAAAACAATGGGGGTCCAAGAATGTCGCACATCACCAGTTGTCGAATGAATACGATGACGGGCTGTAGAGTAAAGAATAAATTTAGGCAGACAGGCGTTAAGCTCAAAAGAATGGAAGTGGAGAGAAGCCTCTCCTGATGCTGATTGTGCGCCAATCCTACAGATCCTTACTCAAGTTCACCACCTATGGCTCACCAACGCCAAAAATCCACATCTCCTCCACTTATACCTCAACATGCAAAAAGTTTATCCATTTCCAAGCGTATTGCATAGATTCATGAGTGTCTGCACCTCATCCGGCTCAATTTCGTACTAGAAATAGGCAAAGATTTAGTCATTGTTCTCGGCGAGGTTTTCAGAGGCTGAAGGAAGGAATATCTTGAAAGCACTTGCTCTCAAGAGCATCAGGAAGAGGAAAGCAGTGACATCTCAGACATACCTCATCACCAGGAGTCGGGCTCCAATACCAGAGGCTGACCATTTCGTTGTCGGAGTAGCCACCAACGTAAGTATCGGCGCAAACAATAGTAAGTTCATTATCCACGACATAGTCGGCGTATGATTCCGCCATGCCCTCTTCGACACCAGTCTGGTCATAATTCGCTTCTTCGTATTCGAACCTGCATGGAAGTTAGACCAAGCTCCAGATGGCGGACATTTTTTGTGCTTACTCAGACTCATCTGGGTCGCCCCAGTAGATATACGCGGAGTAATCGGTTTCTCCATCACTTCCCTCGTCATCTGTGTAGATAGTATTAGCTGTTGCGTGTTTATCTTTGCTTCGAGAGGAGAGAAAGCAAGCGCTAGAATCTGGAATGCTTACCCTCCCAGTCTCCTTGTTCTTGTCGTTTGTTCTTGGAGAGCGCGTGCGAAAGTGTAACGTTTCGCGTAAATTTCAACCCGCGAATATTGCTGTTACTGCTGCGGAAATAATGCAAGTGGTAGAAATTGCCCGGTGTTGTGATGTTTCCAATAGCGGTAAACTCTGAGGATGAGAATCAGTCCTGTTCATAAAGCTATGTAAGGGGAAACTTTGCACAAGCAAAGCGACAGCTCGCTCCATCTGGAAGCATCTCTTGGTTAAGCATCAAATCTGCCCAGAGGTATAGACTTACTATCTTGGGGAGCGTTGGCTGCCAATGTGCTTCTCAAGCTGCCGTTGATAGTTGGGATGTACCTGGAGAGTAGAAAGTCAGTAAATGCCTTTTGTAAATCAGAGATTGAAAAGCAGAGCTGATGTTCTTACTGAGGGTCCAAAGTCCACACAACTTCATCAAGAGACCGTTTCGTAGCTTTCCAGGCAAAATAGTTTGCAGCTGCAAAAGAGAAGAAGAAGAAAGCTAGATTGATAGCACAAGCACCCCCAAAAGTGAGAACTCCACCGATAGAACATGAGCCCACCAAACTATTTGCGAAGCCTGCAGCAATACCACCCCAAACGCCCGCCATGACGCCATTGTTAAGACGCTTTTCGTGCTCCAAATAAGTTGAAACGCCAGTGGGACCACGCGGTGCAATGTCGAGGTCACGCGTAGTTGCTGGAGATGGGGGGATCCATTGAGTAACGTTTGTCAATCTCAATGGAGTGTCGATCAGGTCGAAAGCGAGAGATCGGGATTGCAATTTTGGGGACATGACTTGGACGTCTACAGATGCCTGGCAAAGAACGAAGGCCACGGCCGCCAGCAAAGGTAAAGAAGTCTGCATGTTGAGGTGGATCATGCGAACTGGAAGTTTGAGTCTTGTCTTTGAGAAAGATAGTGTCTTGAAGATGGGAACATGCTGTATTTATACCTTCGAGGCAATTACTTGTTACTTCTCTGCAAGCCACATCGATGTCCATTGGCTTGCAACTTGCGAGAAGCTATTGCGGATTGAGATTGCTCGCATAGGTTGCAACGTTTGCTTGGGTATCATCTTACAAAATCTTCTGTGCCGTATGCGCAGGAACCTTGACGATCGTTCTCTTCGCATTCGGATTTCTTTTGCTCATACCTATTCAGGCTTCTGAATGGGTTCAACAATTGTGAATCCTAGCAAAGTGGCTGTTCGAGATTCCGAAAAGCAACTGACTGTATCCCACCCGTGCCTACCTATGCATAACTACCTAAGTAGATATCGCAGAGTATTGAATGAGTGCGCCATAACCAGCTCATCTCTCAAGATGAAATTGGAATTCTACGGCCGAGGACCTCATCGGAGCTGGGTAGCATTGTGAATCGTGATTGGTATAGTCGGCTAAGTGGTTGACGTCTTCAAGCTGAAGTTGCCTGGGGCTGAGTTCAAAATGGACTTTGACAAAGTGAGTGGGCCTTTGAGGGTCGTCAGAAAATACTTGAATGCAGGAACAATGTCTCTGAATGGCTACCCCGTCTGGTTTCTTGATATCGTGGCCTCGGTGAGGTCTAAGCGAGGACCCTGATCTGATCATATCCTTGCAATTCTGTATTCTTCCTCGCATCGAACCGAGAAGCTTATACTCGGAGACCCATCAAAGGCTCTGTTAGGTCGTGGGGGCCCACAACCGAGAGGGTACAGTCATGTTGTTCGGATATGAAAAAGAGAACACCATGCGAGTAAGATATTGAATGCTCATGTTTTCGGAGATAATATGCCAAGATACTGTAACCTTATTTGGACGATGACCCGAATTCAGACCGCAGTGCAAACTTCGAAGAATAGGCGGAGCTACCAATGACAAGGCGCGCTTCGCGTAAATAGCTTTCTTGCAGAGCTGCAAAGTGTGTAGATTTCAGGATCACGGGAGGGAATAAGGTTACCAGTCCGGGAATGTTCCTCATTCAGGAAGACTTTTGTATGGAGTGGTCTGTATTTGAGAAAGCTAAGCCTTCGAAGTGCATGGGTAAAATCCGCCCCTTACTATTAAGCGACCCACGTGCAGAATCTTTGCTTCCCTCCCCGGGCCACTTCATGTGCGCAAGGGTCTTCTATTGCACGCATAACTACAAGGAACTTGTGGGGTCGAAAATGTAACCTTATTCTTAGTAAAAGCTTAACCTTTAACGGGCAATCCGTCGGTTCGGTATTTGCAAGCCCACACTTCACCTCTGCTTCTCCACTCCAGCAGGAGTTACACCACAGAATTCGTCAAAACACTCTCCCACTTTCTTTTGCAAACGAATTTTTCAAGCTTTCAGCGATTTCCAGAGTCATGAAGACTTCGGCACCGTCGCAGCAAGCTCCATCGCAGCCTCATGTCTTGGTTTCGAAATCACCACGGCAGTCAGCGTGGCTCGCTATGTTCAACATGTTCATCGCCCTCCTCCTCTTCAATCTCGCCGCCTACACTATCACCGCAATAGCGACTTCTCTCACCAGCACGCCCTATGTCTCATACTCCAACAAACTACGAGCAAATGATTGCGAGTGTCCTCTTCACGAACAGCAACAGGACTGGCTCCTCCCCGCACCAGCAATCACAAAACTCTGCTTCATAGCCAACTTATTGTTAGGCTTGATGAGCGGCGCTCTGTTGGTGAATGCGTTTCTATGGTGGATGACTAGTGTTTCAGAGATTTCTGTCTCTGTGAGGAATTATGCGCTAGGATGTGGAATTGGAGCCGGAATCGTGGGGCTTGTGTTAGTACATATTCTGTTCATTAAGAAGTTGGTAAAGAGCGGTGGATTGCTGATGGCTATCAATACTATTCTCGGCTTGACTTTGATGGGGCTGGCATTTGGTACAATTGGAGTGAGTAGAGCGTGGAGTGTGGACTCGAGTCAGAATTCTCTAGAGAAAGGAGGTGTCGAACTGGACTTGCGAGGCGTATTTATGCAGAGCTTACAAGAAGATCGTTCAGGCCAAGCGCATAGTGAATAGGCCAAGTATATTAGAACTGTTTTGCTGTCCTTCTAACCTCTTGGAATTGTTCGATTAATCTCAAGTTGGCTAGACATTGAAAACATGAGGTTAAAAGTAACTAGGTAAAACAGCTCTCGTGTTACGCTTTTAAGAATCCAAGACTTTTGAAAGCGGTCCTTATCAAGGGTTGATTCGAGATGAAGCCAACAGGTCGTTCATCATAAATCGCTTGTGAAGTTGGGGAATGTGGCTTACACGTGATCTACGTTTATAGCTTTCACATCGGAGTTATTCATATCATCTCGATGGCTCACCTGAAACCGACAGTCTATCTTCGATTTGGAAGGACATCGAAGGCATGTTGCTTGATAGACTTTGATGCTACAACTGTCCTTGGCCATGTCGCTGGTCAAGTGTCGCACCATAGGCTCCTCCACAGGTATGTCGTGTTGAGCTGTACTGTGCCTAAAGGCTCAGCATTATAGTCTTTACACATTTTGAATGGAAAGGCGCCCCTTGACAGAGTCTTCTTTGGGAACATCCCGACTTTTATAGCATCTACGTCCGTCAGCTCATTCTTCGAGTCCGAGTCTGCGTGCCACGCTAAGTGTCTTCTTCACAATGCTAGCAAGCCAACATTTGCAATGAGAACGAAAAGCGTACTCTTGGAAGTAGTGTAATACCAAAAGTACAAGCCCACAAAAATTGATAGCTCTCTCTGATGCGTATGCGGAAGTCAAATTATAAAGACATTGGTTTCCCACAGCTCTCTTTGATGTGCGTGTGTGCATGCGCTTTGTGGACACCAAATTATAAAGACATTGGCTTCGCACCGCTCTCTTTGATGTGTGAGTTCCAAGGAACAAAGAAAAGTGAGAGGTGGGAGGATAGGCTTTTATAGATGGTCTGTGGGCACTAATTTGGTGCGTGGGCGGGTTACTGGCTAGTTCGGAGAACATATAAACATTGTGCGAATCCAGAGTCGGGTTATGTTGGTAAGTTCCAGAAGAATGGAACGCTATGTGCTAGCTTGCCACTAGCATCTGATGATGAATTCCAACACGCACCCACTGTTGTTCTGATCATTTCCCCTTAGAACCAGTGCATCTGTGTTCAGCTGGTGAGTAGAGTCATTGTTCTGTTCTTTGTTTGGGACTTTGCTTGATTCGCTTGCGAGGGCTAGACTTAACTAAAGAGAGTGCTGTGCAGAGCGATACCATCATCTTGAAAGATCTCCCTGCAATTACATAGCCCAATTCCTGAATACGTAGATGTTGAACAGGAAAGAGTGCAAGCAATTAACAAGCAACTTTCCCATGAGGATAAAGATTGAACAGCTCTCTTGCGGTAAGTTGACAGATCAGCGAAAGTACGAACAAGTGACTTAATTCTAGTGAAGGGTCAGTTCCTATCAATCCGAAAGTAGAACATTATTGAGCATCAGCGTGCATACACGTCTCTCAAGTTTCTGCATACCCTTCTTTATTTTGCCCTCCATGTTGAAGTCGAAGAAGCAAAAGTAGGTACTTCCATATTTTGATAGCTTTCATCAATCCCGTGATCCCGAACAACGCACTTGCTTCGTCCATCTCCCGATTAGGTAGGAACAATGGCCTTGTTCTTACTCCAACATCGCAACTCCTGAAATACCTCCATCCCGCAACAATGGTATTGTTCTCCTCTGACCCCCCACACACCCCACGTCTCTATCTCTTACTCCAAGAAACAATACAACACGAAAAAAGTTAAATAGCTCTCTGAAACATTCACCAATTAATCATCGAAGCAAAAACCACAAACACAAGCACACAAAATGTCTCAGCAAACAAATAACAACGACGTCGACAGAGCTGTCCCAGCTCCCAACACTAACCTAAACCGGGTAACAGCCCAATTCCCACTCCCGCCTTTCTTGTTAACCACTCTGCAAGGCATCTCCTTTGCTCGGGCACCAGGCACTATCCTGCATCCCGATGCTTTAGCGGCCTCGGCGCTACCGTCCATTGCTGAGGTAGCCTACACCCACAATCCGCACCCACATACGGAACAAGAACCCGGCACCCGTCCAGCAAGTCCAGCAAGTCCATCAAGTCCATCAAGTCCAGCAATTCCAGCAACTCCAGCAACTGCAGCAACTGCAGCAACTGCAGCAGCAGAACCACCAGTCGTCCTTTTCAGAAGAGACCCCCTGATCCCGACCCCCCTCCAACAAAGCCGCGACCACAAATGCCCGCACTGCCTCTGGTCCTTCGCCTCTGCATGGGAGCTAAGACGGCACTTACTCAGCATCCACGGCATCGCGCCCGAGACTCCAGAGCCAAATGTCCGAAAACACAAATGCCCCGTCGAGAACTGCGCCCGCTCATTCGACTGGCTGCCCGAATTAACCCGGCACCGGCTCTCCGCGCACAACCTCGAACCGCCGCCTCCGACCGAGGAGGAGATCGCGAAGCAGAAGGAGAGGGAGGAGGAGTTGAAGGAATGGGTAGCAGGCAGAGGAGAGAGGAGAGAGGCCGCTATACGGAGGTTGGAGGCGAAGGGGATATTCACGTGTCGGTTGGACAATTGTCGGAAGAGTTTTAGTTCGGAGAAGGGGAGGGCGCACCATGAGAAAATGGCTAGGGATGGAAGGGGGATTAAGGGACATAGGAAGAAGTAGAGGGGTGGAGAAATAGAGATAAGACAATAAACAGATTCGAACCAGAAATAACGAAACAGTGATGAAATAGTGAAGTGACATGTGATACTGTATAATACTTTTAAAGAATAGGAATAAAAACAAATCTAGCATTGCATGTAATTGAGGATAGGGAAAGTGCATTCAAGGTTTGGAAGACTCTGGACAATATCTGGCTTTATTTGCACTGTAGATTCTAACATACACTAGTACATGAACATGAATACATAACGGATTTCGTGAGAGCGCTAGGTCAGAAGCATAGCTCGGGTCCATGTCTAAACTCATATATAGAAAAGTTCTGAACTCAGGGATCGAAATAGATTACCTAGTTGTAAGCTGTGCGAATTTTCTGCTTAGAGAGTTCACCAGGATACCAAACTTTTCGATCCGATGAGTGGCACCGTTCTTCGAGATAGTCGCCTACGGCGATACAATAGATGCGGATCTAGAGTCAATTCGCATTTGACTTGCACGGAGTTGAAATCCTTGCCACATCATACATACCTCGTTATTGGTTACAGACTAGATTGCTGCTAGAGGACTCCACAACTTGGGCTTGAAAGAGCTCCCATCTACAAACTTCCAGGTCTCATCGAAATGGTCCTCCAATATGTGTCCTTGCGCAGTCTGGTAGTAGACGTTGCATATTCCTGGGCCTATCGCAGTAGTAGCTACATGGCTCCCGTTCAAGATCCCTGGGGGCCCGTCCAGTGTGAGGGGATAGGACCACCAACGACTCAGCGCGAGCTGAGGGCCCATGGTAAAAGCGCTGAAGTACCCGAAACTCTCATAAGAGAAATCGCGGTGGCGTTCCATGTTCTTACGCCGCTCCGAATCTCTAAAAAGAGGCGCCAGGATCTGTGGGGCTCGGGCGGACTCGAGAGTCGGCGCATGCGCCCACGCACCGTACATCGGCGGACTGAGCTTTGTCTTATTCTTCCATGCAGAATATATCTCGTTAGCGGAAACTTGAAGGGCTTTCACATAGTGCTTCTTGTTGTCATTATTCTGTCTGTCCATGCCGCGCTTATCTCCGTAAGCAATCCACGCTTCTCCTGCTGGATTCTTGACGGAGAGGCCAATGGCGTTGTCTTCGTCGTGCATATACTATGAAGTGGTCAGTACTGTACAGCAATATTCGCCAACATCAGGATGACAGTTCACCTTTGAGCACAAGTCGTCAGATCCACCAAAGGAGTGGAGAAAACGACGCGGAGTGCGGAGGTGACCCGCCGAAAAGGAATCCTCCAAGTAGTGATCAGCAAAAGCATTAATGCTGTACGCTAGCTCAAGGTTTCCTCCTAAAGCGACATTGATGGCCTCTTGATGGCCTGCATTATATGCGATGCGGGCATCGGAACCAAAGTGATCCCAATTTATCCTGGCCAGCAGTAGATAACCGGGAAATCCTTTGAGGAGGCGCCATTTCGTAATGTCAACGAATGCAGAGGTCATGCTAGGAAGCCGATTGTAAATCACTGACGGGTCTTGATGTGTAGGTAGCTAGAGCATTATTGATGGCAGCCACTTCCGCGTCTAAATTCTTGAGGATATCTCTTGCTTCTTTGGGCTGCCGATCTTTGGGACCGTCAAGGGTTTTAAAGGCGGCTATGAAACGATCCCTCTGTTCTTCAGCGCTCTTACCATTGCCGATAGGGTTAAATGTTCCGTAAAAATTACCGGCAAGACCATTGATTTGGCCGTAGCTGACGCGCAACCCATTTGTCAAAGTGAAAGGGTGGTGTAATGCGGTTACGATGCTTCCATTAGCAAGAGTAAGGCTGGTGGTGTCTCTAAGATAAGAGTGCTCGGCATACTCGAAACCTTATAGTTCTGTTAACAACTCCAGACCCGTTTCATACTTATGTTTGCTTACCGAGGTTGCCCTTTGTTGTCCCAGGGACTGCAGCAAGACTGATACCACGCCTGAATGTTGGCTGTGTTATATCATTACCTCCTAGGGTCTCGCTATTGGGAGGATGTTCGAGTTGGGGTGAGTCCATGGTGTCAGCCACTTTATTTCCGTGCAGAAAAGAATGCCAGCATGAATTTAGAAGCACCATCAAATAAATGTTGATTCTGCGCGTGATGACTGGCGTGACACAAATACGTACTGCAAGGAATGGAGACACGGATGAATATGGATATACCTGGAATGGAGAGCATCGAGTGTATGGAATGAAGAGTTTGGAATGGATAGCCTATTTCTTGTTTGATGTGAGGTCGTACAACTGATTCAGAAATGTAGAATCTTATCTGCTCTCTGGGTAGCAGTTCCAAGAGCTGATTGTTGCCCGAAGTACGGGCAGACGATAGGCTTAAAAAGACCTACGACCTCATAAGTATTAACTTGCTAGTAGCCAAAACGAAACTGTAAGTCTTATGATTGCCTTGGACAGCATGAAATGATTTACCTTGGGTGCGCAAGAACAGGTCGCAATAAGGAACCTGCTAACGATCCATATGGGACTGGTAAGTCAACGAGAATATCTGCAAGTCCTCAAAGACGGATTGTACATAGACCAGCAGCAAAGTAAGTAAGTCTACGGCGCTTAGATTGTGCCATTCATAGCTGAAATGGCACTAAAAAGTTGTCTCATCCTCTGTTGCACAGGAACCAGACTTTGCCGCCAAACGCCGGAAAGAAATCGCTACTAGAACTTCTGGGACATGGTGTGGAGTAGAGATAGCTCCCGCCGCGCTTAAGGAAGGATGGCAGGCGGATGGAGACTCATCGCTTGAAAATAAATACAAGAAGCGTATCGAAGGAATTCGAAAATATCTAGGCACGCTCACACTAGGACATAGCTCGCGTTAAAAAAAGAGGAGCAGATACAAATGCATCTATAATATCGCAGAGACGATTTATTATCATTGTAGCATGAGAATGTCAACACACGGCTACAGCTTGAGAATAAAAAGAGTTTAATATAAAAATATTACCATCTCAGTATTTAGTTCCGGAATGGTAAGCTTGAGATAGTCAGAGATTGATTCCTCGTGGAGGATAGTCGGAGTCCAACTAACACGAAACCTCCTATCGCTTGCTCTTGAGCACAGAAGATCCGAGACAAAAATGGAGAAGAGTGGACAGCGGAGAACACAGACTGACATCGGATAGGAAGAAGGGATATTAGTAGGAGGAAAGCGGTCCTTGCGCATTCTCTTCCCTAAATACCAGAACATATTCCAAGCACAACAGACACTCATCCTTCGTCTTTTAAATTTTACATTTACTCTTTCTTTCTTTCTTACTTTCTTATCTACAAAGTCCCCTCCACCTCCTTTCCCCTTCTCAAAAACTCCATATCAAGATGCCAATTCCCAAACGCCGATATATGCCGCTCTCATCCAGTATTTACGGGGTATCTCATGCAGCACAACATAACTTTCTCCTCCCCCCTCTTTCAAAGATCATAACGTTCGTAAAAGATTCCCTAGCCCCGACCGCGGTGCCTCGTCTCCGAGCAGGCTGCGCGGCATGTGTGAGCGCCCGGCCTTGCTATTCGGGTGCAGCTTCAGGTTTCCTTGGGGCGCGTTCTTGATCCATTCTTTTTGTTCGGGGTTCCATGTATGTCTGTTCCCACCCATTAGCCTACTACTACTAAAAAAAAACGAGGAAAAACAAGGGAAGGAAAGACATACCCCTCATGCATAGTCTTCGTCAACGCCCTCGGACTATACTCCTGCACCAGAATGCGATCAAACCCAAACGGCACCGTGGCCGGCACGCCCTCGAACTCCGTCTCCCGTAACGGGTAGATATCCCGCGTCTTGTAATGGTGATAGTTCTTGCAACTCCACACGCCTGGCTGCTGACTCGGGTTCGTTTCCGAGAGGCCTGTGATATCGATATACAGCCCATTCCTGACATCGATCCACCTCGCATCAATAACATTCATGCCATCCCCCCGCATGCGATCCACATGGTTCGGATTTACATCTAGCAGATACTCCCGCTGCTGCTCCTCCCCGGATGCCGTTTGCACGGTGAAGTTATGCAGCGTCATATTCAAATTCTGCCCCATCCACACCAGCGTCGACGCCGAGACCTGCGTATCGAGATCCCAATCCCACGGCATGATCTTCCCATTCCACCACCAGCCCAGCAGCGTGCCGTGCGCGATCCAGGTCTCGATGTTCTTCTCGCGGAAGACGGTCAGGTAGCTGCGGATCAGGCCGAGCAGGGTGTCGCCGCGCTCCTCGTACGAGACGACCGCTTTGAAGTACCGGATGTCGTAGTGGCCCAGCTCGTCGTTGCCGCCGGGTTCGTGGAAGTATTTTGTGTCTGGGGGCGACGGTTTGTAGGGTTTGGGGCGCCCGCGGAAGTTGGAGCCTACGGCGGGAGCGGGATTGGGGTTGGGAGCGGCGAGGAGGGGCGTGAGGAGGAAGGGGAGGGTGAGGAGGGTTGTGAGCTTCATGGTTGTGGGGAGTGAAGCTGAGATTGAGAAGGACGAGATCGAGAGTTGTTATCGGGACATGGAGTGAGGCGGTTGATGTTTTTTTGTAGGCGTGTGAGAAGGTGAGATAAGGTGAGACGTCGAGAATAAAGGAGGAGAGAGGAGAGAGGCTGAGATGAGTGTCGTGTGCTCAAATAATCCCACTTCCAAGAGCCAAGCCAATCCTGCCAAGAAGGCACAACGAAGTGATCTTGGCGACACTCGTGTTGTGAGGAAGATGATGAAGATCAAAGACGATAAGTAGTAAGCAGTAATCAAGACTCGATCTGGTACGGAGTGACAATCAATCAATCAATCAATCAATCACGAACGAGAAGAAGCTTGAGATAGCTGTGTATGTAAAGGTGTATGTCGAATGACGAACGCGGAACAACAGACAGACAAACGAACGAGCAGCGGGCAACGCCTCCATTTTGATCCCTCGCTCTCTCTCACGCACCTCGCTCACGCACACGACACTCAGCCCCTGTCAAACATGATTAGATCGGCGCTAGCCATTGGGGGACCAAGTCTGTGGTAGTGATTGCGTAGACTGCAATTTTGCTGTGCGTGGTGTGTGGTGTCAGGGAACGAACGGAGCGGGAGCAAGGATGGGATGTTGGTCGTGTGTCTGTGGCTGACACTGCCGCATATCAACCACCCCACATTATTTCGGTGTATCTCTAGACGGCTGTCTCTCTTGTGAGCTCCTGCCCAGGTCAGGTACAGACTCCGATTCGATTGCGAACGAATCAAAATGTATGTACAGTACGTCGTCAATACTGTAGTCAGCCATTTGGTCAGCGGGCGATAAGCAAGTAGGTACTGTACATATGAGCTATTATTGAAGGGCTGGAGATATCGATATCGACCCTCATACAAAAAGTACTTTCAATCAAATATACCACCAACCTCCTCCTCTCCTCTACCAAACACGAATCCCATCCCATCTCATCATAAACCACAAACTGAACCACGCGTCGTGGCTGGACCCCAATTATTACGAACAATTTATTCCCAACCCTTTTTTCTTTGGTGTTCCTCTCTCTGTCGGTGTTTCTCGTCCCTGGCATCGTACTCCCGGAACACTGCTTCCACCTCCCCCAAAGCCACGCGGCCTCCTTCCCAGTTCAGCCTCCCTGCCCCAGAAATCAGAAAATACTCGCGAGCGCGGACGAGTCGCATTTATCCCTATGTTGATAATTGCTGTTTTGAGACGTGAGGGATTGCTGTCGTGTGACTCGAGAGAGAGAGGACTTGTTCGGCGCTTCTGATGTTCCTGGTAATTCGTTTCTAGCCTGGGGGATTTTTATTCTCTCCGTGCGGTGGTTGGTGGTACTGTCCGATGAAAAGTTGAGACGAACGAACGGAACACATTGCAACGCATTGCTTTTTTTGCGCTCGTTTCGTCTCAGCGCCTCTTTGCGTGGCTGTCCGTCAGTCAAAACATCGAGCATCGGCATCCCATCCCCGTCGACGATGAAAGCTTGGCGGTGAGACGTGGATCATGATGAGGACTAAGACCAAAAACCGGATCGTCGCTGTCGTGTGCTTAATTGTCGAGTTGAGCTTTAGTCGGGGCTTGGCGTTGACGACGATGAGATGAGTGCGTGCCAAGACGGGTTATCGGATGGAGATCTCTCTGTCAGATTTCCAGGTCCATGGCCATCACCACACAAATTTCGAGGACGAAGTAGATACCAGAACCAGAATCTCGAATCCTGCTCTGGAAAGCCACAATCGATCAATCAACCCATCATCTATCTTTTCCAACTCTCTCAATCCCTCTCAGTCCGCTCTGCTGGCCTCTTTGGGAAGGTCGTTCCCATGGGAAGTCAAGCCACAGACGCCTTCCCGCCTCTTATCCCCCACTACCACTATCTCATATCTCTCTATCTCAATTGTTATGTCAAACTCTTTCCCTCTCTCCCATCTTTCCCTTCTCTTCCATTACTCTCTTTCGCTCTTCGCATACGTAAACAAGCTTCCCGCTCAAAGTTTCAAACAAAAAGCTTGTTTGAAGTGGAGCTACTATTTCTGGAAATAGCATATTTTGGGGTTTTAAGGTGGGTGTAGATCAAACGAGGCTGAGGCACGCGTGTTGGGTGATTGATTTAGATGGACCAGATGGGTGGGAGGGGGCTTGTTGGTTGGCTGGATTTTAGAGGGGAGGCTGGTTGTTTTAGGAGCTTTGTTTACGACAGCGTGTAGGTTGTCTTTCGAGTGAAGAAGGGCCGTCTGAGCTGAAGATGGAAAACATCACGTGATATGACTTGCACGTGAGTGTGTCGAGTTTGCTGTTTTGTTCTCCTTCCTTGTTCGAATTCATATTCCTGCTCTTGTTGTCAATTGTTCTTGAACATATGACTGCTTCGCTGCTGTGTTCTTGAGTGAATTGATCTTTTTGTTTGTTTGCACGTGCTTTGAACAACAAGCCCAACCTAATCTTTTTGACCCCTAAATCAGTATTTTCTTATACAAGTTGTTTATAAATGCCGCAACTTATCCCCTTGTCTCACGATTCAAATCAATGAGCTTAATAGAGAGATTAAAACGTTAAAGAAAAAAGAAGCTGAATGAAACAAACGTCTTTCCCTTGATTTCTTCGCAAAATCAAGAAATAGATACGCATTAGTAAAGAAGCCAAAAAATGGGTCAACCCTCCAAAAGGATACGAGGGCTTCTACGAGTGCATATTTTTACGGTGGAGAAAGCTTGGGAAAATGGGTGTATCTCGAATTAGCGGTTTCTGGCTTAATTATGCTACATTCGAATATACACAAGCTAGGAATACCAGAGAGCTTCACTGCGTCACTTGAAATCCCTCTTTTAAGATCTCAATAAATCCCGCAACTTTATCGAGTAGCAGCTGAGAATAAAAGAGCTCAACGCTCAGTTGCCTTTCATTCTAGACAATAGCTTACAGCTGTTTTGATGCCCGATTTTGCGATTATGCTCCCTGCTAAAACTGCTTGTGCTAGCTTTAAGAAACAAAACTCTCCTTATTCTGCTCTGCCCACTCCTCGAACGTCGTAGCTTTCCTCCCCGAATATTTCTCGACGTTCAACAACTCCTCCTTCGCCACCGGATACCCGTACACTTGATATTCTTCAGTACCACTCCGTTTCATCAGATTAATCATATACTTAACAAAATACTCCGGCGTCCCGCGATCCATGAACATCTTATACGTCTCCCCCTCATCCAACTCCCTCACCTTAATCTCCTTCCCCAACACCTTCTCCAAAACCTTTACAGTACCCTCCTGCGTCAACAACTCCGGCCCATACAAATAAACCGCCCTCTCCTCCCCATCCCTTGGTCCCCGCACCAAAATCCCCCCACAAACCCGCCCAATATCCTCCGGCACAATACAATCAACCTTCAACCCCGGCCGATACATCCTCACCTCCCCCTCCCTCACCTCCTTCGCGTACTGCCGCGTATTACTCGCAAAGCTCCCCGGCCTCGCCGCCACGAATCCCTTTTCGCCGAACACCTCCCGGAGCTGAATCTCGACCTGCGCATGCACGTACGGAATCGCCTCGGCAGGCGGAATCGCCTCCAGATCCCCGCGCACCGTGTAACTGCTCAGGAACACGACGAATTCGATACCAGCCGCTTTCAGGGCTTGGACGGTGGCTTTCATGTGATCTGGCGTGCCGTGCGCGCAGTACAGGAACGCGTGTTTGGCGCCTGTGGTGGAGATGGCGGCGTGCACCGTGTCGGGTTTCGTTAGGTCGGCGTAGATGCGCGTGAAGTTGGCGGCCTTTTCGAGATCTGAGAGAACGGGGATTGGTTTTGAGGGGTCGCGCATGGCGAGGATGACGGGGGCGCCGAGTTCTGAGGCTGTGAGTGCTGCTGCGGAACCGACTGCTCCTGTGGGACCGAAGACGATGACTTTGGGTGGTGGCATGGTGAAGGATGATATTGGTAAAGTGCTGGAAAGTTGGGAAATTGGTTGAGAGAGAAGGACAAGTCGTTAGATATATAATTGGGTTTTTATGGCCGCGAGACTTTGTTGGTGATGGAGTTTACGGAGTTTAGACTGGACGTCCGTTGAAAGACGTCCGTTGAAACTGTCACGGGTTGGATACAATGAGTCAAAGCAAGAACCTGATTGTATTACAAGAAGAATTAACTAAAGAGAGAAGAGTTCTTTCTCGTACGAAGAGCTGTTTTAAAGGGGCTCTCGCTGGTTCGTAGAATGGCCCGCGCGCTTTAGCGTCGCGTCGTCATGTGCAGGCCCGCGTAGTCACGTGTAGGCTGCACTACGTAGTAGTGCAGCCAGATATCGGGTTCAACCCGTCACATTGTCTCGCTAAGCGAAAAACGCTTTTTTAAGTCTGCTTTGTTCTTAGAAAGGAAATATTGCGGGTATCTCGTTTGTTATTTCTTTGTTTTGGCAGAGTAGATTGAAGTGAAGATGCTGTTAATTCCCTTGTTCTAAGGTGTGTAAGGGGCTACGCCAAGAGGGAACACTTAAGACGTAGGCAGTGGGTAAAACTGTCGTTGAATTCGATAAAGAACTAAGAGCTAGCTAGCTATGGCTTTATATACACAGAATAGGGGCTTCGAAGAAGCCTCGACACACGCTAAGTGTTCTAAGATTAAAGTCTTAGATCGGAGATTACACTCGTAAAGAAAATAAGGAGGCTGGTGCTTAAGCGAGGCGTAGCCGAAGCATTATGGGGTTCAACCCCTGACAGGTGAGTCACACAAGCATTGAACGCTTTCTCTGCTTGTAATTCTTTATCCTTGAACAATACAACGAAAACAATGGTTTCTCGGAGTCTTTACTTTCGTTTCTACTTTTAGGCTGTCAATGGCTTTTTTTTTTTTTTTTTTTTGGAAACACAGAAATCTTTTGTCTCCTGACAAGAACAACATGCACAATAGCATAATCTTCACCCACGACAAAGCAATACACAACTATAAATGAATTGTTTATTCCCCATATTACTCATGCAGAAACTTTCGTTATAAAAACACAATAATTCTTACAATATTTGTACTCAACAATGGCTCATCCGAAACTTTATTTTAGCGTCGAACTGGAATTCGTCGTCGCTTGGCTTTACCCTGGCGAACCCCTCATAGATCCTAACGAGACAAGAGTCTTCAGCTTTCCTCCTTCCAAAGCACTATTCAACAACACGGCCGCTTCATACGGGAAAGGTTACTTGAAATATGAAGATCTCTCGAACAGGAATGGGCCCATGCTCGAATCTGACCGCCGTAGGGTAATGAGGACTGCGTTTTACCAGTCACTCCGTTCAGCGTTTAATGCTGCAGGCTTACCTGTCCGCTTAATATCCGACGAAGACTACGGACTAATCTCACACCTACTCCCTAAAGAAGATGCTTCTGTCTGGGGTTTCAGAAAAGAAGAGAGTCTTAGATTACCATATGGCACCGATTACCATTGGATGGGCGCCGAGCTCGTCTCTCCAGCGTATGAATTCACTCCAGAAAACCTATCGTCCGTGGGAAAGGCTTGCAAGATTATTACAACGAAGTATCTGGCGGAAGCTAACGATAGTACAGGTCTACATGTACATGTTTCCTTTGGTGTGGATAAAAAATGGTCGTTCAACAGTATCCGACAGGCACTCATGTTTTTCTGGACATTCCAACCTCAATTTGACTCGCTTCACCCCAACCATAGGCAAGGTGGCAAATGGGCAAAGGCTATGAGGTCCAAGTCCAAGATAAATTCTGATCATTATGCAAAAACGGGCAGAATCCTCACGCCAAATGAAGGCCTTCTCCGCATAGATAGGATCACAGATATGGAAGAGTTATTAAGAGCCGTAAGCGGTGAAGGGGCGGAACACCCAGATCGATACATGGCTTATAACGTAATTCCCATATTTGAGAGTAGGAATTCTGATCTATCAATCGCTCACCCAAAGACAACACTAGAATTCCGCCAACACGAAGGTACCCTGGACGCCGAACGCGTCACACAATGGATTGAACTATTGTGTGGCGTTATCATGTTCCTTGAAAATATCGAGCCTGCAATTCTTATGGAACTCCTTCGAGTTGTTAGTGAGCAGGAAGTTTGGTGCAGAACCGGGAGTAAACTAAGGGATCCCCCAAATGAAGAGAAATTTGGTCCTGTTCTAGCGGAAAGTTCCTTCACGATTACGGACCTACTAGAACATATTGGACTGGAAGACTCGGCCAGCTTCTATCGATCGCGTCTTTATAAACTTGAGCCCCTGCTACAGATTCCAGATCCAAAGCCGCCGGTCAGCCAAGCTCTACGAGACTGTATACGGAATCTACGGCGTACTAATTTGGCTTCCATGTCTACAGAATCGACGGAAGTCAAAGTGAGTAAAGAAGAGGGATTATAGCTTAAACACTCAATCATGTATTCGTAACCATAAACTTTAGACTTTTCCTTTTAAATGCAATTCTGTACCCATAGCTCTTTAACTTGCGACGAAAACGCTGCATCGGACCATATAAATTGTTTTAAGATTCCAAGTACCTCCGGCCACGAACCGTAAAAGTCTCTGAGTCTGGTAGCATTGTTGGATCGCAGTAGTGAGACGTAATCGGAGCGAACATATCCTGTTGGGAGAGCACTGTCTCATTGTGAAGATAAGACAATGAGTGTAACCCTCGGGCCTCGGGATCGATTAAAACATCGACGATCCCGAATTATGATTGTAACCCACAAGGCTTCTGAATGACCGCTCATTTGTTCCCTCACTTCTCGATTTCCCACGACCTTCTTTGCGAAGCGCATGCAGGCTGCAAAGCTATCACGTGCAGCTAGGCAATAGGCGCTCTTCATTTCGGCTTTCATTGGAAGTTCTGGAGTTTGTCAGATCAATGAGTCTAACTTGAAAAAGATTATTTAACGTACCGCGGTGTGAATAGCTTGCGTTAAAAAATTGGGCATTGCTTTGCAAGTATAATTGTTCCGATTTGTGATAGAAGCCTTCATTTAGTCCGATGAGAAGCTTGAAGGATTGATGAATTGTTTATCAAAAGATCTGTTGTGGTTTGAATGTGTTGTCTAGGTCCTTGAGCATCACGACTCTGAATGTATCCGAAATACGAAACATTCACCATTATAAAGTACCATCTGTTACTAAGACAGGAATTTATTGCACTCGGACCTGACTAGGTCATCAGAATTCCAAAATATTCAGCTGCTTCAATATCAGCCACCTTTTGTCAGTTCTCTAGCCATTTTGATCTAGTAAATATGTTTCCTCAGCTTACTTCGTCTTCTAGCTAAAGAGAAAAGGTCTGAAGCAAACGAATGGACCACAATTCGCACTGCAAAAACTACTTGCTGCGTTATTGAACGTACAAGCTAGCCTCTGCCGTCTCAACTGTTAAAGCATCCAGTATCTTTTTCAATACATCCACTACCTCTCTTTGGAACGCCCATTGTAGTATCAAGTTCTCTCTGCCTTCCTGTCCAACCGCTACTCCAAACGCTGCACTAGTTCCCGCCAAACACATCTCAATGACCCGTGCAAATCGGATTCCCACATGCCAGGCTACTTTGTGGTGACGTGACAAGGATATGAGTTCCTCTTGTACCTCCCTGGCGGATGCTCCATGAACTTTCGAGGATGGTTTCACTAAATCGTCTACTGGTGACCACACGGCAATCTCGAGCAGCAACACTCCCAGTGAATATATATCATGTATCCCAATGGACCATAATGCTGGATTAGGCCCCCAGCGGTCAGGATAACGATAAAGGTTTCGTATTGGACTTGCGTCGAACAACGGTACCGACTCTGCTTTGTCGGGTCGAGAAGACCCATATCCAAAGATTTAGGGGTTGGGATATGATACTTGTGTTTGCAACGATGTTGGTGCCACAAATACAATGTTCTCGCTTCGTATGCCCTCGTGGAACCAGCCGACGGATTGAAATCTACTTATTGCAAGTGCTAAGGCGTGAGCAAGCCGAAATCGATCGTCGAGTGAAGGCCGATTATAAGTTTGCTTATCCTGGCCTGAGTTTCTTCCGAACCTTTCAAAGACTTGGTGGAGTGTCACGACTTCGATCTGTCGAGACTGGCTGAAGCTGGCAATATCGAAAACGATACCAAATCTGCCGTTTCTTTGGTCGTTGTAGAACCCCTTTGCTCTAGGTATACGGAACTCTTCATTTTTCGAAAGATTTAAAAAAGCAACTAGCTCTTTAACCCTTTTTTTGTTGCCTCTTGCGAAGTGTCTCCAGACATTTGAAAAGAAGGCAAGAACTCGACCAAGACCTTTCGTCGATCCATCATCCCAGATAAATCGCCATCGCGTAGCGTTCCTAAGCCTGAGATACATGCTCCGTCTATTTCAAGAGCCTGTGGAATGGGAAGCGACGTCCGATCAATATTTGGATTTCTGAGGCCCAATACTAATTGCCGTAACTCTGCGGGTCGGCTCCAGCCAAGTCTTTGTGCATGGCTGTCTTTTGCGATTTTATCCAGTCTGTCAATACTCTGTGCAGGAGACGCTCCATCAACACTATAGAGCCAGCTGAAAGTTTGTATACGTCTTTCCAAACGTCGGTTCAAGTTGGTTGCAATTTCGAGCTGTCGTTTTAGCCGCTCCGCTTCAGCGCGATGTCTTAGAGGTAATAAATCATTGTTTTCTCCGCTCTCCAGTTGACTGGGAGTGACCTGTGGTTTCGCTATTTTAGCCCGCTCAAATATGGCTGTCGCAAATTCGTTGGTTTCAGTCCAGACTCCAGAAAGCTGTTCAAGGACTGCGAGCAGTATCTTCTTATTGTTCTGATCCAGGGACTCGAAAATGCTGTCCGTGAGCCCAAACTTCCCTTTGTCACACAGAATAGAGCTCAGTACTTTAGAGTGGTCAGATTCGTCCAGTATTGCTATACTCAGCTCGCGCAGCTCAGCGTCGTCCGGGCTAGTGGAGTGAAACCTAGCAGAGATTTGGTCGCCCAGGTGATAAAGCTGAATGGCAAAGCTTACTGCCGATAGCACTAGGCTGGCCGTTTCTGATGGCGACATATTAGTTTTCAAGAGATAATGAACCTGCCGTAAACGCTAGCGGCCATGCCTCGAGAAATTGATGAGTGTTTGGACGAAATTTTGTCTGGAACCTTCCTGATAAATGTTCAGAGATTAAATGGGCTGTGATAACTTTACCCCGCAGCAGTGAATTAGGCAGCGAACTCTGCGAAAACCCATCTGCTTGATCTCCCAATCTAACAAAACAAAGCCCTCTTCCTCTGCTTTAGCATATTGTGTATTGGAATCGTCCCTTCCCTCTTTTCTTCGCGGATAACAGCTACTGGCTATGATGGACTTCTCCTTGCCGTTTCGAAATGAGCACATGCCGGCGACCCAAAATGAGCCGGGATCACTATCCGAATCCCAGTTACACCACTTAGACAGGACGTGATAAAAAGCGAGTTTAATACTTGGTTTCTGGAAAGCGAAGGCGAAGTTATTAGTTAGCCAGCATATACTAAGTAAGTACCATTTCATTAACTTTAGTATTTAAACCCTGAAATCTTGTACTAAAGGTGACTTGTTGAAATCTTAATTTAATTGGTATAAAAATATATGAGATGGAAAGTGGTAGGTGTAGTCTAAGAGTTGTATTACATATATATGAGAGGAGCTTATGACAATCGAGCTGACGGAAGAGCTGATGAATGCTGCAGACAAAATCGGTATTTGTGCGAAGCTCTAGTATGGAGAAGTGATTCAAAAGCGTGCTCGTTGTCTTGAACACGGTTGACTATGAAGCGGTTGTATATTGGATCACGAAATACCCAAAGAGCTTCTGGAATGCAGATGCCACACCACAATGTCAACAGGTCCCAATCATACTTACTTTGTTGCGAATCAAAGGTTCCTTTATCATCTATTCACCAAGATATCATAAGAGAGGGCTGTCGGCTCTCAGGATCGGTTATGAACGCCGAAGAATGCACTGTCTCTATCTACGTTGCATAAGACATGCAAGTGTTCGGACGAAACCACCTTCTTTACGGAAGGTGATCCAATGCAGGCATAACAACCCGCGAATCATGTTACTCTCCTCTACCATCCATTTCAGGAATCGCGAATCAGAACCTGACGACTGGGTGGTGTACAATGATGATTCCCCTGGTGTTCTTCGCTTAGTTAAGCTTAAATGTAACCTAAGTTGATGGGTTACTGCATCGAAAGTCTGGAAGCGAGATTTTATATTGATTTTCTATGCAAGTTGACGGGTTATGCAACATCGCTTCGCTTTTAGCCGGTTCTTGATGGGGGTGATAGTCTTATTCAAGCCATGTTCATATGCTGTTGATGTTCAAGTACATGAGGAGAATTTCCAACTCCTGAAAGATTTCAATTGACATGTTACAAACTTCTTGATTGCTCATTTACTCGTTACTATCGACTCTATTAACAAGAGGGCAACGACAGTCATGCCTAAACCAAGTCCTCATTCCAAGTACTCTGTTCTTAGAACATGGGCACTTTTCAGTCCACTCGAGAAACGCAATATAGCCATTTATATTGGAGGAATGATGCTCTATAAGTTTGGCCTGGAAGCATTCAGTGGCTCTATCATCACTCTTGCCACAAACCGCTATGACAACGAAGCCAAACTTTCCAACACAGCCCCACAAACATTCTTCAAGGTTGGTCTCTTGACAGGACTCAACCAGGCATTCCAATGCGTCGGCTCAATTCTGATCGCACCTCTAATGAAGCACTGGCCTACCAAATCCGTCCTATCACTAGCCATTGTCGTATTTGGCCTCTTTAGTGCTATCCTACTCATTGTCGATGCTGGGACCGGTGGGAGAATAAAGCCCTTAAACTGGAACCAAACACACCCAAGCGACGATTGGTCGTACTACGGAAAATACAATACAAACGGTATCATACCCATCTACTGTGTGGCAGGCATAGCATATGGCATGGTCGAACTCATCCGCCGAATCATCCCCCGTGACATTGTTGGCGGCGACATTCAAAAGCTCCGAAGAATGAACGCTCTCGTGGAGATATTCTACGAGATCGCGGGCACGGGAGGAGCCTTCTGCACTGCTCTCGCACTGATCCCTAAATTCGGGAATAATATGGCTTTCATGATTACGCCGATCTGTTTTACTCTCGCTTCCATTACTTGGTCCTTCATATCATCTCTCGAGTTCAAAAAACCTCCGAAGTCACTTCTATCTGGAAAGCCAGCATATATCAAGGCTCTTAGTGGATTTTACCTCTTTGGGGAGTCTATCTGGGTAGGAGCCAAGATAGTCCTCACGTCCCGAAAGTTCATCTGGCTGCTCCCCGGGTACAGCTTCGCGCTTTACGCGAACCGGTATCTCGACGATACAGTCGCTACCCTAGTTGCCCGCCGCTACCTCGGAAACTCAGCATGGTCACAAATCATGGTCGGCGGTTCCACGTTCGGCGAACTTTTTGGCGCTCTATTCATCTTCGTTTTCACGAATTCGATACCAACGCCCATTCCCTGGTTGAGATTAAATGCATTATTACTTCTGATCGCGTGGTACCTACCATTCTGGTGGGTGCCCACGGGCAGAGTAACAGATGCTTGGATCGTGGCTGCGACGTTTATACCGATCTCGTTTGGCTGGGCAGCTGGGGAGGTCTCTCTCATTGCGTATATCCAAGCTCTGCTGCACCGCAAAGAAAACGAAACAGACAACGTCTCTCCTTTGGGTGCAGTGATGGCTTTCCTATACTGTACGTTCATCGTTATCGACGCTATCTGCTCCTCGGTTCTGGGTAGCTATATTGATCGCGTGAGTGCCGCAAATACGAACGATTTTGCGAGAGGGAAGGTTGCGGCAAAGGGGTATCCGGATGGGTATATTAATGCGAGGCCGGCGGTGTTTAATGTTGCTGGTGTGCAGTTCATGGTCATTGCGGGGGTTTTGTTGCTGGCTACGCTGATTCCGAGGGGGGCGTGGAGTTTTAATCCGAAAGAGCTTTATGGAGAAAGTTTGCAAGATGAGGAGAGTTTCGAGACTTTGGAGATGGTAGGGGAGAAGAGTACTTCTGAGGTCACTGGGAAGGACACAGATGTTGAGATTAGTTCAGTTTGATCTTATGGTGATTTGCAAAGAAGAAGAAGGAAAGAGTCAGATAGCTAGAAATCACCAGGTTTCTAAGGAACGTTGTTATTCGTACGATATTAAATATTGTGAGTGAATACTGTTACGGACCACCTGGATCGCCTGGCTAATCGCCTGTCACCTGACCTAATCGCCTGCCTAATCGCCCGCGACAAAGGTCAGGCCGGGAATGGTGGCGTTCCCTAGCTTTAAGCCTATTGGGGCTTAGCTCCTCACATGACATCCCTTTCCCCTGGCATATATATATCTAGATCTTCTCCTCTTTCATTCCCCTTCTCTTCTTTACCTTTAGATTCTAAGAGATAGCCGAATCGATACTTCGTCTACGTACTGAGCTTCCCACCGTGCTGTCACAAATACTGTGACAGACCAGATCAGGTTGAGATGCAAGAGGTGATCCATTCTTAGAATACTAAGGTGAAGAGCTGAGGACAGCTCTCAGGAGTGCTTATATACAGGATTCTGCCAGGCGGTGAGTTGTCACGTGATAGGACTGAAACCAGCACTGTGACAAATACAGCATTTTATTTTAATTAAAATAAAATTATCGAAAATTTTTTTATTATAATGCGTTTTTATTAATTTTTTATCGTTAAAATAATCGAAATTTTTATTAAATTATTAAATTAATATTAAATTTATTAAATAATTGTGACAGCACAGTTGTGTCACGGGCTGATACAATGAGTCAAAGTAACAAGCTATGTGTATTACAAAAAGAACTAGTTAAGGAAAGAAGGATTCTCCCCGGAGAAATCCTTTTGTGAGGGCGCCAAGGCCCGAGCGTCTGCTCACGTAACGGCTATGCCCATTTAGGGGCATAGCCACAGAATGGGTTCAACCCATCACAGCTAATTTTAAAAAAATAAAAATAAAAATTTTAAATTATTATTTTTAAATATATTTTAAAAAAAAAATTTTCGAATTTTTTTTTTTTTATTTACAACGCGTAGTTTTAAATTTAATAAATTATTTTTTTATATGTGACAGCACGGTGGGAAGCTTAGTACGTAGACGAAGTATCGATTCGGCTATCTCTTAGAATCTAAAGGTAAAGAGGAAAGAAAGGAAGGAAGCGCCGGAAGGCAGGGCATATATACAGGCGAGCGGTCACGTGAGTATTTCGTAGCGGGCACGTGACTCCATAACCGTGACATTACCCCCCCCTTCCGAAGAACGACGTCCTCGTCGTTGCATCCATCCAATTATCATTATCCAAGTGATCATAATTGTCAATTCTATCGTCGAATTGTTTCTTCCAAGCTGGAAGGGCCTCTGGGGGACCAGGCTTGCTTGGATTAGTCATGTGATACGCTATCAGCTTGTCAGGAGCGTATTTGAAGTCGGACGCCGGGTACCATTCTAGGTCTTCGTCCATGTTCAGCCACTTCACTCGGTACTGCAGCTGCTTTCGTCTTAGTCTGGAGGCCAAGATCTCGTCTACTTCCCATTCGATATCACTAGTTATGTTGACTTCTGGCGGAGGCTCTTCTTCTTGACCAGGCAGCGGGTCTGCGGGGTCTCTCCTTAGCTTGTCGGATGAGAATACAGGGTGCACTCTCATAGAAGCGGGCAAGTCGAGCTTGTACGAGTGTCCT